TCCTGGTTTTAACATTTATTTGACAGCAAAAATTCTCTGTTGAAAATGTTTGATAGGAAGTCTGTAGTATTGGATGATGTAGTTATCTGCAGTGCCATTCTAACTTGGCACTCAGCAATGTATTCATTTGGGAAATTCAGTCATAATTCCCTGTTTCTAATTATTACGTCTGTGGTGGAATCCAAGTTGTTTGAAAGGCACGATTAAAATAAATGATTCGGCGTTAGCTGTTTGATTACAACACCTTGGTTAGTGGCAGTGTTTTCTTTTGATTCTAGGTTTAATAGTAATTATGCCAACAGTGTGATAAGGAATGATTGACAGCTCTCCAGGTTCTGTGCCTATGTTCTAATGTTCTAAGCTTTGTGTTCTCCTGATTCCCAGGTCCATGATGTCAAGTTCCAGGCTCAGAACCTGGAGGAGAAGGAGGCTTGGATTAAGGCCTTTAGTGACGGCATCAACAGAGCAAAGAATAAGATATTTGACGAGGTGAAGTGTTTTCCCTAATGCTAAAAAGCATGTTTCGGAACCGGTGTGGTATAAGCATAGCCTGGTCCCAGATCGGTTTGTGTTGTCTTGCCAACTCCAATGGTCATTCCAAACATGATCTGGGACCAGGCTAGTATAAGCACTGTCTTTATTACAATCCCAGGGACAATACATGTTTGGAACCCCTAGAAAGCAGTGTTTGTAACTGTTTGACACTAGTGTACCAGCGCTCCAATATGAAACCTTTCCTCTATTGTCTCTTCTGACATTGGTGCCAACTGTAAGAATGTTTCAAAAATACATCTGGGCCTTATTCTCCTCCTAAAATAGACAAATATATTTAGTTAATTGTTGTTTTCCCAGGTGAAGATAGATGAGACCAGTCATTTGGAGCATGCCACACGCACAAGGCCGAAAGGAAACCGTAACAGAAGACCACCCACCAGGATACACATGAAAGAGGTGTGTGTGTGTGTGTGTGTGTTTTATCTGCAACATAGTGCTTAGTGCTAGTGTGTCATGCTGCTAAATGCATAATGTGTTTATAGAATTCATTGGAATAAGGGAATTATTAAATTCAATCAATTGAATGTTGTCTCTTAAACCCCTCCCCTCATCTTCCAGGTTGCCAACGTCTCATCAGATGGGATTCTCCGGCATGACCTGGACGCGGTGGACGCCAGCATCCCCAACGGGACACACCACATCACCACAGGTACCACTGAGACTCCCCAAAAGGCTGTGAAGCCCCCCATGCCCCCCACGTCCAAACCCAGCGAGGCCCCAGAAGAGTGTCTGACCACCCAGAGCCCTGACGAAGGTCTGCCGTCTGAAAAGGAGCCCAGTCCCCAGAAGGTTCTGAAGCCCCCCATGCCACCCTCCAAAGAGGCCGAGACGGCTGCTGCTTCTGCTGGGGACCAACTCCCTGATGAGACTAGCACTGACAGCAGCCCAGAGAAAAAGGTTGAATTTTTAACACAGTATAGTACATATTCTGTTTCACATGCACTCACATGCGTATCAGTGGAGGCTGCTGAGGGGAGGACGGCTCATAATAATGTCTGGAACGGAGCAAATGGAATGGTATCAAACACCTGAAATCCATGTTTGCTGTATTTGATACCATTCCACTGATTCCGCTCCAGCCATTACCACGAGCCCGTCCTCCCCAATTAAGGTGCCACCAACCTCCTGTGGTACGTATGTACACACGCATCTACACACACGTCTGTGGTGAACACACGCACACACAAACACACACACTTGTCATATGATATATGAACACGTTATTCTTTTGTCCAGGTCCTGAAGCCTCCCATGCCACCCTCCAAAGAGGCCAAGCCCACTGTGTCTGCCGAGGACCAACCACCTGGGGAGACCAGCCCTGAGAAAAAGGTGCATATCATTTGTTGTTTTACTCTCTTCTTTCCATTTATTTTACAATGTGTTGTAACAACCATATGAAAGATGTTAAGTAAATAACATTTGATTTGATTTCAAGGTCCTGAAGACGCCCATGCCGCCCTCCAAAGAGGTCAAGCCCGCTGCTCCAGCCGGAGACCAACCCCCCAGGAACACCGGTCCCGAGGGCAGCCCAGAGAAGTGCTCCGAGGCTGGGGTCGAGTCGGCACCACCGCCCACCCCTCCGAGCAAACCCATCGGGGGCTCCACAGACAACCTGGCTGAGGCCTCCCAGTCCAGCCAGGAACCCAGGCCGCCCACCCCACCATCCAAAGACAAGAAGCCCACTCAGACAGCCATGCAGGAGGGTACAGAGGTGGCTAGTGGAAGCAGGAAGAAAGATGAAGAGGAGGAGGATGAGGTAGAGGAGAAGGAGGAAGAGGGTTCTGAAACGAATGCATCTGACGTTCAACAAAGCAGTATCCCTGAGGGGGCTGAGGATGAGGAGGAGTCTTCTTCCTCTCAGCTTACAACACTCATGACCCCCCTAGAGGTAAAAGTTGAACCCCCTGTGACTTACCACCCAGAGGTCACCACCACCACCATAGAAGAAGAGACGCAGAAAGTTGTTGAGCCAATGGCTCAAGAACAAGAGTCTGCCGCTAGTGGTGGAGTGGATATATCACCCAATGAAGAACCTCAGACAATGAAGTCTTCCCAACTCACAGTAACGCCGTCAGTTCAGACACCGGAGCCAATCAAAAAGAGCCCTGGCCCTCCCGGACCTCCCACAAAGAAGAAGCCCGTCATCCTCCCTCCTCCCAAAGCAGTGGTGGTGACTCAAGATGTCCACCTAAGCAAGCCTAAGAATCAAGAGACAGACGAAACCAAGAACGTCATCATCACCACCACACCAGAAGAGAAACTCAACCCTATCACTTCACCACCACCAGCCGCGGTGACCACAATCAGTCCGACTGAAGAAACAGAGGACCTAAAAGTTCCTGTGGTCGTAGAGACTAAGTCCGAGTTCCCAGTTGTAGTTCTCTCTCTGAGTGACCCTGAACCAGACAGCTCCTGCTCCAGTCCCGTGTCCTGCCACCTCTCCCCGGAAAAGAAGAGTGAGCGTGAGGAGGAAAAGTCAGTGGACAGCGGCCAACACTCGGACATCGATGACAACGAAGAGGGGTCAGAGAGCCGGGACACTTTGGCGGCCTCCACCGCCGCCCTTATGGGCAGCCAAGCTGGCCTGAACGCACTGATGGACGAGAGTGAAGACGGAGACACGGAGACCCCCGACAGCCTGGGACTCAGCACTGATGATGTGGAGGACTCCCTTTCTACGACCCAGATCCCCCAGGACAAACCCTCCGGCCAGGCCTCCCATCGTCCCCCCATCCCCTTCAAACCCTTAGCCAAGCTCATGTCCGCCTCTTTGGGGGATCTCCTCTCTGAGGCCTCATTGGGTGAAAACATGAAACAGCCAATCACAGACGTGGCCGTGACAAAGGCTGCCGGTCCTCAAGACTTAACAGACCTTGAAAATGAAGTGGCCCTGGAGCTGGAAAAGACAGGGGAGCTCCTGGGGAGCGTCGTCCCCATAGGGAGCACCGAGGTTGGGCAGAGCTCGGCCCTAGCGGGGGGCGATGGCCTGGAGGACAGGTCGCCGGAGGAACTGCTAACCAGAGCCATGGAGAAGCTGAGGAAAGCGGACCAGTTCCTCAGGCAGGCCAAGAGTATGAAAGACTCGAAACATTCTGAGAATACGGCCAAGAGAAACAGCTGGTGATTGTTAAATATGAAGGAGAAGTAGGGAAAATGTATTGATTAATGGTGATGGAAAGTAGCAGCTTGGAAGGACGACAGGTGTTTTCTTATTCTGGCTGATTATGCAGCGTATGTATGCAAGTGTTCTGCTGAGATTTAGCTAAGTGCAATTTTTTCCACTTTCACTTTTCTCCTGCAAATGAAGGTTAATTGTACTTTTTGTACTTTTGAAATTGTTTTTACATTCCACATTGATCATAATCACTTTCCCAAGGATATTTACTTGAATACTTACAACCCCCGATCAAACTTTTTAATGATACGTTCAAGGATGTCACAAAATGTCTTAGGGGGTGTCGGAAGTGCCTGCAACTTTTTGTAATCCAAGTTTTGAATGGAAACAGATTGGTTTCCTCTGTAGTCCTCCTTGCCAATCAAACTATGATGAACTTTGAAGTAATCGTGTATGAGGTGGGTTGGGTTTTTATGTAGTTCATGAAAATATACGTTTCTTGAGAATACATTTGTCTTGAATAACTACTTTCCAAGTGTTAAAAGAATATTCAGGGATTTTATAAAATGTCTGCGACAAGCTCTGCCAGTCCAAATCTCAATGGCAAGATGTACATCAAATTTGACACCACACCTATTTTACAAGCATCCCTTCTTCTGAGGACTAAAGGCCCCATTTATTAAGCATTTGCACTTTGCACCAGGTCCTGAAGTTTACCAGAGGGAATTGGACATAAAAGGTTGAATGAAAAGGTAAGAATAAAGGTTCTGAAAATGAATAATTTATCAAGGTTAATTATAAATGAAGAGAAAACAAAGTATAAATGAAGACAGTTTGCTGTTTTAGCTTTAGTGTTTCATCCAATAAAAACAGGTGCAAACTTTTCACCAGGCCCAAATGCATAGCAAATATGGCCTTAACTTTGTTCTGGCAAATACCTATGCAGGCTTGGTTTATTCACCATTTCACAATAGGTTTCAGAATGCACATTGCAAAGAGGAACTACACTCTTAGAAAAAAAGGTGCTATCTAGAACCTAAAAGGATTATTCGGCTGTCCCCATAGGAGAACCCTTTGAAGAACCCTTTATGGTTCCAGAAAGAACTCTTTTGATTCCAGGTAAAACCCTATTGGGTTCCATGTGGAACCCTTTCCCCAGAAGAACCAAAAAGGGCTCTATCTGGAACAAAAAAGGGTTATCCTATAGGGACAGCCGAAGAACCCTCTTGGAAACCTTTTTTCTAAGAGTGTAGGCAGTATGATTACTGAGCTACTGTAGAAGTGAATACAGAACCTATGATGCCTACTCTCCTTGTGTTGTATCTACTCTCACCTAGCCCCAGTAATGTTGTGTTGTATCTACTCTCACCTAGCCCCAGTAATGTTGTGTTGTATCTACACTCACCTAGCCCCTAGCCCCAGTAATGTTGTGTTGTATCTACTCTCACCTAGCCCCTAGCCCCAGTAATGTTGTGTTGTATCTACTCTCACCTAGCCCCTAGCCCCAGTAATGTTGTGTTGTATCTACTCTCACCTAGCCCCAGTAATGTTGTGTTGTATCTACTCTCACCTAGCCCCAGTAATGTTGTGTTGTATCTACTCTCACCTAGCCCCTAGCCCCAGTAATGTTATGTTGTATCTACTCTCACCTAGCCCCTAGCCCCAGTAATGTTGTGTTGTATCTACTCTCACCTAGCCCCAGTAATGTTGTGTTGTATCTACTCTCACCTAGCCCCTAGCCCCAGTAATGTTGTGTTGTATCTACTCTCACCTAGCCCCTAGCCCCAGTAATGTTGTGTTGTATCTACTCTCACCTAGCCCCTCGCCCCAGTAATGTTGTGTTGTATCTACTCTCACCTAGCCCCAGTAATGTTTGTTTGTATCTACTCTCACCTAGCCCCAGTAATGTTGTGTTGTATCTACTCTCACCTAGCCCCTAGCCCCAGTAATGTTGTGTTGTATCTACTCTCACCTAGCCCCTAGCCCCAGTAATGTTATGTTGTATCTGCCCTGTGCTCTTCAAAGCAGCCCTGTTCACTTGGCTTATAAATAGGGCACACAGGAACTAGCCACTTCCTGACTGATCTACCCGCTTCTGAAGATCTCTCTTTAGTCAGAGACCAGATCATTTATATCACACTGAAATGCACTCGTAGGTGTTCCTATGTGCTAAATCAGACTAACACTTATAAGCTGAGTGGTATTGAAGGACTGTGGTATTAGACAGTTAGTGGCATCCATTTTGTTTTAAAGGTGCTTTTAAGGCTAAGAAATCTTAATGTTTTGTCAAGTATTTTCTTCTTTTATCTTATCATTAGGTTTAACCTTGGTCTGCTTCATAGGTTTGAGGGTATTGAGTATTGACCAATTGAAACAAAAGGATCTGATCCATTTTGATGTGAACTCAAATGTGGTACCTACCTAACATTTGTCCTTTACACATGCACAACAAGGACGATAATGCCTTGTCCAAGACTTTAGGAAGTAAAATATGTAAACATGATTTGTTTTGAATTTCTACAGTTTAAAGTTGTACTATTAGGTCTAATAATTTGAATATCAAATTGTACATAACACATTTTCTTATGAACTACTTAACATTTAAGTTATTAATCTTCTCACACACTCCTTGTCGTTGGTTGGTCCGTCATTGTAGAAAAACAATAGATTTATCCCCTCAAACTGGCTTATAATTGTAGCTGAGTTGCAAATGTATGTTGAAGTTTGTAATATTGTTATGTAATATATTTTATTGTACAAATGCACTTACTAAGAATTGGACTGATAAGGTTTATACACCCGTAGACATTTTTGATACGGTTTAACAAGGTTTTGTAAAGCATGTCTGAATAAATATTGCTTTCTGTATGAAATATATTTTGTCAGATTTGTCTGATTTGCTACAACTAATTAATTTACATGAATCATATCCATGTTTATAAAACATTTAATCAAAACAACACTACTGTATTTAGGATTAAGCGTTGCAGTTATAGCAACTAGTGCCAAGTATATTTGTCTGCATAATTTTCTTTACAGTTCCTAAAGCCCACTTCCTCTTTCTGAAGTAGATAAAGCCAACAACAGTTACACTACAGTTCAGGAGGAAAACAGGAATCAAAATTGTATCGCAATTGTCTCTCCAATCTCAGGCATGAACCCACATACTCCAGAGTAGTTATTGGATTTGCTGTCAGTTCCCCATCTGCTCACTGCTGTGGTAGTCATTTAAAGTCTTATCAGTAGTGCATCTCACAGGTCTACCTCCTCTTATTAACATGTTTCTCCTCATTGACAGCCTTGCTGCCTATCTCAGATCCACAGGGAACAAGATATGAGCATCAGCTGCCCTCAGACCGATGGTTAAAGAAAAACCGGGATTAGCGAGACTGAGCTGACCTCCATACAAGTATTGAGCGACCTCCTCCATACAAACAGCACACAGCTCAACAGAGCGAGCTTGAAGTAAAGGGACGTGTTTTATGGCTTGAATGGAAAGACATTACTTTGTTATGTGGTTGAGAGATCTGGTGAATATACACAGTATACTGCATGTCGTTCTGGTGGGTGAGTTTCTCCACACAGCTATTATAGACATTTATCATGGGACTTCTAGTTTGCACAGCCTTGTTTTCCAAATGTAAGGCTCGCTAGTTCATATCTATATACAGCTGTCCACTGACAGAACTTAAAACAACAGCTTGAACTCATGAAAGTGATGAAGGCTCTCAGACTGAAACTCAAAACTTCAACCTTATCTCTGGACTAGAGAGAAGACGACTGGTCATAAGTGGGCTTGTGGTTTAGTTCCAGAAAAAGGAGAGGGATGTGACTATCAGTGTGTGTGTGTGTGTGTGTGTGTGTGTGTGTGTGTGTGTGTGTGTGTGTGTGTGTGTGTGTGTGTGTGTGTGTGTGCGTGTGTGTGTGCGCATGTGTGTGCGCATGTGTGTGTGTGTGCGCATGTGTGTGCGCATGTGTGTGTGTGCGTGTGCAAGTTCACAAGTAGATGGGTTAAGAATGAGGAGAGGGGAGATAAACTCTTCTGGACATGTTTGCTCACCAACATAGTGCATGATTATGTAATTTCCTGGTGTGTGTAGCAAATGTCTGGTGTAAAGTCGGGGTGTTTACTGTGTGAGTGTAAACAGAGGATGGGATAAGATGACTAGAGCAACACTTTTCTTGTTATCCAAAAAGACAACATCTAACCATTTTTGGGGTGTGACCGCCCAGGGTTTGAACGCGGTTTTCCAGCGTGTTACATGACTGTGTTAGCCTGCTAATCTAAAGCCTAGGCAAGTCTTCAGATCTTAGTGTCATGGGGCGGAATCTGAACCCGGGTCTCCCACTGGAGAAAGCAATGTCTTGACCTTAAGACAAAAATAATATTCCCCCCCCGGGCCAAGGGTGACAATGATTTTGAAGTCGCAGGCAGTGCTACCTCATCACGTGACCGTGAACCACACTCACGTCCACTACATTAGGCAAGGTCACTCATCACCTGAGCTTTGGTTAAATGATTCCTCTAAATGACAGGCCTGTCCAACGGGCAACATCCATTAGCTGTTGCTGTATGTGTCATCGTGTAGTGAGGAAGGGCCTTGTACCATTTCATCTCATATGAGTTAGAACCTAGTTAGACAAAGAGGACCTCAGCTCTGAGAATCTCTCAGTGCTTCTACATTCCCTACAGAGCATTCCTGAATCAGAGCCAACAATAATGTTTATAGAACCAACACATTAGAAAAGCCTTATTGATACCTCAGGCTGTTTCACTAATGGGACTATACCTGGGAGCGGTCAGAGTGGAAGACATTTCATATATTATGTGACAAATTACTGTATTTTTGGATCAGTACCTGCAGTTACCTTTTAGTTCTGTGTGTGTGAGTGTGTGTGTGTGTGTGTGTGTGTGTGTGTGTGTGTGTGTGTGTGTGTGTGTGTGTGTGTGTGTGTGTGTGTGTGTGTGTGTGTGTGTGTGTGTGTGTGTGTGTGTGTGTATGCTTGTACTACACGTAGGCACAATTCTGTATTGCTCAGTGGATCTGATCCATCCCAAGCTCCAGTAACTAGATTAAAGAGAACAGGGTACCAGAGAGACAGGGCTCTATATGGTACAGTAACCAGATTAAAGAGAACAGGGTACCAGAGAGACAGGGCTCTATATAGTCCAGTAACCAGATTAAAGAGAACAGGGTACCAGAGAGACAGGGCTCTATATAGTCCAGTAACTACATTAAAGAGAACAGGGTACCAGAGAGACAGGGCTCTATATAGTACAGTAACCAGATTAAAGAGAACAGGGTACCAGAGAGACAGGGCTCTATATAGTACAGTAACCAGATTAAAGAGAACAGGGTACCAGAGAGACAGGGCTCTATATAGTACAGTAACTACATTAAAGAGAACAGGGTACCAGAGAGACAGGGCTCTATATAGTACAGTAACCAGATTAAAGAGAACAGGGTACCAGAGAGACAGGGCTCTATATAGTACAGTAACTATATTAAAGAGAACAGGGTACCAGAGAGACAGGGCTCTATATAGTACAGTAACCAGATTAAAGAGAACAGGGTACCAGAGAGACAGGGCTCTATATAGTACAGTAACCAGATTAAAGAGAACAGGGTACCAGAGAGACAGAGCTCTATATAGTACAGTAACTACATTAAAGAGAACAGGGTACCAGAGAGACAGAGCTCCATATAGTACAGTAACTACATTAAAGAGAACAGGGTACCAGAGAGACAGGGCTCTATATAGTACAGTAACTATATTAAAGAGAACAGGGTACCAGAGAGACAGGGCTCTATATAGTACAGTAACTACATTAAAGAGAACAGGGTACCAGAGAGACAGGGCTCTATATAGTACAGTAACTACATTAAAGAGAACAGGGTACCAGAGAGAGTGGGACTGATATCATCATGCTCATCAGCCCACTCAACGTAATGCCCCTCAGCTGCTTCCCATTAAACCAATGGAGAATACCAAGTGTGAATCCAGAACAGCACCCTATTACTTATGTCACTTCTGGTCAGAAGTAGTGCACTATATAGGGAATAGGGTATAATTTGGGACACAGATCAAGCCTAATGAGACTACTGGGCACAATCACTGCCCACTGCATAACAATGATATTACTGTACCGTCCGTGTGAAGTAAGACTTGGCACAGAGAAGCCTAATTCTTGAGGGTTATGGCATGTAAGTGATACAGAAAAAGTTTGTGAATTTAGAGACAAAATTACCCTTAGTTTCCCAAAATTACCCTCAGTGTCCCAAAATTACCCCAAAATTACACATATCATTCAATATGTGAATGACTGGTCATAAGACTACGTGGGCTTGTGGTTTAGTTCCAGAGAACGAGAGTGATGTGTGTGTGTGTGTGTGTGTGTGTGTGTGTGTGTGTGTGTGTGTGTGTGTGTGTGTGTGTGTGTGTGTGTGTGTATGTGCGTGTGTTATTTATAAACCAAACTCTCTTGCAGAAACTCAATCTACTCTGTACAAATGAGTCTCACAGCAAAACAGAAATGATGATGTGAACATTTAAAGTGTTGGTTAATAAGGCCAAACCTGTTTATTATTTTTCCTATAATTTCTCCTTTAAGTACAGTGTGTGGTGGTGGGGAGCTTTTATTATTGGAACCTGTATCTGTTTAGTCCCCATAGCAACAGTGTGTATTGGCCAACACCCATAACAGAACTACAGTCTGTCTGGTTAGGACTGAACACTGTTCATCTGTGTGACAGAGGGGAGCAAACTGTGAATACCTCTCACATCACTTACAAGACGTAGGTGTTTCATCAGAAAACTCAATATTGTTAGTCGTTTCAGCTCCAATTTACTGTACTGTCACGCCTACCTCATGGCCATAAAAACGAATGAACACTATATGACCAAAACTGACTGGTAGTGAAAGGGGAATGAGCATGGTGAACTCTTACAGGGACCCCTGGTGGTTGATATTAACAGTACACAGAGGACATACAAGAGACTTGTTAGGGGATGTTGCGTGCCAAACACGTATCCTTTTAATGATGTGATTGCAGACCTTGTTTAAACACCATCACACAGTCTCCCTACAGTACAGAGACCTTGGTTAAACACCATCACACAGTCTCCCTACAGGACAGAGACCTTGGTTAAACACCATCACACAGTCTCCCTACAGAACAGAGACCTTGGTTAAACACCATCACACAGGCTCCCTACAGGACAGAGACCTTGGTTAAACACCATCACACAGGCTCCCTACAGCACAGAGACCTTGGTTAAACACCATCACACAGTCTCCCTACAGGACAGAGACCTTGTTTAAACACCATCACACAGTCTCCCTACAGGACAGAGACCTTGGTTAAACACCATCACACAGGCTCCCTACAGTACAGAGACCTTGGTTAAACACCATCACACAGTCTCCCTATAGTACAGAGACCTTGGTTAAACACCATCACACAGTCTCCCTACAGGACAGAGACCTTGGTTAAACACCATCACACAGGCTCCCTACAGTACAGAGACCTTGGTTAAACACCATCACACAGGCTCCCTACAGTACAGAGACCTTGGTTAAACACCATCACACAGGCTCCCTACAGTACAGAGACCTTGGTTAAACACCATCACAGAGTCTCCCTACAGTACAGAGACCTTGGTTAAACACCATCACACAGTCTCCCTACACTACAGAGACTTTGGCAGCTTGTGCACCATCATGCTCCCCATTAAATCTCCTCTGATGGGCTCTCTGTCATACAGTAGTCTTCTTCCTGAAATATTTTCTTCCTTCTCCCACCAAATGAACCAAATGTCCCTCCAGCAAAAAACAGGCTTTAAAGGGATAGTTAATGCAAATTACAAAATGACACATTGGTTTCCTTACCCTGTAAGCAGTCTATGGACAAGGTATTGTATATGACAGCAATACATGCTTTGGTTTTCTTTACCTGGCCACTGTTTCAAAATGCTAACTTTTTAGCATTTGTGGCACATTCTAATGCAATTCAATGGTACTGATGTTAGCATTTTAATTTGAGTGAACTATCCCTTTAACCTAACTCAAGAAGAGCCTTGACCCAACAGTGGATCCTGATCCCTTAGCTGCATTGGAGAATGCAGAAATCTCTTAAATTCCAGATCAAATGAAATGTCATGTTGTGATGTAGAACACACTTTTACCGACATACATCACTTTATTGATACCTATCAAGTCGTCTACGGATTCTGAGAGTCAGGGACCAAAATATTGGTTTGTTTACCGACCTAAAGCTTAGGCGATAATTGTTTGACTGCAAAACAAGTTTCAACATTTCAACGTTTATTCGCCATGTGCACAGGATACAACAGGTGTAAAACAGTTCAGTGACATTCTTACCTTGAGAGCTCTTTCCCAACAATGCAGTGATAATAATAATAATAATAATAATAATAATAATAATAATAATAATAATAATAATAATTATAATAATTATAATAATAATAATAATATAGATAATAATAGAAAATGTAATGTATACAGTACCAGTAAAAAGTTTGGACACACCTACTCATTTTTACTATTTTCTACATTGTAGAATAAAAGTGAAGACATCAAAATTATGAAATAATACATATGGAATCATGTAGTAACCAAAAAAGTGCTAAACAAATCAAAATATATTTTATATTTGAGATTCTTCAAAGTAGCCACCTTTGCCTTGAGGACACCTTTGCACACTCTTGGCATTCTCTCAACCAGCTTCATGAGGTAGTCACCTGGAATGCATTTCAATTAACAGGTGTGCCTTGTTAAAAGTTAATTTGTGGAATTTCTTTCCTTCTTAATGCGTTTGAGTCAATCAGTTGCAAAAACCACCAAGGGCTATGATGAAACTGGCTCTCATGAGGACCGCCACAGGAATGGAAGACCCAGAGTTACCTCTGCTGCAGAGGATAAGTTCATTAGAGTTAACTGCACCTTAGATTGCAGCCCAAATAAATGCTTCACAGAGTTCAAGTAACAGACACATCTCAACATCAACTGTTCAGAGGAGACTGCGTGAATCAGGCCTTCATGGTTGAATTGCTGCAAATAAACCACTACTAAAGGACACCAATAATAAGAAGAGACTTGCTTGTCCAAGAAACACAAGCAATGGACATTAGGCCGGCGGAAATCTGTCCTTTGGTCTGATGAGTCCAAATTTGAGATTTTTTGTTACAACCGCCGTGTCTTTATGAGACGCAGAGTAGGTGAACGGATGATCTCTGCATGTGTGGTTCCCACCGTGAAGCATGGAGGAGGAGGTGTGATGGTGTGGGGGTGCTTTGCTGGTGACACTGTCTGTGATTTATTTAGAATTCAAGGCACACTTAACCAGCATGGCTACCACAGCATTCTGCAGCGATACGCCATACCATCTGGTTTGCGCTTAGTGGGACTATCATTTGTTTTTCAACAGGACAATGACCCAAAACACACCTCCAGGCTGTGTAAGGGCTATTTGACCAAGAAGGAGAGAGATGGAGTGCTGTATCAGATGACCTGGCCTCCACAATCACCCGACCTCAACCCAATTGAGATGGTTTAGGTGAGTTGGACCACCGAGTGAAGGAAAAGCAGCCAACAAGTGCACAACATATGTGGGAACTCATTCAAGATTGTTGGAAAAGCATTCCTCATGAAGCTGGTTGAGAGAGTGCCAAGAGTGTGCAAAGCTGTCATCAAGGCAAAGGGTGGCTACTTTGAAAAATCTAAAATCTAAAATATATTTTGATTTTTTTAACACTTTTTTGGTTACTACATGATTCCATATGTGTTATTTCATAGTTTTGATGTCTTCACTATTATTCTATGATGTAGAAAATAGTAAAAATAAAGAAAAACCCATGAATGAGTAGGTGTGTCCAAACTTTTGACTGGTACTGTATACATTATATTTTCTATTATCTATATTATCTATATTATTATTATTATTATTATTATCACTGCATTGTTGGGAAAGAGCTCTCAAGGTAAGAATATTTTTCCCTTTATTTTAACAGGGAAGACATATTGAGACCTAGGTCTCTTTTACAAATGCACCCTGTAAATACAACAACACATTATACCCAAACTATATATATATATACACATTAAAATACAAAAACACAGTCATGGGAAGCACAAATAAAACATCACAAATCACCCAGAAAACAGTTACATTCTTTCACAAATATGTCCCCAATCAATACTTTAAATTGCCGGAACGGCACCAGAACATCAAGATTAAATGTTCCAGCAATAGGGTGCATTAAAACTAAAAGCAGATTTACCTAGATTATTGGAGACCCAAGGAACCTCAAGAGTTAACCAATCCTGTGAATGGGTTAGGCAACTCAGGTGTCTATACTTCAACAGCAAAGTTAGATGAGACAGAAGTTTATGAAGTAGGGCCTTGTTTCTTTTTGACTGTTCTCTCTCTCCCTCTCTCTCTCTCTCTTTCGCTCTCTCTCTCTCTCTCTCTTTTTTTTCAATTCAATTATATTCGGTAAAAGTTTATATGAAGTACATACCTATAATTTTTTATCATAACATGCTTAATGTGTTACGACACTGACTATAAGCGTCCATAACCACTCATAAGTGGTTATTAAAGTCTGTATGATGTTTTATAGATCATGACCTATAATGACTTGTAAGAATATATACCGCAAAATATATTCTAGCCATACCGGTTTAAAACACCGAAAATATAATTATTAGGCTACACACATTAGTCGCTATAATACAATATAACAAAAATGCATAATTTATTATAAGGCTTTACATGAAGCAGAAGGCCTAGTTTACATATCGTACTGTAGCTGGATCACATCGATGCGCAGCATTACATGCTAAATATTATTGCGCTCTGACATGATAGACCGTCTATCAAATTGTTCCAGTTATTCTCTCTCAGATCTAAATGATGGGCAATGAATGTGGGCAGGTCCCTCTCCGCTCTCCACTCAACACCCGGATGTGTGCGGCACTTCGAGCGCATAGTAGAATAACTGGATCCAGATAATAGACTATTTGATGGGAATCAGATCGCGGATTACGACAAAAAATGAAATCAACTGAATTGGTGACGTTTTGGAATCACTGATAGAATGGAGGACGATCTGGTGTCAGAGGATGATATCTGTAAGTAGTTAGAATTATTTTATTACTAACGGAATAGCTGTCTGTATGGCTTTTTGTGATGACAACTCCGCTCATCTGGCCTATATACTAGTCTAGGCAGCCTGCCTATAGCAGGTTCTTGTACGCGCGGACACTGTATCTGAGCAGATACGATCAGAATAATTGATTAATTGATAAGAGCTACCATGAACTGAAGCCAGTTCAAATACTAGGCTATGTTATCATATTGCAACATAATGGTTGTAGGGATGCTTGACAGGGCTCATAGGGTTCCTCATTATAGGATGAAACCATAGCCTATCGCATTTGCATTACTTCTGAAATATTATATTGTAGTAGTGCTTGACTTGGGCATGAGCTCACCGGAGCTGAGTACCGGCACCTCAAATGTTCAACTGCTTGAGCTCCTGTTCCTCTTATAGATTATTAGCTCAAAAGTATTGTGAAGGCCCTGCACCTAAATATAAACAGTACTGGCACCCAAAATAAGTACCGGCACCTATTTCAGTCCAAGTCAAGCACTGTTTTGTAGCTTATTCATATAATACAGGGTTTCCCAAACTCGGTCCTGGGGACCCCAACGGGTGCATGTTTTGGTTTTTGCACTTAGCACTACACAGCTGATTCAAATGATCAAAGCGTAATGATGAGTTGATTATTTGAATCAGCTGTGTAGTGCTAGGGGAAAAAACGAAATGTACACTCAGGGGGCCCACAGGACCTAGTTTGGGAAATCCTGGTCTAGTGGTGCGGTGTTTAGCTGTTGTTTTTGCACCAATTTATCATTGCACTTATAAGAGGTTGGTGGCACCTTAATTGGGGAGGACGGGCTCGTGGTATTGGCTGGAGCGGAATGGGTGGAATGTTTGATGCCATTCCATTAACTCAGTTTCAGCCATTATTATGAGCCGTCCTCCCCTCAGCAGCCTCCACTGATTGCACTAGTTTTCTGACTTGTAATGTTCAATGTACCGTTTGATGTAGGCCTGGCAATGTTATGCATAATACAAGCATATAGCCTCCGGGATAGACAGATCAAGGTCAGTCTCAACCAGTCTGTCAATGTTGTCTCATGACAGAAACCAGCGTCTGTTGTCATAAAGCGTCTCAGAGTAAGAGTGCTGATCTAGGATCAGTTCCCCCTGTCCATATAATCGTATTGATTGGGATTAAAGGACAAAACTGATCCTAGATCAGCACTAAGACGCTTTATGAATACAGTAGGAAGACTATACAGAACAAATCACAGTTATCAATATAGAAACAGTTCAGTCGCGCTCACATGTTTGCCATATCCAGTATGTTGTGTACACAAAGTTGGAATGTAGTATGAGATTTCTACCTTGATGTTTTCCTCAATGTTGATTTAAGCGTTAATAAGTTCCTGGCAGTTTTTATGAACCTACTGGCAACTATGGCAACCACTGATGTACAACGCATTTGGCACAACAGTGATGAAACAACAGAGAGTATTTTCTGCACAAAAAATAATGTCAAAATGGTTGTGTGAACACTTTTGTTCAGACAAACTGTCCGTTGTATCACCAAAGAAATATCAGCTATATCACATCCACTGTTTCAAATGTGTTTTAGGCTACATCAGTTGCCAACCTGAGTGAGTACAGGGCCTTAGGGACATCCAGACTATGTCTGCGTCCCAAATGTCACCCGTATAGTGCGTTACTTATGGGCCCTGGTCAAAGTAGTGCACTACGTAGAGAATAGGCTGCCAGTTGGAACGCAACCTATGATTGGAATTCAATCTGATGGCCCTATGTGCCTTCAGCATTACCACAGGGTCTACAGGGATACAGACATCAACATCAAAGCAAATTAATGCATTTGACAGATCAATCCGTGGCTGAGGCAGCGATCCATACGTCTCAAATCCATTGGATATATAAGAGATAGGAAACTGGACAGAGGAAGACATAGGAAAAGAGATGAGAGAATATCTTCATGTAAATCAGATGGATATAGCGCATTATAAAAGGCTCATATGTGCTTATAACAAGTTATAAATCATTATACCTGCAGGACTGAAGTAAAGTGTTACCAGTAGTTTGTAGTGAAGGGAACAGGCCTTGTGAGCGGAGAGAGAGCCTGACGCTTGTTCCTGTTTTTCCCTTCCTCATTCCCATGGCCCATGTCTGTTCACAGTGCTCCGGTCGGAGAAGGAATTCCACGATGCAGCGAAGAGGAACGACACGGACAAAATGCGGGAGCTGATGAAGAAAGGGGTGGACATCAAGGCCAAAAACAAAGTGAGTGCATGTACGGGATTGGAGAGCACACACACACACACACACAAACACACACACACACACACACACACACACACACACACACACACACACACACACACACACACACACACACACACACACACACACACACAAACACACACACACACACACACACACAGTCACAGGCAAACACACACACACACACACACACACACACAGTCACAGGCAAACACACACACAGTCGTTGGCAGATACACACACACATGCACTCACTCACACACACATACATACACACATGCACACACTCACACACAATAGTTTACCACTGTCAAGTGAATACGGGTTGCTATGCTTGTTTTTCATGATAATTACTATTGTTGTGTTGAATCCTGACTGAAAGTGAATTCACAAGAATTTCAACTAATTCCACTAAAAACTTATACTAAGCTGTACTAATTCCCATTAGTAAACCACAGTGCAATATCCCAGGAAGGTTTTGATCTGACAGAGTCAATGCCAGACAGTCAGTGCCACACTGCCACTGCCAATGCTTTAGCAGCTGTAGCTTTGTTCCTGCCGTTTGTGCTTTTAAGAAAAGGAAACCAGCTTCTTGTTGTCCCAGGAAAAGGATATGACCCGGATTTCACCTCACTGTGGTGAAATAACACCCTCCAACTTGTTTATCTTGGCTAGCATGGCCCAAGGTTTCACCGCTAGGTCGTTAACTGTTTCTCACTCAATGTTTTTGCAAAAAGTTGCATAATAAATGTTTTTGGAGTTTTTTGCAGTAAAATATAGCATACAACTTATGTTTTCTTCTCTGTGTCTTGATTAACTGAATTACCCTGCAGGGATCAATAAAGTATGAAGCTGTCTCTATGTGGTTATGTGGTGGGAGTATCTTGACCTAGACTTTACATAACCTTTCAAAGATGTTACTGTGTCTGTTCGAGTGGAAAGGGAGAGAGCTTTTGTCTACCTCAAGCTTCTTCATATTGCATGCTCACGTCCATTGCAGATAAACCACCTTTCATATCTACAGTATTGTTGTGTTTTATTTCATTCAGATTCAGAACACTTTATTGTCTCACATTGGGCGATAAAAACAATATGAAAGAACAGATACACACTAAAAACACATCAAAAGGTTTCACATTCAAAGTGTTTCACATCCTCGATCTGTTCGTGTAGTTCTCTCTTCTCTACTCCATCAGTGTTCTCTTCTCTCTGTCATGTCTCTTCTGTATAACACCTTTCATTCTACATATGTTGTTTTTCTTCTTCATTCAGACTTTTGTTCTCTCTCCTCTATAAACATGTTGTTTCTCTCTCCCTCATTCCTCTATAATGTGTTTCCACTCCCCTCATCTTCATCATGTGTTTTCTCTCTCCCTCTCTCATCTCAACATGTTGTTTCTCTCTCTCTCTCATCATGTTGTTTCTCTCTCTCCCCTCTCTCTCTCCATCATGTTGTTTTCTCTCTCTCTCTCCATCATGTTGTTTCTCTCTCTCTCCTCTATAATGTTGTTTCTCTCTCTCCTCTCCATCATGTTGTTTCTCTCTCCCTCCCTCTGTCATGTTGTTTCTCTCTCCTCTCATCATGTTGTTTCTCTCTCTCCTCTCCATACATGTTGTTTCTCTCTCTCCTCTCCATCATGTTGTTTCTTCTCTCTCCTCTCCATCATGTTGTTTCTCTCTCTCTCCTCTCCATCATGTTGTTTCTCTCTCTCCTCTCTAACATGTTGTTTCTCTCTCTCTCCTCTCCATCATGTTGTTTCTCTGTCTGTCTCTCCATCATGTTGTTTCTCTGTCTGTCTCTCCATCATGTTGTTTCTCTGTCTCTCTCTCCATCATGTTGTTTCTCTCTCTCCTCTCTAACATGTTGTTTCTCTCTCTCTCCTCTCCATCAAGTTGTTTCTCTCTCTCCTCTCTGTCATATTGTTTTCCTCTCTCTCCCTCTCTCCCTATCTCATTATGTTTTCTCTCTCTCTCTTCCTCCTCTCTCTCTCGCTCTCTCTCTCTCTCTCTCTCCACAGACAGACCGTACAGCGCTGCACTGGGCGGCGGGGGCTGGGAACGAGCAGGCTCTACGTCTGTTACTAGACCATAATAATGAGATGGATGAGGAGGACAGTGTAGGTACACACTCACACTCACACACACACACACACACACACACACACTCACACACACACACTCACACACACACACACACACAACACACTCACTCACTCACTCACTCACACACACTCACTCACACACACTCTCACACACTCACACACACACACACACACACACACACACACACACTCACACTCACACTCACACACAAACACTCACACTCACACTCACACACTAACACTCACACACAGTATTTTATTGTGCTCTATGGCCTCACAAAGTTTATTGCAGTTACTCAGCCATGATGTGCATTTTCTAATGAACTGCTCATAAAATCCCACCTTTGTTTATAACCCCTTGAGACAACTCTGTCTCTGTAATGCAGTTCATTTGGGTGTACAAAGAGGTAACACAGTTAGAGACACCTTCATATTCATCAGCCTAGACATGGGGGGGTCGAAGAAATGACCTTACTCAGTTGTTCTTGTCTGGTTCTCTGCACAGACACACACAAAAGTATACACTCGCACATACACACACACTCACGCGTATGCACGCACATACACACACACACACGTACACGCACACACACGCGCACACACACACGCACGGATGCACGCACACACACACCACACACACAGCGACAGTAAACACACCCAGACCCTTTGTCTCAGGACAGTGGCATTATAATGACTGTGATGATGAATATTTCATGTCACGTCGCTCAGCCACCTGGTATAGCCTACGTCTCGGACTTCTTTGACATGTTGTACAGAAGACATGCAACTACATGTTGTACAACAAACTTCTTTGTCTGTTGTGACAGTAGCCTATTACAAACAGAAGCATGACACAGACAGGCAGTCTAAGTAGCGAATTCATGTAATTTTTTCAGGTGGGGAGTTACATGCAGCTATTTAGGCAGCTTATCAAACACAAGCAAGACACAGACAGGCAGTCTAAATAACGATTTAATGTGTTTTACCCCAATGCAATGTGTAGACTGTGTCCTGCTTCTGCTACTGCAATATCCTTAATTACAACAGACAGAGAAGGTTGTAGCTTACATCCTAAATTAGCCTACAAAATATACAGTATATATACAGTGCCTTCAGAAAGTATTCACATCCCTTTATTATTTTCCACATTTTGTTGTGTTACAGCCTGAATTTAAAATTGATTAAATTGAGATTTTGTGTCACTGGCCAACACACAATACCCCATAATGTCAAAGTGGAATTATGCTTTTAGAAATGTTTACAAATAAATAAATACATGAAAAGCTGAAATGTCTTGAGTAAATAAGTATTCAACCCCTTTGTTATGGCAAGCCTAAATAAGTTCAGGAGTAAAAATGTCCTGAAGAAGTCACATAATATATTGCATGGACTCACTCTGTGTGCAATAATAGTGTTTAACATGATTTCTGAATGACTACCTCCTCTCTGTACCCCACACATACAATTATCTATCTGTAAGGTCCCTCAGTCGAGCAGTGAATTTCAAACACAGATTTGCCTCGCAAAAAAGGGCTCCTATTGGTAGATGGGTAAAAAAAAAAGCAGACATTGAATATCCCTTTGAGCAGATACAGGCGTCCTTCATAACTCAGTTGCCGGAGAGGAAGGAAACCGCTTAGGGATTTCACCATGAGGCCAATGGTGACTTTAAAACAGTTAGAGTTTAATAGCTGTGATTGGAGAAAACTGAGGATGGATCAACAACATTGTAGTTGCTCCACAATACTAACCTAAATGACAGAGTGAAAAGAAGAAAGCCAGTACAGAATACAAATATTCCAAAACATGCATCCTGTTTGCAATGAGGCACTAAAGTAATATTGCAAAATAATTGGCAAAGTAAATTTATGTCCTGAATACAAAGTGTTATGTTTGGGGCAAATCCAACACAACACATCACTGAGTACCACTCTTCATATTTTCAAGCACGGTGGTGGTGGTGGCTGCATCATGTTATGGGCATGCTTGTCATAGGCAGGGACTAGGGAGTTTTTTAGGATAAAAAGAAACAGAATAGAGCTAAGCACAGGCAAAATCCTAGAAGACACTGGGAGACAAATTCACCTTTCAGCAGGACAATAGCCTAAAACACAAGGCCAAATATACACTGGAGTTGCTTACCAAGACGACATTGAATGTTCCTGAGTGGCCTAGTTACAGATTTCACTTAAATTGGCTTGAAAATCTATGGCAAGACTTGAAACTGGCTGTCTATCAATGATCAACAACCTACTTGACAGAGCTTGAATAATTTTTTTATAATAATGTGCAAATATTGTACAATCCAGGTGTGCGAAGCTCTTAGAGACTTACCCAGAAAGACTCACAGCTGTAATCACTGCCAAAGGTGATTCTAGCATGTATTGACTCAGGGGTGTGAATACTTCTGTAAATTAAATATTTTTGTATTTAATTTTCAATAAATTTGCAAGAATTTCTAAAAACATGTTTTCACTTTGTCATTATGGTGTATTATGTGTAGATGGGTGAGAAAAAGCAACAATTTAATCCATTTTGAATATCAGGCTGTAAAACAACAAAATGTGCAATAAGTCAAAGGGGTATGAATACTTTCTGAAGGCACTGTATATATTATGTATGAGGCAGAGATGTAAGCTACATCATCACGTAGATGAAATTGGTTGCGGGTCCAGAAGAGGGTAAGAGTAAAGTGAAGGGAGGGGGAAGGGGAGGGGGAAGGGGAGGGGTCAGCGCAGCAGCTACAGTGGCTTGCGAAAGTATTCACCCCCCTTGGCATTTTTCCTATTTTGTTGCCTTACAACCTGGAATTAAAATAGATTTTTTGGGGATTTGTATCATTTGATTTACACAACATGCCTACCACTTTGAAGATGCAAAATATTTTTTCTTGTGAATCAAACAAGAAATAAGACAAAAAAACAGAAAACTTGAGCGTGCATAACTATTCACCCACCACATGATGCTGCCACCACCATGCTTCACTGTGGGGATGGTGTTCTCGGGGTGATGAGAGGTGTTGGGTTTGTGCCAGACATAGCGTTTTCCTTGATGGCCAAAAAGCTCAAATTTAGTCTCATCTGACCAGAGTACCTTCTTCCATATTTTCCATTTTTTAGTTTGGGGAGTCTCCCACATGCCTTTTGGCGAACACCAAACGTGTTTGCTTATTTTTTTCTTTAAGCAATGGATTTTTTCTGGCCAGTCTTCCGTAAAGCCCAGCTCTGTGGAGTGTACGGCTTAAAGTGGTCCTATGGACAGATTTTCCAATCTCCGCTGTGGAGCTTTTTGCAGCTCCTTCAGGGTTATCTTTGGTCTCTTTGTTGCCTCTCTGATTAATGCCCTCCTTACCTGGTCCATGAGTTTTGTTGGGCGGCCCTCTCTTGGCAGGTTTGTTGTGGTGCCATATTCTTTCAATTTTTTTATAATGGATTTAATGGTGCTCCGTGGGATGTTCAAAGTTTCTGATATTTTTTTATAACCCAACCCTGATCTGTACTTCTCCACAACTTTGTCCCTGACCTGTTTGGAGAGCTCCTTGGTCTTCATGGTGCTGCTTGCTTGGTGGTGCCCCTTGCTTAGTGGTGTTGCAGACTCTGGGGCCTTTCAGAACAGGTGTATATATACTGAGATCATGTGACAGATCATGTGACAATTACATTGCACACAGGTGGACTTTATTAAACTAATTATGTGACTTCTGAAGGTAATTGGTTGCACCAGATCTTATTTAGGGGCTTCATAGCAAAGGGGGTGAATACATATGCACGCACCACTTTTCCGTTATGTATTTTTGAGAATTTTTAAAACAAGTTATTTTTTTCATTTCACTTCACCAATTTGGACTATTTTGTGTATGTCCATTACATGAAATCCAAATAAAAATCCATTTAAATTACCGGTTGTAATGCAACAAAATAGAAAAAACGCCAAGGGGGATGAATACTTTTGCAAGGCACTGTACTGTACTAAAAATGTGTCTGTTAAGTAACACATGCACAGAACATGATTCAGTTCTTTAGCTCTGGGGGGCGGGACGGGGGCAAAATGGGGTGGTTACCTTCGGTCGCGCTGCCTCGGCCTTAATTCTATTTCTATAATATATTGTCCCTTCTCAGTTTGGTATGAATGCTCTGCTGCTGGCAGCCTGGTTCGGTCGCCTGAAGATCCTACAGATCCTCGTGGCCGCTGGAGCAAAGCTCAACTGTGAAAACAAAGTAAGTCATTTCAATTAATTACCTGAATTGACCAAATTCAATGGAACGGATCCTAACCCTAATGATGCAAAAACGCTGATAGCACTACATCATGCAATTTCCTTAATGGTTTTTGAGGGTTTCAATTGTGTCTAATTGTAACTAGTTATAGCTTATGGAATTCAGGCAAACAATATGCTGTTTGTATTCACTCCTATTCACACACAAAAAAGCCAACTTAACCAATTGCTTAATCAGCGTTACTCTGTGAGTTGATTGGACTTCAAAAGAACAAGAGGTTGAGCTAATGTGTTAAAGTTTGTTTACTCAACAAACACTGCTCGAAGTTAGCTGAATTTGAACACGCTTGTTGAGTAAAATTTAAAAAATCATGTTTGCTCAAAACCACACCCATCATCTTTATATTTCCCAGCAGGTTGATTTTCAGAATTGTTTGTTTCAATACCTGTTTTTGCATGTACATTGATTTGTTGATTAATCTAATGCTACACAAAGATAAATAACATACAATTTTCTGAACTAATCCTATCTGTTAGTAGTTGGACTTATTGCACCAGTTACTAAGATGGCTGTTCCAGTTTAGATTATTTAGGCCTCATTAATCAAACTTCCCTACCCCGGCAGTCAATTTTGGATATCCTTACTCTGGATGGATTCCAATAAAAATTACACATCACTTTGCAAGCCAGCATAATGTGTTTTGCAGAGTTGATGTGGCCTGTAAACCAGGAGTGTCAGACCAGTGTGTTAGGGTGTAACTACCCTCAAAGAATGATACATATGATACAGTGAGTTTAATTTGAAAACATTAGGAACACCTATCTAATATTGAGTTGCACCCCATTTTACCCTCAGAACAGCCTAAATTCGTCGCGGCATGGACTCTACAAAGTGTTCCACAGGGATGATGGCCCATGTTTCCCATAGTTGTGTCAAGTTGGCTGGATGTCCATTGGGTGGTGGACCATTCTTGATATACACGGGAAATTGTTGAGTGTTAAAAACCCTGCAGCGCTGCAGTTTTTGACACAATCAAACTGGTGCGCCTGCCACCTACTACCATGCCCCGTTCAAAGGCACTTAAATATTCTGAATGGTACTCATACACAATCCATGTCTCAATTGTCTCGAGGCTTAAAAATCTTTCTTTAACCTGTCTCCTCCCCTGATTGAAGTGGATATAACAAGTGACATCAATAAGAGATCACAGCTTTCACCTGGATTCACCTGGTTAGTCTATGTCATTGAAACAGCAGTGACATAGACAGTGTTCCTAATGTTTTGTACACTCAGTGTATATTCACTTGGTGAAGGCGACAGGACTGAAAGCCATTGAATGCAACAACCATGTCTCTGTCGCTAACAAATACAGCCATGGATGGTAACTACAATTCACTCAAAGGGCACACTGGGAATATGCAAATAAGGTATAATATATTTTCAATTTGAATTGTATGTTCACTCAATCTAAAACACGCAATTCAACTTGAGAATGTATGTTGGTTCAACTAATATGCCCAAATGTTGAACAAACTAGAAATCGTATTGCATCTGGTTGCCTTGTTATTTTAAGCTGAATCAACAAATCTTTTTTTTACAGTGTGTAACAATGAACTTGCAGTTGAACTTCTGGTTAACACTTAAAGGTGCAATATGCAGTTTTGTGTGCGACCCGACCAAATTATAGATTTGTCATTCTCATTGAAACCAAGTCTGAAAAGCGGTAGTTCCTTTCTATTTGCTTCCTGTTTTGTTCCGCCCTGACTCATGGGACTCTTGTACACTGCTCAAAAAAATAAAGGGAACACTAAAATAACACATCCTAGATCTGAATGAATGAAATAATCTTATTAAATACTTTTTTCTTTACATAGTTGAATGTGCTGACAACAAAATCACACAAAAATTATCAATGGAAATCAAATTGATCAACCCATGGAGGTCTGGATTTGGCGTCACCCTCAAAATTAAAGTGGAAAACCACACTACAGGCTGATCCAACTTTGATGTAATGTCCTTAAAACAAGTCAAAATGAGGCTCAGTAGTGTGTATGGCCTCCACGTGCCTGTATGACCTCCCTACAACGCCTGGGCATGCTCCTGATGAGGTGGCGGATGGTCTCCTGAGGGATCTCCTCCCAGACCTGGACTAAAGCATCCGCCAACTCCTGGACAGTCTGTGGTGCAACGTGGCGTTGGTGGATGGAGCGAGACATGATGTCCCAGATGTGCTCAATTGGATTCAGATCTGGGGAACGGGCGGGCCAGTCCATAGCATCAATGCCTTCCTCTTGCAGGAACTGCTGACACACTCCAGCCACATGAGGTCTAGCATTGTCTTGCATTAGGAGGAACCCAGGGCCAACCGCACCAGCATATGGTCTCACAAGGGGTCTGAGGATCTCATCTCGGTACCTAATGGCAGTCAGGCTACCTCTGGCGAGCACATGGAGGGCTGTGCGGCCCCCCAAAGAAATGCCACCCCACACCATGACTGACCCACTGCCAAACCGGTCATGCTGGAGGATGTTGCAGGCAGCAGAACGTTCTCCACGGCGTCTCCAGACTCTGTCACGTCTGTCACATGTGCTCAGTGTGAACCTGCTTTCATCTGTGAAGAGCACAGGGCGCCAGTGGCGAATTTGCCAATCTTGGTGTTCTCTGGCAAATGCCAAACGTCCTGCACGGTGTTGGGCTGTAAGCACAACCCCCACGTGTATTTGTGTTTAGCCTGAGGACTTCACGTTACGTTGTTTTTGTTTTGTGTGTTTATTCTTTATAATAAACATGTATGCATTTCACGCTGCGCCTTGGTCTGACCTGTCCTTAAGCGAACGTGACATGTTTCTTGTTTTGCATCTCTTTACTTGGTTTTGTACACCAGCTTCAAACAGCTGAAAATACAATGTTTTATTTATTTTTATTTTTTAAACAGGGAGTCACCATTGAGACCGGGTCTCTTTCACAAGGGAGCCCTGCATATACAATTCATAAGATGAAATCGAATCAAAATCAGATCCAGTGTAAAACAAACTAAAATACATCACAACACAAATATTCAAGAAAAACTGTTACATTCCTCAGTATGAAGGTCCCCAGTCAATATTTTCAATTGCCCGAGCGGCATCAGAACATCCTATTGTAATGTATTTTGTAGTTGAGTGAGGTGCTTTAAACTAAAAGCGGATTTACCTAGTTCGGTGGAGACCCGAGGAACCTCAAAAGTTAACCAACCCTGTGAACGGGTTTGGTATCTCATGTTTTTATACTTTAACAACAAAGTTAGGTAAGTTGGAAGCTTGTGTTTGTCACGATCGTGTGAAGGATGAGACCAACGCGCAGCGTGTTGAGTGAACATCGTAGACTTTATTAAGTTAAAGCACGACAAAACAATAAACCACGATCAATGAAGTTCCACGGTGCACTCACCGTAACGGAAACAAAAACCCACAACCCCACAGGAAAACATACAGAAATAAATATGGCTCCCAATCAGAGATAACGAGCCGAACAGCTGACACTCGTTACCTCCGATTGGGAGTCATTGAACAAACCTAGAAAAACAACAACCTAGACACCCAACATAGAACACAAACACATAGACTGCACACACCCTGGATAAACAATAATGAGTCCCAACACCAGGGTGTGACAGTACCCCCCCCTAAAGGCGCGCACTCCGGGCGCACCAGCATACCGTCTAGGGGAGGGTCTGGGTGGGCGTCTGTCCAGGTGGCGGCTCTGGCCCAGGTCGTGGTCCCCACCCCACCATAGTCATTACCCACTTACTTAGCCTCCTACACATTACCACCCCCCAACTACACCCCACTGGGTTAAGGGGCGGCACCGGACTAAGGGGCAGCACCGGACTAAGGACCAGCACCGGGATAAGGGGCAGCACCGGGCTAAGGGGCAGCACCGGGCTAAGGGGCAGCACCGGGCTAAGGACCAGCACCGGACTAAGGACCAGCACCAGGCTAAGGAACAGTACCTGACTAAGTGGCAGCACCGGACTGAGGGGCAGCTCCGGACTGAATGGCCGATCCTGGCTGGCTGGCTCTGGCGGATCCTGCTGCTCATGGCTGGCTGACGGATCTGGCTGCTCATGGCAGGCGGAAGGCTCTGGCTGATCCCGTCTGGCGGAAGGCTCTGGCTGATCCGGTCTGACGGAAGGCTCTGGCTGCTCCTGTCTGGCGGAAGGCTCTGGCTGCTCCTGTCTGACAGAAGGCTCTGGCTGATCCTGTCTGGCGGAAGGCTCTGGCTTATCCTGTCTGGCGGAAGGCTCTGGCTGATCCTGTCTGGCGGAAGGCTCTGGCTGATCCTGTCTGGCGGAGAGCTCTAGCGGCTCCGATCTGGCGGACGGCTCTGAAGGCTCATGGCAGACGGGCGGCTTTGTTAGGCTCTGTACAGACGGGTAGTTCATACGGCGTTGGGCAGACGGACAGTTCAGACGGCGTTGGGCCGACAGGCAGTTCAGGCGCCGTTGGGCAGACGGGCAGTTCAGGCGCCGTTGGGCAGACGGGCAGTTCAGACGGCGTTTGGGCAGACGGGCAGTTCAGAACCCCGTTGGGCAGACGGACAGTTCAGGCCCCGTTGGACAGACGGCAGACTCTGGCCGTCTGAGGCGGCACCGTAGGCCTGTTGCGTGGTGCCGGAACTGGAGGTACCGGGCTGAGGACACGCATCTCAGGGCTAGTGCGGGGAGTCGGAACAGGGCATGCTGGACCCGGGGGACTCCCATAACGCCTAGTGCGGGGAGCCGGAACAGGGCATGCTGGACCCTGGGGACTCACCTCACGCCTAGTGCGGAGAGCAGGAACAGGCCCGGGCTGGGCTGGCGACGCGCACCGTATCCCTGGTGCGAGTGGCCGGAACAGGCCGGGCCGGGCTGGCGAAGCGCACCGTATCCCAGGTGGCGTGGAGTAGGAACAGGCCGGTCCATACCGGGAACACACACCACTGGCCTCAACCGAGGATCAGGAACGGGCCGGACCGAACTGGTTACACACCCCAGTACCTCCACGCCGTGCCTCAACACCTTCCCTCTCTGCTTTACCCAGTAGCCCCCCTTGACCTGGTAGCCCACTGAATCCTACCCTTCTCTGCCTCCGTCAGCCCCCTTAACCTGGCCGCCTTCTGACTCTCCCTTGTGGCAGCCTCCTGCTGCTTCCGTCGCCCAAGCCAGTGCCCCCCCCCAAAAACTTTTTGGGGTTGCCTCTCCTTCATCCGACGATGGCCCTTTTGACGCCGTTGCTCCTCTTGCCGTCGCCTCTCCTCTGTCTCGCTCCATGGACGGTGATCCATGCCGTCAAGGATTTCCTCCCACGTCCAGGACCCTTTACCGTCCAAAAGCTCTTCCCAGGTCCAGACCCTCGGCTCCTGGACACGCTGCTTGGTCTTGGTATGGTGGGTTTTTCTGTCACGATCGTGTGAAGGATGAGACCAACGCGCAGCGTGTTGAGTGAACATCGTAGACTTTATTAAGTTAAAGCACGACAAAACAATAAACCACGATCAATGAAGTTCCACGGTGCACTCACCGTAACGGAAACAAAAACCCACAACCCCACAGGAAAACATACAGAAATAAATATGGCTCCCAATCAGAGATAACGAGCCGAACAGCTGACACTCGTTACCTCCGATTGGGAGTCATTGAACAAACCTAGAAAAACAACAACCTAGACACCCAACATAGAACACAAACACATAGACTGCACACACCCTGGATAAACAATAATGAGTCCCAACACCAGGGTGTGACAGTGTTGGAAAGCTTTGTAAACAAAAAGGGAGTAATGAAGTGATCTATGGGACTTTAATGAGGACCAGCCAACCTTTTGATACAGGATGCAGTGATGAGTATTAAAACTGTCACCTGTGATAAAGCAAAGGGTGCTATGGTAGACAGCATCCACAGGTTTAAGAGTAGTGGCTGCTGCATTCTGGTAAATGGTGTCTCCATAGTCCAGAACTGGCAAGAAAGTTGACTGTACAATCTGCTTGTTTTGTCACGCAAACTGAATTTAGGCAAACATTTTAGATTTTTTGCAACCAGGCAATGACGGAGCAATTTCTGCATGTTGGACCTTTAAAGCTTGCAAACATAATGATCTATAACTTATTTAATTTGTCTTATTATAATAATTGACTGACTTACTTGACTTAAGCCCTTGGCTCCTATGAGGAGAATAGGCCATTGACGAATGTCCTCCATCTCACTTGGTTCGGGGCAAGTTTTTCCCGATCACACCAGTCGAGGCCACTTTCAGTCACTTCTGTCTTATAATTTAGTTTTGTATTATAATAAGACTTCAAATATGTTATGTATCCATCTCTCTGTCAGAATGGGCTGAGCCTGCTGCACTGTGCCGCCCAGCGGGGTCATAGCAGAGTGCTGGAGTTCATCATGGAGGACCTAGTAGAGGACGTACTGCTGGACAGGGTGGACAAGGTGACTGCCCCACACCACATGACCTGTTCTTTACTAGCACGTTTTCTGCACTTTCCCAGTTCTTTCAAAGACCTTTCTTAGCAAATTCCTTGAACTTCTTGGATTTTCCTAGGATTGCTTTCCTTTCCCAGGACTTTCCCAGTACTGTCCTTGGGCTTTACAGGATTTACAAGGAAAATTGATGATGACACAATGAAATAAATCTTGTTTACTTTAAGAATTTGATTAATGCAGTGTCTCCACCGTCTGTGCACAATAGATACCTTGAGGGTTTACTATGCTATCTATTATTTGTACTGTGCCATGTTTAGATGTATTTACTACTTGTAGTTAAGGATGTCAAACTTGCCCGTAGCATATTGGCTGGAGTACATCAGTGACATCACTTTCCCTGGAAAAAAAAGAAGAAAAGCCAACTGTCGCTTACAGAGTGACAGACTAGTCCCTTGCTCTGCTGGCTAAAACGGTTGGCTTGTGTGTTTGCAGGAGGTTGTGAGTTGGAGCCCTGCTTGGGGCAGAACAGAAGGCTCTCTGTTTTTCCAAACGTTCTACATCCTGTCATTACTTTCATACTGCCATTTTGTCATTACTGTCATACTATAATTTGGTCATACAGTCATGTGTCATTCTGTGATAGTGTCATTTGGTCATACTGTGATGTTGTCATTACTGTCATTACTGTTATTGTCTTCTTATTGTTAATCCCTCACTCCCTGTCTTACTGTCAGTCTGGGAAGACAGCGTTTCACCTGGCTGCAGAACATGGACAACTAGAGGTGGTCGAGTTCCTCATCGGTATGGGCTGCACTCATGGCCTCAAGGATAAGGTAGGTTCAGACATTGACACAAGTGCACACACACACCCACACAGACACTCACCCACACACACACATGCACACACACACACACACACACACACACAAACACACACTTATAGGCGAAAACATGATTAGGCTAGTGTTACAATAGCGAGAGAGTAAACATGAACTTTAATCACCTTTGGAAAACATGTTCACATTTCTTTTCAAGTGTGTGTGTGTGTGTGTGTGTGTGTGTAACTAAGATGTTATCATGTAAATATAACATGATGTCCTTGATGTGTTTTTATATGTCGTGTAGGATGAAAACATGGCCATGCATCTAGCAGCCAAGCACGGACACAAAGAGGTCCTGCAGAAGATAGTGGAGACAGGAGTGGACATTGACGAGAGAAACATAGTGAGTAAAGAACATATTGTCACTGTGGTGTGGTGTAGGGTTCAAAGCAGCCCAGAAACTATATTTTATATTCCATACATTTTAGCTGTCGGGGTTCCTGCTTCACTTCATAGGGGTAATGTGGAGAGAAAAAAGTTTACTATTAATTTATGTTTTGCTTTTAAACCTTTATTTTGCCAGGAAATAACAAATTCTATTTTACTATAATAACAACTAGGGTTAGTGCTACTTGTTGTATTTTATATTGTTGATTATTCCCTATTCTGTTGATAGAATGTAAAGCTGATGGAGGCCTGTAGTGACATGATATGTGGTTCTCCAGGACGGACTGACAGCTCTGCACCTGTCCTCTGATGGAGGTCACTATGAATGTGTCAAGCTACTGCTGGAAGCCTGCTGTAACGTCAATGCGCTGACAAACGTAAGGGTCAACTTTTCAATTAACTATAACTTGTAGGCTTTATAGAGCATTCATCTATACTGTATATTCATATAGCTGTAAACGTATGGACAGAGGACCACATAGAAGCGGGTGCTTCCTATGCACTGACTGGGACATTCTCTTCCAAGACAATGATGTTAAAACTCTTGCTGAGACAAGTGTTGATGATTATGAATAATCTCTAAAGCATCTACTTGTCACGACTTCCTCCGAAGCTGCCTCCTCTCCTTGTTCGGGCAGGCTTCGGCGTTCGTCGTCACCAGCCTTCTAGCCACTGCCGCTCCTCATCTCATCATTCCATTTGTTTTGTCTTGTTTATTACACACACCTGGTTCATATCCCCTCATCAGTACCTGTATAAGTATTCCCTCTGCCCCCTTGTCTTTGTGTGTGATTGTTGATTGTGGAGGTTAGATTAGCTCGGTGGAGCTCTTTGTATTTTGTATCGCCGGGATATTTCACCCGTGTGCCTTGTTGTTTCCCAGTGCTCCTGATTTCCGCACTGGAATGTTTGACGCATTGCTGCGTACCGCTGTGTTTTCGGAATAAACCTTATATTCTGTGATTTACCCTCCTGCGCCTGACTCCTTCAAAATCCCTCACCACACTACTGAACAATAAATTAACTCAACATGCAACAATTTGAACTATTTTACTGAGTTACAGTTCATATAAGGAAATCAGTCAATTGAAATCAATTAATTTGGCCCTAATCTATGGATTTCACATGACTTGGCAGGGGCGCAGCCATGGGTGAGCCTGGGAGGGCATAGGCCAACCCACTTGGGAGCCAGGCCCAGCAAATCAGAATGAGTTTTTCCCCACAAGGTATTTATTACAGACAGAAATACTCCTCAGTTTCATCAGCAGTCTGGGTGGCTGTTCTCAGACGATCCCGCAGGTGAAGAAGCCGGATGTGGAGGTCCTGGGCTGGCGTGGTTACACATGGTCTGTAGTTGTGAGGCTGGTTTGACGTACTGCCAAATTCTCTAAAACAACGTTGGAGGTGGCTTATGGTAGAGAAAGGAACATAAAATATCTGGCAACAGCTCTGGTGGACATTCTTGCAGTCAACATGCCAATTGCACGCTCCTTCAAAACTTGAGACATCTGTGGCATTCTGTTGTGTGACAAAACTGCACATTTTAGAATGGCCTTTTATTGTCCCCATCACAAGGTGCACCTGTATAATGATCATGTTGTTTAATCAGCTTATTGATATGCCACACCTGTCAGGTGGATGGATTATCTTGGCAAAGGAGAAATGCTCACTAACAGGGATGTAAACAAATGTGTGCACAACATTTGAGAGAAATAAGCTTTTTGTGTGTATGGAACATTTCGGGGAGCTTCATTTCAGCTCATGAAACATGGGACCAACACTTCACATGTTGCGTTTATATTTTTGTTCAGTATAGATATGCCTTATAAAGGGTTTATAAATGCATTGTTACAACTTTAAAATTGTAATTCATTTAAAGTGGGACCCGATTATCAGATTTACATTGAAGACTGAATCTGATATGGGTAGATAGATAGATAATTGGGTAGCTAGATAATAATTGATCATATTTCTATAGCACTTTTCATTACAGGTTTAATGTCAAAGTGCCACCTAATGTGTGAGACTGAGAGGTACGTTAGTGAGTCTGAACTGTGACCTGTCCCACTATGTTGTTGTCTGTGCAGAATAATATGAATGCCCTCCACTACGTGGCCCAGCATGGCTTTGAGAGAGAGGCCAGTCTGCTGCTGGAGGCAGGCATCAACACAGACACTGTGGATGGCGTGAGTACGCAAGCCAACCTTCAACCATACAGACTACACTAGTTTGTGCATCGGTTAGCTCCTCTTTAGGAATAATGGGTAGCACTTATTAGAACTTGGTTAGCTCCACGTTAGGAATAATGGGTAGCATTTAATGCAACTTGGTTAGCTCCTCTTTCAAATGACAATAGTGAACAGCCAGGTGTTTTAGTTAAGCCCAACAGCTCAGAATACACCAGTAGGGTTCAGCATCTGCACCATGTCCTCTTCTACACTTTTTCCAACTCAGAGAATTGGTGCCATATTTGTTTGTTTAATTCAGTGTATGTCCTATATTAACGTTTTCCCTTTTCAGTAAAAGTGTTTTTTCTTTCTTTGTGGGCAGTCCTACTCCTCTGATATGTTTGTTGTAATGGATAGAGAGAGTCAATAAAAAGGTGTTCTGAAATAATGGTGGGTTAGTTTTAAACCCATTCTGCAGCAGTATTGTCCTGGAGGCAGCGGCTTCGACCGCCAGATCACCCCAAGACACTAAATGTGTTTTTTCAGTGCCTCAGTGCAGAATAGGTTCTCTCTATAGATATTTGATTTAGTGTGTGTCTGAAACAGGACCACAATCTACAGTACAACAGGCCTTTTCCTTCCACGTACCACTAATCAAAAGAGACCCATCGCACTCTCCCAGAAGCTTGGCTGGTGCGTAAAACCCGCAAATTCAGACAAACAAAAAGGTGTAATGGGTTCGCACTGAAGAAGGCTGTAAAGCCTGAAACGTTTGTGTATGCTATCCCTGATGCAGTGAAAATTATAAAAAATATTGAGTAATGAAGTAAGCTTTATGCACCATCTTTTTGAGTGCGAACCCATTACACCTCTTTGTTCCTCCCATGTACCACTCCTTTGGAACTCCCTCACTGACAATCTCAGAGCTGCTCAGAATGTTGGTGCATTTAAAGCAAGCCTTAAGAATCATCTCTATCAGCTGGACTAGCCTCGTTCCTAAAGCAGGCACCTTAAGAGTCCTCCTATCAGCTTGACTCGCCTCGTTCCTAAAGCAGGCCTTAAGAATCATCTCTATCAGCTGGACTAGCCTCGGACTAGCCTCGTTCCTAAAGCAGGCCTTAAGAGTCATCTCTATCAGCTGGACTAGCCTCGTTCCTAAAGCAGGCCTTAAGAGTCATCTCTATCGAGCTGGACTAGCCTCGTTCCTAAAGCTGGCCTTAAGACCATCTCTATCGGCTGGACTAGCCTCGTTCCTAGATTCCTATTGTTGTTTTCATGATATTGTTATATATTTTTTAAATGTCTTGTTCGTTATATTTAAAAATATATATATTTTACTGTATTTCCTAGTTTATATTTTATTTTATGCACTTTGAGATAATTCTTGCATAATGAAAAGCACTTTACAAATGTAATACATTATTATTATTATTTACGTGGCATCTGTTGTATGTGGTAACCATCAATGTGTTTCTAATTTTACCTTGTGTTTTGAACAGCAACACACATCCCCTCTTCACATCGCCGTGCTCAACAATCACACAGAGGTAGTACGGCTGCTAATAGACGCTGAATGTGACCTGGACATATCTGACAATGTGAGTAATGTTTCCACTCTCTATGGGCGTTACGTAATCACCTTACTGTATGTAAACATTCTATGCAATGCATTCAATGATTTGTTAGGCCAACGGTGCATCGTGTACCTTAAAGTGTCTGTATCGATTGTGAGTCATCGTGTTGCGTGATAACCCATCATGAGTTGGCTGTGATCTGTGTTTGACGTTGTTTACATTAGCACTGAGGTAAAGGCCACAGAACAGTAGGCTCCTGTACAGTGATAAGGGCCTGGTCCAGCCTCTGTTGGCTTTAGTTTAAGGGTACGCTGATAGCAGAAACTACTGTCTGCAAGTCTGAGTAGTCAGCTGATAGGGTCTGAACACTTTACTGTATCATAAAACTTGTAACACTTTACTGCCATAACACTTGTAACACTCCAGTATACTGCCGTAACACTTGTAACACTCCAGTATACTGCCGTAACACTTGTAACACTCCAGTATACTGATGTAACACTCCAGTATACTGCTGTAACACTTATAACACTCCAGTATACTGCCGTAACACTTGTAACACTTGTAACACTCCAGTATACTGCCGTAACACTTGTAACACTCCAGTATACTGCCATAACACTTGTAACACTCCAGTATACTGCCGTAACACTTGTAACACTCCAGTATAGTGATGTAACACTCCAGTATACTGCTGTAACACTTGTAACACTCCAGTATACTGCCATAACACTTGTAACACTACAGTATAATGCCATAACACTTGTAACACTACAGTATAACTGCCATAACACTTGTAACACTACAGTATACTGCCATAACACTTGTAACACTACAGTATACTGCCATAACACTTGTAACACTACAGTATACTGCCGTAACACTTGTAACACTCCAGTATATGCCATAAACTTGTAACCACTACAGTAACTGCCGTAACACTTTAACCTACAGTATACTGCCATAACACTTGTAACACTACAGTAACGGGCCAATAAACATTTGGGTAACAACTACAGTATACTGCCATAACACTTGTAACACCTCCATATACTGCCGAACACTTGAAACACTCCAGTATACTGCCGTACACTTGTAACACTCCAGTATACTGATGTAACACTCCAGTATCCTGCTGAAACCTTATAACACTCCAGTATACTGCCGTAACACTTGTAACACTTTTAACACTCCATTTATCTGCCGTAACACTTGTACACTCCATATACTGCCATAACACTTGTAAACACTCCAGTATACTGCCGTAACACTTTAACACTCCAGTATACTGATGTAACACCCAGTATACTGCTGTAACACTTGTAACACTCCATTATACTGCCATAAACACTTGTAAACTACAGTATAATGCCATAACCTTGTAACACTACAGAAACTGCCATAAACACTTGTAACACTACAGTATACTGCCAAAAACACTTGTAACACTACAGTATACTGCCGTAACACTTGTAACACTCCAGTAATCGCCATAAACACTTGTAACACTACAGTATACTGCCGTAACATTTTGTAACACTACAGTATACTGCCATAACACTTGTAACCTACAGTAAACTGCCATAACACTTGTAACACTACAGTATACTGCCATAACACTTGTAACACTCCAGTTAACTGCCGAAAAAACTTGTAACACTCCATTATCTGCCATAACACTTGTAACACTACAGTATACTGCCATAACACTTGTAACACTCCAGTATACTGCCATAACACTTGTAACACTACAGTATACTGCCATAACACTTGTAACACTACAGTATACTGCCATAACACTTGTAACACTACAGTATACTGCCATAACACTTGTAACACTACAGTATACTGCCATAACACTTGTAACACAAACAGTAACTGCCATAACACTTTAACACTACAGTATACTGCCATAACACTTGTAACACTACAGTATACTGCCATAACACTTGTAACACTACAGTATACTGCGTAACACTTGTAACACTACAGTATACTGCCGTAACACTTGTAACACTACAGTGTCGTGACGTGACTTTAAACATTAATCTGAGGACTGTAATCTCTAATTAACTAACTATGTTTAATTGTTACCCGATTTAAATTATAATGTAACAATTAACTCATTAGCATTTGGGGCACCATGGGAGCAGCTGTTTAAAGAGTTACCATCTCCCGAATTAAACTCTAAAAGGTCTCTACCTATCACATCAATAAACAGTCAACTTATTAATGATAACCTCGTATCATATCATCATTCTGAACGTCGTTGTCACACCCTGGCTCTGAGACTCTATATGTTGAGCCAGGGTGTGTTCATTCTATGTGTTGTATTTCTTTGTTGGGAGTTCTAGTGTGTTTATTTCTATGTTGGCCTGAGTGACTCCCAATCAGAGGCAACGAGTGTCAGCTGTGGCTGGTTGTCTCTGATTGGGAGCCATATTTAAACTGTCGGTTTTTCCCTTTGTGTTTGTGGGTTCTTGTTCCAGTTGGTTTTGTGTTTTGTACCGTGGACTTCACGAGTCGTTTGTTGTTTTGTTTACTGTCCGTGTTTATCGCTAAGGATAAATAAACATGTTCGTTCATCACGCTGCGCCTTGGTCTACTTCCTACGACGATCGTGACAGAAGAACCCACCATCACAGGACCAAGCAGCGTGTCCAGGAGCAGGCAGCCTGGACGTGGGAGCAGATCTTAGACGGGCAGGGGTCCTGGACCTGGGAGGAAATCCTGGCCGGGATGGATCGCCGGCCATGGAGTGAGACAGTAGAGAGGCGACGAAGAGAGGAGCAACGGCGTGATCAGTGTCGTCGTCGGGCTGACGAGAGGCAACCCCAAACATTTTTTAGGGGGGGGGCACAGGGCATGGACGACGGGGCTGACGGAGGCAGAAAAGGGCCGTATTCAGAAGGCCACCAGGTTACGGGGGCCACTGGTCAAAGTAGGGAAAGAAGGTTTAGAGGCACGGCGAGAGGTACTGGGGTGTGTTACCAGTCCGGTCCGGCCCGTTCCAGATCCCGGGGTAGAGCCAGTGGTGTGTGTCCCCAGTACGGTCCGGCCTGTTACGGCCCCTCGCACCAAATGTACGGTGCGCGTCGCCAGCCCGGTCCGGCCTGTTACGGCCCCTCGCACCAAATGTACGGTGCGCGTCGCCAGCCCGGTCCGGCCTGTTCCTGCCTCTCGCACCAAGCCTACGGTGTGCGTCGCCAGCCCGGTCCGGCCTGTTCCTGCCCCTCGCACCAAGCCTACGGTGTGCGTCGCCAGCCCGGCCCGGCCTGTTCCTGCCACTCGCACCAAGCCTACGGTGCGCGTCGCCAGCCCGGCCCGGCCTGTTCCTGCCACTCGCACCAAGCCTACGGTGCGCGTCGCCAGCCCGGCCCGGCCTGTTCCTGCCACTCGCACCAAGCCTACGGTGCGCGTCGCCAGCCCGGCCCGGCCTGTTCCTGCCACTCGCACCAAGCCAGGGGTGCGAGTCGTCAGCCTGGTCCAGCCTGTTCCTGCCACTCGCACCAAGCCAGGGGTGCGAGTCGTCAGCCTGGTCCAGCCCGTTCCTGCTACTCGCACCAAGCCAGGGGTGCGAGTCGTCAGCCTGGTAAAGCCCGTTGCTGCTCCACGCACCAAGCCAGGGGTGCGAGTCGTCAGCCCGGTAAAGCCCGTTCCGGCTCCACGCACCAAGACAGGGGTGCGCATCGTCAGCCCGGTCCGGCCCGTTGCTGCTCCACGCACCAAGCCAGGGGTGCGAGTCGTCAGTCCGGTGAGGCCCGTTCCGGCTCCACGCACCAAGCCAGGGGTGCGCATCGTCAGCCCGGTCCGGTCCGTTCCTGCTCCACGCACCAAGCCAGGGGTGTGAGTCGTCAGTCCGGTGAGGCCCGTTCCGGCTCTACGCACCAAGCCAGGGGTGCGTATCGTCAGCCCGGTCCGGTCCGTTCCTGCTCCACGCACCAAGCCAGGGGTGCGTATCGTCAGCCCGGTCCGGCCCGTTGCTGCTCCACGCACCAAGCCAGGGGTGCGCATCGTCAGCCCGGTCTGGTCCGTTCGTGCCTCACGTCGTCAGTCCGGCACAACCAGTGCCTGGGTCACCGGTGCCTAATCAGGTACCGCTCAACTGCTCCACAACGGAGCTGAAGCTAACCGCTCCTGCTACGTCCAGTTCAGCTCCAGCCAGCGGGGCCAGACCGGACCAGGGGCGCTATGGGGGGAGTATTGGAGGGTGGTGGGCAAGCCCGGAGCCAGAACCGCCGCCGAGGAGGAATGCCCACCCAGCCCTCCCCTGTTTTGCTCTAGTTGAGGCGCGGTCGCAGTCCGCGCCTTTAGGGGGGGGTACTGTCACACCCTGGCTCTGGGACTCTATATGTTGAGCCAGGGTGTGTTCATTCTATGTGTTGTATTTCTTTGTTGGGAGTTCTAGTGTGTTTATTTCTATGTTGGCCTGAGTGACTCCCAATCAGAGGCAACGAGTGTCAGCTGTGGCTGGTTGTCTCTGATTGGGAGCCATATTTAAACTGTCGGTTTTTCCCTTTGTGTTTGTGGGTTCTTGTTCCAGTTGGTTTTGTGTTTTGTACCGTGGACTTCACGAGTCGTTTGTTGTTTTGTTTACTGTCCGTGTTTATCGCTAAGGATAAATAAACATGTTCGTTCATCACGCTGCGCCTTGGTCTACTTCCTACGACGATCGTGACAGTCGTATCCTCCTTGCATCTGCAAAAACCCGAGCCTTACTTATGATTCAGTGCTACACAAATTAGTTTAATTATTTATTTACTAGCTAACTAAATAATAACACAGGATAAACACACACACGGTATAGGTTATTGACTAGAAACTTAATACGATGGAAACAGGTCCCTAGCGGACTGACACAATATGATGGCTTGTTACAAAAGAGATGGGGGGGGCAGAGAGGGACAGAGACATAATACTTTGGTACATTTAGAAACGACTCTCACAGTAATCATATATTTTGCACACGAACCGCCGCCCATTTGGAGTAAGAAATCATGAATGTATTTACGTGTAAATGTCTTGGTTTTTTGTGTATTTCTGTCGGAACCAGGCCTTCTTGGAAAGGGGGTTGGTTGGGCCTTTCTGCGGCACGCTTGTAAGGCTGTGATTGTCCACAAGGGGTCACAATGTCCTTCTTCTTAGTTGTCCGGTCTCCAATGACTTGTCATGTAGTCCTGAACAGAACTACAGAATTGATTCTACATCCATTCACTCTGGAAGATTATTCTTTGAAAATAGGCTAGCCAGCCGTGTCGATGGTCCCCAGTGGGGTGATGAGAGTAGTGTAGTATACGATGGTTTGAAGAGAGTAGTAGAATGGTCCCACTTAAATTCGCTTTTCTAGATACTTTGCTCAGGACAGCTAATCAGCCGTACCAGTGATTATCAGGGAGGGGAGTTTTCTTCTCCACCTCGTGTTACAATTCAGAGTTCGAACCACTTTAGACGTGAGCTGCAGCTCGATGTCTTTCTGGTCTGCTTGTTAATTTCTTTACCAAACCTTAATGCACTCTGGTCGAAATGGCCGGTTCAGTCAGGCTGACACTCTCTCTGACCTCACTCATGGCATGGCTACTAAAAATCACATTCCTATCTTAACAAAAATACTTTTCTAATTTTTCATATTTAATTCACAACACATTGGATGGACACTTCACACATATAGTGTGCATACTTTTCAAGTTACAGTATTTCCTCTATAACATTTTTAATGACATCACAAAATAACAACAATATGACATTAGTTTTCTATAGACCGCCTCTGACCATTCCCCACGTATTCTGTTAGGAATATTGTTCCAGTATTCAGCATGTTAAAGTTTCAGCGGGGAAAGTGTCTGGAGACAAAGCACATTCATTTATGACCCTGGATCTCCTCTGTTTGATTTACAACAGATGTCAAAACCCCCCTAACCAATTTCCTCCACCCCCCCTCTTATGTATAACATGACTGTCTATGTTGCACATTTTGTGTTGCACACTATGCCTTATAACCACATAATTATGTTCATACCTGTCAGCCTTCATAAAATTGCTTGTTACTGATCATTTTCTATTTTTCTTTCTCTCTTTCTCTGTCTCACTCTCTCGTTCTCTCTTTCTTTCTTTCTCCCTCTCTCTTTCTCCCCCTCCCCCCCTTTCCTCTCTCCCTCCCTCCTTACAGAGGCTCCAGACAGCCCTGCACATCACAGCAGAGCATGGCAGACAGGATGTCGCTGAAATGATCCTCCTAGCTGGGGTTAACCTCAAACTACTGGATAAGGTATTTGATTTCAAATCAAATTTCAAATTGTATTTGTCACATACGCCGAATACAACAGGTGTAGACCTTACAGTGAAAAGCTTACTTACAAGCCCTTAACCAACAATGCAGTTTTAAGAAAGAATACCAAAAATAATCACCAAAAATACAATATAAAATAATACGAAATAAAAGTAACAAATAATTAAAGAGCAGCAGTAAAAATAACAATAGCGAGGCTATATACAGTGAGGGAGAAAAGTATTTGATCCCCTGCTGATTTTGTACGTTTTCCCACTAACAAAGAAATGATCAGTCTATAATTTTAATGGTAGGTTTATTTGAACAGTGAGAGACAGAATAACAACAAAATAATCCAGAAAAAACGCATGTCAAAAATTTTATAAATTGATTTGCCTTTTAATGAGGGAAATAAGTATTTGACCCCCTCTCAATCAGAAAGATTTCTGGCTCCCAGGTGTCTTTTATACAGGTAACGAGTTGAGATTAGGAGCACACTCATAAAGGGAGTGTTCCTAATCTCAGCTTGTTACCTGTATAAAAGACACCTGTCCACAGAAGCAATCAATCAATCAGATTCCAAACTCTCCACCATGGCCAAGACAAAAGAGCTCTCCAAGGATGTCAGGGACAAGATTGTAGACCTACACAAGGCTGGAATGGGCTACAAGACCATCGCCAAGCAGCTTGGTGAGAAGGTGACAACAGTTGGTGCGATTATTCGCAAATGGAAGAAACACAAAATAACTGTCAATCTCCCTCGGCCTGGGGCTCCATGCAAGATCTCACCTCGTGGAGTTGCAATGATCATGAGAACGGTGAGGAATCAGCCCAGAACTACACATGAGGATCTTATCAATGATCTCAAGGCAGCTGGGACCATAGTCACCAAGAAAACAATTGGTAACACACTACGCCGTGAAGGACTGAAATCCTGCAGCGCCCGCAAGGTCCCCCTGCTCAAGAAAGCACATATACAGGGCCGTCTGAAGTTTGCCAATGAACATCTGAATGATTCAGAGGAGAACTGGGTGAAAGTGTTGTGGTCAGATGAGACCAAAATCGAGCTCTTTGGCATCAACTCAACTTGCCGTGTTTGGAGGAGGAGGAATGCTGCCTATGACCCCAAGAACGCCATCCCCACCGTCAAACATGGAGGTGGAAACATTATGCTTTGGGGGTGTTTTTCTGCTAAGGGGACAGGACAACTTAACCGCATCAAAGGGACGATGGACGGGGCCATGTACCGTCAAATCCTGGGTGAGAACCTCCTTCCCTCAGCCAGGGCATTGAAAATGGGTCGTGGATGGGTATTCCAGCATGACAATGACCCAAAACACACGACCAAGGCAACAAAGGAGTGGCTCAAGAAGAAGCACATTAAGGTCCTGGAGTGGCCTAGCCAGTCTCCAGACCTTAATCCCATAGAAAATCTGTGGAGGGAGCTGAAGGTTCGAGTTGCCAAACGTCAGCCTCGAAACCTTAATGACTTGGAGAAGATCTGCAAAGAGGAGTGGAACAAAATCCCTCCTGAGATGTGTGCAAACCTGGTGGCCAACTACAAGAAACGTCTGACCTCTGTGATTGCCAACAAGGGTTTTGCCACCAAGTACTAAGTCATGTTTTGCAGAGGGGTCAAATACTTATTTCCCTCATTAAAATGAGGATCTGAGGACCCATGCCAAATCTTTTCAGTCTCCTGAGGGGGAATAGGTTTTGTCGTGCCCCCTTCACGACTGTCTTGGTGTGCTTGGACCATGTTAGTTTGTTGGTGATGTGGACACCAAGGAACTTGAAGCTCTCAACCTGCTCCACTACAGCCCTGTTGATGAGAATGGGGGTGTGCTCGGGTCGTCTTCTTTTTCCTGTAGTCCACAATCATCTCCTTTGTCTTGATCACGTTGAGGGAGAGGTTGTTATCCTGGCACCACACGGCCAGGTCTCTGACCTCCTCCCTATAGGCTGTCTCGTCGTTGTCGGTGATCAGGCCTACCACTGTTGTGTCAATGGCAAACTTAATGATGGTGTTGGAGTCGTGCCTGGCCATGCATTCATGAGTGAACAAGGAGTACAGGAGGGGACTGAGCACGCACCCCTGCTCAGTCCCCTCCATCTAATTTTAAAGGGTAATTCATTTTTTTCAAGTTTGATCTTGTTTTTTATTTACCTTTAGAAGTGAAGCGATCCATTAAAACATGGCGGAGCAAACATGAACGCCGGTGTGTGGGAGTTGTAATGGATTGTTAATAAGGTCTGCAAGCGTTTTCTTTTATAAAATGTTTTGGGATAAAAACCTTGAAATGTTTTTTCCAATGTGGTTGGACAACTCATTAAGGGTATCAATCACTGAAGATATGGTATCTAAATGGTATCAATGCAGATAAAGTGTTCCACTTACAGTCACACTTGCAATAAAGATTAGATAAGGTCAACTTTATTTTCCTTGAGGGTAAAATTGCATTAGACACAATGTTGTGTATTAAAATAACTAATCTCAAACATTTAACATCAGTCTTCCCAACACACTTAAACACACTTTCTAAGAAAGCTTCTATGTTCAAATCGCATCAGTCTGGCACAGCAGACGCTTCCTCCTGCGTGCAAGTGCCCTGAGACTAGGTTAACATCTCATGGGCTCTAATTCCTTTGCAGCTTGTGTAGTATGGGACCAGCCAGTGTCTCACTGGTTTAATGAAATCATTTCACCTTATTCCCCTTAGTGTGTGTTAAAGGGCTCAAGCATTTTTTTATGCCAATCTGAAGACTATGCCAGGATCCTGTTAATCAGGGCACATCAGAGAAAAACATTTTGCAACAGAAAACAATAACAAGCATTTGTTATTGGACACATTTAGGTAGTACCTCTCATTTCACTGTTTCCCTGTTTTTATTTAGTGCTAATGAACAGGACCCAGGACCCAGGTGGTGTACTGTATGTCAATTGAATCCAGTGTTGTGGCTGTGTGTTGGTACTCTCAGCAGGGGAAGACTTCTCTGGAGGTGGCAGCCAGAGGAAACCATGTAATCTTAGTGGACATGATTATCAAAGCAGACCGGTTTTACAAGTGGGAAAAGGTAGGTTAACTTTTAAACCCAAATGTAAATATATTTCCATCATTGAACTGCAAGGTAGTGCCTGCAGCTCTACATTGTGCTTGTTGAGATCGACTGCTTTCGGGCTTCGCAGCGCACCAGATCATCACGATTCCGGGATGAGTGTTTTAGCAATGCAGTCAATCTCAAACACAAACCCTTTCTTTGTGTACCAGGACAACGTGATCAGCGATGGTGATTCGTGGCTAGGGAAGCAGCTGAGCTTTAAGCAGGACCACCAGGTTGAGACCCAGCACCTGCGCTCTGTCATTTGGAGGCTGGCCACCAAGTACCTGTCCCGCGGGGAGTGGAAGACCCTCGCCCAGCACTGGGGCTTCACGGATGCACACATCCGCGCCATAGAGCAGCAATGGACAGGTGAGGCATCGGCTTGGTCTAGAAATAACCCCCAGCCACTAGCCCGTTGTACATTTACATTTTAGTCATTTAGCAGACGCTCTTATCCAGAGTGACTTACAGTAGTTTGCAGACCTGAAGCAATCACATAGGTGTAATGAAATGGTGATTTCTCCATCTAGCTTTCTATCTGATTTTAAGGGGGCTTCCTTACATTTATATGATTCCTTCAGATCTGCAAACACCAAAGACATAGAGCCTAAGGAGTAAGGAGTTAGCAACCTGGGTTGGCAGATAGCCTTTAGGTTAGAGAGGCTGACCAATAGCCAGAGGGTTGCTGGTTCAACCTAGAGGGTTAATTGACAGATCCCAGGTACCATCTCCTGCCATTGTGCCCTTGAGCAAGGCACTTAAGCCCAGAACTGTCCTTATTATAGCCCACGTATTTTATATGATAACTCTCTTATGACATTCACATACTGTATGTTAGGTACAAAGAGCTTCAAGGAGCATGGGCACCGTATGTTGCTGATCTGGCTGCATGGAGTAGTCATCGCAGGGGAGAACCCAATCAAAGGCCTGTATGAGGGACTGGCGGGGATCTCCAGGACCGACCTAGCTGGTGAGTCAATGGAAAGGGAGACGAGAGTCAACACCCATCAGGGATTTCGAACCCGAGCACCAGGGGCTATCTTTAGTAGAAACAATGGGCGAAAAGCATTAAAAAAAAATCTAAAACAACAATGGATATTCTTATTGGTCTGTACTGGCCAATCATTGTCTCTCATTTCATGCCTACTGAACGCTCTCCAGCTTCCCTCTAGACCACACTGCTGTCTAGCCTTGGGGAGGTAGTTGTCCAAAAGCTTAATGAGCATATTGTGCAGTGGTGTAAAGTAACTAAGTAAAAATACTTTGAAGTACTACTTAAACTACTGTATCTTTTGGTATGTGTTTCATTAGTCCATTGTCGATATAGTCCTAAAATGTATTGCATGTCAGCAATCAAGTTTTCAAGATATATAACTTTCAAAATACAGAAGGTAAGATGCATTTTGCATCATATGATGCAAATGCATCATACTGGCTGTATTTCTGTATTTTGAAAGGGTATTTGTACTTTACTTTATTATTTATATTGTTGACAACTTTTACTTTTACTCCAATATAGTCCTAAAGAAAATATGTACTTTTTACTCCCATACATTTGCCCTGTCACCTAAAAGTACTAGTCACATTTCTACTGCTCAGGCAGGACAGCAATATATTCCAATTCACGTACCAATATAATGCATTTTCATCTGTACTGCTTCTTTTCTGCGTTTGTAAATTATGTCTAAGTTTTGGAGTGTGCCCCTGGCTGTCCGTAAAAACAAGAAAATTGTACCGTCTGGTTTGCTTAATATAAGGAATTTTATGGATAGAATTTACTTTAACTTTTACTCAAGTATGACAATTTAGTACTTTTTCCACCACTGGTATTGTGGTTATTAATTACATAAGTACATCACATTCACAGTAAAAGCTGGTTTGACCATCTTTTATCATCTCTACCAGTAATGGTCCGTAGCCCGTAGTTCAACTTAAATGAACAGAGAAGTTTCCTTTTTCTTTTTCAACAGAAAGCATCAGACAGAAGGCAAATGCAGACACAAGCTCTCCCAAGAAATGCACCGCCATGTGAACAAGTCCATCCTGAAACACACTGCAGGAATAAATGGCATTCCAGGGTTCAAAACTAAAAATAGTGGCTGCAACAAAGTTAATACACTGAACAAACATGTAAAGGCAACATGTAAAGGGTTGGTCCCATGTTTCATGAGCTGAAATAAAAGATCCCCGAAATTTTGCATAAGCACAAAAACCTTATTTATCTCTAATGTTGTGCACAAAATTGTTTACATCCCTGTTAGTGAGCAATTCTCCTTTGCCAAGATAATCCATCCACCTGACAGGCGTGGCATATCAATAAGCTGATTAAACAGCATGATCATTACACAGGTGCACCTTGTGCTGGGTACACTAAAAGGCCACTCTAAAATGTGCAGATTTGTCACACAACACAATGCCACAGATGTCTCAAGTTTTGAGGGAGCGTGCAATTGGCATGCTGACTGCAGGAATGTCCATAAGCCGCCTCCAACATCGTTTTAGAAAATTTGGCAGTACATCCAACCAGCCTCACAACCACAGACGACATGTATGGCGTTGTGTGGGCGAGCGGTTTGCTGTTGTCAACGTTGTGAACAGTGTGTCCCATGGTGGCGGTGGGGTTACGGTATGGACAGGCATAAGCTACAGACTACGAACACAATTGCATTTTATCGATGGCAATTTGAATGCACAGAGATACCGTGACGAGATCCTGAGGCCCATTGTCGTGCCATTCATCCGCCACCATCACCTCATGTTTCAGCATGATAATGCACAGCCCCATGTCGCAAGGATCTGTACACAATGTGTGGAAGCTGAAAATGTCCCAGTTCTTCCATGGCCTGCATACTCCCCAGACATGTCACCCATTGAGCATGTTTGAGATGCTCTGGATCGACGTGTATGACAGTGTGTTCCAGTTCCCGCCAATATCCAGCAATTTCGCACATCCATTGAAGAGGAGTGGGACAACATTCCACAGCCTTATCAACTCTATGCGCAGGAGATTTGTCTCGCTGCATGAGGCAAATGGTGGTCAAACCAGATACTGACTGGTTTTCTGATCCAAGGTATCTGTGACCAACAGATGCATATCTGTATTCCCAGTCATGTGAAATCCATAGATTAGGACCTAATGAATTCATTTCAATTGACTGATTTCCTTATATGAACTGTAATTCAGTAAAATCTTTGAAATTGTTCCATGTTGCATTCATATTTTCGTTCAGTATAAAAATTATTTAATGCTTATGGAGCGCCCATGTAAATATATCTAATATGTTATGAGAGTGCCCAGCAACCTGTAATTCGAACCCTGGATCAGTCAAGGATCCACTGTTTGTCTGTCATACAGAGAACTGTAGCTGTCAGTGTAAATAAAAAAATCTAAAAACGGGATATCTGTTAGCATAGCTAAAGTAGCATGGCTAAAGTTCAACTGAATGAAATGGGGGGGGGGGTTATTGGATTGCATGCACTGTAAATGTATGCACTCACTTAACTGTAAGTCGCTCTGGATAAGAGCGTCTGCTAAAATGTACTGAGCCATCATACTTCCATATTCAAGGCAAGGGCTACCTATGGAGGCACCATGCATTTAAGACCACTTGTTGTTTAGCCGAAAAGGCAAAGAGGGCATTCTTTACTATGGCACATAAAATAATAAATTAACAATTATATTTTTCATGCCTGAAAATAAAAAAAGATTCTACGTCTGTCATATAATGTTTTCATCCCTGAGAAGTAAAACACTACATCTGCCATATTAATAGAATGTTTTTTAAAATGTTTTACTAGTGATAGACTATGTTTTATACTGCTTTCGGCTGTATTAGGAAGTATTCCACATTACTCACTTCTGTACCGGACTGTAATGCCAACTCAGTCTACTAAATTACAACTCTTCATGACAATGCAGCTCAATAACTCAAATAGGTGGTGGTTCTACCACATGGTACATTTTTACCATGAAATGCAACACATAGTGTAAAGATCAGTTTTTAACAAATGCTCAACTGTTTTCTATTTTCTTGTATTGATGGATAATGCACTGGAATGGACTGTTATGGTTGATAGTGCTGATTCATGATCACACTGGTGAGTTATGTATGACGTCTATGAACATATTAAACAATTTTGCATGTATTAAAACAAACTGTGATGAGGTATATATTTGTTAATTGACTGTCCTGATATCAGAAACATTTGGAATGCAGCGTCTTCTGAAAAAGATTATATTTAAGGGCTTTGAAGATTTATTGCCCATGTCATTAAAACAGATGATACGATGTAAGGGATAAGTGAAGATGATGAATGGAACAGGTGTTCAAACTGCTGCCTCCAGCATCATACAGTATGTGGTCCAGGAGGCAGCAGCACCACCACTAGACCAACCCCCAGCATTATGGAAAATGTTCTATGAACATGACATCTTGTGCATAATGCATTTATTGTGCTTTATATAATTATATCACAAATATGATGAAGGCATTCATAACAGCTTATAACTCCTTTATGACAACCTATATAAATGAATACAAAGTTGGTTGAAATAACACTAAAACAGCACATGGCAGGGCATGTTTTCAAGAAGGCTTTATTAAATTACAAATGAAATATATAACATTATACATCATTTAATTTCTTCCTACTAACATCCTCAGCTGTATATCTGTAATCAGTGCATGGGTTTTCTAGCTTACCAAGTATCGCCACAGTTGGCAGAGTTAACCATAAACATAGAAGGAAAAACATGGAATTCAAAAGTGCAACATCAATTAAATGCATGATATTTATATCACATAAGGCAAAAGGTTCATAACATGGCATCGTACGGCGTTTCTTCTCTCAAAGCAATGTAGCCAATTACGCTCTATTTACAGTGATAATTAAAATATATATATTTTTTACTGTAAAGTAAAAATAGTATCAGTTCAACTTGTGGATTGATTGTATTCAATATCGTAGAAAAAAACAAGATCGGAGATCAGGTGAAGAGATGACCTTGTTTAACGAGTGGTTCCATAGATCCGTGCGTGACCAATCGTGGCGACTGGGTGATGGTGCTTGAGATTATAGAACTACAGAAATAGAATCTAGTCATTATATTTCTATGGTTGAGATTTTCTCGGCTGTTTTGCTGGTCAGGGAAACGTAGTTCCCATAGTTCTGCCCCACAGAATCAGCCAATCCGATTCTATGGTTATGGCCTGTTGGTCAGAGCTGGGAGAGAGGAGAGGCTACTGGGTAATGTAGTCTCGTCATTGGTCGTCGGTGCTATTCACCAGGTGGCTCTTCTGCACCTCCAGCTCCTCGGCGCTCACCATGTCCGAGTTGATGGCGGCGTACCGCGTCCCGTGGAACTGCCGCAAGTGAATCTGAGCAGAGGGATCGAGACAGAGAGAACATTATCAGAAATAGTCCATATGAAGTTACTTGCAGGAAGACTCATACGACCATCCGTACAGAATGTAAGCTTGAGATAGATAGTTACCAATTGTGCTGACTTCTTTGAGGTAAGTATAGTTACTACTGTAGTTAGTTAATACCAAGTACTAGCTGAAATTTTGGCTGCATCCCCAAACACCAGATAGACAACAATCTTGAAAAGCACCACTAAACATAGTCAAACAAACACTTGACACTAGGGATTAACACCAGTAACTGGGATCCCGGGACCCGAAGCCCGTTGAGCTGAAGCCCGAGCCCAGGCCTGGTTTGACATCACAGAAATTAAATGAGCCCAAACTCGAAGAAAGAAAAAAGCCTGATTTCTACAAAACAGTAGGCTATATTGATTTAAACTGGTGTTGAGAACAACACGGTGGAGGCGGGCGGCAGCGGAGTGAGGAGACGAGGAAACAGCCATTGGGCCTAGAAAAAGCGCAAAGAGAGGAAAACTCACCTTAGTTATGATCTACTGAATGATGAAAACACTAGAATAAAGTTGCCTGTATGTAACACATTCTTGCTCATACTGAAACTCCCAAAGTTATATCCAACTGTTATACTAATTTAAAGCAATAGTCGTGTGTGGTCACCTAGATTATACATTTCAGCACTGTTTTGATTGGGACAGCGCCATCACGCTGCTTTGAGACAAGCGTGGGGGACTCATCTAGATAAATCAATCAGTCGTATTTGTTTTCACTGAATCTCCGTTTGGATATTTGGTAACAATTAGGCTGGGGAAATGTTAGCGCTACTGGTCAGCTTTATTCTAGTTTGTTCATATAATTAGCTGATCAGAAAAATATTGCTAGCATGTTATACAACTGGATTTTGCTCTTCAGCCTGTCCTACTCTCCACCAAAAGCCTGTGACTGATAATCAATCAATGTGATTTTGCTTCACTGAATCTCTATCTGTATATTTGGCTGGACAAGTGGAAGTGGTAGGTAATTCATTAATTTGCTCATTTATCACTGATCGGAAACATTTAGTACGCAATAATGTATTGTAAATAAAGTGTATTATTGATCTATTGACTCACGTAGTAGCCTTATATAGAGCATAGGCTATTTTCCTAATCATCCCAATCCCACTGAAACCCAACTCCTGTCTCGCATGAAAATTCCTAACTTTATAACGTAACCCATAGGTTGCATTATTAAAACGTCTCGCCTACGCATATCAAAATTCCACTATAACATTTCCCCTGCTTCTCTGCACTGTCTCCTATTGCTGCCCATATGAGAGCTTCGTGATCAACAAACGGTATGAGAGTAGAACAGTTTGACACCATCATCATCAGCTGAGCCTGAGATATCCAAGATAAACGTACTAAAGCGCTCATGGAGAACAAGAGTGGTGAGGTAATACCACAGCTTCCTCTACAAGCTAACCCAACCAGCCGCATCTGTGCTACAAAATAGGTTTTGAGCACTGACATCACTTCACTTTCTTATTAATTTCTGTTCCTAATACAATGTAAGGGGAAAATCACATTAAATATATATCCCCTGACATTAAATAGTGTCATATTTATAATTTCAGTCTCGTGGTTTAAATGGTACAGTTAGTATGACTAATGAAAAATGTCCACCTAAAAATAACTGGAAATAGAAATGATCCTTGAAACGAGACTAACCCCATCAGTCCTCTGTTGTACTATCTCACTATAAGCATTTAGACCTGATGTACTCACTCAAGGTAGAAGAAGGCCCTAACCACAGTTCTAGAATCAGATGACCCAACCCCTAATCCAAACCATTGAACATACAAAAACTCTGATCCTGGACAGGTCTTTACGGGCGACTTCTACCAACTAATGTGCTCACCTGTATATATAGGTTGACCTCAGCACTCCTACACAGGTAGGGGAAGTTTCCACCAGTTTTGAGGTGAGCCCGTCTGGCATTTGGATACAGCTTATACATTTCCTCTTTCGCCTCGTGTGACAAGGCACTCTGGTCGAACACCTTTAAACCAAATGAAACGTGCGGCACACACATACACAGTCACATACACACACACACACACACACACACACACACACACACACAGTCACATACATATGCATAAGCAAAGAACAATCTCCAGGTTACAGATCCAATGACCCACCCACAACCCACAAAACAGCCAATCCTTACTGATATGTAAAGTGAGATGTACAGTAAACAACAACAATATTTGCAAGAATGAAAATGAAATGAAAATAAAGAGCAGTTCCTCCTACATCTATAATGGTGACAGCCAGGTCCTTTATCTTGTGAGGCTCCACGTAGGAGTTCTGACAGTTGAGTGTTAGTCTGGAGGCTAGCTCACCCTGGTTCAGGCTCTCCAGCTAGGAGGGGGAGCGAGACAGAGACAGACAGAGAGAGAGACAGAGAGAGACAGAGAGAGCAAAAGAGGTGGTGAGAGAGAGAGCAAAAGAGGAAGCGGTGGTGAGAGAGAGGGGTGATGAGAGAGAGGGATGGTGAGAGAGAGGGAGAGAGCGAGAGAGAAAGGGGTGGTGAGAGAGAGCGAGAGAGAAAGGGGTGGTGAGAGAGAGAGAGAGAGAGAGAGAGAGAGAGAGAGAGAGAGAGAGAGAGAGAGAGAGAAAGAGAGACAACAGACACAGCTGTGTTAGCCAATTCAGAGAGAAATTAGATGAGATAACCCTTTTCCTGCACCTGGCATGTGAACACACAATTCCTCCCTCTACGTTTTCTCAGAATCAGCCAGCTATCAGATATCCCTACTGACTCACATGTACACCCGAGGATTCCAGTCATCAGCTGACCAGGGCTGTGTTCATTAGGCACACTTATTTTCGCTTCCTGCTGCAACGCTTTTTTATAACATGCCTTAATGAACACAACCCTGCTCATATATGATTCTGAAGTACAAACATCTAGTTGGGGTGATGGAGAGGTACTGTATTTAAAGGGGCAATTTATGATCGGTAAATCCATTTTTTAAACTTTTTAATTAATGACATTACGCCCATTGATTCCTGAAGAATATAACTTAAACTAAGCTCATGAGGCATTTCTAACTGTCATACCTCATCAGAACCCAAAATATGCATCTCTGCTGTGAATTTGAGAGTGGTTATATTTCTCTAGACCATCGCTCAGCTGTTTACCAAAACAGGGGCAGGGGTATCCTTTGTTGTCATTAACTTGCAGATTGCCCCTTTAATGGAGGTCTGGAACTTACTCTGTCGACCATGAAGTCGATTGCGTCGGCCATCTTGGGGTCGACAGGTCCTTTAGCGAAGTTCCCCAGGACAATCTTCTTCAACATGAAGGCGGGCAACATCCAAAAACTGGAAGGCAAGAAGAAACATGGCGTCCCTGTTTAAATGACTCAGAACAGGAAACTACATGTAGAGAATAGACAGGGTTTCTGTGTCTCAAAGCTAAATGGTAAGGCTAGACTGGCAAACATGTAACTTTCATGAACTACGGAGGCCTACACGTTACACATTTTACATTTGTAATGACAGACCATAAAAAAGGCTGTTTTGCATTTTGACAAACACCTGGGTCACATTCAGCAGGGTACAACATTGTGGAGCGTTCCGAAATAAATATATTATGAAGAACTAACATGCCTTTCTGACATGTAGAGAAAGGAATCGTGTCAGCTCTATTCATGACATTTCTATCTGCACCACTCCACAACGTTTGTCCACTGAACAGGACCCTGTTCTTCCTCCACAGCACGGTAATGGTAAAACAGGGTCTTACTCATTAGGCACCAAACGGAACAAAACAGACAAACAGGGCGGGACAACCTGGTGGTGTGTCTTAATGAATTCAACCCAGGACAGTACCTGTTGGCTGTCAATGTCTGGTTGAAGATGGAGGTGTCACTGAAGGAGTTGCACAGGATCAGAGAGTGGACTCTGGGAGATTTGTGTGTGTGCTCGGCAAACTTCTGGGCCAGGAACCCCCCCAGAGAAGCACCAAATAGATGGACCTATAACAATAGAAATAGTCTAACACTTTACTTAAAGCCTTAATGCATTGTTAGGCATGTCATTAGCATGTAAGAGTCCCTTATGTCTCAAAGATCATGACAATATTGAACATTTGCTACATAGAGAGACATGTATTAGTTTGACATGGAAAGAAAGCAATGTAAGCGCAGGGAAGTGGGAAAGTGGGAATGACAGACCTTATCCAGTTGCAAGTGATCGAGAAGCTTCCGGAATCCATCACAGAACTCCAAGAGATCCCAGTACACAGGATACTGCAGCTAAGAGAGAAAACAAAGTGTCATTTTCATAAACCTTCACTTGTAGAATATATCGAGTCTAGGAACCCCTGGGGCTAGTTTTTTAAAAACATTTAATCCAGATCGAAATGATCCTGTGTTGGGTAAACTTCTTCCTCTTCAGATGTGTTCTAGCCTTGTTTTTGCATACAGTCCTAAGACAAAACGGAACCAAATCTCTAACAGCTTCAAAAGCACTAGATAAACCTAGCAGCTACATAGAAGGAACCAGAATCAATTCAATGCCACTCAGTGTGATGTTAATGTCATGACATTCAATGGTGCCTGGGTAAAACAAAAATCACTTGGAATATAGCCTAGTTGAAGACTTACATTCCTACATAAGAATAGACTTGTATTGTACCCTGGCTGGTCTAGAGGTAAAGCCTCCAGCACAGGTCTTTAGTATCGGCATGGGATGGAATCCAGCCTACAGCCCTTAGACACAACCTACCTCTATCTTTCCTCATTGGCATTCTCTCTCACTATATGTTCAATACAAATCTAAAAACACATTTTTTAAGAACCTATAGCCTAATTAAAACTATATACCATCTTCATAAAGATGCTTATAAAAGCATTAAGACTTAATTACACTCCTCAGGTCTGACGTCTTACTGTTATATTAGTTCTATTAACTGTGTAGGTCAAAGATCAAAATACCAGCATTCCTTAGATGTGGTCTTTCATCCATTACTGTTCAATTCTAAATTCTCACCACACAGTCCCAATACAGTTTTGCCAAAGTTCTTTAAATACAGTTGAAGTTGGAAGTTTACATACACTTAGGTTGGAGTCATTAAAACTAGTTTTTCAACCACTCCACAAATTTCTTGTTAACAAACTGTAGTTTTGGCAAGTCGGTTAGGACATCTACTTTGTGCATGACACAAGTAATTTTTCCAACAATTGTTTACAGACAGATTATTTCATTTATAATTCACTGTATCACAATTCCAGTGGGTCAGAAGTTTACATACACTAAATTGACTGTATCTTTAAACTGCTTGGAAAATTCAGAAAATGATGTCATGGCTTTAGAAGCTTCTGATAGGCTAATTGACATCATTTGAGTCAATTGGAGGTGTCCCTGTGGATGTATTTCAAGGCCTACCTTCAAACTCAGTGCGTATTTGCTTGACATCATGGGAAAATCTAAAGAAATCAGCCAATAATTGTAGACCTCCACAAGTCTGGTTCATCCTTGGGAGCAATTTCCAAACGCCTGAAGGTACCACGTTCATCTGTGCAAATACAAATAGTACGCAAGTATAAACACCATGGGACCACACAGCCGTCATACCGCTCAGGAAGGAGACGCGTTCTGTCTCCTAGAGATGAACGTACTTTGGTGCGAAAAGTGCAAATCAATCCCAGAACAACAGCAAAGGACATTGTGAAGATGCTGGAGGAAACAGGTACAAAAGTGTAATATAAAGAAGCCACTGCTCCAAAACCGCCATAAAAAAGCCATACTATGGTTTGCAACTGCACATGGGGACAAAGATCGTACTTTTTGGAGAAATGTCCTCTGGTCTGATTAAACAAAAATATAATTTTTTGGCCATAATGACCATCGTTATGTTTGGAGGAAAAAGGGGGTTGCTTGCAAGCCGAAGAACACCATCCCAACCGTGAAGCACAGGGGTGGCAGCATCATGCTGTGGGGGTGCTTTGCTGCAGGAGGGACTGGTGCACTTCACAAAATAGATGGCATCATGAGGAAGGAAAATTATGTGGATTTATTGAAGCAACATCTCAAGACATCAGTCAGGAAGTTAAAGCTTGGTCGCAAATGGGTCTTCCAAATGGACAATGACCCCAAGCATACTTCCAAAGTTGTGGCAAAATGGCTTAAGGACAAAAAAGTCAAGGTATTGGAGTGGCCATCACAAAGCCCTGACCTCAATCCTATAGAAAATGTGTGGGCAGAACTGAAAAGGCGTGTGCGAGCACAGAGGCCTACAAACCTGACTCAGTTACACCAGCTCTGTCAGGAGGAATGGGACAAAATGTAGTGTGGGAAGCTTGTGGAAGGCTACCCGAAACGTTTCAACCAAGTTAAACAATTTAAAGGCAATGCTACCAAATACTAATTGAGTGTATGTAAACTTCTGACCCACTGGGAATGTGATGAAAGACATGAAAGCTTAAATAAATAATTCTCTCTACTATTATTCTGACATTTCACATCCTTAAAATAAAGTGGTGATCCTAACTGACCTAAGACAGGGAAATTTTACTAGGATTAAATGTCAGGAATTGTGAAAAACTGAGTTTAAATGTATTTGGCTAAGGTGTACGTAAACTTCCGACTTCAACTGTACATTTTAATTTCAATTCCAAAAACTGACAATGGCCTAACAGACAAAATGTTTACTTTACACTGGTTGCCGCTACACTGAATAAATAAGCATAAAATAACCTGTAGAGTGGACCCAGTCTAGTGTATCTAATATTCCAAAATAAATACCTTGGTCATTTGACTGTGGATGATGAATATCTTAATGAATTGAAGATACTACAAGCCATAAAGGTGTTCTTTCACAGTGACTCACTGAGATGACTCTGTACCCCCAGCCTGTCAGGGCTAAGACCTGCTGGAAGAACACCTCCGCTGTCCCACTCACAGGGGGAAAGAATATGATGGGACACCTGATGTTCTTTGGGCCTGCATCATACAAGGACCACACCTTGCTGTCATCGTCGTCCACTATAATCTAGAGAAACGATACAGAGAGGTGAAACATGAATGTACTACCCATAAATGCACAACATTCCATACACGTAATATTAGAGCAAATTCTATAACAATGAACTGTGTTTCTAGATGGGATCACGTGAATGAAAGGGATATTTAAGAAGACTGGTGTTGGAATCGTCAATGTCAACAAACGGAAGATATATAGTATAACTGTAAAATTAAATATGACTGTTTTACGTTCATACTGGCTATGACGATGGCCAGCAACTGAATCAACTGTAGTGATAAAGCTAGCTAGGCTATTGTGGAATGCGATATGGTGTTTTTGCTTACTTTCTTCAGTGGCACTGTGCTTCTGAACCAGTTGTAATCAGGAGATATTCTTATCTCCTCCATTTCTGTGGAAACAAGAAGAAGGCTAGTATGTAGCTAGTAGGCTGGTATTAGGATCCTCCTGTAAAAGGAAGGAAGTAATATTATTCTGAAACTGATTAGCCATCCTTCAGCGTGTGTTTGTTTAACAGTAAACTAGCTGACACATCAACATTCTCACTGCCTCATTCATAGACGCTAACTGCCTTTAGCTCCTATTGACGATATTATCTACTGGCCGGGGAGATTTGATGAGAACCGTTTGATTTAAATCGGCTAATAGTTTATCGCATGTCTCTGTCTGACTAGCTAACGTTAGCCATCCTAGCTAGTCACCACTCGTGACGAATACTTACGATGTAACGTTAGCTAACGACCATACGGTTTTTCTCTCACAAAGTTATTACCTGCAAACCGATGATTAATGATAAAAACAAGAATATGTAAAATACAGAGGGTCAATATTACCGTGTTTGCTTTGGATTTCATTCACTGTTTAGGTCCACTTTTATCCACGGATTAGCAACATTTTATTTCTCGTTCCGAACAAGTCATATGACATTACTTGCATGCAGTTCCGTGATGCTCAGGGGCGTGTTTCAACATTTTTAAATTACTTATTTCCTCTCCTCGTCTCCTTTCCTACACGATTATTCATCTCCTAAAACCACATACTTCTGTTAAAAGCCTAAAACCTTAGTTTATAGATTAGAGAAAGTATGGGACCAGTGTATCCAGTTTTTTCACCTAGATATTACAATAGGACATGGTGTGTGCCCTTTTTAGGCCCATATATCTATAGATAGTAGTCAATGGGCCAGACCAAAAGTTTGTCCACTTTGGGGTGGCAAAGGTTTGATGGCATTAAATTGTTCCCCACAGGCCCCGCTTTCTATGTTTTTCACACCTTTATATATATTGTTGTATGGGAGTCTATGCAATAGAATGTTCGCAGGCTGATAAAGGAATGTTGAGACCAGTGGCGGCTCCTGAAAAAATTCTCAGGAGGGGCAATTTTTCTGATGATTTAGGTGACCTACACACATTTTTAAAAAGATATGTCCAGCAACAACATGAAGACAGGGGCAATACCAGAAGCATTTATTGACTGATCTGGGGAGATGGATTCCAGTTTCTGTGACAGATTATAAATAATCTCTGATGCCTTTGTTATATTAGCTTTTGGTTGAATGTACTGTCGTAGTAAATATATAATGTTATAGCTTGGTCTGACTAAAATCTTGTGCATGACCCATTTTGTGTTGGGCGTTTGTTTTCAATCAATGCTGTTCCTATCCTATAACAATGGACAAAAGAGTCCTATCTTGTCAGCCTTGTCAGCAGGTGGCCAAGGACAACACCCACGCCATAGGTCTCTCAGTTCTTCCAACTCACGAGTTCTTGCTCTGAGGACACACACACACACACACACACACATCATCACTGATAACACACACACACACACACACATCATCACTGTTAAACACACACACACACACACACAAAAATCCCCTCTCTTTAGGCTGAACATTTGAAGACAGAGAACCCGACTCAGAGCCAATGCAACAGTGGAGGGGACCTCGCCCAACTCATCAGGACCAATCAGAAGATCAGAACTACTAGATTCAACCTACATCATTTATTGTATAAAATGTCTGCACACAATGTTTTCGGGGCTCTCTTCTCCCTAAGAGTTTGACGAAAGAGTCCGTGCACGCGATTCCAGATATCTTTACCTCTGAATAAACTGCCTTTATTATACCATATCCACCCTGTCCAAAGTCTCTACTTGGTCTCAGTTCTCCAGTAAACTTGTGATTATCAACAGTACACAACGGTAACAAACAATTGGGGGAACTCACGGATGACACAAGTTCAACAGAAAGCAGTTCAATGTCGGGGTACAGAGTCGCTCTCTTACCAGGATCGCGGTCCGCTCTGACCAGGGTGAAGCCGGCCGGCTCCACTTCTCTGTCCGGGACTCTGTCATCCAGCCAAGTCTCCCAGCTGTATTGGGATTCCGCTGCCAGCAGCGTTTTCATTATTTAGTCCGTTCGTAGCGGGTATGTACACGATCAACAAGATCAGTCCAAAACCAACCACTGGAAATCCATGGTTGGCAGAATGTTTGTAAACTAAGTCTACAAATTAAAAACATAAAATAACGCCACACTGCAGGTCGCAACAGAGACGCTGCTAGCCGCTATTGTCTTAGTTACGTTCATGGTTACGTCACGTATGACGAAAGCGCGTAAGTGCAAGCCCACAGACACCCATTGAGAATGTATTGAGAGCTTTGAAATTTGAAAAAAATAGATTTTACATGACAGGCTATGAGAGACTTCTGGGCGATTTTCAACCTGACTGAAATCGCCCCAAAAACGGGCGGGGCCATTTGAAGCACGACTTTAGCCTGATTTGACATTTAGTGGCAGTCAGATCAGATTACAACACTGATAACTACTGTTGCCGTGATATAATTGATTAGAAAAAAAATCCCTTCCTTTTCCCGTTTGGCATTGCGTCGCCCATATCGCCCTATTGAACAAGCCGTCCCTGGTTGAGACAAGTTGGAATGTTTACATGCTCATTGAAAATGACTGTATCTAACAAACAATGGAACACTCTATTGGGTGGATCGCTATGTATGTACTCACTAACTGTAAGTCGCTCTGGATAAGAGCGTCTGCTAAATAATAATAAAATAAAAAATAAATAAAAATTAGTGAGTCCGCCAGATCAGAGGCAGTAGGGATGACCAGGGATGTTCTCTTGATAAGTGTGTGAATTAGACCATTTTCCTGTCCTGCTAAGCATTCAAAATGTAACGAGTACTTTTGGGTGTCAGGGAGTAAAAAGTACATCATTTTCTTTAGGAATGTAGGAATAAAGTTGTCAAAAATATAAATAGTTAAGTAAAGTACAAATGCCCTAAACAATGACAACCCTCCCGTTGTCGTAGGGTCAAAATGACCCGCCACTGTGTTGAACCAACTTTATTTAATTTTTATATTTTTGGGATCATTTGTGAGAAGGAGGCAGTGAGACTTTGTATCACTGCCTCCTTCTCACAAATGATCCAAAAAATATAAAAATTAAATAAAGTTGGTTCAACACAGTGGCGGGTCATTTTGACCCTAGGACAACGGGAGGGTTAAGTAGTACATCACTGTGAATGACACACATACACAATCCATGTCTCAATTGTCTCAAGGCTTAAAAATCCTTCTTTAACTCCCCTTCATCTACACTGATTGAAGTGGTTTTAGCTTACATAAATAAGGGATCATAGCTTTCACCTGGATTCACCTGGTCAGTGTATGTCATGAAAAGAGCATGTGTTTCTAATGTTTTGAACACTCAGTGTATAGCAATGCTTATGCTAAGATGAAAGGTGTGCTCTGTCATTTGTTGAGTTGTCCCAGCAAGTTAACACAAAGATTTAGTTAAACACAAATTATCCCTAAAAAGGAACATTGGTGATTACAATCTCTTCTGTCCCTGACCATCATGATCTTAAAATTATGCTCCAACCTTCAACCTTACCAGTTGTAAATGAAATATGTTACCTAATCATTTTGTAGCCATTAGTTCAGTGGCTGGTTGACAAATAAAATATACATTATTCAATTGGTGATTAGAAAAAATTTAACAGTACAGGGTATACTCAATGTACACCCACGACTGTGTGGCCACACATAAAGTTTGCAACAACATCATTAAGTTTGCTGACAACACGACAGTGGTGAGCCTGATCATCAACGGCGACGAGACAGAATACAGGGAGGAGGTTAGAAACAGCCTCTCCCTCAACGTTAGCAAAAACAAAGGAGCTGATGGTGGACCACAGGAAACAGGGGGAGGAGCATGCCCCTATTGTCATCGACAGGGCTGCAGGGAGAGGGTCAATATCTTAAAGTTCCTCTGTGTGTAAATCACAGAGAACCTGACATGGTCCAATCACACCACCACCGTGTTGAAAAAGGTGCAGCAGCGCCTCTTCAACCCCAGGCGCCTGAAGAAATTTGGCATGGGCCGTCGAATCCTAAATAAGTTCTACAGCTTCACAATCGAGAGCATCTTGACTGGCTGCATCACTGTCTGGAACAGCAACTGCACCGCCCTCAACCGGAAGGCCCCACAGAAAATGGTACGTCCGGCCCAATACATAACTTGGGGAGAGCTCCCTGCCCTCCAGGACATCTACACCAGGCTGTGTCTGAGGAATGTCAGAAAGATCGTCAAGGACTCCAGTCACCCGAGCCACAGACTGTTCACTCTGTTACCATCTGGGAAAGGGTCTCGACCCCAACAGGATCTGAGACAGCTTCTACTACCAGGCCATCAGACTGCTGAAAAGCTCAACTTAGCTGTCTCCCTGCACAGACCTGCATCTTAGAGACTATTTGCACTGGAGAGACTATATGTATCTTAGAAATTGTTTGCACTGACTACCCACACATCCAACCCTTATACACAAACTTACACACAAACACACACCCACACACTCACACACACACAAACACACACACACACACACACACACACACACACACACAAACACAAACACACAAACACAAACACACATAAACACACAAACATCAGCACACACGCACTCAGAGCTCACACACACATACACACACACACACACACACACACACACACACACACACACACACACACACACACACACACACACAGTCAACGCTGCTGTTCTAATATATACTATTGATTCCACTACTCACTTTATACGTGTAAATCCAGTCCATTATTACTATGCATACTACCTCTTCTATTACTTCTACTACTTGTTATTTTTGACTCCTCTTTCAGTGTTATTATTGATTCATGTGCCCATGGGGCGGCGCACAATTGGCCCAGCGTCGTCCAGGGTAGGGGAGGGGAATGGCCGGCAGGGATGTAGCTCAGTTGGTAGAGCATGGCATTTGCAACGCCAGGGTTGTGGGTTCAATTCCCACGGGGGGCCAGTATGAAAAATAAAATAATGTATGTACCCACTAACTGTAAAGTCGCTCTGGATAAGAGCGTCTGCTAAATGACAAAAAATGTAAAAAAAAAATTGTTGAGGGAGCGAGCACTTAAGCATTTCGCGGCACCTTTTATACCTACTGCAAACTGTGTATGTGACGAATACATTTTCTTAACTCTTATTTTTCTTTAAATTGCATTGTTGGTAAAGGGCTTGTAAGTAAGCATTTCACGGTAAGGTTGTACCTGTTGTATTCGACACGTGACAATCAAAATGTGATTTGATTTTGATTTTGATTAAATACATATAACTGACATACTTGGGCCTTCATTTAGGGTTGTCCACATTGTAACACACATTTTAAGTAATTATTGGTCTATTACACTAATTATTTATTCATTTATGCAAAATCAATGCAGTCAGAGAGGAAGAGGCATAATGAGAGGATTTACACCGCCCCAAATCTGTCCTTGGGAGATAAGCCCTTTTTTTGTATGGAGGTCTATGAGAGTGTGTCGAATAACATTGCTTATTTGATCAAATAGAAGTTTCGTCATGTTTAGACTGTTACAAATGTACTGATATAACCGGATGCATGTGGCATTCTGCCAACTTTGAAACCCCCCCCCCAGGTGAGTTGTGCCTGTTGTTCAGAGCAGATCTACCCTGCTGCCCCCTCATTGGCTAGAATGGTCCCACCTGATCTCGCCTGCCTTCCATCGTTGAGGACATGTATTTCCATTGTTAGAGCAGTAACTCTAATAGCTTGTCAATATAATAGATAATCGTTGATGCAGTTCCTTCCATTGAAATAAATGGCGGCCATCTTGAATATAAACCTGGGACTGATTATAGACATAATCTATGATGACTCTATCTAAAAACCTCCCCTTGTTCTGTGTGAAATTTAGTCTAGAATCAGATTAGAGCACACCGTAAGGAGTATAATGACACCAAGATGTTGTCTGACTGTATCCTGTACCGTTCACAGATCATATACTGTAGGTCTAAAATAGCCACTTTCATCTACATTTGTGAGACACATGTAAAAAGCAAATCAAACATAATTCATCACAATGAAGTTTCTATGTGAGAATTGCCTGAACAGTCTGAGATACCCTAAATATTTTCGGCCTGTCCTGGCATGGAATCGACTTTGAGCTCCAGCCAATCATAATAGCTGTAAGGCAAAGTGTATTTTGTTCACCCTCTCTAGAAGTATAATTATTGGTTGTCCACATTACTCGAATCCAGAGTCATATTTAATACGGCTCCGTTCGAATCTTATTCTGGTTGTTCTAGATATACAATCTACTGAACATAGGGCATACGTTTTTTTCTGCTCTCTTCTGAATGGCCCATCGTAACACCATTCATTGGTTACATCACTCAATATTACACTGTCACATAAGAGAAGAAATTAGGGTTCTGTAACTCGCACACTCTGTGGTATTGACATCATGACGGCGTAATTTGATTTGCATTTCATCAATGATTTTATTTGTTTGGCTTTCAAGCCAGCATAATCGTAAGTATATGTTTAGCCTACTTTATTGGCTAGCTAGCTAGAACGTTACTTGTTCAGCTACTAGTCTCGAGGTATAATAACACATTAATATTATGGATATTGTTTTGTATTATAATTACATCCTATTTTCAACTCCTTTTTTACAGGTTCGGACAAGACCCACAGACTGGATACGTTAATGCTGGCTGAACTGAACAGTGCGTTCTATTTACCAACGCTACTGTAGCTAGTTCATTAGCCAGCTAAGCTAGCTAGCTAGCTAGCTTGCCAGTCAACACACTTTTGGCTATTTTTTTTTATTACTCTTTGATATTCCCCACATTCCTATTTATATATTTTTTGCCGACTTAAATAAAATAATGTCATGCCCATGCAGATCAGCGGCGAGATTGTTCATAACTTCTCAAAAAGGTAAGCATATTTTGCTCGCTAACTTGCTGGCTAGCTAGCTAGTCTTCTAGCCAGCCAGTTTGCAAGTTGCACTATCATGGAATTCTATCCCATGCAGTCATATAATGTTCAGTGCCACATTGTAACAAATAATGAATATGAGGTGTTGAGAAAAGCAACTACTGTGAAAAGGGGTAACATGGTTGTTTTGCAAAGTTGGAACCTGTAACAGCTACCAGCTAGCCTTGTAGCTAAAGCTAGCTAAACTGATGGTAACTTGACCTACAATGTTGTTACACAAGAAATAACCCTGCAGTGGTGGTGCATGCAGTACAGTTAGTTATTTATCCAAAGATTTTGTCAACATTTTCATGTTATGAATAAATCTATGTTTTGGGGAGCTTTCAGGGACATGCCCCCTTATGCATTCATATTTGACACTTATGAAGAAATATAGGTGTTTTTATATAGGTGTTTTTATCTATTGATCAGTAATATGCTCAATGTTTGCATTGCTGATTTAGAAAATGTACATTAACAGTATGTCAATTGATTGAATCTGCTTGTACTTTCACAGGTATCTCTAACACCAGAGTCCAGTTATTTTCTATTAGCAGACCAGGAACACCTGAAATCCGATTAAGCAGAAGAGAATCCTGTGAGATCCTTCTCCAAATCATCTGTATATTTTTCATCAAAAGACATCAAAGATGGCTCCGGCGATGGAGGAAAGGTATGTCAAAATCAATCCTTATTAATCTGTTGTTACTATTAATAAGACATTATAAGGTCACACATGCTTATGATGACAAGTCTTACAATGCATGGCAATCACATCATAATGCATTATACCTGTTGGCCATATGTAAAGTTCATTGAATGTTATGATATCTTCGTGACTTCCTCCATGGTGAATGATCTAGTCCCAGCAGTAGCTACAGTACATACTCTACATCCTCTGCTCTTCCACTCTTGACAGAAATCAGTTGGTGATGCGGGAAGTGGGAAAAGAGGAGGCTCCGGTGGCTCCGGAAAAGGAGGCAGCCAGCTACGCTGTCCCAAGTGTGGAGACGCCTGCACACATGTAGAAACCTTTGTGTGTAAGTGTTTTACTTTTCTTTGCATATTTGAAAAGAGAGGAGAGGAATTGTGTACGGTCAAGCTTGGCACAGGAGCCAATCTCAAGTATGAGAAGTTAATGTTCAATAAAAGTGCTTTGAAACAAGCAGCAAACTTTTTGCCTGGTCCCAGATCTGTTTGTGCTGTATGGCCAACTCCTATATGGTCGTTGTTATGCCAAAGATACGCCAATTGACCATAGGAGTAGGCAAGACAGCACAAACAGATTGGGAACCCATGCTAGCAAACTGTGCAGTGACCCTGACACTCACGTTCTTTTAATTTATTTTAATTTATTTAACATATGGTTCTTTAACATGGGTACCAGTCTGAATGACATGCACAACATGTGGAAGGGACAGCATTTAAGAGAATATGGTGTTGCCCTAGCTTTCAACTGACCTGTTTTACCTAGTATCTACTGGCTCAGTGCAGCTCACACATCTATAGGGAATGCCAGACTACTGGGCAACTGCTGTCAAACATATTGCGTGTTACTAACAAATAAAGTCCTTATGTAACAAATGGGTCACAGTCACAGACCAGCTAAAAGTAACACAGATCTAGTTTGTGTGCTTATGCCCCAACTAGCAATATCATGATCCGGCTTAGTTGGTGCCATAACATACTTCCCCCCCCCTCCCTCTCCCTAGCTTCAACCCGCTTTGTGAAATGTGAGAAATGTCATCACTTCTTTGTGGTGCTGTCAGAGACCGACTCCAACAAGCGTCTCAATAAGGAGCAGGGAGCAGCCAACGAGGCCGTCAAACTGGCCTTCCAGCAGAAACCTCCCCCTCCTCCTAAAAAGGTACAGTAGACAGGTCTTACAATGCATTATACCTGCAGGCTTTAAGTAAAGTGTTAAGATGTGGAACAACAAGAACGGGATTCATTGTGGCCTAGGATGGTCTAGTGGTCTAAGCCGTTGCCTGCGGTGCACACATACCGCTGCAGCGTGGGTTTTTATTTATTGTATCTTTATTTAACTTTACTGGTCCTACACTCACACATTACCAGGTAGTAGATTCTAACACATCTCACACAGTTTCGGAGTATAATAATTAGTCACTACTAAGAAAGTACTAATCATACTTAAAACAAGAACATTTCACAACTATATTTAAGGGTGGAACATTTAGTCATTACTTTTAACCTGTATATATTTTAATTTCTATATCAAACCCTTCTAGCTACTCTCTGTCCTCTTGCAATGTCCCAACACATGCACTTTTTGTGTCTGTCAGAGAATGTGTGGTTCAGTCATCCATGTTAAGTTATAGCTTACCGAGCTTTGTAACATCCGCCACACCACTGAAAGTAGAACAAGCAGAGATTGTACCAAAAAAGCCCCAAAGAGGGACGTGTGTGTATGAACAGTCTGCAGAACTTGTTGGTAACATTTTACTTAAGGCATTACTTACAGTCTGGGATTCAAACCACAACAATGCGGTAACCCCGCCACTTTTTTATGGTTGGAGGATGAGGCTGGAGAAATGTAACCACACTCAAATTCAAACATTAATTTAAAAGTTCAAAAATGTATATACAAATCAATGATAGCCCCTTTAAAGCCTGTAGATATAATGCTTTATAACTTGTTATTGGCTTGTATGAGCCTTTATAATTCATGTCTTATTATAAGGCTTATAATATGTTTTGTCGCTGTATGTTGAACATTTTCAAATGACCCAAAATGGCTGTTATTTTTTATAAGATGATGATAATGTGACATTGTAAGGAGGATCATTAATACTTATAAATCTTGTAATGCATTATAACTGCATCATGCATTATGCTTTATGTAAAGTGTTAACAAATTGTCTTTCAGATCTATGCCTACCTGGATAAGTACGTTGTTGGCCAGTCCTATGCAAAGAAGGTGCTGGCGGTGGCTGTTTACAACCACTACAAGCGCATCTACAATAACCTTCCGGGAGCGGGCACCAAGCCACAGGCGGAGGTAGAGAAGCAGGCCTCCCTGACTCCACGAGGTTGGTACCGTCCCTGTCTGTTTCTGTATCTCATTTGTCTGAAATGGCCTTCTCCCTTCCTCGCAAATTATTTCTTCCATCTGCACCTATGTGAATGAACTTGACAGGTGAAAGGTACTATTGAGTAGCTATCTTATGTCTTCAAATCAGTGCAGAAGAAGAAGAGGAGATGAGAGGAAGCGACTTTATACTATCGAGGTGCGTCCTAAGTGTAGGGGCAGTTAATTCTTTTACTGTGCACCTTGAAATGTGACAGCATGCCATTCACTCAGGTTAACAAAATGCATTAGCCCATGTGCAATGTAAAACAGAATCATAGCTGAATGGAATGGAATGAATGGTATGATAAACTGTTCTCTTTGGCATGTGTACAATGGCTTTTAAAGGCTAAAATAAAACGCCGTCTCTTGAAGTCCTCCCTCATCCATTGATTTAAAGTAACTACCCAGTGTTTCCAGATTTCTATGAAATATGACCAATAATTAATTACAATATGAGTGAAATAGTTTTCCTTCACAAAAATGGTAGTAAAGTATTTTTTTGGTGTGGGCATAACCCAACAACAGAATGGCGTATACCGGTCATACATTTTTTTCATTTGGGTAGACCGCTGATTGGCCAGCTTGATGACATCATCCTCTATAAGGAAATAGCAAGCATTTTTTAAATGGTCTGTTTGAGATACAAGTTTGAGGTGGTTACTTTTAAGTGTTATTTCTCCAATTTATGCTTTGGCCACAAATACGAATATAGGATGAGTAAACAACATTATTTGGGTATGATTGAATAGAATATGAACTTTTAAAAGTGAGCTTTTCACTGGACAGTTACTTTAAGGTTTTCCCAGTTTGAACAGGACTTTGGGCTAATGGCATTTTCCAGTGCCTCATGGTAACGGTAGTGATAATGTCAGATGGCAACTTTCACCCTCGTTCTGTGGAGCTAGAGAAGACGAGAGGATGAACACATATTGACAAGTAAGTGGTAACTCGTACAGAATATCAGTTACATACAGCCAGGGGCTTTCAGCACTTCTCTCACCAAAATGTTCTCTAGCTCGCTAATAGTCTCTTTCCCAGCTCATCACTTTTCAGTTTCAATCAACTAATAGTCCGGTTGTACAAATGCCAAAATTCTCCTCACCCTGCATCCTCTCCCCCACGTCCTCTCCCCACCGTCCTCTCCCCCACGTCCTCTCCCCCACCATCCTCTCCCCACCGTCCTCTCCCCCACCGTCCTCTCCCCACTGTCCTCTTCCCCACCATCCTCTCCACACCGTCCTCTCCCCCACCGTCCTCACCCCCACCATCCTCTCCCCACCATCCTCTCTCCACCATCCTCTCCCCACCATTCTCTCCCCACCATCCTCTCCCCCACCGTCCTCTCCCCACCGTCCTCTTCCCCACCGTCCTCCCCCCTTACCATCCTCTCCCGCACAGTCCTCTCCCCACCGTCCTCTCCCCCACCGTCCTCTCCCCACCGGTCTCTCCCCCACCGTTCTCTCCCCCACCGGCCTCTCCCCACCGTCCTCTCCCCCACCATCCTCTCCCGCACAGTCCTCTCCCCACCGTCCTCTCCCCCACCGTCCTCTCCCCACCGTTCTCTCCCCCACCGTTCTCTCCCCCACCGTTCTCTCCCCCACCGGCCTCTCCCCACCGTTCTCTCCCCCACCGTCCCCTAACTGTAACTGCTGTATCAGGTAACATGGACAGTATGTATGCCTGCCTGAGAGTTGCACAACAAGCAGAAGTGACATAATAAGAATATTGGGCAAAGTGCATGTTCCCTCTCTCAGACATGTCCAGTAAGTGAGACAGACACACAGACGGACAGAGACAGACAGACAGACAAAGAAAATCAGACAGAAATACAGACAGACAGACAGTGGCCTGGTAACCTTGTTATTAGTCATACACATCTATATCTCTCCACACAGTAACGAAACACTGTGCCTTAGTCCAATATTTATTCACTCTCACAGTATACACAGTAGCTGAACCTAGTGAACAATTTATTTATAGAATAGACTTGGACACAGGACAAACATTTTGTTATAGAACAACGTCAATATAAAGTTGCATTTTCTCAGCAGGGGATAATACATATAACTGGAAATGTGTGTCCTGCTGCTTATCTGTAGAGGTTCGGTAGTGTTGTGTCATCATCAGAAATCCCTTGAGGTCAAGGGTTATCCCTTTTTCACAGGTTTTGGTGGAGTAGGGTGAAGTTGCCTCTAGACCCTGATCTTGGATCAGTTTAGCATTTTTCCACTAAGGATCGGGGGTGGGTAAGCTGATCCTAGATCTGTACCTAGGGGAAACTTTACCCCGGAGAGGTTCTGGCCTGCGTGGCTTGCTTGTTGTGGGTCCTGCTGTGGCTGAGCCGATCCTGGAGCCACACACCCATCCACAGACGCTGCAAATCATATGGTTTGTGTCCCAAATGACACCCTTATTCCCTATATAGTGCACTACGTTCCTAGCTGACCCCTCTCTCTCTTCTCTCTTTTTGTCCCACCTCCTCTCTCTCCGCCCCCTCCCTCTCCATTCCCTCCTTTTCTTTACCTCCTCTCTGTCTGTTCTTTCAGAGCTGCTGCAGATCTCCGGGATCAGTCCCCATGGCAACGCGCTGGGTGCATCAGTGCAGCAGCAAAGCCAGCAGCCTGCCCAGGAGAAGAGGGGGGGCGAGGTGCTCGACTCTCACCACACCAACATCAAACTGGAGAAGAGCAACATCGTGCTGCTGGGACCCACCGGATCAGGTGAGCAGATGAAACTCCTTTGGAAGGATGGGAGCAGGTGCCAATCTGTAAGGGAAATCATTTTCTATTACAGTGTACTACTTTTGATCAGAGTCTCCTATGTCCCTCTGTGATTAAACAGTTTGTCATTGAGTCAGCTCTTCAATTGGCCCTACACTGTTATAAGGCCTGCGAAGGGTAGTAATGACATACAGTAGCAGATGTCATAAATGCTCATGAGTGTGGATGGAAACTGACTTTACACAGTTATGACACTGACACTAAGAGTTGCGCCTAGTGCCTGAATTCACCCTGCACTGTCATGAGCCCTGCATAAGGTGACACAATTATGGCATTACAGCTGGTATTACTGTCACGCTTTCTGACATGACTCTAAAGTCAATTGCTATATGCTAACATCTACTTTTACAACCATGTATGCCATCTGTTTCGTAGTCGTACGTAGTCTTTTACGAGTTCCCAAGAGGGGTCAAACAAAACACATACAAAATAGGTTGTAATAGGATTGTTGGCTTTGACATCTGTATTACAGGAAACTAAAAGTGCATTAAAGGAATATTACACTCAAAGGCATCATGACAGTTTTTGCTTTGTACTGAAAGTGCTCAGCAGACTTGACTACTGACATGCACAATTTGTTGGGATTGCGTTAACACTAGTAAACAATTGCGCTAACGCTAGTTAGCAACATCCTTCAAACTGCACGCAGAGACATAAAAATGGTGACTCTGGGGAATTAGATAAAATCCTGAAGTATCCCTTTAACACAAAGGTTTTTTTGTGTAGTATTCCATTAAACAAATGTTGTAAAATGGATGCTTTGGTATTTCCTATTTCCTGACATTGATTGACATCCATATTGCAGGTAAAACCCTCTTGGCCCAGACTCTTGCTAGGTGTCTGGATGTGCCCTTCGCTATCTGCGACTGCACCACGCTAACCCAGGCAGGCTATGTGGGCGAAGACATTGAGTCTGTGGTGGCCAAGCTCCTCCAAGACGCCAACAACTCTGTTGAGAAAGCACAACAAGGTATAGTATAATGTGTTACTTACTTGCTTGTGTATGTGAATGCCTGTGGTTGTGTATGAAATGTGACGTCAGTACGACTATATTATCAAGTATTGTACTTGTAGCACATCAACTTCAGTCCATGTTCTAAATAATAAAATAATAATAATAATATGCCATTTAGCAGACACTTTTATCCAAAGCGACTTACAGTCATGCGTGCATACATTTTTGTGTATGGGTGGTCCCGGGGATCGAACCCACTACCCTGGCGTTACAAGCGGCGTGCTGAGCTACAGAGGACAACACTACTAAGTGTTGGTTGAGTTTTGATGGTGAATTATTTAATTGGATAAAGAAAAGCTTATGAAACGTGCCATCTGTCTGACTATCTTATCAAGTACTGTACTTGTAGCAGATACATTTCCCTAAATACCCTAAGAGGGGATGTTTTTCAAAGTAAATAACTGAATTAAAGGCACAGTAGGCAACGTTTTGGGTGACCTGACCAAATTCACATAGAAATGTGAGTTATAGATCAGTCATCCTCATTGACAGTATGTCTGAGAAGCGGTAGATCTGTGCTATGTGCGCTATTTTTCTATGCTTCCCGTTCTCAAGTTTAGTTTTTGCTTGTTTTACTTTCAGTTTTACTTTCGGTCTTCAAACATCTGAAAAAACTATATTTTTAGTTATTGAAAATACATTTCACAGTAGTTTAGACGGTACAATGAAGCTCTACACTATTCAATACTTATTTTAGCAACCAGGAAATGGCGCAGCGATTTCTTCCTATTGTACCTTTAAAGATATAGTGACAGTGTAGGCCCAAGTCTTTCATGACTGCTGTGCAACATATATTTTGTTATTTCTCTATCATCACTGCACGGTGACTACACAAGGTGAAGCCAAAGATTCTTCTGTGGTAAAAATGTTGATATACTGTATGCTAACTCTATGCTCTGAACGGTGATTGGTTCTCGGTCTCTTCACTGATTGGTCCTCACAGGCATCGTGTTCCTGGATGAGGTGGATAAGATTGGCAGTGTGCCCGGAATCCACCAGTTACGAGACGTGGGGGGTGAGGGAGTACAGCAGGTCAGTGAATACTGTGTATAGATAGATATCATAGTAGACTATTTATAGATATGTAGTATGTAGATCTGTCACTGTCAGGCGGTAAAGTCCTGCCATGAACACTATTTGCCCTGTCAGTTGTAAAACCTGTATATTCTGGTTTCATAACAGATTTTCTTGACCTTTCACTGCAAGTCTGTGAAAAACACACTTGTTGACTTGTTGATCTCCCATAAGGATTACAACATGGGACCATACATACCTGTTACAGTGGTTTCCCATCCAAACTTTACTTGCTGATACTTCTTTAATTGTCTATTTGGAAAGCTCCCGTGTCTTATAACCTTCAGTGGCTAGTTGCCCGTGAAACTCAGACAATCAGACAATGCTCTGAGTTAAATCCAAAGCTAAAAAAAAATATTTTTTGCACCATGTGATAAATTCCCTCATTACCCTTCTACCATCTTGGCTGTTGCCTCTCTAGAACATATTTGCTCTAGACGCGTGTTTGATCACCCAGAAATGGCTAGGGCAAAGATGTTCCAGCACGAGGAGAGGTAATGAGGGAATTTCTCTGGGGTAGTGTACATTGTGTGTGTCTCATAATGTCCTCCGTTTGGTGGTCATTTGGTAGGGTCTACTCAAACTCCTGGAGGGCACTATCATCAACGTCCCCGAGAAGAACTCCAGGAAGCTGAGAGGAGAGACTGTCCAGGTGGACACCACCAACATCCTGTTTGTGGCCTCCGGTGCCTTCAACGGCCTGGACCGGATCATCAGCATGAGGAAGTGTGAAAAGGTGAACATTTCAATGTCAAATCTTTTATTCCAAATTGTATTTCAATTTTATTTCAATTTTTTTTATAACTACCTTTTTCTGTGAGGGAATTTCTTGTGGAGTGGTTCATACAATAAAAAACAGCACACAAATAACAAACAGTCAATACAGAACGAAACTAGGCTGCCGTCCCTGTGTGGCTCTGGCCAAATGTACTATACTAGACTAGATAGGGAGGCAAACATTTCAGACAGACCCTTGATTTTGTGGCAAGGTTGCATTTGTAAGTGCAAGGGTTTTAGTGTTACCATAAGTGATATTGCATTGAATCAATATATTATTTTTCTCACCCATCTACACACAATACCCCACAATGACAAAGTGAAAACATGTTTTTAGAAATTGTTGCACATTAATTGAAAATGGAATACAGAAATATCTCTAATTTATATAAGTATTCACAACCCTGAGTCACTACTTTGTAGAAGCGCCTTTTGCAGCGATTATAGCTGTGAGTCTTTCTGGGTAAGTCTAAGAGCTTTCCACACTTGGATTGTGCAACATTTTGTCCATTATTCTTTTCAAAATTCAATCACCGTTTCTTTTTTATCCTGAAAAACTCCCCAGTCTTTAATGATTACAAGCACACATAATTAGGTTAGTGTTGTGGAGTAACTACAATGTTGTTGATCCATCACAGCCATTAAACTCTGTAACTCATGGTGAAATCCCATAGCAGTTTCCTTCCTCTCCAGCAACTGAGTTTGGAAGGACACCTGTATCTTTGTAGTGACTGGGTGTATTGATACACCATCCAAAGTGTAATTAATAACTTCACCATGCTCAAAGGGATATTCAATGTCTGCTTCGTTGCGAGGCCTTGGCAAACCTCCCTGGTCTTTGTGGTTGAATCTGTGTATAAAATTCACTTCTCAAGACCTTACAGATATTTGTATGTGTTGGGTACAGAGATAAGGTAGTCATTCAAAAATCATGTTAAACCAGCGTTTCCCAAACTTGGTCCTGGGGACCCCAAGGGGTGCTTGTTTTGGTTTTTGCCCTAACACTACACAGCTGATTCAAATAATGAACTCATCATCATGCTTTGATTATTTCAATCAGCTGTGTAGTGCTAGGGCAAAAAACAAAATGTGCTCCCCTTCAATAAGGTCTCGAGAAGTGAATTTAAACACAGATTCAACACTATTATTGCACACAGAGTGAGTCCATGCAATTTATGTGACTTGTTAAGCAAAGTTTTACTCCTGAACTTATACTGAACAAAAATATAAATGCAACATGCAACAATTTCAACGATTTTACTGAGTTACAGTTCAAATAAGGAAATCAGTCAATTTGAAATAAATCCATTAGGATGTAATCTATATATTTCACATGACTGGGCAGGGGCGCTGACATGGGTGAGCCTGGGAGGGTATAGGCCCACCCACTTGGGAGCCAGGTCATCCCACTGGGGAGCCAGGCCCAGCCAATCAGAATGAGTTTTTCCCCACAAATAGGCTTTATTACAGCTGTCCAGGTGGCTGGTGTCAGACGATCCCGCAGGTGAAGAAGCTGGATGTGGAGGTCCTGGGCTAGCGTGGTTACGTGGTCTGCGGTTGTGAGGCCAGTTAGAAGTACTGCAAAATTCTCTAAAACGATGTTGGAGGCAGCTTATGGTAGAGAAATGAACATTAAATTCTCTGGCAACAGCTCTGGTGGACATTCCTGCAGTCAGTATGCCAATTGCACGCTCCATCAAAACTTGAAACAGCTGTGGCATTGTATTGTGTGACAAAACTGCACATTTTAGAGTGGCCTTTTATTGTCCCCAGCACAAGGTGCACCTGTGTAATGATCATGCTGTTTAATCAGCTTCTTCATATGCCACCTGTCAGGTGGATGGATTATCTTGGCAAAAGAGAAATGCTCATTAACAAGGATGTAAACAAATTTGTGCACAAAATCTGAGAGAAATAAGCTTTTTGTGCGTATGGAAAATGTCTGGGATCTTTTATTTCAGCTCATGAAACATTACATTTACATTTACCAGACGCTCTTATCCAGAGCGACTTACATTATTTTATTTTTCAAACCACCTGTGGGAATCAAACCCACAACCCTGGCGTTGCAAACGTCATGCTCTATCAACTGAGCTACATCCCTGCCGGCCATTCCCTCCCCTACCCTGGACGACGCTGGGCCAATTGCGCGCCGCCCCATGGGTCTCCCGGTCACGGCCGGCTACGACAGAGCCTGGAATCGAACCAGGATCTCTAGTGGCACAGCTAGCACTGCGATGCAGTGCCTGAGACCACTGCGCCACTCAGGAGAGTACCATGGGACCAACCCTTACATGTTGCATTAATATTTTTGTTCAGTATATTTAGGCTTGCCATAACAAAGGGGTTGAATACTTATTGACTCAAGACATTTAAGCTTTTCATATTTTATTAATTAGTAAAGATTCAGACAAAAATCATTCCACTTTGACATTATAGGGTGTTGTGTGTAGGCCAGTAACCAAACAACTTAAATGTAATCAATTTTAAATTCAGGCTGTAACACAACAAAATGTGGAAAAAAGTAAAGGGGTGTGAATACTTTCTGAATGCACTGTATCTACATGACATTACAAGGTTGTTGTGGAAAACTCGATCCAAAGATTAGGCAGAGACTAATTTATAATTATACATTAGTCAGTCTTTAATACATACGAGCAGCTGCAAGGTAGATCCCTCTCTGATCGCAGTCAGGGAAGGAGCTCCAAGAGTAAATGGTTACATGTCCCTTATATAGTAGGAGGTGATAATACAATCATATTGTTACACAACAGTTATTTATACAAGCAACAGTTCCAGAACACAATGGCCTTGTTTTAGAGTGCAGACTAAACAGGAGTCTATGAAATGCATAACATCACAGTCCAACACAGAACATATCCCTTGAGAAGTTACAAGAGCTCACCCCAAATTCTGCCACAAGGTAAATGAGAAGAACTGCAGTTGTGTTTACAACGTTCTCAACCTGATACAGTCCAGTCACTGTGGGACAAATCCTAATGAAATTGGTCTGCGTAAAAATTGACTTTAAAGCACGATTTGCGTGAAAATCCAAGTTATTCACGCATAGGCCTATCTCAAGTTAGGATGCAGCCTTTGGTCAGAAAAGACTGCAAATGTGGGTGGGATTGGGAAGGTTCAGGTGGGGTCAAGAGGACTTGGGTATTCGGAGCAGCTTCACTTGTGTGTATATAAGGTGAAAAGAAATGAGACATCAAATAGACAATGCAACATAACTACAAAATCAGCCTATAGTAGCAGAACTGTCTCTCTGTAACTGCATCCCTCCCCCTCTCTGCAGTATCTGGGCTTCGGCACACCGTCCAGTATGGGCCAGGGGCGTCGGGCAGCTGCGGCCGCAGACCTGGCCAACAGCAGCGGAGCGGAGATGGACGCCGTGCTGGAGATCGAGGAGAAGGACCGGCTCCTGAAGCATGTGGAGGCCCGGGACCTCATCGAGTTTGGGATGATCCCCGAATTCGTGGGGCGCCTGCCTGTGGTGGTGCCCCTGCACAGCCTAGACGAGGAGACCCTGGTTAGGATCCTGACAGAGCCACGCAATGCTGTCATACCCCAGTACCAGGCCCTGTTCAGCATGGACAAGGTGGGGACTCATTATTGTTATTATTAGTGGTGGTAGTAGTAGTGGTAGTGGTAGTTGAAGTATTGGTGTTACAGGTGGTAGTGGTAGTAGTAGTAGTAGAAATAGTAGTAGAAGTAGTAGTAGTAGTAGTAGAAGTAGTAGTAGTAGTAGTAGCAGTAGTGGGGTTAGTGGTGGTGGTGGTGGTAGTAGTAATAGTCGTAGTAGTAGTCGGTCCCTTCAGGATTTTGCGATTCTGTACATAAAACAGTCATCGTAATATTATTGCATAAAACTGACGATCACCACACTACAAAAAGAGGGCTCGCAATTTCAACGAATCACCCCGCAAAATAAAGCATTTATGCCTGCAAATATCACAACAAATGTTGTGTATTTATCTGTGTGTGGATGTGCACACACTAGTGTCTGTGTATATACCTCTGTGGGTTCTGATGTCTTTGCGTGTGCCTTCCAAAAAAGTTGTGATTATTTCATGAACACTTGTATTACCTCAATCTCATTCCAGTGTGAACTGAACGTAACTCCAGATGCCTTGAGAGCCATCGCCAGGTTGGCTTTGGAAAGGAAGACCGGTGCTCGTGGGCTAAGGTCCATTATGGTAAGTACCTCAATAAATATTTTGAAATGTACATTAATGTAATGTATACAGTATATTGTGATTTACATTTTGAAATGAAATGTAATGTAATTTTTGGACATGCATTTTGAAATGTACGTCTTAAACCTTTGAGGGTTGTGAGTAATATTCCATCTCTTGTCTTTTTAAGGAAAAATTACTTCTTGAACCCATGTTTGAAGTGCCACACTCAGACATCATGGCTGTTGAGCTGAACAAAGACGTAGTCCAAGGGAAATCAGTGCCTGTGTATGTAAAGTAAGTATTCATAATTACCTGAGACTCAACTCGGTTGGGGACAATACAGTTTTAAAGTGGATAAGTAACAGTCGTCAAAATGGAAACCTTACTGGAGACCTCCTAGTCATTTTTGGAGGCATGAAGCAGAAGTAGCTAGCAAAGGACAGCAGGAGCGGTAGCTAACTAACGTAAATAATCCTAGTGAGGTAGTTAGCCAACTTGTTAGCTAATGTACATACTCTCTTTGCTAGAAACCAGATTGCTGCTTAATGCCTCCAAAACGCCCATGACAATTCTCCAATAATAATAATACATTTGGACGTGTGACACATCCACTTTAATAGCGTATGGCAAAATTCTATATGGTGTGGTTTCACACCAATTTAATTGAAAATACAGTATTTTACCATTACTTTTAATTTATTTGCAGCAGAATTTAATCACTTTTTATTTGTGCCTCCAGAGCAGCTGCTAAGGAGTCTGTTGAGGAGGAGTATGACTCTGGGATAGAGGAGGAGAGCTGGCCAAGGCAGGCGGATGTAGCCAACAACTAACTAACAGATGCTGCTGTCACCTCACAAACTCAGTGCAAAATGGAACTTCAGAAATTGCCATCATTCCGATTGAATAAGCTATGGGTTTTTACAAAGACCATTATTGTAACTTCAAATGTAATTATGTCATCTGAATTACATCAATGTTGATCATGATGATGTAGGTTATACGGTTTCATACATCGGAAGAAGTTTGTTCCCATATTGGTGCAAAGGTTTAAGAATTAACATTAACTAAGTATTCTCCACCCATCTTTCCCAGAGAGAGAGAAAGGGAGAGAAAACATTCATCTGTTTAAATGTAAAGATACTTTAGTTTTTTTGGTTTTAACCACCATGTCCCTTTGATGTAATTTAGGAAGCCATTTTGTTTCTTCACAACTCTCTGATGACAAGGTCAGCCAGGTCATAGAAACCAGCATTCTTTACTGAACAGGTATTTATAGTCAAAATGTTAACTTTTTCAAAAAAGGTCAGTCTTTCTGCTCTGTGGTGGATTTGAAATATCCAACACTGGAATTACTAGTATACTGTATGGACAGTTAGTATGCCATGTATGAGATGAAACGTGGAAGATATCTGGGCTCGAGATGTGGGGCTTGAATTGATCCCAACCAGCTTTGATAATGTGAGATTTTCAACACATTTTCCCATTGTGGTTTTTTGACGTTTCTTTATGGAACAATTTAGAACTACCTACGTCTGTAACGAAGCCATGACATCACTGGTGTTTTTGAATGGAAACATACTAGTCTTTAGAAATGCATTGTCTGATTTGCTCAACACTGTACACTTAGAAACTGTTCATTCAATGCAGTTTCTTTAAAAGAAGCTGGGCTTTTTTTGTACACTTTATATACAGATATATAACGTTTTGAAATCTCAGACAGTAAGGGCCTAGAATCTAGATAATTTGCTCAATTCCACTTTAACCCCTAGGCACCTGTGTAGATCTCAGAAGATTTGATAGGTGTTAGCAATATGGTAACAGCTTAATCTTTCTCTTATGGGTTTCTGTGATGTTGGTTACACCCATCCAAACCTTTCAAATCTACACAAGTACATAGGAGCTTTAGCTAGGGGCTTATGTTGCATTCATAACCAAGTGGGAATGTAATAATTACCAGTTGTGAAGTCGTAAATACCAGTTGGATGCATTCACATGCTTTGAACTCGTTGAGAAACGCTGATTGGCTAATAGCCAACAAGCTGCTTCAAGCATAAAATAGAAGTACAGCTATCATGCTTGTAAACAAATTATTTGTTCAAAAACATATTCATAGATTATTTATAAATAATGTTTTGCTGCATGTAACTGCCTAAAATGCTGTTATCGAGGTAATTTCCTTAGTGGGTGACGTCAGAGGTCAGCATGTAGGGGAAGTTGGAGCTCAGGGATGATAGACGACTTTCCCACTAGTAATTACCAGTTGGAGGGGCGTTCAAGTAGATTTTGTATGTGGTAAATACCACCTTCCCACTTGGTTATGAACACAGCATAAGGTCTCGGTTTAGAATTGGGAAATTTTGTGATGTACAGTGCAGCAGAACTGATGCCATCTGTGTGGCAGCAACCCTATTTTGCTCAGAATAGTTGTGAACCTATGTAAATGTGAGACTTTAATAAATATATTAATCACTTAAGAGTGTTCAGAGGTTATTTGATGAACTACAGTTGTCCAGTGTTCTTCAGTCCTGGAGGGTTTATTTAGTCCCAGCCACCCAAAAACATGCACCCACATCAGTTTTTATAGGCTGCGTTCACACAGGCAGCCCAATCTTGATATTTTGCAAATTAGTGGAAAAAGTGAAAGTAAAGTAAAGTCTGAGTAAATATTTATATTATTAGATATATATTTATATTAGTTATAAAAACAAATGTCACAACAATGATCTATGAGCAGTAGAGGAACTTCTCTCTCTCTCTCTCTCTCTCTCTCTCTCAATTCAATTTAATTCAATTTAAGGGGCTTTATTGGCATGGGAAACATATGTTTACATTGCCAAAGCAAGTGAAATAGATAGTAAACCAAAGTGAAATAAACAATTAAAAAACAGTAAACATTACACTCACAAAAGTTCCAAAAGAATAAAGACATTTCAAATGTCATATTATGTCTATATACAGTGTTATATTGATGTGAAAAAAGTACAAAAGGGAAAATAAAAAAACATAAATATGGGTTGTATTTACAATGGTGTTTGTTCTTCACTGGTTGCCCTTTTCTTGTGGCAACCGGTCACAAATATTGCTGCTGTGATTGATCACTGTGGTATTTCACACAATAGATATGGTAGTTTATCAAAATTGGATTTGTTTTCGAATTCTTTGTGGGTCTGTGTAGTCTGAGGGAAATATGTGTCTCTAATATGGGCATACGTTTGGCAGGAGGTTAGGAAGTGCAGCTCAGTTTCCACCTCATTTTGTGGGCGGTGTGCACATAGCCTGGCTGCCTACGGTGGCCTTTGCTCAATAGCAAGGCTATGCTCACTGTACATAGTCAAGCCTTCCTTAATTTGGGGTCAGTCACAGTGGTCAGGTATTCTGCCACTGTGTACTCTCTGTTTAGGGCCAAATAGCATTCTAGCTTGCTCTGTTTTTTTTGTTAATTTATTCCAATGTGTCAAGTAACTATCTTTTTTTCTCATGATTTGGTTGGGTCTAATTATGTTGCTGTCCTGGGGCTCTGTGGGGTCTGTTTGTCTTCGTGAACAGAGCCCCAGGACCAGCTTGCTTAGGGGACTCTTCTCCAGGTTAATCTCTCTGTAGGTGATGGCTTTGTTATGGAAGGTTTGGGAATCGCTTTCTTTTAGGTGGTTGTAGAATTCTCTCTCTCTCTCTCTCTCTCTCTCAAGAAGTCAAGCGAAGGAAGCCAGTTAAGAGTAATGGGACCTAGTCTGCTTTCTGAAACTGTGCATCTCAAGTCTAAAGTGTCTTCCTTTCCTCGTCACCTTTCTTTCTCTTTTCTTTCCTATGCACTGACCTGACAGAATGGAATGGTTATTATATAGCTCAATGATTAAACTGTCTCATTTTTTTAGATCATAGAAGTCTGTTCTCCAAATTAGTAGAGGAGAAGAGGCAATTGTGCGGCAGGACTGATGCCAGTGACAGAAAACTCTGAATCGTTGCGAAGGACTTTGTCTTGTTTTGTACGCTTTGTACAAAATAATAAAATGCAGGACGACAGGATATTTATAAACGTAGCTCTTTATTAACTAGCTATAACTTGCATGTCCATGTGTCTCTGGCCATGATCATCTTAGAATGACCTCACCATCTGGGTGGTCTTAACCAATCATAGCACAGTATGATATGACAGTATAATGCATCCAATAACAATTCAGTATGCTGACACATATGAATATTACAGACTTCTAAAAAAGCATTTCACTGTAGTCTGCACCCGTTGTATTCGGCGTATGTGACAAATAGAATTTGATTTGATTTGAGGAGAGGTACCCACTCTACCAATTGGGATGCACCCGGTCTTTCGTTCGTTAGAAACACGGATATACGTAGTACTATATCCGGTGTGTGACGTCACCTTTTAAACATGGACGCCCAAAGCTTTCAACAACAGTGTCGTTAGCTAGCTAAATAGATTAGAAAACAACCGAGTTTATTATTTTCCACGGTATCACGCCTCTTGAAAATGGATAAACCAACGTTCCAGTCTACGTTGGGAGGACGGCAGCAGCCCGTTTCTAACACCGGAGGTCCCGAGACGTTTTACCAGAGATCGGGACCTCCATATCTCGGACCGCCGCCGATACAACCACAACCAGTATGTGAAACCTCGTTTCAAAGTAACATGCCGAGTTCAAGTAACGTTGCTGGAGCATTTTGGCCCAGTCAAAACCCTTCCCAATATCTTCCTCCACCGCAACAAGCCCCAGTTAGCGACCAGAGATTCACTCAAAGTCAAGAGTGGACTCCACCTCCACCCGTGTCAGGATATGGCAGTCAACCTTATGGTTTCAGACCCCCCATTCCACAACCACCGCCTAGATTTCAAGGCTATGGACCACCTCATATATCATCCCCGGGATATGGTTTTGATCCGTCGATACCGCCGCCGCCCCTCAACAACCCGGGACTCAGTCAGTTCCCTTCCATGTCTTCACAACCAGTTCCCTTCCACAGTCATCCAAAGCTGGAACACAACACACATGAGCGGAGACCACCAAACTCATGGGTTCAGGGCTACAATGCTGGTGATGCTCAATCGAACATGGGAACTTCAGATTTCCAAAGATCATTTGATCACAATCCAGCGTACCCTAGCCCCAGTCCACAACACAGTCAGTATGGAAACCCTGATACACGTTTTAGACCAAAGCATGCAGACAGTGGTTACTCTGAACATCGTAGCAGACCTCTCCTAGCCTCCCCCTCCTTGATTCCGATGGGAAGAGATTTGCAGCGCGACCAAGGTTTCATCAAGCCTATTGCTCCACAGCCGCCAGATGAAGACTCCATTCAGAGGATGCAAGATGAACAGTGGCTGAAACGTTTCTTGAGGAATCGAGAGAGGACAACAGCCAAGACCTCCAAACCAGCGCAACCTCATTCAAAGCAAACACACCCAAAGGTCTCCGTGACTCACATACGAGACACTCTGTATGGTGCCATAGAGCTCGTCTCAAAGCTGTCCAAGGCTTGTGAAACGTTGAAGCACAACTTGGAGAATGAGAGCGTCTGGGCGGATTCATACGCCGAGGCAGTGAGTGTGAAAACAGATCTGCAAGAGAAACTCAAGGTCCTTAGTGACCCTGAGTGTGTTGAAAGTCTTAAAAAGAAACTGAGTTCCATCAGTAAGAGAAGGGCCAGGCTACGGCGTGGAAAAGTGGAACAGGAGGATGAGAAACAGAGGGAGGAGGAACGAGTGGCTGAGCGTGAAGCCGCCATCGACAAGTGGAGGATGAAACGTATCCATGAAGTAGAGGAGAAGAAGAGGGTGAGTGAAATGAAAGAGAGCACTGTCAAACTGTGTCTGATCTCTAGCTACCCCTTTCCACCTTCAGACCATAGCCCTCCTGCTTTAAACCTAAAAGTTGTTGTTTGGTTCTAGCCCAGCACATCTGATTCAACTAAGGAAGGGTTTGATGTTTAGTTGAGAAGTCGAATCGTGCTTGTGCTGGGCTAGAAATAAACTGTGCAACCGTGGTGCTCCCCAGGGACTGGAGATGAGACACACCCTGCTCTAAGTAATGTACATTACACACGTCAGCAGTGTTCTTAGTTTTGGTATCAGTGAATTTCAAGACAATCTAACTGTTTTCATTTTGGTTTGACACGCTCATTGGACAGCTGTTGATTGATGATACACAAATCATGGACACATCTGAATATGCTTTAATGGAAACTGCTTTTTACAGATCAGTTTCCTGTGTGTGTATTTATGCACTGCTCAAAAAAATAAAGGGAACACTTAAACAACACATCCTAGATCTGAATGAATGAAATAATCTTATTAAATACTTTTTTCTTTACATAGTTGAATGTGCTGACAACAAAACAAAACAAAATTATCAATGGAAATCAAATGTATCAACCCATTTGGAGTCACCCTCAAAATTAAAGTGGAAAACCACACTACAGGCTGATCCAACTTTGATGTAATGTCCTTAAAACAAGTCAAAATGAGGCTCAGTAGTGTGTTTGGCCTCCACGTGCCTGTATGACCTCCCTACAACGCCTGGGCATGCTCCTGATGAGGTGGTGGATGGTCTCCAGAGGGATCTCCTCCCAGACCTGGACTAAAGCATCCGCCAACTCCTGGACAGTCTGTGGTGCAACGTGGCGTTGGTGGATGGAGCAAGACATGATGTCCCAGATGTGCTCAATTGGATTCAGGTCTGGGGAACGGGCGGGCCAGTCCATAGTATCAATGCCTTCCTCTTGCAGGAACTGCTGACACACTCCAGCCACATGAGGTCTAGCATTGTCTTGCATTAGGAGGAACCCAGGGCCAACCGCACCAGCATATGGTCTCACAAGGGGTCTGAGGATCTCATCTCGGTACCTAATGGCAGTCAGGCTACCTCTGGCGAGCATATGGAGGGCTGTGCGGCCCCCCAAAGAAATGCCACCCCACACCATGACTGACCCACCGCCAAACCGGTCATGCTGGAGGATGTTGCAGGCAGCAGAAGTTTCTCCACGGCGTCTCCAGACTCTGTCACATGTGCTCAGTGTGAACCTGCTTTCATCTGTGAAGAGCACAGGGCGCCAGTGGCGAATTTGCCAATCTTGGTGTTCTCTGGCAAATGCCAAACGTCCTGCACGGTGTTGGGCTGTAAGCACAACCCCCACCTGTGGACGTCGGGCCCTCATACCACCCTCATGGAGTCTGTTTCTGACCGTTTGAGCAGACACATGCACATTTGTGGCCTGCTGGAGGTCATTTTGCAGGGCTCTGGCAGTGCTTCTCCTGCTCCTCCTTGCACAAAGGCGGAGGTAGCGGTCCTGCTGCTGGGTTGTTGCCCTCCTACGGCCTCCTCCACGTCTCCTGATGTACTGGCCTGTGTCCTGGTAGCGCCTCCATGCTCTGGACACTACGCTGACAGACACAGCAAACCTTCTTGCCACAGCTCACATTGATGTGCCATCCTGGACGAGCTGCACTACCTGAGCCACTTGTGTGGGTTGTAGACTCCGTCTCATGCTACCACTAGAGTGAAAGCACCGCCAGCATTCAAAAGTGACCAAAACATCAGCCAGGAAGCATAGGAACTGAGAAGTGGTCTGTGGTCACCACCTGCAGAACCACTTCTTTATTGGGGGTGTCTTGCTAATTGCCTATAATTTCCACCTGTTGTCTATTCCATTTGCACAACAGCATGTGAAATGTATTGTCAATCAGTGTTGCTTCCTAAGTGGACAGTTTGATTTCACAGAAGTGTGATTGACTTGGAGTTACATTGTGTTGTTTAAGTGTTCCCTTTATTTTTTTGAGCAGTATATATATATATATATATACAGTGGGGGAAAAAAGTATTTAGTCAGCCACCAATTGTGCAAGTTCTCCCACTTAAAAAGATGAGAGAGGCCTGTAATTTTCATCATAGGTACACGTCAACTATGACAGACAAATTGAGGAAAAAAAATCCAGAAAATCACATTGTAGGATTTTTTATGAATTTATTTGCAAATGATGGTGGAAAATAAGTATTTGGTCACCTACAAACAAACAAGATTTCTGGCTCTCACAGACCTGTAACTTCTTCTTTAAGAGGCTCCTCTGTCCTCCACTCATTACCTGTATTAATGGCACCTGTTTGAACTTGTTATCAGTATAAAAGACACCTGTCCACAACCTCAAACAGTCACACTCCAAACTCCACTATGGCCAAGACCAAAGAGCTGTCAAAGGACACCAGAAACAAAATTGTAGACCTGCACCAGGCTGGGAAGACTGAATCTGCAATAGGTAAGCAGCTTGGTTTGAAGAAATCAACTGTGGGAGCAATTATTAGGAAATGGAAGACATACAAGACCACTGATAATCTCCCTCGATCTGGGGCTCCACGCAAGTTCTCACCCACAGTTGATGATCACAAGAACGGTGAGCAAAAATCCCAGAACCACACGGGGGGACCTAGTGAATGACCTGCAGAGAGCTGGGACCAAAGTAACAAAGCCTACCATCAGTAACACACTACGCCGCCAGGGGCTCAAATCCTGCAGTGCCAGACGTGTCCCCCTGCTTAAGCCAGTACATGTCCAGGCCCGTCTGAAGTTTGCTAGAGTGCATTTGGATGATCCAGAAGAGGATTGGGAGAATGTCATATGGTCAGATGAAACCAAAATATAACTTTTTGGTAAAAACTCAACTTGTCGTGTTTGGAGGACAAAGAATGCTGAGTTGCACCATACCTACTGTGAAGCATGGGGGTGGAAACATCATGCTTTGGGGCTGTTTTTCTGCAAAGGGACCAGGACGACTGATCCGTGTAAAGGAAAGAATGAATGGGGCCATGTATCGTGAGATTTTGAGTGAAAACCTCCTTCCATCAGCAAGGGCATTGAAGATGAAACGTGGCTGGGTCTTTCAGCATGACAATGATCCCAAGCACACCGCCCGGGCAACGAAGGAGTGGCTTCGTAAGAAGCATTTCAAGGTCCTGGAGTGGCCTAGCCAGTCTCCAGATCTCAACCCCATAGAAAATCTTTGGAGGGAGTTGAAAGTCTGTGTTGCCCAGCGACAGCCCCAAAACATCACTGCTCTAGAGGAGATCTGCATGAAGGAATGGGCCAAAATACCAGCAACAGTGTGTGAAAACCTTGTGAAGACTTACAGAAAACGTTTGACCTGTATCATTGCCAACAAAGGGTATATAACAAAGTATTGAGAAACTTTTGTTATTGACCAAATACTTATTTTCCACCATAATTTGCAAATAAATTCATTAAAAATCCTACTATGTGATTTTCTGGAATTGTATTTATCATTTTGTCTGTCATAGTTGACGTGTACCTATGATGAAAATTACAGGCCTCTCTCATCTTTTTAAGTGGGAGAACTTGCACAATTGGTGGCTGACTAAATACTTTTTTTCCCCACTGTATATACATACAGTACCAGTACAACGTTTGGACACACCTACTCATTCCAGGGTTTTTCTTTATTTTTACTATTTTCTACATTGTAGAATAATAGTGAAGACATCAAAACTATAACCTAACACATATGGAATCATGTAGTAACCAAAAACGTGTTAAACAAATGAAAATGTATTTTATATTTGAGATTCTTCAAAGTAGCCACTCTTTGACTTGATGAATGCTTTGCACACTCTTAGCATTCTCTCAACCAGCTTCATGAGGTAGTCACCTGGAATGCATTTCAATTAACAGGTGTGCTTTGTTAAGTTATTTTGTGGAATTTCTTTCCTTCTTAATGCGTTTGAGCCAATCAGTTGTGTTGTGACAAGGTAGGGGTGGTATACAGAAGATAGCCCTATTTGGTAAAAGGCAAAGTCCATATTATGGCAAGAACAGCTCAAATAAGCAAAGAGAAACGACAGTCCATCATTACTTTAAGACATGAAGGTCAGTCAATCCGGAAAATGTCAAAAACGTTGAAGTTTCTTCAAGTGCTGTCGCAAAAGCCATCAAGCGCTATGATGAAACTGGCTCTCATGCTGACCGCCACAGGAATGAAAGACCCAGAGTTACCTCTGCTGCAGAGGATAAGTTCATTAGAGTTACCAGCCTCTGATTGCAGCCCAAATAAATGCTTGACAGAGTTCAAGTAACAGACACATCTCAACATCAACTGTTCAGAGGAGACTGTGTGAATCAGGCCTTCATGGTTGTATTGCTGCAAAGAAACCACTACTAAAGGACACCAATAAGAAGAAGAGACTTGCTTGGGTCAAGAAACACGAGCAATGGACATTAGACCGGTGGAAATCTGTCCTTTGGTCTGGAGTCCAAATTTAAAATGTTTGGTTCCAACCGCCGTGTCTTTGTGTGACGCAGAGAAGGTGAACGGATAATCTCCGCATGTGTGGTTCCCACCGTGAAGCATGGAGGAGGAGGTGTGATGGTGTGCGGGTGCTTTGCTGGTGATACTGTCTGTGATATATTTACAATTCAAGGCACACTTAACCAGCATGGCTACCACAGAGCGATACGCCATCTCATCTGGTTTGTGCTTAGTGGGACTACAGGACAATGACCTAACACACCTCCAGGCTGTGCAAGGGCTACATTTCTATAAAAATTAATAAAAACCCTTGAATGAGTAGGTGTGTCCAAACCTTTGACTGGTACTGTGTGTGTGTGTGTGTATATATATATATATATATATATATATATATATATATATATATATATATATATATATATATATATATATATATATATATATATATATACAGTGCTATGAAAAAGTATTTGTCCCCTTTCTAATTTTCTCTACTTTTGCATATTTGTGATACTGAATGTTATCAGATCTTCAACCAAAACCTAATATTAGATAAAGCGAACATAAGTGAACAAATAACACAACAATTACATATTTATTTCATTTATTTCATAAACAAAGTTATGCAACACCCAATTCCCCTGTGTGAAAAAGTAATTGCCCCCTTACACTCAATAACTGGTTGTGCCACCTTTAGCTGCAATGACTCCAACCAAATGCTTCCTGTAGTTGTTGATCAGTCTCTCACGTCGCTGTGGAGGAATTTTGGCCAACTCTTCCATGCAGAACTGCTTTAACTCAGCGACGTGTGGGTTTTCAAGCATGAACTGCTCGTTTCAAGTCCTGCCACAACATCTCAATTGGGATTAGGTCTGGACTTTGACTAGGCCATTCCAAAACTTCCAATTTGTTGTTTTTTAGCAATTTTCATGTAGACTTGATTGTGTGTTTTGGATCATTGTCTTGCTGCATGACCCAGCTGCGCTTCAGCTTCAGCTCACAGACGGATGGTCTGACATTCTCCTGTAGAATTCTCTGATACAGAGCAGAATTCATGGTTCCTTCTATTAAGGCAAGTCGTCCAGGTCCTGAGGCAGCAAAGCATCCCCAAACCATCACACCACCACCACCATGCCTTTGGTATGATGTTCTTACTGTGGAATGCAGTGTTTGGTTTGAAATAAATATGTAATTGTTGTGTTATTTGTTCACTTATGTTCCCTTTATCTAATATTAGCTTTTGAAGATCTGATAACATTCAGTATCACAAATATGCAAAAGTAGAGAAAATTAGAAAGGGGGCAAATACTTTTTCATAGCACTGTTATTTATATATATATATATATATATATATATATATATATATATATATATATATATATATATATATATATATATATATATATACATACAGTGGGGAGAACAAGTATTTGATACACTGCCGATTTTGCAGGTTTTCCTACTTACAAAGCATGTAGAGGTCTGTAATTTTTATCATAGGTACACTTCAACTGTGAGAGACGGAATCTAAAACAAAAATCCAGAAAATCACATTGTATGATTTTTAAGTAATTAATTTGCATTTTATTGCATGACATAAGTATTTGATCACCTACCAACCAGTAAGAATTCCGGCTCTCACAGACCTGTTCGTTTTTCTTTAAGAAGCCCTCCTGTCATTACCTGTATTAACTGCACCTGTTTGAACACGTTACCTGTATAAAAGACACCTGTCCACACACTCAATCAAACAGACTCCAACCTCTCCACAATGGCCAAGACCAGAGAGCTGTGTAAGGACATCAGGGATAAAATTGTAGACCTGTACAAGGCTGGGATGGGCTACAGGACAATAGGTAAGCAGCTTGGTGAGAAGGCAACAACTGTTGGCGCAATTAATAGAAAATGGAAGAAGTTGAAGATGACGGTCAATCACCCTCGGTCTGGGGCTCCATGCAAGATCTCACCTCGTGGGGCATCAATGATCATCAGGAAGGTGAGGGATCAGCCCAGAACTCTACACGGCAGGACCTGGTCAATCACCTGAAGAGAGCTGGGACCACAGTCTCAAAGAAAACCATTAGTAACACACTACGCCGTCATGGATTAAAATCCTGCAGCGCACGCAAGGTCCCCCTGCTCAAGCCAGCGCATGTCCACGCCCGTCTGAAGTTTGCCAATGACCATCTGGATGATCCAGAGGAGGAATGGGAGAAGGTCATGTGGTCTGATGAGACAAAAATAGAGCTTTTTGGTCTAAACTTCACTCGCCGTGTTTGGAGGAAGAAGAAGGACGAGTACAACCCCAAGAACACCATCCCAACCGTGAAGCATAGAGGTGGAAACATCAGTCTTTGGGGATTCTTTTCTGCAAAGGGGACATGACGACTGCACCGTATTGAGGGGAGGATGGATGGGGCCATGTATCGCGAGATCTTGGCCAACAACCTCCTTCCCTCAGTAAGAGCATTGAAGATGGGTCGTGGCTGGGTCTTCCAGCATGACAACGACCCGAAACACACAGCCAGGGCAACTAAGGAGTGGCTCCGTAAGAAGCATCTCAAGGTCCTGGAGTGGCCTAGCCAGTCTCCAGACCTGAACCCAATAGAAAATCTTTGGAGGGAGCTGAAAGTCTGTATTGCCCAGCGACAGCCCCGAAACCTGAAGGATCTGGAGAAGTTCTGTATCAAAATCCCTGCTGCGGTGTGTGCAAACCTGGTCAAGACCTACAGGAAACGTATGATCTCTGTAATTGCAAACAATGGTTTCTGTACCAAATATTAAGTTCTGCTTTTCTGATGTATCAAATACTTATGTCATGCAATAAAATGCAAATTAATTACTTAAAAATCATACAATGTGATTTTCTGGATTTTTGTTTTAGATTCCGTCTCTCACAGTTGAAGTGTACCTATGATAAAAATTACAGACCTCTACATGCTTTGTAAGTAGGAAAACCTGCAAAATCGGCAGTGTATCAAATACTTGTTCTCCCCACTGTATATATATATATATATATATATATATATATATAATTATTATTTTAATTTTATTTTTTTCCCTGTATTGATTTGACACAGACTATGAACACAGTGCTTCTGTTATCTATATATTGTTGTGTTCCTCTCCCCTATCAGGAGCAAGAGCTGAAGCTGGCTGCGGACACGGTGCTCTGCGAGGTGAGGAAGAAGCAGGCAGATGCCAAGAGGATGCTGGACATCCTCAGGTCACTGGAGAAGCTACGCAAACTCAGGAAGGAGGCAGCCTCCAGGAAAGGTAAGGAGATGGAGCACTGTAATGATGGAACAGTTTCTCTTCATAACTTTTGTCTAGCCAACTGCTCTTCACCTTCACAACAACCATAGTCAAAAGTCTCTGTTCTCATTGAACACATTCAAGCAGTACCTCCCTGTTTCACTCCATTTTAAAACGTTTTCTGTCAACTGAACATAAACCTATCTCTCTGTTTGTGTGTGCTACTAGGGATCTTCCCGGAGCAGGAAGCCGACCAGGCATTTGACGGGCTGGTGGAGCGCCTGCGGGCGCTGATCAGGAAGAGGACGGGGGTTTACGGGGCAGAGGAGAACGCCCTGCGGGTGATGCTGGAAAGCGAGCAGGAGGAGGAGCGCAAGAGGGACCTGGAGAAACGACACAGGAAGGAGAGGGAGAGGCTACTGCAGAGGAAACGAGAGATGGATAGCATGCTCTTTGGAGGTAATTAGAAACCGTATAAAGACTGGTGGTTTTTCCTAAAAGGAGAGTTGGGACCCATTTTCAAGTTGTAGCCTGTTTATTTCGGGGTCGTGGAAAGAAACATTATTTTGTTAATTGGAGCACAACAATTCAGAAGGTATTAGGTTGGTCATCTCATGGCACACAACGTTTCTGAACCACTGGTAAATGAGAGGAAACAGACACAGCATTTTGAGATTGTTGTCTGATTTATAAGTTAATATCTGAATAACCATTTATCTTCTTAAAGTGACTGTTCTCCACTCATCCCCTCCTCTCCTCCAGATGAGATGCCTCCTGACCACCCCCTACAGCCCTTCAGAGAGTACTACACACAGGCAGAGCACTCACTACCAGCCTTGATACAGATAAGGTCTGTGTCACACAAGCATTTTTACTAGACTTCCCCGTGTTAGAGGAGATTTACATCCACTAAGGCCCTGTTCAAATACTTTAAGACTGCACCCTTCCTTCCTTTCCTCCTTCCTTCCTTGTTTCCTTCCTTCATTATATGTGTATGTCAAGTGTATAAAACGGCTCCACCAATGTTTTCACTGTTAAAGCATATCTAACCAGTGATATTTAACCAGTCATTAAATCAAGGAAGGAAGGATGCATGCACTTTTAAAGTACTTCAGTATCCTATGTTTTGGCTCACCTGCTGTGCTTCTCCTCCAGGAGAGAGTGGGACCTCTTTCTGGTCTCAGTGGACCACCCAGACGGCACCGCGGTCCCCCAGGACTGGGTCTTACCACAACGCCCCACAGACGAGATTTGGGCCACAGCCCTGGACCGAGGGGACTGCTTCGGACCCTGACTGACACCCATATGGGCTCTGGAAAGGACTTGTGATTCGCTAGCAGTGTATTCAGCAAGTTACTGCAATAAGATCTGCTGGAGACAAGCAAAACAGAAGAGCAAAATTTACTTTTGTTTTTTGTTTATTTCTGATTGCTATTCATGGAATGTCCACATGTGACAAATTGGCTTTCGTAGGGTAATTCTACCCTGACAAAAAATTATAATATTGTTCTTCAAAAAAATCCTGGCGATCCTTTTTTCTGTTTATTTTTTATGGTTTTCTTTAAGGATTTCTAAATCAGTTCTTACTTTTACAAACAGCTATTTGGAAGTTACTCTCTCCATCTGACATTTGACTGAATTGAAATCCTATTTATCATGAATCTCGGATTTTCTGAAGTCAATTGTACTATTTTAACATGAAATGGGCCAGTAAAACTTATTTTTTTCTGCCTGCCTGCCGTACCAGATTTTTGTCCATGGTCAGTTGGTGTCACAGCTACAGTACACTAAACACAGTTGAGCTAAACGTGTCTTACAGAGGAGGGTACTTAGTGACGTCACACTGTCTGTCTGGCTCTTGGTGACCTCCTGTTTCTCTCTGTCTACCTTTTGTTTACCACCTCTACACAGAATGAGTGTACCTAGAAACTCTTAACACCCTGGCCTGCCAAGGAAGGAAGGAATGGAAGGATTACTCTTCTCCTTGTTGTCCTTCTCATTGATTAAACCAATTGGATACCCAGTTGAATGTGTAGGACATTTGACACTGTAACATCAGACATGTTTTTGGAGTCACAAGCTCAGAGGGAAAACTAACCTGCACACCTCTCCAATACAGAGACAGATACAGATAGATACAGTGGGGGGGGGAAAAGTATTTAGTCAGCCACCAATTGTGCAAGTTCTCCCACTTAAAAAGATGAGAGAGGCCTGTAATTTTCATCATAGGTACACGTGAACTATGACAGACAAAATGAGGAAAAAAAATCCAGAAAATCACATTGTAGGATTTGTAATGAATTTATTTGCAAATTATGGTGGAAAATAAGTATTTGGTCAATAACAAAAGTTTCTCAATACTTTGTTATATACCCTTTGTTGGCAATGACACAGGTCAAACGTTTTCTGTAAGTCTTCACAAGGTTTTCACACACTGTTGCTGGTATTTTGGCCCATTCCTCCATGCAGATCTCCTCTAGAGCAGTGATGTTTTGGGGCTGTCGCTGGGCAACACAGACTTTCAACTCCCTCCAAAGATTTTCTATGGGGTTGAGATCTGGAGACTGGCTAGGCCACTCCAGGACCTTGAAATGCTTCTTACGAAGCCACTCCTTCGTTGCCCGGGCGGTGTGTTTGGGATCATTGTCATGCTGAAAGACCCAGCCACGTTTCATCTTCAATGCCCTTGCTGATGGAAGGAGGTTTTCACTCAAAATCTCACGATACATGGCCCCATTCATTCTTTCCTTTACACGGATCAGTCGTCCTGGTCCCTTTGCAGAAAAACAGCCCCAAAGCATGATGTTTCCACCCCCATGCTTAACAGTAGGTATGGTGTTCTTTGGATGCAACTCAGCATTCTTTGTCCTCCAAACACGACGAGTTGAGTTTTTAGCAAAAAGTTATATTTTGGTTTCATCTGACCATATGACATTCTCCCAATCCTCTTCTGGATCATCCAAATGCACTCTAGCAAACTTCAGACGGACATGTACTGGCTTAAGCAGGGGGACACGTCTTGCACTGCAGGATTTGAGTCCCTGGCGGCGTAGTGTGTTACTGATGGTAGGCTTTGTTACTTTGGTCCCAGCTCTCTGCAGGTCATTCACTAGGTCCCCCCGTGTGGTTCTGGGATTTTTGCTCACCGTTCTTATGATCATTTTGACCCCACGGGGTGAGATCTTGCGTGGAGCCCCAGATCGAGGGAGATTATCAGTGGTCTTGTATGTCTTCCATTTCCTAATAATTGCTCCCACAGCTGCTTACCTATTGCAGATTCAGTCTTCCCAGCCTGGTGCAGGTCTACAATTTTGTTTCTGGTGTCCTTTGACAGCTCTTTGGTCTTGGCCATAGTGGAGTTTGGAGTGTGACTGTTTGAGGTTGTGGACAGGTGTCTTTTATACTGATAACAAGTTCAAACAGGTGCCATTAATACAGGTAACGAGTGGAGGACAGAGGAGCCTCTTAAAGAAGAAGTTACAGGTCTGTGAGAGCCAGAAATCTTGCTTGTTTGTAGGTGACCAAATACTTATTTTCCACTGTAATTTGCAAATAAATTCATTAAAAATCCTACAATGTGATTTTCTGGATTTTTTTTCTCAATTTGTCTGTCATAGTTGACGTGTACCTATGATGAAAATTACAGGCCTCTCTCATCTTTTTAAGTGGGAGAACTTGCACAATTGGTGGCTGACTAAATACTTTTTTTCCCCCACTGTATGTTCTATATAGAGCTGACTCGAATCCCTATTCTATATGACAGATATAACCAAATAAAATGGAATTTGTCACGTATAACTGGTGTAGACTTTACTGTGAAATGCCCTTCAGAAAGATGCAAAATAAAACAAATAGAAATAGTAACACGAGAAATAAAATGCACAAGAATGGAGCTATATACAGTGAGTACCAGTACCAGATCAATGTGGAGCTATATACAGGGAGTACCAGTAGCAGATCAATGTGGAGCTATATACAGGGAGTACCAGTAGCAGATCAATGTGGAGCTATATACAGGGAGTACCAGTAGCAGATCAATGTGGAGCTATATACAGGGAGTACCAGTAGCAGATCAATGTGGAGCTATATACAGGGAGTACCAGTACTAGATCAATGTGGAGCTATATACAGGGAGTACCAGTACTAGATCAATGTGGAGCTATATACAGGGAGTACCAGTAGCAGATCAATGTGGAGCTATATACAGGGAGTACCAGTACTAGATCAATGTGGAGCTATATACAGGGAGTACCAGTAGCAGATCAATGTGGAGCTATATACAGGGAATACCACTACCAGATCAATGTGCAGAGGTACGAGGTATTTGAGTTAATGTGTTATGGCTTGGGACTTATCATATCTGTTCTACCAAATATATTTATATCTGAATGCTCTGTAATTTTTCACCCTCCTTAACAGACCCTGGAGGTAGTCCCAAATGGCAGCCTATTCCCTATATAGTGCACTACTTTTCAAACTTGTGCACTATATAGGGAATACTGGAATAGGGTGCCATTTGGGACGCGGTTACAGTGTAATGGTAGTGTTGTTTTCCATGGGTCTTTCCAGTCGACATGTGCCTCGGCAGCAGCAGGTAAGCTGCTGAAGTCAGTGTGTTATATCAGTAACGTAGTGGTTCAGGAGGGTTAATCCTCCTGTATCCTCAGACCTCACGCCCACTGCTCTTAATTGCCAACAGGTTGGGAGAGTCAGCAACAACACACACCACATCAGTAACCCACGCCTGAGAGAGGAAGGACGCACTACAGAGAAGAGAGGGACTGCTCACAGAAACAAGTACAGGTACGTAAACAAATACATTTATTTGAGTAGAAAATGTTTTGTGATGACTTATGGATTTGGTTGAGTTTGAGTATTTACTTGATGGTAGCGCCTCATGTCACGCCAACTTGTTTCTTTCACATAAGGATGTTTTGATATGCTTGTGCTATCATTTTGAGCAGCAAATGCTTTTCCAGAGGTTCATTGTAGGGATGGAGTACATACTGGATGATAGTTCCTCTGGTGATGAGAATAGTTACCATGTGGCAGGGAATGCTGCTGGGTGATATTAGTCAGTTATTTTATTGTGATTGGAATTATCTTATTTTTACTAGCCTACTTCATATTACCCTTCATTGTTAAGGTAGTATCTAGTAGAAGTAACCACTAGTTTTCCTCTTGCTTCTTTTGGGCAACTGTAACTTACTGAACCCTTGTTCATCAGTCAATGTCCAGTGTATGGCACTATTGTCGTCTTGGTACATAATACCTGTAATAGCGTTATGTGTTTCTCGTGTGTTTCTCATATTTTTCACTCACCTTTGCATGATGGCCATAATAGGCCTACAAGTGTTGAACAATATGGAAGGTGTTTCCCCACTCTCTGGAATCATACAAAATATTTGCTGAATAGGTTATTCATTTAAAAGGATAGATAGATAGTCCTACTTAAAAGAAACACAACATTTAGAAAAGACAAAGCATTTCCAGTGGTGCAGTTTAACAAAGGAAACAGACGACTATACTGTACAATGTAGATCTACTGTCATTGGCTTCTTGAACATTCCATTGTCTCGCTCTTTGTGCACTTAAAAACAAGTTGATGAGCTTAACCGGCATCTGTCTGTTTAGGTCTCCAGCCTGGTCATTAGTCCAGCTCCATTTGAAGCTAGAGGGGCAGCCATAGAATTAAAACAAGTGGAGCTAAAATGGGTACAACCCCTCAGACCACAATTTGACTTGTCCACCCATTGTGGCATCATTGACTTGAATGAGGACATTCATTCTACTCGTTATGGTTCTGTGGAGCAGACATTCCCATTCAAATTAACATCTCGTGGTGGGTACGTCGGTGGCCATATTGGTGTACCATTAGGAATGTTGGATCAATCGAGGCTTCTCACATCAGGGCCAATGCCAATATTCATAAAGCAATCTTGGATCAGGTCCCGCATGTTCACATAGGCCTAATCTTATTCATTATGATCTTAAAGGCAAAACTTATCTTAGATCAGTACTCTACCCTGAGACATTTTATGAATACGGGCCCAGAATTCTGTGCTACATAAAAATGTTTTGTTGTTGCAACAATCACTTTTTTCAACATTTTGGCCATGCCTCAAATCACAATCTTTGATGTATTCCCTATATAGTGCTCTACTTTTGACCAGAGATAAGTAGTGTACTGTATAAAGAATAGGGTATTATTTTCCTTTCTAGTCATTCTAATTCTACGGCAGCAGCCATATTGAGGTTGATGATCAGCTGTGGTGGTGGGAGGGACTTAATGGTGATGACGCTTTAGCCTCGTCATAACACCTTCTGTCTGCCATCGGAGGGTTTACTGGTGTGTGTACGTGTGCATCTGTTTGCGTTCATTCTTTCGTACGGCAGTGTGTGTGTAGGCGTGCATGCTTGCTTTCTGCCTTGCGTGCGTGTGTGTTTTCCGTCCCTTTCGGCCAATAGGAGAGGAGCATCAGGTGTTGACGACTGAGAGGGTCAGACGTGGTGCCTTATCATCCTTAATCCTCTATCCCCAGACTTCGCTCTCCTGGATTGTGTAACAGAATCTACCGATATAAAAAGGAAAAAGAGCCTGGGATTTCTGAGAACCAAGAGGAGAGTCTGTTTTGGTCTCTTCGGAGCTCCGATCCAATCCAATCCTGTTTAAATGTGACAGAGATACCAGGCAATTTATTTCAGGAGAGGCAATATAGCTCACTTGTCAAACCTTAACACAACACTTGGGGTGGATTTGCCATTACCAGTGGAATAGATGTCTTTAGACTGGCTGTTCAGTATTATATTAAACCTGTTCTGAAGTGCAACATGTAGCTCAACAATGGTTGTAGTCTCTCAGTACCAGACCTCAACACCGTATTCTAGTTACTAGAACAGCTGGAGTCGAGGTTACAATGATTGACAATAGTAGACTGTGTTGAAAACTGATATCTCTCTCCTCTCTCCCTCCTCCTCTTCCTCCCCATCCTCCTCCTCCTCTTCCTCCCCATCCTCCTCTCCCCCTCTTCCTTCTCCTCTCTCCCTTCTCCTCCTCTCTCCCTCCTCTCTCCCTTCTCCTCCTCTCTCCCTCCTCCTCTTCCTTCTCTTCCTCCTCACCCGCCTCCTCTGTCCCTCCTCCTCCTCTCTCCCTTCTCCTCTCTCCCTCCTCCTCCTCTCTCCCTCCTACTCCTCTCTCCCTCCTACTCCTCCTCTTCCTTCTCCTCCTCCTCTGTCCCTCCTCCTCCTCCTCCTCCTCTGTCCCTCCTTCTCCTCTCTCCCTTCTCCTCTCTCCCTCCTCCTCCTCCTCTCTCCCTTCTCCTCTCTCCCTCCTCCTCCTCCTCTCTCCCTTCTCCTCTCTCCCTCCTCCTCTCTCCCTCCTACTCCTCTTCTATCCCTCTCCACCAGGGACCAGAAGAGCAGCAGGAGGATGTCCTGTCTGGACGATATTCCCTTTAAGACCCTTCTGGGATCTCTGGAGGGGCCCAGGGAAGAGGTGGAGCTGATCACGGCCCCAGACATCACTGTCCCAGACTACCTCACCATACTGCAGGAGACAGAGGTTGGTGTGTGTGTGTGTGTGTGTTTGTGTGTGTGTGTGTGCGCAATACCGCGCAATACCACACAACCCCCTCATACTGCAAGAGATTGAGGGTAGAATACACATCACTACCATTCACTTTTATCACTCCACATTATCACTGATCATTGCAAGGAGCTGTTTAGTATGATATGAAGTCAGAACAACACAGACCCTCTACCATTAACACCTACTTCAGATCTCTCCCTGCCATCCAGTTCTGTTAGTTCAGTGATTATGACAGGTGAGGTGAGATGTATAAAAAAGGCTTTTCTATACTGGGACAAAGACACAAAGCCTATCATTTATTTATTTGTCGATGACACCAGAAAGCTTTATTGCCAAACTACACATGGTTGCAAGGACTTTTTCGCTGTGTTACACAGGAGACAAAAACATAAACATCAAAACAGATAGAACATAACACATTTTTAACAAGGGGGTGGTTTAAACACGCTGTTTTCCAATGTTGTCATCGACTTTTACTGGGTAGAAGTTGAAGCCATGGTAAAATGGCTGACGTCTCCTACTCTTGTCTTAGTGTAATTAGGACTATTATGATACTGGGTGGCCTTTGACCCGTCCACTGCTACACTGCCAGATCTAAATCCCACAGTGACCCCCGACATGGTTGTGTATTTAACGGTGAAGGGAAAATATCTCTCTTCGGTTCAGTTGTCAAAACCTTGGCCAAGCTTTCTCCTTAATTGTGTTAGGGTTTGAGTATGGTTAGTTTCTAAATTCCCAGAGGCCTCAACACACAGAGTGTGTAGGATGTTCTCCCTACATAGCCCATAGGCTATAACATAGCTTAATACTGGGGCCAGAAAAACTGCTGGGAAGTTTTTTTTTTAAATCAATACCTTTACGGCATGGCCTTTATGTAATTAATTAAACATCAACAAAAATGGTGGTTTCCTGGTCCCAGTTCTGTTTGTGCTATACTCGCCAACTTCTATGGTCATTGGCAAGTCAGCACAATCAGATCTGAGAACAGGCTAATTTGTGGAAGTATTTGGTTGGATTTGAATTAATTTCATAGGTATTGTCCTAAATAAATACAAATCTATTAACTTCTGCCTTTGCAATGCATATAGTACGTACATTAGATGGCATTGTATACCTTAACATCTCTCTGACTTCTCTTGAAGCCCCAGTACTGCAAGTCTCTTTATTCTTCCAGCTGGTGGGAGACAGAGCATGCATCCCAAATGGCACCCTATTCCCTATATAGTGCACAACTTTTGACCAGAGGCCTATTGGCCCTGGTGAAGATTATTACACTATATAGGGAATAGGCAGCCATTTGCAACGCATACAGAATCTCCTCATTGTTAATATTACCCTAAAGCCATAGTCATTATGGTTTATGATCTGATAAACCCAGTGTGATTATTATAGGAGCCTTATTTGGAGATTTTCTGATTTTACTTTCACCTCCTCTGATCTGGAGAGAGTTGAGTTTGACAGCCTCATCCATCCAAAGCCAACAGAACCTGGGTTGTGTCCCAAATGGCACCCTATTTCGTATGTAGTGCACGGAATATAAAGAGAACAGGGGTGCTATTTGGTAAGAACTACTAGTCTGGGAATTGGAATTGTGAACACACACACACACACACACACACACACAGACATACGCAAATGTGAACGTGCACACACACACCTCTATTGCAAGTGCCTGTGGGATCAATTCATTCATCTTGTTAACAGAGAGAATAGCTTCAATCTGATGTATGGTTTTGTGGTTTTTGGCATCACATGCAAGGCTATTTCCTACAGTCTGGGAAATTGATTGGAAGGCAAACAAAGCCAAAAATGTAGACAAAATGAAGGAATTGATTGTGAAACATTTGCTGTGATGCGTCCTTGGCCTTATTGGATCCTTCCTTCCTCACTTCCTTCCCTTAATCACATGATATTGGATAAGTGAAAGATCAAGTCGCTAAGGGAAAGCTGAGTGGGTGTTAGACATTGGCAGTGGGTAAGTTGATGAGGTGCGTGACACCTTAACAATGTGAAGCGCTTTGAGGGAAGAAGGAAGCATTTGCTAGACTGACTGCTTACCTTATTGATTGTTTGATTGATTGTTTGATTGGTTGGTTTGCCATTTGATTGGTTTTTATTCGAAAATATGTTAGTGACAATATAACATGATTCAATGGTTCTCTTAAAGTACACTCCATTTATCCATCCATCCACCCACCCATCAACCAACAACCATTGACTAACCCATCTTCACCTCTGTCTACAGTACATGTTCAGCTTGGAGAACTGGGTGCTCCAGGGCCTCCAGGGAGGTTACCCCAGCCAGCCCCAACCCCCCGGCCCCAGATCCCCATCCGAGGTGCTCCCCTCCAGCCCACCCTACTGGCACCTCTTCAGCAGCCCCCAGGAGAGCCGCCTGGCCAGCCGACACAGCTCTGACTTCTGGGAGCCCAACCCCCGCCAGCGCTCCCACAGCCTGAACCCGGTCGACATGCGCACCCGGGTCAAGTTCGTCATCTCCGACTCCGAGGAGGAAGAGGAGTGCTCTTCGTCGGGAGAGGGTTCCTCGGAGTCCGGTTCAGGGTACGTGTCGGATCAGCGTGTTCCTGGGGTGAGGAACCCACGGCAGACCTGCACCCCTAACGTCCTGAACCTACCTGTATCTCAGAGCGGTCTGGTGACCTACCAGCGTAGGAAGAACCTCCGCCAGTCCTCACTGTCCGTTCTGGAGACCTCCAGAGAGTGTAGTCAGGGGACACCCTGCCCCCCAGGAGGACACAAGCCACCACCCTCCTCATCCCTGTCCAGACACCCATTGACCAGGGCCAACACGGAGCATGTCCCCTCCATCAGACACCACAAGCCAACACATCCGGTACGGACATGACCTCCTATTAGGAGAAATATAGTAGATAAATGGTATTGAAGGCTCAGAATACATTATTATTGTTAGATAGTTAAAGGGATAGTTCCCTGACATGACAAAATTACGTATTTGTTTACTTGCCTTGAAATTGCTTTGGATTGGTTTACCTAGCCACTGTCACCAACGTTAGTTAAGTTCTTTAGCTGTACACATTCATGAACATCGACACACACAAAAACCAGATCAGAGTCTCTTTGGATAAAAGTGTCCGTTTTATATTATTATTGTCCAACTGATGAGCTCAATATTATCTGGCATAGTAGGCTATTCTATTCCACAATCCCTTATTTCATATTTCTAGGAATTAGTAGCAATGGGTTCAGTTACACCCGGGTATGCCTCTATCAATAAGTGGGAATGTTTTCCCATTTCTTAAAAAAACTTTTTCTCTAGGATGTGTAGTTCAAGTCCCCACTTCCTAGTTCCCATGGGCTATCTTTAAAAACTAAAGCCCCAAACCAGATGTCCTCAGTGAGCAGAGTATGACGGTACTATAACTGTCTCTGCCTCGGAGCAGCGTGGGCCTGGAAAAAGATGAGGGAGTTATTTAAACCCCCACACTAAGTAACAGACCTATTCTAATGCCAACCACAGCTCAACAAGCTCATGTGGGATTTGCTCAACTTTGACTCCAGATACAGCAGATATCTTGAATGGAGATTGTATTTCAGATTAACTTCATACTTTGAAATAGATTTGTAAAATGAAATTCATATTTTTGTAAAGCGAATTGTATACAGTATGTCAGTTGATAGAGAAAACAGATCCTCCTGAGTATATTAAGCTTTTTTTCCAATTGACATTTCTCAAATGTTTCGAGGGATGTGCGCTCTAAGTATAGCTAGTGTAAAGTCTGTCCTTGGAATCGTCTCAAGTTATTACAATTTCATCAGGATTAGCGAGTGGAATTACTCGGGGAAATGTCTTTCTCAGCAAAGCAGTGTTTCAAGGTTAGCCAGCCATGTACGTTTCGGTGCTGTCATGCACTATAAATGTTGCCCTCATATTGCGTGAATGTTGCCAGTTCCACGTACAGGCTGTCAGTCAGGTTGTCAGTCTACAGGCAAATAGAGAGGCATCACAGTCAGGCTGGGGTTTCAGGCTGACCCTCTCCCTGCATGGTGTTTTCTGACTTTCTTTCTGACTTTCTTTCTTTCTTTCTGACTTTCTTTTTCTTTCTGACTTTCTTTCTGACTTTCTTTCTTTCTGACTTTCTTTCTTTCTTTCTTTCTGACTTTCTTTCTGACTCTTTCGGACTTGGCTTTCTTTCGACTTTCTTTCTCTGACTTTCGTTGTTTCTTTGTTTCGTTCTTCTGACTTTCTTTTGGTTTCTTCCTTTTTCTTTCTGACTTCTTTTCCTTTCTTCTTTCTCTTTCTGACTTTCTTTCTGACTTTCTTTCTTTCTTTGTCAAACTCCCCACCTCCCCTCCCCCTCCCCTACTCTCTCCCTCTCTCTCACACTCTCTCCTCTGCTCTCCCCCCCTGCGTGTGCAGTCCCTGAGTCCGTACTTCTGCCTGCCGGCCCTTCCCTCGGTGACCTCACGACCCCTGGGTTCCCACGCCACGTCAGTGCTGGACTCCTCGGTGGAGCTGCTGTCCGCGCTGAGCCCTGAGGAGAGAGAGCTGCTGCAGGCCATCACAGAAAGGGGCTATCCGCTCCGCACCGCCATCATCGCCCTGCAGAAGACCGGCCAGCAGAGCCCAGAACAGGTCCGTCTTAAAACACAGTCACAAACATTTCATAGACATATGAATTTGACCAGTTTCTAGAATGTAAGTTTCTCTGACCAAGATGGCCGTCCTGTAGTTGTGTTGCCGGGATGCCAATATCCGCTCTAGTGCTCTATTTAATTCTGTGGTCAACACAACACTATGGACATTTAGCAGAGGCTTTTATCCAAAGTAATGTGTGTTGTGTTTTTACATGACATCATTGACACACCGGACAGAGTGATATGTTGATGTAGCAGCGTAATGTGTTCTAGCCTAAAAAGACATTGCCATCAAGTGTAGTTGAAACAGATCTCTCTCCGATCCCGTCAGCCACATCTCTCTGTTCTCTTTTTCAATAGCGCAGGTGCATAAAGATGGCGGCCCCAAATCCCTTGTTTTGCTAAGTTCGCCTTCATGTGTCCTTCTTCATGTGTTAGTATATAGACAAACAAAATAAGGATAGCAATTCAAACTATAAAGGCGCTTCTCATCTAAACCATATTGCAAATAATGTTGCACACTTGATTCATTAACCAGACATTCTATGCTTTACACTGAACATGTAAAGGGGGTAGATGTTTCCCACATTACCAATGGAGGTGGGTTGGGAAAGAGGGATTTGAATCTAGATCCGTCTCTAATACACAACAACAATATGTGTCCTGGAACTAGAATGTGTAGTCAGACTAGTGTAAAAAGGCCCTTAGCTCAGGCTTAGCGGTCCTGTCTCTAAGTAAAAAGAGCAGATCACTAAACATCCCTAATCCTCTGCTGCTTCAACAGACGTGGTTCAAAGAGTCTACCATATCCCTTTATCCCCTGGATGTGTCTGTGTTATTCTGTTCAAAGCCAACCAAGTCTGATATCCCTAATGCTGCATCTCAACTGGGTTCACATACTATTTGAAATCTTTCAAATAGTAATAGCGTTTGCTTTAACCTGCCTGGAATGCCAGATGGGCGGGGATTGTACTTTTGTGACTATTCTATTGGTTCCATTGCACCAAGCAAGCTCAATCAAGCCCAGCTAAAGTATTTGGAATAATTTGAAATAGTATGTCAACCTTCTTCATATTGTAAAGGTACAATCGCTCCCGACCCGTGTTATGAAATGTAATGTAATATTTTTTATTGTATATATACTGTAACTGCATGAATGTTGCTGGACCCCAGGAAGAGTAGCTGCTGCCTTGGCAGGAACTAATTGGGATCCTTAATAAATTCAAAAAATACATACAACCAAAAGCCCCACGTTTATGTAATTTGCTACAGTGCCACATTTCTGAGCAATGAGCCCACGTAGCTGGACATGCTGCCAGCACTCTCAACTTTTCCCCATCCGACAGTGTGCATCTACCTCACTGTTGGCTTTGGCGTTTAACGACCGAGCAGAACATATGGTTTTAGCTCCCCGCAGCCCGGCTCGTATTTGATGCCATTTGCCTATGAAGAGGGAGAGGGGAGGAGGTTAAAAAACACAATTGTAAAAATAGATACCAGATCCTCCAAAGTTTCCACAACCTGCTCAGTATTATGTGTGTTCTCAGCAGAGTCACATATACACTACCGTACAAAAGTTTGGGGTCACTTAGAAATGTCCTTGTTTTCGACAGAAAAGCAAATTTTTTGTCCATTAAAATAACATCAAATTGATCAGAAATACAGTGTAGACATTGTTAATGTTGTAAATGGTTATTGTAGCTGGAAACGGCAGATTTTTAATGGAATATCTACATAGGCATACAGAGGCCCATTATCAGCAACCATCAGTCCTGTGTTCCAATGGCACGTTGTGTTTGCTAATCCAAGTCTATCATTTTAAAAGTCTAATTGATCATTAGAAAACCCTTTTGAAATTATGTTAGCACAGCTGAAAACTGTTGTGCTGATTAAAGAACAATAAAACTGCAAAGAAATGCCATATCTCAGACTGGTCAATAAAAATAAAAAATTAAGATGGGCAGTCTGAGATATGGCTTTTTCTTTGCAACTCTGCCTAGAAGGTCAGCATCCCGGAGTCGCCTCTTCACTGTTGACGTTGAGACTGGTGTTTTGCGGGTACTATTTAATGAAGCTGCCAGTTGAGGACCTGTGAGGTGCCTGTTTCTCAAACTAGACACTTTAATGTATTTGTCCTCTTGCTCAGTTGTGCACCGGGGCCTCCCACTCCTCTTTCTATTCTGGTTAGAGCCAGTTTGCGCTGTTCTGTGAAGGGAGGAGTACACAGCGTTGTACGAGATCTTCAGTTTCTTGGCAATTTTTCGCATGGAATAGCCTTCATTTCTCAGAACAAGAGTAGACTGACGAGTTTCAGAAGAAAGTTATTTGTTTCTGGCCATTTTGAGCCTGTAATCGAACCCACAATTGCTGATGCTCCAGATACTCAACTAGTCTCAAGAAGGCCAGTTTTATTGCTTCTTTAATCAGCACAACAGTTTTCAGCTGTGCTAACATAATTGCAAAAGGGTTTTCTAATGATCAATTAGCCTTTTAAAATGATAAACTTGGATTAGCAAACACAACGTGCCATTGGAACACAGGACTGATGGTTGCTGATAATGGGCCTCTGTACGCCTATGTAGATATTCCATAAAAAATCATAGCCATTTAAAACATTAACAATGTCGACACTGTATTTCTGATCAATTTGATGTTATTTTAATGGACAAAAAAATAGATTTTCTTTAGAAAACAAGGACATTTCTAAGTGACCCCAAACTTTTGAACGGTAGTGCAGTTTCAGGGGCTGCCTCTGGCTCCTCTCCCTCAGGGTTACTTCTGGCTCCTCTCTCTCAAGGGGGGCTGGCCTCTGGTACTCTCCCTCAGGGGTGCCTCTGGCGCCTCAGGGGTTACTTCTTCGGCTCCTCTCTCTCAGGGGCTACCTCTGGCTACTCTCCCTCAGGGCGTGCCTCTGGCTCCTCTCCCTCAGGGCTACCTCGGCTACTCTCCCTCAGGGCTGCCTCTGGCTACTCTCCTCAGGAGCTGCCTCTGCTCCTCTCCCTCAGGGCAACCTCTGGCCCCTTCCCTAGGGCTGCCTCTGGCTACTCTCCCTCAGGCTGCCTCTGGCTACTCTCCCTCAGGGGCTGCCTCTGGCTCCTCTCCCTCAGGGGCTGCCTCTGGCTACTCTCCCTCAGGGGCTGCCTCTGGCTACTCTCCCTCAGGGGCTGCCTCTGGCTACTCTCTCTCAGGGGCTAACTCTGGCTTCTCTCCCTCAGGGGCTGCCTCTGGCTCCTCTCCCTCAGGGGCTACCTCTGGCTCCTCTCCCTCCGTGTGATGCATGGTCCAGTGGGCAGGGCCCTGGAGGGGGGGCTTTGGGAAGCAGCGGAGGGGGAGTGGATAAACAGGACCATGAATCAAGTGACACATTCAAGTTAGCTGGGCTAAATGGTTTAGAAAGTTGCCTAGCCTGCTGTGTGGAGGTTGTAGCCAGGGTTCAGCTCTTCTCTTATGCCCCCCCCCCCCCTCTCTCTCTCTCTCTCTCTCGTCAGCCCTCTCTCTACACCGCCCACCCCCTTTGCTCCTATCTATTTCTCTCTCCATCCTTCCTCAACCCTCTCTTCCATTTTCTTTTTATCTCTCTCTCCTTCCATCTCTCCCTCCCTTCCCTCTCTCCTTCCATCTCTCCCTCCCTCCCCTCTCCTTCCATCTCTCCCTCCCCTCTCTCCTTCCATCTCTCCCTCCCTCCCCTCTCTCCTTCCATCTCTCTCTCCTTCCATCTCTCTCCTTCCATCTCTCCCTCCCTCCCCTCCCTCCTTCCTCTCTCTCCTTCCATCTCTCCCTCCCTCCCCTCTCTCCTTCCATCTCTCTCTCCCTCCCTCCCCTCCCTCCCTCCCCTCTCTCCTTCCTCTCTCTTCTTCCATTTCTCCCTCCCTCCCCTCTCCCCTTCCCTCTCTCTCCCCCCTCTCTCCCTCCCCTCCCCTCTCTCCTTCATTTTCCCCTCCTTCCCCCTCCCCCCTTCCCTCTCCCCTTTCCCCTCTCTCCCTCCCTCCCTCCTTTCCTTTCCCCCTCTCCCTTCCTCCTCCTCCCTCCCCCCCTTCTTCCTTCCTCTCCCCTCCTCCCTTCCCCTCCCCCCTCCCTCTCTCCTTCCTTCCTCCCCCTTTTCCCCCTTCCCCCTCTCTCCTTCCTCCTTTTCCCCCACCCCCCTCCCCCCCTTTCCCCCCCCTCCCCCTTCCCCTCCTCCTTCCATTTTCCCCCTCCCTCCCCTCCTCTCCCTCCCCCCTCCCCCTCTCCTTCCCCCTTCCCCCCCTCCCTCCCTCCCCTCTTTTCCTTCCCCCTCTCCCTCCCTCCCTCCCCCCTCCCTCCCCCTTTTTCTCCTTCCATCTCTCTCCCTCCCTCCCCTTCTCCTTCCTCTCCCTCCTTCCTCCTCTCCCTCCCTTCCTCCTCCCCCTTCCTCTCTCCCCCTTTCCCTTTTCTCTCCCCCCTCCCCTCCTTTTTCCTCCCTCCCTCCCCTCCCTTCCTCTCTCTCCTTCCATTCTCCCTCCCTCCTCCCCCCCCTTCCTTCCTCTCTCCCCCCTCCCCTCTCCCCTTCCTCTCGCCCCCCCCTCTCTTCCTCCCTCCCTTCTCTCCACCCTTCCTTCTCCCCGTCAAGTAAAGAAAAGCAGCGGGGTTTTAAACATCCGGGGATCAACTCTTTAATCAATTACCTATTTAATCAGTGTAATCCCCCCGCCCTCTCTCTCTCTCCCTCCGTCTTCCTGTTAAAACAGGCCATGGGTCACCCTGCTCTCACACATATTACCTTTCACTCTGCTGATCTCAGATCAGTTATTCTCCATTTCAGAGTGATGTCATTAGCACAAGATTGGCTTATCAGATTTTTTAAAATATATACAGTGGGGAAAAAAAGTATTTAGTCAGCCACCAATTATGCAAGTTCTCCCACTAAAAAGATGAGGAGCCCCGTAATTTTCATCATAGGTACACGTCAACTATGACAGACAAATTGAGAAAAGAAAATCCAGAAAATCACATTGTAGGATTTTTAATGAATTTATTTGCAAATTATGGTGGAAAATAATTATTTGGTCACCTACAAACAAGCAAGATTTCTGGCTCTCACAGACCTGTAACTTCTTCTTTAAGAGGCTCCTCTGTCCTCCACTCGTTACCTGTATTAATGGCACCTGTTTGAACTTGTTATCAGTATAAAAGACACCTGTCCACAACCTCAAACAGTCACACTCCAAACTCCACTATGGCCAAGACCAAAGAGCTGTCAAAGGACACCAGAAACAAAATTGTAGACCTGCACCAGGCTGGGAAGACTGAATCTGCAATAGGTAAGCAGCTTGGTTTGAAGAAATCAACTGTGGGAGCAATTATTAGGAAATGGAAGACATACAAGACCACTGATAATCTCCCTCGATCTGGGGCTCCACGCAAGATCTCACCCCGTGGGGTCAAAATGATCACAAGAACGGTGAGCAAAAATCCCAGAACCACACGGGGGGACCTAGTGAATGACCTGCAGAGAGCTGGGACCAAAGTAACAAAGCCTACCATCAGTAACACACTACGCCGCCAGGGACTCAAATCCTGCAGTGCTAGACGTGTCCCCCTGCTTAAGCCAGTACATGTCCAGGCCCGTCTGAAGTTTGCTAGAGTGCATCCAGAAGAGGATTGGGAGAATGTCATATGGTCAGATGAAACCAAAATATAACTTTTTGGTAAAAACTCAACTCGTCGTGTTTGGAGGACAAAGAATGCTGAGTTGCATCCAAAGAACACCATACCTACTGTGAAGCATGGGAGTGAAAACATCATACTTTGGGGCTGTTTTTCTGCAAAGGGACCAGGACGACTGATCCGTGTAAAGGAAAGAATGAATGGGGCCATGTATCGTGAGATTTTGAGTGAAAACCTCCTTCCATCAGCAAGGGCATTGAAGATGAAACGTGGCTGGGTCTTTCAGCATGACAATGATCCCAAACACACCGCCCGGGCAACGAAGGAGTGGCTTCGTAAGAAGCATTTCAAGGTCCTGGAGTCTCCAGATCTCAACCCCATAGAAAATCTTTGGAGGGAGTTGAAAGTCCGTGTTGCCCAGCGACAGCCCCAAAACATCACTGCTCTAGAGGAGATCTGCATGGAGGAATGGGCCAAAATACCAGCAACAGTGTGTGAAAACCTTGTGAAGACTTACAGAAAACGTTTGACCTGTGTCATTGCCAACAAAGGGTATATAACAAAGTATTGAGAAACTTTTGTTATTGACCAAATACTTATTTTCCACCATAATTTGCAAATAAATTCATTAAAAATCCTACAATGTGATTTTCTGGATTTTTTTTCCTCATTTTGTCTGTCATAGTTGACATGTACCTATGATGAAAATTACAGGCCTCTCTCATCTTTTTAAGTGGGAGAACTTGCACAATTGGTGGCTGACTAAATACTTTTTTTCCACACTGTATAATGTGTCTATAGACTCACCTAATGTGTCTTCCTCATCCTGGTGTGTGTGTGTGTGACACCAAGTTGTCACTGCAGAAATATGATCTGACTTAATTATCATCGTTATAGATACTGCTGTGTTAGGAGTAATTGGACTCTTGCCATAATGGCACACATATTGATATAGAACACCACAGAGCACAGTGCCAGATTCACAAGAACCACATCAGTTAATACTCACAGTTACACTGAAACATTTACCCTTTTCACACTACCAATCTGTAATGCACTGACATGGTTACGCATCCACCATAGTTACTGAAGCCGTGCTGGAAAGGACAATATGAAAAGAAAATATCTAAGTCAGCACAGTACAGTTGAGATCAGTGTGATGGTGTGAAACGGGTATTCTTCTAATCATCTTGTCAACCATATTTGTGGCTGCTTTGTGTCTAATGCTCGTCACTTGAATATATTTTGTTGACAGACTGCTGTTGAGTGCAGAGACAGACAGTTACCCAGGCAACTGTTTACCTGCTAGCGACAGTAATGCTATTAGTGGTAGTAATCCGTGGTGGTGTGGTGGTTGTGTGCAGATCCTACGCTATCTGGTGGCCTGCGATAGACTGTGTGAGCGGGGCTACGACGAGGCGCAGGTGGAGGAGGCCCTGGAGATGTTCCAGAACTGTGAGACCAAGGTAAACATAATTGATTATTACTTTATTTATCTTGGTATTCTCTTTTTACCTCACAGCTTTCCTCTAATGAACAACAAATCAATTTGAATTGAATTGTACTGCTGGATTTAAAGGAATAGTTCACCCAAAATACAAAATTACATATTGGCTTCCTTACCCTCTGAATGCTAAAAAGTAAGCAATTGGAGACAGTGGCCAGCTAAACAAAACCAAAGCATGGATTGGTGTCTTACCTTGTCCATAAACTACTTACAGGGTAAGGAAACCAACATGTCATTTGGGTGAACTATCCCTTTAACTGTAAAAGCTGCTCTATCATCTGATGGTTTCTCTCCTCTCTCCCCCTCAGGCTGAGGAGTTTCTTCACCTGCTGGCTCAGTTCAATGAGATGGGCTTCCAGCAGAACGCTATCAAAGAGGTTCTGTTAGTCCACGAGAACCACCGCGAGAGGGCCCTGGAAGAGCTGATGATGCGTGTGACGTGACAGGGCCAATGTCTACTCCCACAAAAAATTACCTTGTAGGCGACATACATGCACGAACACAAGCACAGTTCCTGTGTTGCCTGTTTACTACAAACATTTTGTGTTAGCTAATGTATCATATTAAAGGGATAGTTCACTCAAAAACTATATTTTACTATTTAGTTTATTAGTCCACAGTTAATTCAATCCCCATAAATGGTGCATGTCACCTGTGACGTTTTCAGTCCAGAGCAAAAACTGTGATGATGACTTTTCACTATCCCTTTTAATGATATGTCATTTTCAAATTGCAATTCGCATGTTGAAACGTTGTTGATTCACTGGAGCACACTAAAACTATACATTCTAGCAAATCAGGAAATGAACAGTGGCCTTCTAGGCAAAGTAAAACTTAAACAATACCATTTACAGACAATCGATTTATTACATAGATTTATTACATTTCAGATTTGGACAAAATGTTTGTTATGTGATTTGCCCATTATTGTCAATTTTCTTTGTCAATTTCAAGTGTCATAGCAATTGTCATAGTATTTTTTAACTTAAGTTCGATCTGTAATGAATTCTTTTTTTCCAGTAAACTATGGTTGCATCCCAAATGGCACCCTATTCCCTTTATAGTGCAATACTTTTGACCAAGGCCCATAAGGCGCTGTTCAAAAGTAGTGCACTATATAGGGAATAGGGTGCCATTTGGGATGCAACCTATGTTACTGGTCAGTCATATTATAAATAATAATAATATTATCTGTATTTGAAGGGTGTGTGTACGGCGTGAAAGATCGAAACCTGAAAGAAACTTGTCAATCTTTTTTTATATGGCAGGTTGCCTGAAATGACCCACTTGAAGTTGTACATACTGTAACTTGCACTTTAAAATTAACTGAATGTATTTTGTATTTATTTGTTTTGTTTTTGCCTATGATACAGAACTATTGTATACAGATCAAATGCATATGAGAATTGAGATTTCTGTTTTCAGATGTTACAAAAAAACATTGACGATTAATATAAATGCAATAAACTTGTAAATCCTACTCGTGTCTCATGGTACCCACATCATATTAGATCTTGATTTGTGTGGGAGACACTTCCACATTTTTGCCATGCTTTCCCCGCCGACGTGTGCTCATTTTGGATGGGGTTAGCACAATACAGGTTTGTTATTTGACTATCAAAGCCACGGCAGAACTTAGATGGGAGCAGCGAAGCGAATGGAAGAGTCGGCATCTATTAAAGATGTGTATCTTCTGTTGATGGACCGGGAAAGCTTTAGAGAACCACTATGTTTGTTCAGGAGAGCATTTCTTTTATCACTTTGCTATTAATGAACTTCACTCATAGACTGTACACCGACTGTAGACCAGTGGTGGCTGGTGGCACATTAAATGGGGAGGACGGTCTCATAGTAATGGCTGGAACGGAATAATTGGAATGGTCTTAAACACATCAAACACCTGGTTTCCATGTGTTTGATACCATTCCATTTACTCCATTCCATTCATTATTATGAGCCGTCCTCCCTCACCAGCCTCCTCTGCTGTAGACTAAAGAATGAAGGAAAGAACCATTCTTATATCATCAAGGGAGATTTTTGCCTGTTTGTTAACTGTAGGGGAAATTAATGTTTATATAATTTGATAAGTGGAAAAAATCTGCACATCATTAGCAACATTCCTCATCCATTAACACATTATTTGAAGAGTGTTTTATTGGGTAATTACAAAGACGATTATTTCATATCTCTTCTGCCAAAGACAATCTATTAATTTGAATTCTCCAATCCTGTATTTACACAGGCAATCCCATGGAGAAGACAAATCTCTCCTTCAACGGATACCTGTCCTGAGATGGCAGCAAACATGCACTCGTTACCGAAATGTTATATTGTACAGCGTGAACACTGCCAGCCTTATCTTACCCTGTTCTCTAGCCATGAATGCCTTGGGGACCTGAGCCTGGGTTATAAATGGTTTGTTTGTTGTAAAAACAGGAAAAGTATTTCAGTCTTTACGTACATTACTGAACATGTGTTTGGTTTCCATGGAAAGAGCTCTCTGATATGGCTGTATCCACTCAATGTAATGAATCACTTAATTATAGTAAACTTTATAGTACACTACACTTGGATACCAAGTCAAATTACCCAGAAGGTTACTTGAGGCAACATTAACTAAGAACTATGGAAGTCAATATTATTATAGTTTCTTAAATGCTATTTAATTGTTCTTGGAAGATATGCTGCATTCATGACATGCCAAAACTAGGAAACTGATATTTCTGACTTAGAAACTCGTTGTAGAAAGACAATACCAGAGTTTACCACTTGGAAAGTATCTGAATCAACCAATAGGAAGCTCTACGCAAATAACTTAAGTACATTTTAACTCAGAGGTTCCGAGTTTTTGATTTGTTATGAATGCAGCAAACTTGAATGTTTTACAAATTACAGTTGTCTCTGACATTTACATATTTAGACCATTCAGAATGGTACAATGCTATGTAATATTCAGATATAAATATGTTATGAAGAGCAAACATGCCTCTCTGACATGTAGAAAAAGGAATCATGTCAGCTGTATTCAAGACATTTCTTTCTGCAATCTTCCACAACGTTTGCCTACTGAAAGTGGCCGAAGTAACAGACTAAACCAATTCACAGGAAGTCAGTCAAAGCGTTCTAGTTAATTGTCCTGTCTCTGAGAGTGAAACAACTGCACACAAAAAGTTGTTGGTTTGTCAGGAGATATTAAAAGACCAAACTTATTCACAGGAAGTCAGTCGAAGCATTGCAGCAGAGAGTCTCTGCGTCTGTGGTCAATCCGATTCCCAAACTCCAGCCCGTCCGTCAACACCTCAGTGTTTCCCACAGTCTTGGCCTTGGGCAGTCTCATGAGAAACGTGTACATGGAGCCGATTCGCCCGAAGCCTTTCGTCTCCCTCTTAGTTTTCCATCTGTACTCCTCCACAGCAAACTCCGTCGTCCTCATGCGGTTGAGGGTGAACACTGAGTCCCCTCTTACTACCGAGGTGAACAGGGCTCCTTTACTGTTTGCGTATTGCCCTGGCAAGGCCGTCCACTGACCCATAGTCAGGTTATAGCAGTCCATCACGCACATCAGGAAGTCTTCGCAGGGCCCGTTGCGCATTACATACAGATTGTCCCTGTGGCCCACCATGCAGTGGCCATAGCTCTGGTCACGGACCAGCGTGGTGACCAGGACCCATTGGTCCCTCTCAGGAACGTACTCGTGGATCTCCGTAGCGCCCTTGGGCTTCCAGAGGCAGATGAAGATGCGGCTCATGGCTTTGGTGGAGGCCACGTTGGCGGCTCGGCAGGGGAGATTAGCGGCGAAGCGCCAGGTGGCTGTGGAGACGCTGTACTTCTCCACCAATGCCATGGACTTCCTGTCGAACTCCCCACCGATGGCGTAGAGGCAGCCTTCGTGGCCCACTAATGTAAAGTTGTAGCGAAGCTGCTGGGGACTCAAAATAGTGGACCAGGAGTCACTCTCTGGGTCGTAGCAGAAGCCAGAGTCCACGACTTTCTTGCTGACGTCGTGGACGCCTCCTATAATGTACAGCTTGTTGTCTAGCACGGTCACACCTGCCATCGTGGTGCTTGTGTTTAAGGGTAGGTGACTCAGCACCTTCCACTCTCTATCTTCGTCATCCAGGTAGCAGACCGTCCTCTGACAGTCCTGGAGCTGCTCGACGGTAGGAGAGTGGCTGCAGACTGTGACGTACCGACTGGGGATGAGAGACTCAACGTACTCCACTAGGTCTTCTGATAAGGTGCTCACAACATCCTCCTTCAGGTCTGAGTACATGTCTTTAATGAATAAAGCAGCTTGATGGGACAGATCCAACAAACCGTAGGTCGCGGCCGTGTGGTACATCAACAAGCAATTCTCTGAGTTGATGATATTGATCAGGTGCTTTGTCACGGACTCCATCTGTAGAAAGGCGGAGCACTCGATGGCTTCCACGATCTCGTCACCACCCAGGATGGGGCGATCCCCGTCCAGGACCCGGAGCGCCAACACAAATCCCCGGGCACTCAGCCCTTGCAGGTGGACCTCATCCTGTTGGCATTCCCGCATTCCCGACTGGAAGAGGGCTCGGAAGTACTCACAGTGCTGCTCGAGTAGGGCTTTGTTCACCACAAAAACGCTCCCGTCAACTCTCACTTTCAGGCTGTCCATCCCTGTGTCCAAAGGCTTGCAGAGGGCAGGCTCGTCACTGTCGGTCCCTGAGCCCGGGCAGCTGTTTGACTCCATCACCTCAATCGAAGTGTTCAAACAGCAAATTTGCATTTGTCAAGAGGGACGAAGGGCTGAGTCAGATCAAAATACCTCATGTCCTAGCATGGCATTTTATCCATGATATTTCCTTTAGGTACAGTAGCAGCTAGACCGAATCCCCCCTTTCCTCTCCTCTGCGCAGAGCAGATGCAGTTGACAGAGTATCCACTGTTTGTATCGCACTTCACAGCTACGAGAATAGCAGAGGCTATAGATAGCAGTTAGGCAACGTGTGGCACAGTTGTAATACATTATGATGGCATGCAGCCAGAGGGGAATCTAGTGTTGACCTGCTGGAAAGGGGAGATGGGTCGGATGGCAGTGGGTGGGTGAGTGGATGGGCACAGCAGTACAGTTATGCTGATGATTTATTGGTCTTTGTCTGTGAGGCTGACAGTTTGTGCCAGCGGAAAATGTCAGAACTCTTGGCCTTGGAGCGGTTGGGCAAAGGTGAGAGACAACAATAGATTGTTCCACGAGGTCACATTTGTTATACGAGACTATTATTCCAAACAGTTAAATTCTTAGTAACCTTGTCTGTTAGGGATCTGTTGCCCATGACAACAGCATGCTACCAGTCCTTGTTCCAATACAGTCCTGGCACCTGTGCAAATACTTACATGCACATGGACGGATTCACCTACTGTAGTATAAATCGCTCACCCCCTATAAAGATAATGTAAATGTTTACATACAAGGCTACATAATTACTCCTCTCTCTCTCGGCCATCCACCCAATACAAACAGGGGCGCTCTTCCAACAGAGACCAGAGACCACCTTTACCACCAATGTAGAGATTGAGGGGGAAGTGGAGTTCTCATTCATGAAAGGGTAAAGGGGGAAACCAACTCCAGTATGTCAAAAGGTAGCTTTCCTTTGTTCTTTCTGTTCAAATATGTCAGGTTTGAATCTATTACACAAGCAGTTACCTTAACATGTGCAAAGTATTAACTGTGAAGTTATGTGATTATCTGTGAAGGAAAATATGTTGCATCAAGACTTCATCAGAATCACTCACTCACTGGATGCAATCCAACCATCTCAACAACTAACTGACATTACAACCATTTTCTTGATGTCCTTGTTTCTTGTCAATGAAGTTAGTTGGAGATGGGGTAGGCCTACCTTGCCAAATCATATCTGACTGCATGTAGAATAATTATGAGAGACCTCACCTCGGTTCCCTTAAATGGAGTTTGGCAGTAAATCGTGTGCGTAAGCAGCAACATTCTTCAGCAAATGTTCATCGATTCCTCTACTCGACGCAAGGTCCTTCCAGCTGCGCACGCAGGGAGCCGCTCGCGCTCCTTTCACCATAGAGTATGAGCATCCTCATTATCGGACAAGATTTAAGAGCGCGTTCTAAAACTCGTTGGGATGTTTTTATTGCATTTGGATTCATATTAATTTAAACGTAATAATGAAACATTTTTAACCACATCAAACCAACTAGCAGATACACTTCTTCTACAGTCTTCAAGGTACTCTGAGGAATTATTTTAAGGTAAGGTGCGGTTATATTGGAACGTTATGGAAACGTCCAACTTGGGCGTTATTTGTGTTTCCTGTATAGGAGCCTATCATCCATATGCATTAATAGGAGTGTTTGTGATACCGTTATAAACATCTATATTATTTGGTTATGATATGTTGTTGTTTTATTGTAAAAATATTCTGAATAATGCATGTGGGCACTGAATAAAAATCATGTTACTTGGGTCTGTTTTGAAAACTTGTGTGCCTGGGTTTTAGTCTTTAAAGATGTCACTGATGTTTGGGAAGGCAAGGAGCTGTAACTTCTCTGCTATCCCTGAGGGGGGACAACCTGAGGTCAATGTGGTCGTCCTCGGAGTGATGGGCTCGGGAAAATCAGGTGGCCCACCCGTTTTACGATTTGATTTGATTTGATGCCTTGATTTGTCATCCCTAGTATTTGTAGTGGATTAGATCCCAGTTTTGTTGACATGTTATTCCAGTTTCGATAGTCCCAGTTTTGATAGTTTGTTATTCATGAAAACCAATCTACTCCTATCTGATATTTCATGGGGGTGTTTATATAAAAACAGGGTTCCCATGCCCCATTTGGGACACTAGATTGTACAGTGTGACAGACTGACAACAAAGAGCTGAATCTAAACAGGAAGTGAATGTTTCTCTTTTCTCTCTTCAGCATTGACTGTCAAGTTTCTCACCAAGCGCTTCATCAGTGAATATGACCCCAATCTAGGTAAGCTTCCATTTGTTACCTTCTGAAATAAAATGCAATTGTCAAGAAATATCCCTGTTAAGTAAATAATGTAGGCTCTGTCCTAACACCCCCTCTAGTACCGTTTAGAATCCCACAGTGCATTGGGCCTTTTATGGTATGCTAATATGGACATTGGAACACCTCTGTAATAGTTTGTATACACTAACTATACAAGAAGTTGGCAGATGCACTTTCAGAGAAATGTACAATAAACGTGTTCATATTGACACATGAATGACTGTATTGTGATGTTGGGTCCATGTTGTGACCTCCATGTTATGTTCACTGCCATCTAGAGGATACTTACTCTTCTGAGGAGATGGTGGACCAACAGCCTGTCGTTGTGAAAGTCATGGACACAGCTGACCAGGTGGGACTAGTCTATTTTGAAAGACTATACTACTGTCATTGTGCCTTTGAGGCACTGAACTGCTCCAGGGGCGCTCCTCTGCTGCTGACGCTGTGCTGCTCCGAGTACCAGCCTGTTGTGTGTTTCTGTGGGTGTTGTGTGCGGTTGGATATTGTGACAGAAGAAAATAAGGTTTTCAGATTTGTATTGAGAGAGAGAGGATGATAGTGAGGAAAGATAGAGGTTGCGTCAAAGGGCAGTAGGTCGGATTCAAACCTGTAGACGTGTGTGCCGGAGGCTGGGGCATTACCACCAGAAGAGCCAGGCCACGATGACAGAATTTCTGTTTAAATGAATCTATGTGCAAATGGATACCATTTGAAGAAGTATTGATTGATTTAGAATAGAATAGGTCTTCTAAAGCCTTTGCTAACATGCCACTAATTGTTTTGAAGTGATTACCTTTTCTCCTTGTCTACCTTCAGGATGGTCCAGTGAACTGTGAGCGCTACCTCTCATGGGCCAGTGCCTTCCTTGTGGTCTACAGCATAGACAACAGACGGAGCTTCGAGGGCTGCCAACAGTACCTGGAGGCCGTCACCGTCCACACCAAGGCCCTGCAGCCCGAGACCCCCATTATACTGCTGGGCAACAAGCTGGACATGGAGAGATACAGGTGTGTAGGGAATTGAGGGGGGGGTGGATGGAAGTCCGAGTGGGACTCGAACCCGCAACTACTCGTCTGTTAGTGTAATGCTTGAGGCATTATGCCAAGAGGTCCAAACAGCATTTAAAAGAAAAAGTTTTACCCCTTTTTCTCCCCACTTTCATGATATCCAATTGGTAGTTACAGTCTTGTCCCATCGCTGAAACTCCTGTACGGACTCGGGAGAGGCGAAGGTCGAGAGCCATGCGTCCTCCGAAACACAACCCTGCCAAGCCACACTGCTTCTTGACACACAGCTCGCTTAACCCGGAAGCCAGCCGCACCAATGTGTCGGAGGAAACACTGTACAACTGGCGACCGATGTCAGCTTGCAGGCACCTGGCCCGCCACAAGGAGTCGCTAGAGTGCGATGGGACAAGGAAATCATGGCCGGCCATACCCTCCACTAACCCAGATGACGCTGGGCCAATTGTGCGCCGCCTCATGGGTCTCCCGGTCACGGCCGGCTGTGACACAGCCTGCGATCGAACCCGGGGCTGTAGTGACGCCTCAAGCACTGCGGTGCAGTGCCTTAGACCGCTGCGCCACTCGGGAGGCGGTCCAAACATCTTAGCCAAATACATTTCAACTCCGTTTTTCACAATTCCTGACATTTAATCCTAGTAAATATTCCCTGTTTTAGGTCAGTTAGGATCACCACTTTATTTTAAGAATGTGAAAGGTCAGAATAATAGTAGAGAGAATTATTTATTTCAGCTTTTATTTATTTTATCACATTCCCAGTGGGTCAGAAGTTTACATACACACAATTAGTATTTGGTAGCATTGCCTTTAAATTGTTTAACTTGAGTCAAACGTTTCGGGTAGCCTTCCACAAGCTTCCCACAATAAGTTGGGTGAATTTTGGCCCATTCCTCCTGATAGAGCTGGTGTAACTGAGTCAGGTTTGTAGGCCTCCTTGCTCACACACGCTTTTTCAGTTCTGCCCACAAATTTTCTATAGGATTGAGGTCAGGGCTTTGTGATGGCCACTCCAATACCTTGACTTTGTTGTCCTTAAGCCATTTTGCCACAACTTTGGAAGTATGCTTGGGGTCATAGTCCATTTGGAAGACCAAGCTTTAACTTCCTGACTGATGTCTTGAGATGTTGCTTTAATATATCCACATAATTTTCCTTCCTCATGATGCCATCTATTTTGTGAAGTGCACCAGTCCCTCCTGCAGCAAAGCACCCCACAGCATGATGCTGCCACCCCTGTGCTTCACGGTTGGGACGGTGTTCTTTGGCTTGCAATCCCCCCCTTTTCCTCCAAACATAACAATGGTCATTATGGCCAAACAGTTCTATTTTTGTTTCATCAGACCAGAGGACATTTCTCCAAAAAGTACGATCTTTTTCGCCATGTGCAGTTGCAAACTGTAGTCTGGCTTTTTTATGGCGGTTTTGGAGCAGTGGCTTCTTCCTTGCTGAGCGGCCTTTCAGGTTATGTCGATAAAGGACTCATTTTACTGTGGATATAGATACTTTTGTACCTTTTTCCTCCAGCGTCTTCACAAGGTCCTTTGTTGTTGTTCTGGGATTGATTTGCACTTTTCTCACCAAAGTATGTTCATCTCTAGGAGACAGAACGCGTCTCCTTCCTTAGCGGTATGATGGCTGCATGGTCCCATGGTGTTTATACTTGCTTACTATTGTTTGTACAGATGAACATGGTACCTTCAGGCGTTTGGAAATTGCTCCCAAGGATGAACCAGACTTGTGGAGGTCTACAATTTCTTTTCTGAGGTCTTGGCTGATTTCTTTTTATTTTCCCATGATGTTAAGCAAAGAGGCAATGAGTTTGAAGGTAGGCCTTGAAATACATCCACATGTACACCTCCAATTGACTCAAATGATGCAATTAGCCTATCAGAAGCTTCTAAAGCCATGACATCATTTTCTGGAATTTTCCAAGCTGTTTAAGGCACAGTCAATTTAGTGTATGTAAACTTCTGACAATCTGGAATTGTGATACAGTGAATTATAAGTGAAATAATCTGTCTGTAAACAATTGTTGGAAAAATTACTTGTGTCATGCACAAAGTAGGTGTCCTAACGGACTTGCCAAAACTATAGTTTGTTAACAAGAATTTTGTGGAGTGGTTGAAAAACAAGTTTTAATGACTCCAACCTAAGTGGATGTAAACTTCAGACTTCAACTGTAGCTACTAAGGATGTGTACTGCAGCTGCAGGCACTCAGAGCTCACTACTGGCTCATATCAGCATAGCAAGTAGCAGTGATACATACCACAGTAGATAGATATGGAGAGATACCGGTGTAGAAGTCTTGCATGCCAAGATGTCTGTTTAAGACTGTTAGAGACATGGCTGGTGGACATGGAAAGAGACAGGTGCATTTAATTAGAAATAGGCTTACTGTACATGCACGCTTCCCAATATAACCTGGTTCATCCCCACCAAAGCGGACCTGCGATTCAAACCCACACCACAACGACATAACATACTCCAAAAGCCAAGGCATGTCTTGGTCCGTGCCGACAGTGCTTCAAGGAGGAGCGATGCCATCTGAAAAGTTCTGTTTTGGCCCATAGCCTCTCAAGTAACACCAAAGCGTTTTGCAGCTGTAGGCCTACTTCTGGTACTCATCTGAAAGCCTGAAATGAAACATCATGTCAGTCCTACTCAATGTTAATGTACACCGCCACCACTGCTGCATGTGTGGCAACCCAAGGCCTCTTAGCTGGTGTTTATGGAAAGACTAATGTGTATTGAAGCACTTCCAGTAAAGTTGATTCATGGCAAGACTCCAACCACTTATATGTGTCTCCCAGTGTAAGACATCGTCATGTTGCTATATTTAACCAAAACATATCATGTGCATAAATTTATGAAGCAATAATGGCCAGCAGACTTATAGCCACTCCAACACATCTTATTTTTTTCTTCTAAGTGTAAGACGTTGTCATGTTGCTAGTAACAAAGTATGATGTGTAATTACATTTTTAGGGGAGACAACATTTCTTTGGTTCCATCAGATGACATCCTGACAACTGATAGACAGAAATGTTCTTGCAACATTGCCCATGAAATGAACATTAATATATTATTTTTAATATATTGTTTACCCCCTTTTTCTCCCCAATTTGATCTGTCTTTTTTTTATTTTTTATTTACCTTTATTTAAACAGGTAAGCCAGTTGGAACCGTTCATTTACAATGCGACCTGGCAAGATAAAGCCAAGTAGTGCATAAAAACAACAGAGGTTACATATGGGGTAAAAAAAAAAAAAAAAACATAAAGTCGAAAATACACAGAAAATATATAGACAGTGTGTGCAAATGTAGAAATATGGAGGTATTAAGGCAATAATAGGCTATAGTGCAGAAGAATAATAGTATTTAACACGGGAATGCTAGAGGTGCAAGAGATATGTGCAAATAGAGATACTGGGGTGCAAAAGAGCAAATAAATAACATCGCTGCAAACTCCCCCAACAGGCTCAGGAGGTGAAGGTTTTGAGTCATTGTGTCCCCCGAAACATGACCCGCCAAACCGTGCTTCTTAACACCCGCCCACTTAACCTGGAAGCCAACCGCACCAATGTGTCGGAGGAAACACTGTTCAACTGATGACTGAGGGCAGCTTGCAGGCGCACGGCCCGCCACAAGGAGTCACTAGAGCGCAATGAGCCAAGTAAAGCCCCCCAGCCAAACCCTTCCCTAACGATGCTGGGCCAATTGTGCACCACCCTATGGGACTCCCGATCACGGCCGGTTGTGACACAGCCAGGGAACGAACCCGGGTCTGTAGTGACACCTCTAGCACTGCGATGCAGTACCTTAGACCGCTGCGCCACTCGGGAGGCCCGAATATTAATATATTATGTTCTGAGAATATGGCAACCATGTTCTGTGTATGTTTGGTGGGACGTTGATGGAATATACTCTTAACGCTCAGAAAACTGGACACATGAATGTTCTTGCAACGTTCCCATGAAACGTGTCTAGAACATTCATATCTTATGTTCTGAGAACATGGCAACAATGTTCTATGTATGTTTGGTGGGACATTGATGGAATATTCTCAGAACCGACAGAAAACTGGACACATACATGTAAATGTTCTTGCAATGTTCCCATGAAACGTGTCTAGAAAATGTATATCTTAAGTTCTGAGAACATGGTCACCGAGTTCTGGGTAAGTTATATTTGAATGGAATGGTCTCTTGGAACATTCCTCTGAAAACGTTAGTTCATGACCTAATGAGACTTTTAAGGGAACGCTCTCTAAAGTTGTGGGAATGTTTGTTGTTAGCTAGGGATGTAGGGTGTGTGATTTACTATTGATATGTGCAAAGTTGACACATTATATTACTGACTAAAGTGGTCAGTGTGTTTTGGAGCTGTTTAAACTAAAGGGCTCTGTTTGTCTAGGGGGGGAGAGAGGGACGAGGGACGAGAGAGGGAGAGAAGAGCGGAGAGGAGAGAAGCGACGCGGGGAGAAAAAATGAGAGGCGAAGAGAGGGAGCGAGAGAGAGAGAGAGACGAGCGAGGAGAGAGAGAGGAGCGCGATGAGAAGCGAGAGAAGAGGGAGAGGGCGAAGAGAGAGAGGGAGAGATACGTGATGAGAGAGAGAAGAGGCGAGGAGAACGAAGAAAAAGAGAGAAAGAAGGAGAGAAAAAAGACGAGCGAGAGAGAGAGAAGCGAAGCAGAGAGAAAGAGGACAGCGAAGAGCGAAACGAGAAAGCGCGGCCACAATCGATAGCCCAGCAAGAAAAAGAGATAGAGAGCGCGAAGCGATCGGCGACACATCTAATGCGCGCTCCTAGATCGATCTCTCTCTCTCTCTCTCTCTCTCTTCTCTCTCTCTCATCTCTCCTCCTCTTCTCTCTCTTCTCTCTCTCTCTCCTCTCTCTCTCCTCACTCCCCATCACCCTGTCTCTCCCCCTCTGTCTTTCAGGCATGTGAGTAAGATGGACGGCTCGGCCCTTGCCTCTCGTTTCGGCTGCCTGTTCTTCGAGGTGTCTGCTTGCCTGGACTTTCTGTCTGTCCAGCGGGTCTTCCATGAAGCCGTGAGGGAGGCCAGGCGAGCGGGTGACAAGAGGAGCCCCCCGTTACGCCCCCCTCTACATCAGCGAGGACAACAAGCCATTGGTCAGCCTCGCCACCGTGCCCCCATTCACCACCCCCTGCTACAAGGAGCTCCCCGTGCCTGCCACTGCCAAGTTGGTGACAGTCAAGTCATCACGGGCCCAGAGCAAACGGCGGGCACCCACGCTGACGCTGCTCAAGGGCTTCAAAATCTTCTGATGACTCGATGGAGAATGAGACCAGACTTGGAATCGTGCTTAAAGACTGGAGATTTGAGGCTTCACTCAAACTTGTGCTGAAAGACTTGAGACTTATGCTCAAACTTTGAGACTTAACTTGGACTTGTGCTCAGAGACTTGAGACTTAACTTGGACTTGTGCTTAGAGACTTGAGACTTAACTTGGACTTGTGCTCAGAGACTTGAGACTTAACTTGGACTTGTGCTTAGAGACTTGAGACTTAACTTGGACTTGTGCTTAGAGACTTGAGACTTAACTTGGACTTGTGCTCAGAGACCTGAGACTTAACTTGGACATGTGCTCAGAGACTTGAGACTTAACTTGGACTTGTGCTCAGAGACTTGAGACTTAACTTGGACTTGTGCTCAGAGACTTGAGACTTAACTTGGACTTGTGCTCAGAGACCAGAGACTTAACTTGGCCTTGTGCTCAGACTTGAGACTTAACTTGAACTTGTGCTCAGAGACTTGAGACTTGACTCTGAGTGACTCAGGCTCGAAGACTTGAGACTCAACCTTGACTTGCCAAAAGTGACTTATTGATAAATCTGCCATAGTGGCTTACAATATGGACAAGTGAGAGAACTGTGAAATATGTTATGAAAGAGACAATGGACTGTGTCAAATGCAAAAAACAGAACAAAATGGAGACAGAATAACATACAACCAAGCCATCAACATATGCAGCAGAAGCTGTCATGGTTGATATCACCATCACTAAGTTGGAGCGTGTACCAAAACACCGTCATGACTTACTGCATCTTCAAGTCAAGAGAAGGAACAGCAATTATCATAGCTCCTTGAGAGATGGACAGTAATGGACTGGTGTTTAAACTGTCATTGTGAATGTTGAATTTATATTGCCAAAGTCAGTTACTGGGACAGAGTTATGTTAGTTGCCAAATGTATTGTGGGGATTGGAGTGCTTATGATGGTGATGGTATGTTCACTGTAGTGTAGATTACTAACACTATGCAAATCTATTTTGATATACATTTTAATAAGTTTGAAAGGAAAACTAATTTGATCAAATGAAGACATATTTTGTTTATGTAGATACATTTAACTTATTTGACGTTGTAAACACATAACAGTAAGTAGCAAGTAAATCTTTGAGGTAAAGGCCCAGTGCAGTCAAAATTCAGTTTTTTTCTGTGTTTTATATTGTATTGTATAACAGTTGATGAAACACTGTAAAAGTGTAAAAAATGTGATCAGTGTTATTTCCTGATCGTTGCTGGTTTAAAAAACAATCTACATAGGACCTTCTAATCAGCAAGTTTGCATGGGCGGGAGTTTCGGCTTTCCATGGTGACATCACCATGCTATAACTTGGTTAATAGACCAATAACAAAGACCATTCCAAACATCTCTGCCAATAACAGCTAGTTTTCAGTTTTCCCCTCCCAACTCAGACCACTCCCAGACAGTCTTAGCAAAATTCTTGCTTTAGAAATAGTTTAGCTAAAAAGCAATTTTTGGCAATTTTAATGGAAATCTATTACAGTAAGGTACTTAATTGCTACCCAGTAATGATTTTATATTGATATTAAAACGGCTGCATTGGGGCTTTAACTTCATATAGACATAGTTTTCATGAGTTGTTGGCGCCCTCCTCAGGCTCATCAGTGTAACAGCAGTTGCATTTTTTGTAACTAATAACAGGTTTTTATACTATTGTATGCTAATGCCATCCCAATCAAAATTACAAGACAGAGCTATTTTGGTATGAATAGTTTTATTTCCTTATTGTAAATACTGAAATGGGTGGAATGCTTTTATAACACAATGAAAATGTATCTTACAAAGGTTAACCCACTGAATTATGTTTTCTGTCCAAAACATACTCTCTCACAAGAGCTTTCCACATTTTACATTACATTTACATTTACACTATACTCACAGCAAGATAATTAGAGTTTGGATTATACTAGGATCCCCATTTGCTGACGCCATGACGTCGGCAAATTTTCCTGGTGTCCAACATAGAACTAAAAAGACTTTACAAATAGAATTACAAAAGAGATGTATAAAGAGAAGTTTGATCTTCCAATCTTAATGCACTTGTGACTGAACATATGTTATCTCAGACCATGTTTAGTTGCCTTTATCAGTGTTTCCCAATAGACTACTCTTGAATAGCTTATGACACATGGTTTATAAGTGTCGCTGCATACTGTCACATGGCATACGAAAACTTTTCACTACACTATAAACAACACTTTGCACTTCTTCATGACCAAAAAACAACATTTACAAAATATTTGGTATCCCAAATAGTTTGTTGCGATGTTTCGCCGGCCAGCAATGTTTACAGTAGACGTATATTCCAAAAATTGCTGAAACTGCAACCAACAAAGTACTTGTTAATGATGAATGTGATACTACACATCTTGTACACAGCATTATTTGTAGTAGTTATATACCCTTTTCACACTACTGAGCCAAGTCAAGCTGTACTGCGCTGGCCTGGTTACGCATCCACCAAGAAAATATCTGAGCCAGCACAGTAAGGTCCGGCTCAGCAAAGTAGTATAAAAAGGGCATTACAGTAATTAAACAGACAGTGGTTGTTTAAGTTACAGGTAAAAATCTAATAAAAACTTAAAATGACAGTTATGCCTAAGTAAATGGGAGTTACAGGGTCCCCTGTAGCTCAGTTGGTAGAGCATGGTGCTTGCAACGCCAGGGTTGTGGGTTCGTTTCCCACGGGGGGCCAGTATGAAAATGTATGCACTCACTAACTGTAAGTCGCTCTGGATAAGAGCGTCTGCTAAATGACTAAAATGTCAAATGTAATGTTTCTGTTCTGTCTCTGCAGAGGAGCAGTACTGAGAAACTTGGCTGTTATCTCTCGCTCTTTCATCCCTTCATCACTGGCCCTCCTCCACCACCACCTCATCTACCTCCTCTTTCTCTACCTCTGCCAACTCCTCCACTTCCCCCTCAGGCTCGGGGTATAGGCTGGACACGTTCCCGTCATTCCAGGTCACCACAATGTCCCCCGGTTTGAAGCCCTCTACCTCCCCGTTGTCCTGGAGGGGCTTGGCCTGGCTCACCGGGCTCTCTGATTGGCTCATACTGACCTGGACAGAGGCGCTGTTGACGGGTTTGACCTCTGAGTTAGCTCTTTGACCTCTAACCTCCGTGACGATGACCTGTAGTTCTTCTGCCTCCGGCTTCATGGCCAGAGCTGCAGCCTTGTACTTGGCTATCTTATTCCTATTTCTGTGTGGAGGATGATGGGAAATGTAGTCACTGTGGTGTAAATAAAGATGGCAAGACCAGCACGCACAAATATGGCAATTGCTTTTGTTTCCTTCCATAACAGGTCCTGTATTTAGGTTCCACAGTGCCTTTGGTTGCATCCCAAATGGAACCGTATTCCCTACATAGTGCACTACTTTTGACAAGGGGCCATAAGGCTAGGAAATAGGGTGTTATTTGGGATGTACACTTTGTTTGGATCATTTACTGTTGCTGACAATAAGTATCTTCACCACACCATGTTTCATAATTGAAGACACATGGGATATTGCTTGTATAGAATTACAGTGTATTACATTAGTCTTTTTGAGTTGAGTGGGTAGACATTAGTCTACTTAAGTTGAGTTAGTGTTAGATAGGTGCTTACTTGTTCGCCATGGAGCCCATTCCCAGAAGCAGACAGCCCAGCAGAAGGGCAGCGAAGGACAGAGCCAGCATTGCAAACTTCCAGGGAGTTGCTGTGACGACAACAAAACACACAGTTGTAACTGCGGAAAATCTTCCCACCGTTATAATCCCACAGGAAATTTCAGTGGTGATCAAAGACAAAAAACATTAGAACCTGGACCAAGTGTGCACTTAACAGCTTTTTTTTTTACAGACTTGGAGCCTTGGAGGGAATAAAAGTTTACTACCATGTAAATCTGACTGAGAGACAAAGTGCTTCACTATAACCAATCCCTTTTATGGAGGCTTTGGGATCAAATCACATAAAAGACATCACCAGCACTACAGTGGTGCAGTGCCATGAAAAGTTAAAACTGATTAACTGAGTATATACTGAAAGAACAACCTGCTCAAGTAGGATAACGTAATGGAGCTGGATAACGTAATAGAGCTGTCATATCACATAGCCTACTTAAGAACAATTAATCATATCTGTTTTACTTGTACTTTCCCAAACAATGGCCATGGATCAGTTCGCTACCCTGAAACAACATTAACCAAATGCAACACTAATAATACCCTTTTCACACTATCATGCTAACCTTATCTGTACTGTGCTGGCTTGGTTATTTTCCTTCCTCATTAGTTTGGCTCAGCTCGGTAGTGGGGAAAAAGTACAATAGCTCTGTAAAGATCGGCACTTACGGTCCTCAGTGCGATAGAACCATCTGAGGAACTCTTTCTGTTCATCGGTCATACCAGGAGGCCCTGCTTTCTGCTCTTCCGCTGGTCTCACCTCAAACTCATCGGGATCGCTCGATGCCCTTTTGGATCCTGCAGGGGCCAATACAAATATACAAACACATGTTGCGTCACCATCCCCTGTGTTAGTTTTTCTGCGGACAAAATGGTGGCCACAATGACTGAGGGACTGTTGTGGAAGGACATTGAGTTAATATCTTCTAGGCTAGGTTTGAGAGGCCCATACTGTATCAATTCACACAAAGTTCCGATCTAACAACTGCTAACTTGTGACAAAGTCAATCATTCAAAAGGAGATAAAGATTTAAAACTATTTTCAACATCAGGAGTACTTATTTGGCTCATTCTAGAACTTCACTCATGTAAGTCAATTTACACAAAGATCCAATTTCATGCCGTTAGGATTTGTTAAACAGTCAGTGAATTGAAATGTAAATTAAGTGATTTACAAAATATGGAGGTAACAACAATGACTTACTGAGCCTCTCCTGGCATATATCCCCTTCATCCAGAGACCTCCACTTGGTCTGCTTGCTCCTGTGGGACAGCGTCAGTCGTTTCCCGTCCGTGGAGAGCTCCAGAGAACTGTTCTGACTGATCAGCCTGTTCAACTCACACCCCCACCGCAGCACCCCATCACCCCTGTGTCCCCCGTCCTCTACCCCCTCACAGGGTACAGTCTGGACAGGTTCAGCGTGGTAGGCCGACAGGCACCTGGAGGTCCCCACACTCTCCAGGAGACTCTGGTCCCTCCAGATCCACTGCTGGAGCTCCGAGTCCAGGTTGCATTTCTTCAGCTGAACCAGGCCCGTCTTGGGGAAGTCCTCCAAGCACATGCTGTGGAGGGTGTTGTAGATCATGAAGCTGCTTACCCCTGGAAGTGCAGTAGAGTGGACATGCATTGTAGTGAGCGTAGTGTTATGACACATCAAAAACATGCTTCCACTCGTAGTGGTGTTACGGCAAAATTAATCAGGGGATTTTTGATGTTTCAGTGAAAGGTGTACGTGTGGAGAGATAGCATTACCTGGCAAGAGGAGACAGAGTGTGATCCACACACGAAACATGTTTGAAGTGGATGGAACCTGCAATGACTGTTGACATGAATCAGAATTACAATTTATTCCCTTAGTCAAGAATACAAGATCAACACTTACACACAGTAATAATCATAGTTACGTAAATGTACATTTTATTATGGCTTGGTTCACATTAGAAAGCTGTGTTGTTTGTTCTATGCCTAAATATAGAACATCCATCTCAACCGGATGGTAGTATTCCAGCACACATTTTTACTGGGTTTCTCAACCGTCAAAAACAAAGCATTAGTCTGCGCTGAATTAGTGGACCAAAGGGAAAAATGCAGATTCATCTTGTAAACTGAGAGTTTATCCAAAGCGCTGCCTTCTTTGTGCCGCAATTCCATCTCTAAACTCAAAACAACTTTGAAAGTATGTAGAGGCATTGTACCTTGCTTATTCCATTATGTACATGTATATTCCATTATGTACATGTATATTCCATTATGTAATAGTGTGTATTAGGCTACAATATTTGGTCCTGAAGAGAAATACTCATCATCTTGTAAACTATTTTGAAAAGTTGTCCATCATTGCACTTTTATGGCCGATAGCGAGGTGCCAATAAAATGTTAGAGGTTAAGTTGAAACATACTCCTATCCCTTAAACAAATTCAAATGTACATGTAGATAATCTATGTGTGTACAGTACACATCAAAAGCTGATGGTTATCAAACGGATTACCCCAATTATCCAATTAAGTATGATCCAAACATCCTATTAATAAAAGTTGCTTTAAGCATTAACTATCAAAATAAAAACTTATACACTACAAGTTATCCTAACCAATGGCTATATATCATTAATTTAAAAGTCAAAAAATGGATGTACCTATTGCAGACAGTAGCTTTAAAGTAATGAAAACTATTTACTCACTTACCAGGGGTTGTTTCTCTCACAGCCTGACTCGGAGAAGGGAAGAGAAGGGAGGTAGTGCTGTAGGGAACATGATTCTACCTGTTGAACATACACAACGCAGAGGAGAGGCTTTCCAAAGTGCATGTGGGAGGAGATTGTTTCATTGAGTCTCTTGACTATGGTTATATTGCATCTGTAAATGTGCCCTTTATAGCTGGGGATGTGGGGACTTTGAATGTGGTGGAATGTGTTCTTCATTTAGTAAAGTATGCATAGTCTGGAAGTAGTTGGGGATGTTTTTGCCAGAGAGAGATTTTGAGACAGGTGAAAGCCTCGTTATAGTGATGGCAGTATTTTCTTTCTCAATAATTAGAAGTTGTGAATGCTTCATTAGGCTACTGTAAACTACTGCAGAGTGTACTGCACCATAACTGGGCCTATTTAATTACAATCTTCTCCTAACTAATGGAATGGAATGGATCCTGTGTGTGTGTGTGTGGGGGGGGGGGGGGGGGTCATTGACCAGGGTTGCTTGGTTACTGTTTAGTTAGCCTTGCCATTGCAGTTTGTAGGAAAACAGTATGTGACTCATTGGTCAAACACCTGGCACATGTGGAACTGTCTTGATATCTGTCTGTTTAACAAGAGTCTTAAAGGGATTTTTATTTCTTTATGGCAAGTATGTTTTACAGTTAAAGGTGAATGACCTCCAGGTCATCTTTTAAGTGAGTGAGTTAAACTGTTTTGTGAACACAAAGACATCATTTACCAACACTTTAAATATCAATAGGATGATGACACTCAAATAACAAATAATTATGTTGGTTGGTTGTGAAGATTCCCTAAAAACATGCCACTTAGATACAGCTATGACCAGAAGTGAATTAACATAGCAGGTTAGGAGAATTAACATAGCAGTTAAGGTGAATTCACATAGCAGGTTAGGAGAATTAACATAGCAGTTAAGGTGAATTAACATAGCAGGTTAGGAGAATTAACATAGCAGGTTAAGATAATTAACATAGTATGTTAGGATAATTAACATAGCAAGTTAGGAGAATTAACATAGCAGGTCAGGAGAATTTACATAGCAGGTTAGGAGAGTTAACATAGCAGGGTAGGAGAATTTACGCAGCATGTAAGGAGAATTAACATAGCAGGTTAGGAGAATTTACATAGCAGGTTAGGAGAATTAACATAGCAGGTTAGGAGAATTAGATTAAGGTTAGGAAAAGGGTTAGGGTTTGGGTTAGCGAAAGTGCTCTCATATCATAACCTGCAACGAAAAGTCACTTCTGGTCACAGTTGTATCGAAGTGGCGTGTTTTTAGGGAGTCCCATTGGTTGTGGTTGGCATACAGTCAATTATTTACATTTATGATATCCCTTCTCATTGAGGAAAATACACTACCGGTCAAAAGTTTTAGAACACCTACTCATTCAGGTTTTTCTTTATTTTTTTTTACTATTTTCTACATTGTAGAATAATTGTGAAGCTATCAAAACTATCAAAGAACACATATGGAATCATGTAGTAACCAAAAAAGTGTTAAACAAATCCAAATATATTTTATATTTGAGGTTCTTCAAATAGCTACCCTTTGCCTTGATGACAGCTTTGCACACTCTACCAGCTTCACCTGGAAGGCTTTTCCAACAGCCTTGAAGGAGTTCCCACATATGCTGAGCAGTTGTTGGCTGCTTTTCCTTCACTGTACGGTCCGACTCATCCCAAACCATCTAAATTTGGTTGAGGTCGGGGGATTGTGGAGGCCAGGTCATCTGATGCAGCACTCCATCACTCTCCTTCTTGGTAAAATAGCCCTTACACAGCCTGGAGGTGTGCTGGGTCATTGTCCTGTTGAAAAACAAATGATAGTCCCACTAAGCCCAAACCAAATGGGATGGCGTATCGCTGCAGAATGCTGTGGTAGCCATGCTGGTTAAGTGTGCCTTGAATTCTAAGTAAATCACAGACAGTGTCACCAGCAAAGCACCCCCACACCATAACACCTCCTCCTCCATGCTTTACGGTGGGAAATACACATGCGGAGATCATCCGTTCACCCACACTGCGTCTCACAAAGACACGGTGGTTGGAACCAAAAATCTCCAATTTGGACTCCAGACCAAAGGACACATTTCCACCGGTCTAATGTCCATTTCTCGTGTTTCTTGGCCCAAGCAAGTCTCTTCTTCTTATTGGTGTCCTTTAGTAGTGGTTTCTTTGCAGCAATTCGACCATGAAGGCCTGATTCACGCAGTCTCCTCTGAACAGTTGATGTTGAGATGTGTCTGTTACTTGAACTGTGAAGCATTTATTTGGGCTGCAATTTCTGAAGCTGGTAACTCTAATGAACTTATCCTGTGCAGCAGAGGTAACTGTGGGTCTTCCATTCATGTGGTGGTCCTCATGAGAGCCAGTTTCATCATAGCGTTTCATGGTTTTTGCGACTGCACATGAAGAAACTTTCAAAGTTCTTGAAATGTTCCGTATTGACTGACCTTCATGTCTTAAAGTAATGATGGACTGTCATTTCTCTTTGCTTATTTGAGCTGTTCTTGCCATAATATGGACTTAGTCTTTTAAGAAATAGGGCTATCTTCTGTATACCCACCCATACCTTGTCACAAAACAACTGATTGGCACAAACGCATTAAGAAGAAATGAAATTCCACAAATTAACTTTTAAGAAGGCACACCTGTTCATTTAAATGTATTACAGGTGACTACCTCATGAAGTTGGTTGAGAGAATGCCAAGAGTGTGCAAAGCTGTCATCAAGGCAAAGGGTGGCTATTTGAAGAATCTCAAATATAAAATATATCAGGGTTTTTATTGACACTTTTTGGGTTACTACATGATTCCATATGTGTTATTTCACAGTTTTGATGTCTTCGCTGTTATTCTACAATGTAGAAAATAGTAAAAATAAAGAAAGAAAAACCCTTGAATGAGTAGGTGTTCTAAAACTTTTGACAGGTATTGTACATAACCTCAAATAAACAGTTCAGTTTCATGGGAGAGAACTTGAATGTCTCTGACGGTTTGGACAACATAGTAGACCACTTTGCACAGTCCTCTTCTGAGGGACTCACGCCTCGATCACACCGACAGATGTATGCATTTTGGTACACCAGAAGTACATTCGTTTCCAATGGAACGCTGCGTTTGCCTTTCATCATTGCTTTGCAGCGGCAATTGCAGTATGTTCTGTGTGGTGCTGGATGTATCTAACATATACGTCAAACTGTATGCATAGACGGCTTGACAGAAATGGTAGCAGAAGGTGAATGTTGAACTTTTGTTGCACACATATCCAGATGATGCCGCGTACTATTTCGCGAAGAACACAATCAGTGTGATCAAGGCGTCAGTGTCTAGTCGGAACTAAAAATCTCTGATCAAACGAAGGGAGACCTATTTTCTATAGAACCGGAAATATGGTGTATGTCACGAAAAAACATGGCGGCGCCCGTAGGTAGAAATACCTTAACGTTATAGCTGACACGAATCAAGCTAAATGTTGGACAATATTCATTAACGCTAAAGGTAAGCGTGTCACACGAATACATCTTAATTCTAGAAGTGCCCTCGTGTAATTGTCGAGCTTGTCTTGACGAATAAACTAGCCATATTGGAGTCGAGCATTGCTAGCTAATTTTAACACATTGGTAGATGCCCGCCCGACAAATGACTAAAGATGTGGAACAATGTCAAGGCAAAAGTAGTGGGTCTGAAAATACTGCATGGCGTTTGCAATTATTGCACCCAGAGCCATGCATCTGTTGGAGTGTGGGTCAAAAGAACGCCGGAGAAACATAGACGTTGTGGACAAATCCCTGGCAAGACCCGCGTACTTGTGACTAGGAACTACTCAACAGAACCACCTTGGAGGGTCCTTTTCTTTGGGACGGATGATTTTGCTGTAGAATCCCTCAAGCTGCTCTCTGCATCTAGGTATGACACCCACAACCATTTCCATGCCAGTGAGAAAAGAGGAGAGATTCTTTGCAGTGAGTAACTTTAGCCTGGTCCCATATCTGTTTGTGCTGCTTCATAAGAGTTGGAGCGACAGTCCGAACAGATCTGGGACCAGGCTAGAGTAACTCCTTCTTGTGGCCTAATGTCAGTTGTCTGCTGTTTTAATTTTTGCAGGGAGTCCAATGACCGTGTTGTGGAGTCACTTGAGGTTGTCACACTATCCAATGACGTCCCTGTGAAGAAGTTTGCTGATCAAAACAAACTGCCCGTTCATGTCTGGCCTCTCAGGGATCTTCAAGGGCGGTTCGATGTCGGGGTGGTGGTGTCATTTGGCTGCTTGCTTCGGGAAGGACTTATCAACCAGTTTCCATGGTGAGTAACTTCTCTGAAAGTGACTCATGCAATACAAGTGTAACATTCTAGCTTGTGTCCCTGTCTGCCCCGAGCTGGGTGCCAACCAGGGACCTGCACACAACACTCTGACTCGCCACCAAAATAAGCATTGTCAATACCACTGGCCCAGAATGTCTCAGGGCGGGCGGGCGACATCACTTGCTCCATGGTAGCTACTAGTACACAGCCAACTACCTAGTGGTTCCATATCAGCTATACAAGCAGCAGACTCCCCAAGAAGTGTCAATCTTATGAACACCTCCAAGAGTCAAACCCTGATTGTGTCCAATCTGTTTGATTGTGAGAGTTGCGGCATGTGTGTCGGTTGACTCTATTCCAGTGGGATCCTGAATGTCCACCCCAGCCTTCTCCCCAGATGGCGCGGCCCCGCCCCAGTGTTCCACACCATCCTACACGGAGACACTGTCACCGGGGTCACCGTCATGCAGATACGACCAAAGAGGTAGGCTAACGTGACCCAGAGCTACTTTCTGTCCCCTCCCCCTTCCTTTTCTCTCTCTCTTTCTTCATGGTGCTGAGGGAGGAAGGGGAAGCCATGAAAGGGACCAGTCATCTACCAGCAACATGGACCTACTATTGACAAGCAAAACTGAGGGATGACATTAGCAGATGTTTGTTTGTTTGTTCAAATGCATATTTAGGGCTGGTTTCCCAACCTAATCCTGGACTGAAAAGCCCTTTTAATGGTGATTCCCCATAGAGCATGTGTTATAGTCCTGTACAGGACGGCTTTATCTGGGTCCAGGAAACTGGACCATAAAGTCTCCAGAGGCCACCAGATTGCAATAGGACTATATATATAATAGTGTACTCTACTACCGTATTCACTGTCAACGCGCATACTGCTATTCCTCAAGTCAAAGATCCTTTGAACCTTTGTGCCTCAGTGTATCTCTGGTCTCTGTGTTAGAGTAAACCTCAGTGTGTCTCTGTGTTAGAGTAAACCTCAGTGTGTCTCTGTGTTACAGTAAACCTCAGTGTGTCTCTGTGTTACAGTAAACCTCAGTGTGTCTGTGTTACAGTAAACCTCAGTGTGTCTCTGTGTTACAGTAAACCTCAGTGTATCTCTGTTACAGTAAACCTCAGTGTGTCTCTGTGTTAGAGTAAACCTCAGTGTGTCTCTGTGTTAGAGTAAACCTCAGTGTGTCTCTGTGTTACAGTAAACCTCAGTGTGTCTCTGTGTTACAGTAAACCTCAGTGTGTCTCTGTGTTACAGTAAACCTCAGTGTATCTCTGTGTTACAGTAAACCTGTGTGTCTCTGTATTACAGTAAACCTCAGTGTGTCTGTGTTACAGGACATCTCAGTGTGTCTCTTGTCACTGTTACAGGTTTGATGTGGGTCCCATTCTTCACCAGGAGATCTACCAGGTCCCAGACAACTTCACAGCTGACCAGCTAGGAGCTACTCTGGCCACCAAGGGAGCCCAGCTTGTGAGTGCACTTCACACTGTTTGTGTACTTATGACACCCTATTCCCATACAGTGCACTATGTGGCTCTGGTGGTCAAATGTAGTGCACTACATGGGTAATAGGGTGTGATTTGAGCTCACTCATTTGAGACCTACAACCACAGAGCTCAATCCATTTTAACAAAGGCTTGTCAGAAACCACTCATGGTTAATGTAAGCCCTCTTATATGTGAGCCTAGAGTGTAATGCAAGATTATTGTTTTTGCTTGAACAGTTGATTGACACATTAAGGACCCTTCCAGAGAGAATCACAAACCGAAGAGAGCAAGCTAAAGATGGTGCCACGTTAGGTAAGAACATTTATTTACTCAACCAGACGTTTGATGCTAGTAGTAATTACAATTTGAATGGTACACAATCAGCAAGAATTGCAACTTACAGGAGGGTGAAAGCTGTGTGTACTTTCTAAGCATCCATTCATGCCTCAGCTTACAGTTGACTCTTCTCAACAGCCCCTAAAATCAGCACATCGATGAGCTGGATCATATGGGAGGAACAAACCTGTGTCCAGATCGACTGCCTGTTTCGTGCCATCGCATCCCGGGTAAGAATAAGACAGCAGTCATGTTCAGTTGGCACGAAACTAGAAAAGTCTGAAAACACTTTGAAACGTAAAACTATAGTGAGCATTCTTATTGGGTGAGTTCACGCCGTTCCTCACCTGTTTCAAGAGGATTTTCTAATTTTGTGCATACTATATATGACCTTGATTTACTGTGACCGGCCTCTAAACACACATTGTCCAGGAGTGTTAAAACAATGCTCTCCTCTTCTCTCCCATTAGATCCCATTGAGAACCATTTGGATGGGCAAGACCATAAAGCTGCTGGACTTTGCTGGCAAATGCAACATTTCACTATCAGGTAATTTCCTCTTTTAACCATGACTTGATCATCTTCCCTTTTTCCCAACACTACTTGGTAGTAGATGGTGGTTGACTCAGTCAGCTAGTTCAATCAGCATGCTGTAAGTAGATGTGTGGATCGGCAGCAGTATTACTGCTTGTTTCCACACACTGCAAAGACAATCACTGTCTGGTAACATCCGTTTGAATATTTTCAGTGTTTCAGGTTGAGAAATTTTGTGATTGTTTTAATGACAGGTCGAGGGTTGAGAAATGTTGTGATTGTTTTAATGACAGGTCGAGGGAGGATACCTGTGCCAGGATCTATGAGTTATCAGAAAGAGTCCAACACCTTGGCTGTCTGTTGTAGGGTGCGTGAGCCAGGCTTTTCATCCTTGACACTTTCCATGGTTTACTATTATGTCAAAACACTGTCATTTTTATCTTATTGAAATATGTCTAATATTAATGAAAAGTAATTTGCATAATACAAATAATTAATTTAATGGATCCCATAATAAAATGATGACAACCACTTTGTGTGTGTTCGGTGATCTAGGATGGCTGGGTGGGATTCAAGGCGGTGATGCTGAAGAAGAGACTGTCAGCAGCAGACTTCTACAACGGATATCTCCATCAGAGCTTCCAGAACAGATCTGGCCCTCCCAAGCAGGAGTGCCTGTTCCACAGTAACAGAGACAGAACTGAATTACATTCAGCTGGAGAGGAGAACTCATTGACACAGCAACACACTGTGCATTAAAACATCATGTGGTAATTGAACACAAAACAACAACCTACTTGAATGTTATTTGATTAGATACATTTCCTAAAAGTAAAATAAAATAAAAAAGGATCTATACTTGTCTGTTTTAAGACAACATATTTAAGAGTACTTAAGACAAGGGTAGTGTTCAGCAGGTACACCGTAGCAAAACGTTTTGAAACAGAAACAAAACATTTACATTTCAGTCCAGGTAGTACCCTCTGTTTCAAAAACATTTTCTCCTGTTTTACGCCTACTGGAAACTATTTCCTGAACCTATGGAACACATGATATACATGAATGTAATAATAATAATAGTGATATCATGGAGTGGCTGATGTGCGTGAGTAGTTTGTGTTGTCCAATGAAAAACCCTCAAACCACCAAAATAACAGAGTTGTATTTGCATAAATAAACATTTACAAAAGTGTACTCTGAGATATTCACAAGGTTCTGTTGCCTTTGTCATTTGCTCTATGACATCATTCTTAACCATCCATTCCCTCATTACCATATAATGCATTGGACTTTGTAATATTTATATCACAGTTGTAGTAATGTAGAGATGGTGGGGTCTGTTTTAGAGATGTATTCTTCCCAGGGGAGTAAATGGTGCCGTTCCAGTCCGACTACATTGCAGTCGCGCTGCACAAATTAACCAACGATCGAATGCCACGTCATCTACATTGGGGTCAGATATTAGATTGCAATACCACATTGATACGGCCACTGACAGGTTAAAGTTTAAACCTTTATAATAGTAACAGTTTGACCTTTATCCAGGTGTTATGAGATTTGGTGTGCAACTGCTTCACCCACCCGCTGGGACGCGGCAATTGTGTTTGTCACAGCATGCTGGTCTCGGGGGACGTTGTCTGTCAACTGGGAGGCTTTACAAGAGGCACATACCACTATGGAAGAGAGAAAGTATAGAATTGTAGCATTTCACTGGGACTAAGTTTTAAACAAAACATTGAAGGAAATTGATTTATTCACTTAACTTGATAACGTGGGAGTGAATTAGACCAGTGTTTTCCAACCCTCTCCAGGAGGATTAAATTATTATTTTTTGCACTGCTGATTCAACTAATCAAGTGCTTGATAGGCTAATTAGTTCATTAGTGATAAGGTTGTATCAGTTAAATGCTAGAACCAGAATGTCTGGTGGTTAAGAGAGGGTTGGGAAACACTGAATTAGACTACATGTTTCCTTTGAGTCATAAAGCTAGCTGCCGTTAGCTAGTGTGAATGTGTCAGGGTGTCATCATACCTCCTGTGTCATCCCTGCTGTCTTCCTACCCTCTGTGTTAAAAGGAGGCTTCAGGTAACCTTTAAAGTGCTGCTTCACCAAGTCATGGAAAGTAGATAAGCAATCCTAAAAAGAACATCAGGAAAGCTGAACATTAGCTACCAAAGTGTAGTCCACCTTTGGATGTAAAGTTAGATGAGGCACAGCTGCAGCAACGATGGTGGATGTGTAACCAGGCCATGATTTACTACATTTACCATAAACCCAATTGTAATGTGGCAGTGATTTCTTCAACAATGTGCGTTATAAAGAGGCAACTATTTATGTACTACTCAGTTTACTAAACTGTAGTTCAATAATTGCCTCCTTAAAGCCATACCCGTTCTTCCTGTGAACAGATGTAGGTGAACCAGCGGAGCCCGGCGGCCACGTGAGTGATCTCATCCTGGTAGATAACCTCCAGCACCTCCACAGAGCTGCAGTCCCCCTGGGCAGCGAAGCGGGACAAGGTCTGGGGATGCACATCCAGGCCTCTTGGGGGAGGAGAGAGAGACAGAGAGAGAGGGAGTTAGGTAGCAGTACTTTCCCAGAGCCCAGTTGATTGGAAAAGCCAAGAATTTCACCAAGTTTTTGTTTTAGCCGCCCTGTGGTTATTTGTGTCCAAGAATGTGTCCGATTTCTCAGACCTATCCAGACCTTTCAGATAATGTGAACACCATGGGTGTATTAGAAGATGTGTCAAGGTAATAGGGACCATGTTTCCACTGCACTGATAACATAGTCATATTCTGATAGTGCTGTAATTCAGGTGAATGCTGTACCTGGCTTCATGTACCATATGCACAATGGCTAGCCTCGCCAGCAGGTCGTGGGACGTATCCGTTGCTGACTGCCACAGTCCTGTATAGACAAGAGCGGAGGTTGCTTAACTTACACCGGCTGCACTGAAAATGTCATGTCTTTTTTCATAAAACCAACTGTGATGATATTAAAAGTCAGTTAGGCCAGGATTCAATCGGATCTGCATTATAGCATGTTTGATACTTCAAAGTGAATTTCCTGACTGAGCCAACATATGCAGTGTTTACTGTGAATTGGATCTCCACCAACGCGGGAACATTGCCTTTCCAAAGACGCATTGTCTACAAAAGAGATCGGGATTGAATCTCGGCCTTAGTCTGGAGAAGCCAGCAAACCACCCACCATTATGAACAGGTAACGCGCCAAAGAAGCTGTCGAGTTCTGTGATCCTCGTCTCTAGTAAGTGATAATGCTGTTGAACAGAGTACAAATGAATTGTAATACTAGGGTAGCAGTCCATCCACTACTCCCAACTGATACAGTATTACCACTTGTTATCCTCCTTGAGGAACACTGTCTTGCAGTATTATACTAATATAAACATACTAAATATATTTGGACTACCAATATCTGAAGTATAGACATTTGAACAACACACATACAATTACAACAGATGTGCATCATTATTAAAGGACTGGTCCACTTTTTGGTTTCAGCTTGTTTTCAAAAATAAGCTGAAACTTCAGAAAGTGAACTATCCTTTTAAAACAACACGTAACATAGCACATTAATTAGATATATGTGATTCATCAAGGCCAGTGTTGTTAGGACACTGACCTTGGCCTCGTCTCCAGCCACTTTGACAAAGTCGCTGAAGAACTGGCGGGGAAGGGGCTCTCCAGTGTCCAGTCTGACCGCTGAGAAGCGAGCAATGATGTCCCAGGACAGGTCTATAGCCCACTGCTCTATGTTAGCCAGGGAGTGGAGGAGGGCTATCCTGCTAGCCTGGTCAGACACATAGTAAACACATACACTCATATCAACCATCATTGATGAAGCATGGAATGTTGCAGTTCTATAGCCTCGTCCCATACTGTATGTGCTAATGCCATGACAACGAACAAAAGAAGAGTTTGCTACAACAACACATCCTCAAGAACTTTTACAGATGTACCATCAAGAGCATCTTGACTGGCTGCATCACCGCCTGGTATGGCAACTGCACCGCCCTCGACCGCAAGGCTCTACATAGGGTGGCGCGGACAGCCCAGCACATCACTGGGGGCGAGCTCCCAGCCATTCAGGACATTTATACCAGGAGGTGTCTGAGGAAGGCCTGAAAAATTGCCAAAGACTCCAGTTACCCCAGCCATGGACTGTTCTCTCCACTACCGTCTGGCAGGCGGTACCGGAGCATCAAGACCAATGGCATCAGACAGATTTTATCCCAAAGCTATAAGACTGTTAAACAGCTAATCAATGGCTGCCCACCTTCCAACGGACTATCTGCACTGACTCTATGCACACTCACAGGTCTCTACTCACACATTCACACACACTCTCACATACTGAAGCCCACACATCACACATTCACCATATCTTTTTTATCCTGCTGACAGTCACTTTTACCCCTGCTTACACATCTACCTCAACTACTCCAGTATCCCTGCACATTGAAATGATGGTGCTGGTACTGATCCTGTATAGAGTTTACATTCTCCGGTTTTTCTTGTGTTTTTCCTTCATATTATTTCTCTTACCATTGATATTGAATACTGCATTGTTGGGAAAGAGCTTGCAAGTAAGCATTTCACTGTACTGTTTTATAGTCCCATGTAGCTCAGTTGCACTTGCAACACCATGGTTGTGGGTTCGATCTAAGGCTGAACGATTTTGGAAAATAATCTAATTGCGATTTTTTGCCCCCAATATTGCGATTGCGATTTAATATGCGATTTAATTTATTTATCCTTTTTCCCCTACAAAACATAATGAATGATTTAAATATGACCAACACAATAGTATATACATTTAGTGTGAAATGTTCTTTCCCATAGGCTGGGTCTATTTGTTAGAATTAAATTCAAACATGTATGACTTGAAATAAATGACATTTTTATTGAACTGCTCATTACAGAAACATCTGTGGCTTTGCCACTGTGCATTTAAATAATTTAAACAAAGGCATGAACTTTGTAAACACTGTGTGCAAAAGGTACAGTCTTAAGAAAAAAATAATTTTAAATTGTATGTATCTTACTGCTCCCAAGTCAGTAACATTTCACACAACTGAAACAAGGAATTTGCTTTGAAAATATTTTGTAAAATCAAAGTAAATAAAGTTATAAATAAAAAATGAGAAATGCACTTTTAATTTAGACAAACTATTTTTTATAAACGATTTGAATATTATAATATAAAATAGATGAGCCTCACTTATCTCAAGTACACAACAATAACACACCACACAGACTAAAGTTCACTACGAGTATGGCACTGCCAGCCATACTTATCCAACAGTTCTGTTCTCAGTGGCTCACAGGTTTTTTGCTAAGAAAACCAGAATATTGACTTTTTCTGGCTTCAAGGCTGAGCGAGTGCAAGTCACAATATTCCCTCCTGTGCTAAAAAGACGCTCTGAGGGAGCGCTTGTAGCAGGTACACAAAGATACTTGCGTGCCATGGTGCACAACTGTGGGTAGCTGATCTTGTGCACCCTCCACCAAGCCAATGGATCATCTTCTCCATCAATGGTAGGAGTCATCAGGTAATTGTTTATCTCTGCCTCTGCGACATCTTCAAGATTTACAGGCAAAGAAGGAGAGGCTGAACTGGTCTTGAAAAAACTGCCAAGAGACCTCTTCGTCTTTTCCCCCAAGGACTGTGCACTTTGAGGCATCTGAACAGTTTCAGTACGAGACCTCTTCTCCTATTAGATGAAAACAACAGCCATTAGTTTTCCAGTTAGATTTTACAGAAAATTTTTGTTTTTGTGAAATACATAATTATTTACCCAATGATATGTACGTTGTGCCAAGTCTACTATCTCTGTCTTCAGACGAGTCTTGATAGCAGGGATGTTGTCTGTACTGATGTACTGTATTTTGAACCTAGGGTCCAGGAAACAGGCAACATCCAAAAGCTCCTGGATGTTTGGGTCTCCATATTTGTTATTGAGGTATGCTAGGACTTTGGTTTTTATTGATTTAGTCAGGTCAGTGTCCTCAGCATCTTCAGCCAGGACTGATGTGGCAAAAAGGTGGAGAACTGGCTTGAGGTAGGAGATGCTTACATACTCCTCTCCAGAAAGAGCATCAGTAAACTCCAGTAGAGGATGCAGTGCCTTGTGAATCGACTCCAACACGTCAATATCCTGCCAGGTTGGGATAAGGGAGCGTGCATATCGATCTCCAGACAATACCTGAGAAATGGCTTTGGCCTGTTCAAGCACTCTGGCAATCATCATTTCTTTAGAACCCCATCTTGTTGGGCACTCCGTTATGAGGTTGTGCTCAGGGAGTTTGAGCTCTCTCTGTGCCTCCGTCAGGGCTGCTTTCTTCTTCCAACTGTGGGAAAAGTGCCCCACCAGCTTCCTGCACAGTACTGTTGCCCTTGACACTCTGTCATCTTTGAGTGCATTTTCTAAAAGAAATAAAAAGTAGTGTATTACACACAATTTGAGTTTTGATACAAGGCTCTCACTATTACACACTCAAATTAGCTGTAATTCTGAAATACACACATCCACAACACATCCTCTCTCTCTCTCTCAATTCAAAGGGTCTTTATTTGCATGTCAATTCTCTCTCTCTTTCTCTCTCTCTCTCTCTCATAAACACTAAAAAAACATGTAAAAAACAAAAACAAGAAAAGAAAAAAAATGCAGGTGGGCATTCCACCACAGACAGACATATGATATAAGCAAGTAAAATGAATTTACATATTAGAAAAGGAGTGGAAGTATGAATTTATTTAATCCCATCCGATTTATATAATATCATTTATATATATTTGTATATTCAGCTTTACTAATCGACGCATCTCTCTCTCTCGCACTCGCGCACACACACACACACACACACACACACACACACACACACACACACACACGATAACTTACCAATGGCAAGATGTAATCTGTGGCCAAAACATTGGAGCCTCGTCCATTCATTAAGCCGCGCAGCAAGCACCATATTCGACGCGTTGTCCGTCGTGATGCAGACGTGATTCTCCTCGTGGAGATCCCAGCTGACAAGCCCTTCTCTCAGGCCGGCTGCAATATTTTCCCCTGTGTGATCGTCTGGGAAGTAGGTAGTTTGTAGGCAGCGAGCTCGGAGGTTGAAATCTTCATCAATAAAATGGACTGTAAGACTCTGGTACGGCTCAGCTGTGCGGCTTGACCACATATCAGTAGTGCTAGCAAAAAACTCCACCGTTTTAAGTTCCGCGGCGACTTTCTCTTTGCACTTTTTGTACAGCTCCGGTATGGCAGTCTGACTGAAGTATGTGCGGGAGGGTATACTGTTAACGTTTATCAAGCGTATGTATTAATGCCATGAACCCAGGCTTGGTCACCGTGCTGAGAGGCATCATATCTTTGGCTATGAACTCGGTTATTGTCCGAGTGATTTCTCCGTGCCGTTTTGAATTACGTTCATACGGAGTGACACTTTCGAACATTTCTGTCAGTGATCCCTGTCTTGAGGTATTTGGCTTGTCTCGCGCACTGATGCTCGGCATTTTGGTCATACAACTGTCATGCATTGATTTGTGGTATTTTTTTAAGTGCTGAAACAGGTTTGTAGTGTTACCCCGTGAAGTAGCAATCGGAGCACGGCATGCTCTGCACAACACCTGACGCTGCTCAGCATCTTCTTTTTTAAAACCAAAATAGTTCCACACCACCGACGTGCTGTTCCTCTTCGATATTAAAGTATCAGCTGTGTCAGTTTCTGACTGTTCCGTCGAGCAAGAGGCCATTGCGCTGGACAGCATGAAAAGTCGCGTCACGTGACCACCTCAAATCGCGCACGTTGCGATTAGAAAATCGCGTTCAGTCAAATCGCGATATTATCGCGAATGCAATTAATCGTTCAGCCCTAGTTCGATCCCTAAACCATTTCCCATGCATTGTCAATGGGGTTTCTAAACCAAACCGGATGTAATATATTTTGTTAGATACTACTGCACTGTTGGAGCTAGGAACACCAGCATTTCGCTACACCCGCAATAACATCTGCTAAATATGTGTATGTGACCAATACAATTTGATTAGATTTTTTACACCTGTTGTATCCTGTGCAAATAAACGTGTACTATTTTATTGCGACAGTGGGTAGTTAGCATGCCCATTTTGGTAATCTAGGGGTTGTGTAGTTCAATACTGGCATGGGATACGTTCCCTCCTTTTTGTCAACAGTACCATTACCTGTGTCTATCGTCATTCAGTCATGTTTGGTCTTCTATTTGTTAGGCTACATGATTGATTGATGTGATTTATTTAAGTGTCATACAACTACTGGTGCCCAGCCCACATGGGCTTACAAGAAACTACTAAACACAGCACAATTTTCCTTGTACTCAAAACAAAATAACATTGTACAAATGATATGCATATACTGTACAATAATCATGGCAAGTAAAGCTACCATCTAGCCCCACTACACAAACAGTACAGCTACCATCTAGCCCCACTACACAAACAGTACAGCTACCATCTAGCCCCACTACACAAACAGTACCGCTACCATCTAGCCCCACTACACAAACAGTACAGCTACCATCTAGCCCCACTACACAAACAGTACAGCTACCATCTAGCCCCACTACACAAACAGTACAGATACCATCTAGCCCCACTACACAAACAGTACAGATACCATCTAGCCCCACTACACAAACAGTACAGATACCATCTAGCCCCACTACACAAACAGTACAGCTACCATCTAGCCCCACTACACAAACAGTACAGATACCATCTAGCCCCACTACACAAATAGTACAGATACCATCTAGCCCCACTACACAAACAGTACAGCTACCATCTAGCCCCACTACACAAACAGTACAGATACCATCTAGCCCCACTACACAAACAGTACAGCTACCATCTAGCCCCACTACACAAACAGTACAGCTACCATCTAGCCCCACTACACAAACAGTACAGCTACCATCTAGCCCCACTACACAAACAGTACATTTCTCCTTCTCCTCCAGGCATTGTAAACAAACTGAGCAATCTCAAACACCCTGTCTGGAACAAAATTCAAGCCTCTGCTTGTCCATTAACCAGAATACTTCAGGGTTAGCACCATACATTTTTTTTTACAGAAAATAACATGTCTCAGATCGTCATACAAAGGACCCAAAAACACTAAATGGATTTTGTTTTTTGATTTCCCAACACAGTAGGGAAATTCTCTCCTCTTCAGGCACTCTGTTAAATCTACCCGTCTCTAAGCCAGAGGGTGAGTGCCGGATGTGAGTTGTGAACAAACTGACCTTTGGCTTTTTGTTAGGTTCAGGCGGACATATAGTTCAGGGATATAGTTCTCTTTGATGACAGTATGTTCTAAGTTTTTAGGTTTAAACCAAATATCAGCTGCCCATTTTCCCTTGTGGATCAGAAAAAGCTTGTCCTCGATTTGGTTTTATGCTAACAGGGGTTTCCTCATTGCATTACTGTGATTACCTCCCCTCTTGATCTAAGGGATTTTAGGCTCGTTTTTTGAGGATTTCAGAGATTCCGGACTTGTTAGTTCATACTTCCAACCTGTCTGAGTGATTAGAGGGTGTTGTTAACACACTGACCTGTGTGCCACCTTTGCCACGCTTGATTTTGCCCGGCTGCAGCACGGTCAGGTTCTCCTTCCTGCTGGGCTGGACAGGTGGAGTAGCCTGACCCACCTCTGTTATCTCCCCACTGTTCCATCTCGCCTGGACCTGCAGCGTCATGGCTACCTACAGGGATTGGATCAAAGTCAGTGAGCCAGTGAGATATGCAGGGTTGAACAAATCTCAGGCACCTGCGATAACATCTGCAAATCTGTGTACGCAACCAGAAACTATTTTTGTATGTTTTGCCATGGAAAGTCCAGGTAGTCTCCACCTGTTTCAGTCATTTTTTTTCTTCATTTGGTGCCTAATGAACACAACCCAATACTCTATTCCCTCCCAGTTTAACACTTCATGTGGTGGTTAGTGTGAATGGGGCTTGCCTTCTCTTTGGGGTCCGGTGTGCACAGGATCTTTGTAGCCCAGACGCACAGTGTGTCCTCAGAGGGTGATGGCTCGACATCATCTGCTGACAATGTGCCTGAGCCAAAAAGAGATCTCTTATAAATGTACTTAATATCATTCAAAGCTTTGCCAGAACAAAATATCTTACCTACTAGCCTGCTCCCAGATCTGTGTGTGTTATTGCCTGCTTATCGTCAAGCCAACATGTTTGGCATGACAATTCCATAAGGAGATGGCAAGAGTGCAGAAACAGACTGTCACCCAGGCTACAGTACTTTCCTTTATGTAATTGTCAAAAAGAACGTTGATTGGTGTACATTGTTCATTAGGTATACTATCACCTTACCATTAGATGTTGTGTCTGTCTCTGACATGGGACTTAGACACAGCTCATTCTGTGTGTTGATATAAATCATGTCTTGGACAACTCTGACCTCATACACCTGGTTCTGTAGACAGAAAAACAAATGTTCCTTTTAGTCTACTTGTATTATTGATTAATAAGCTTTTGTTATTCAATGACCAAATTCTAATAAAACATACATTGCCTAGTGAATGTCTTCACACCCCTTGAAAAGTTGTCACATTTAGATGCCTTATTTAAATATAAAAGGGATTCAATTTGATTTTTTTTATCCACACAACCTACTCCACATTCTCAAAGTGAAAGAAAAATTACAGAATTTGTTAAAAATGTGTTTAAAAAAAATAAAATATGTCTTGATTGTCTCAGGGGTGTGAGTACTTTCTCTAAGCAACTCCAAATCCCTGTCTCTTGCCCCTAAGGACACCCGTAAATGCCACATTGACTCCTGTATGATGCCAATGGTGGTAATACATATCAACCTTCCCTTTATCACATGGTTACAGGAAACCTATATTTAGAATACTATGAATAAATAGGCTCTGTTGGAGGCCATCTCTCTCTACCTGTAGTCCCATGGAAGAGGCACCGGTCTCCAGGCAGAAGTCAAAGTGATGCCAGGGACAGACCAGTACCCTCTTCCCATCTCCCAGGTCCTCGATGTCACCGAGGTCAAGAGGGCCTCCTACGCGAAGACGGTGGTTGTAATGATGAAAGACATCATAGTATGGTGACTATGATAATTTCTTTCTTATAGCATACTCTCATTCTGTCGGAGCTAGAAGCACAAGCATTTCGCGACACATCCTATAACATCTGCTAAACACGTGTATGTGACAAAAGTTATTTGATTTATCCTATAGCCATTTTGTCACGTAGTTGTTTATGAATTAATCATCATAACAGCAAGCTACCATACCATAGTGCTGAGTGATTAATGGCATGCCATCAATTAGGCTATACCTTCATGGGGACAGGATGAATCCATAGCCCAGAATCTGTCATCTTCTGTGTGAACCAGGACAATGTGTTCACCATCCTCAGAGTACAGCCTTGGGGAAACGTAGAGAAGTCATGCACCAAGTTAGACCATCTTTTCAGAAAAGGCAAGGGCAGCTAATGTGTATAAACCATATACATTAGGTGGGATAAACACAGTTAGTTAGCTAGCTGCTGCTATTCTAGCTAATTGGACTGCTTACTTTGTGCATGGTGAGTCAAAATCACACTTCTTTCCTACACATTGCCAGTTTCCGTCTTTGACAATTTCTCTTAATGCGGCGACTAAATCCTCCTCGAAGTGATCCATTTAAAATATACGATGCAGAAAATAGTAGTAAGAGTAATGTTGTGAATAACTAGCTTGCTACTGCTGCCGATGTGTGGCAGATTTCAAAACCAAAATCTTTCAACCGGATGTTGATACTCCAAGAATTCTGTCCGACCTAAAACCACTAAGGTTTCACAAGAACCTAAAACATATCCGAGACGAACCTTTGACAGGCTATGCAAAAAGATAACACTTGAGACAAAGAATGAATGCATAGAAATGTATTTGTTGATTAGACAAGATTTAGAATGACAATTAATCCATCTTCTCATTTTGATATGGTTGATTATATAAAACATTATATATTTTAACGAAATTACAACACATCCTCCATTCAGGCTGCAAGGGTGTCGAGTTCCTCCTTAACTTAATTTATTGGCGCTAATGGGAGGGGGGAACAGGGAAAGTATGTGTACTTGCTTTATGAAACACAATTTTCCACCACCATGCTAGGGTGGCTAATGCGCGTTCAAGTCATGTTGGAAACTCTGAAATGTTCCACTTGCTAACCTAGGCGGAAGAGTCGGATCCCGAGTTTCCAACTTGGGAGGTACCAGAATCAACCAAAAGGAAGCTTTACGCCAGGGTTCTTCAATTCCGGTCCTGGAGGGCCGAAACACTTCTGTTTTTTATTTCTACCTGGTAGTTAATTGCACTCACCTGGTGTCCCAGGTCTGAATTAGCCCCTGATTAGAAGGAGAGGATGAAAAACAGAGGTGTTTCGGCCCTCCAGGACCGGAATTGAAGAACCCTGCTTTACGCAAATAACTTTTGTTCATTTTAAGTCAGGGGTCCCGAGTTTGCGACATGACTGGAACGCAGCATAATACCTAGGAATGCTATTCCCAGATGTTGCATATCGCCTTAAGCCATTTAGGTTGCAGCAGTCTGTTGTTTACCGCTGGCTGAAGAAGGGGACGCAATATCAGGAAGTAGCACCATGAAACACGCACATTTTTCATTTTTGAATGGAGAATGTTTTATGTACGAACCGGCCACTGGCGTATAGCCAGCCACAAACAATGCCTTTGGACATTAACGACTCAATATCGCCATCTGCTGGCCTTTGGGCTAGAGAACAATATGATTGATATGATCTACCGTACGACATTGTTTCTCAAAATTGCTAGGAGGAACACACAGACTGCAGGCATTCAATGTCAGTGAAACTGAACTGAATTGTAAAAACATCTACATAAAAATGCAGTGACCTACATACATAGAAAATCTACAGTTGCGAAAAAAAAGTGATGACGGCGCATAACTTATGAGTGTAAAAGAAAACGATTTAATATACAATAGAAAACATGTGCAAAATATTCATGATCAGTATGCTTCGAGTATAATAAAATAGTGAAAGTCTGGATTGAAGGAAAGTACGAACGCTGGCTATCCCCAAGCCTCTTTCAGCAAAACCATTTGGAGCACGAGACACAGGCAATACTATCTGCTCCATCTTAAATACAAGGAACATACTCATCCGTGCTATTTTAAAACTTTAAAAATTGTTTGTTACAATATGATACATTTCATAACATGACCTTAAAACGTTTTTTTTTTTTATTCCAAACACTTACATAGTTTACACAACATTATATATATATATATATATTTTTTACCTTAATTTACATAGGAACGCAGACAACAATAAAAAACAAAAAGGTAGTGATCCACTTTAAGATGAGAGCTGGTGGGGACTTAATGATGCAGGATGTCATTCAACCAACAGCGTCGTTGTTTAGTGTAGGGGGGGGTCAAAGGTGAGTGATGGTGGAGTTCAGTATGTCTGGCTTGCTCTTGGTGTTAGAGGCCTTGGAGAGGTCTCGCTGTGGACAGAGGTACAGAGATCAGGATAGATATTCCCTTCCCACCCAACATCAACAGGGTAGTGTTCAGTAGGAACAAAACATTTAAAAAATGATACAAAACAGAGTATAAATGGAGAGGTACGGTCTAAACTTGTCCAATTAGAAAATGCCAATTTTCGTTGCAAAACATTTTGCTATGGCATATCCTAATGAACATGACCAAGGTGCATAGGTAACAAATTGAGTAGCGACAAATAGCATTGGACACTACCTCCGTTTTAATTTGACAGTAAACAAACACAAATCTAGAAAATATGCAATTCTGGTAATTGCAGATTTCCCAAATACATTTTCATTCAAAAGGCAGAAACAATCACAAAGTGACAGCCAGAGAAAGACTGAAGAAAGGGTATTAGGAGTTTGGTTATAAAAAGGTTACATCAGTAAATAGTCAGCGACACAGCCTAGCCTGAGAGCCCTCAAGAGAGGGTTTAGAAGGACACACTAACAAGAGAGGGTACACTACTGTTACCTGTGAACATAATCAGGGATGAAGCATTTAAGAATGTATAATGCTTAGTGGTTAATGACATGCATATATTTGGATGCAGGAATAATTATTTGATGTGTATGGTTTTAGTTTAGGCAGTTCACACATTCAAACAAACCTTGATTGAACCGATTCGATTACTGTGTTGATTAAGCCAGTCTAAAAACAGAATACAGTTATCAATTAGTCACAATTCTCCACTTAAAACCCCTCTCATGGCTAGACTGTGTGTTGCTGCAGAGAATCAGTAAATGTGGAAAATAACACACAGAAAAAACACAATTTACCGCAAACTCTGAATAAGTGCTGGCGACAGAGTTAATGCTGAAGTTACGCTGCGGACTAGCCAGGGTTTTAAACCCACCGCTCTGAAGAGGGACTCCAAGTCCGGTCACCTGGCCCATGTTCTCCTTGTTGCGCTCCGGCAGTCCCGCGAGGGGGGGCTTACCGCGACCCGGGGTCCGTACTGATGGGACCTGGATGGGGGAGAACACAGAGAAAAAGGTGGATGAGGAGAAAAGGTAGCCTGGAATCCGAACTGATATGTTCCATTTCACCATCACTTCAACAATGGTGAAACGGAGCATCAGTTTGGATTCCAGGCTTGGGAACAGAAAACGCAACGGATGGTTTGCTTTGAGTGAATGTCAGGGTTTGGCCAAAGATGAGCATGTTACCCATACCAAATGGCTGGTCTAAATTGAGAAAAGTAATACTGAACAAAAATATAAAACGCAACATGTAAAGTGTTGGTCCCATGTTTCATGAGCTGAAATAAAAGATCCCAGAAATGTTCCATATGCAAAAAGCTTATTTCTCTAAATAAATTGTCACAACACAATGCCACAGATGTCTCAAGTTTTGAGCAATTGGCACGCTGATTGCAGGAATGTCCACCAGAGCTGTTTCCAGAGAATTTAATGTTAATGTCGCTACCATAAGCCTCCAACATCGTTTTAGAGAATTTGGCAGTACGTCCAACCGGCCTCACAACCGCAGACCACGTGTAACCACGCCAGCCCAGCACCTCCACATCCGGCTTTTTCACCTGTGGGATTGTCTGAGGCCAGCCACTCGGACAGCTGATAAACTGTGAGTTTGCACAACCACATAATTTCTGCACAAACTGTCAGAAACCGTCTCAGGGAAGTTCATCTGTGTGCTCGTCGTCCTCACCAGGGTCTTGAACTAACTGTAGTTCGGCATCGAAACCGACTTCATTGGGCAAATGCTCACCTTCGATGGCCACTGGCACGCTGGAGAAGTGTGCTCTTCACGGACGACTCCCGGTTTCAACTATACCGGGCAGATGCCGTTGTGTGTGCGAGCAGATTGTTGATGTCAATGTTGTGATCAGAGTGCCTCATGGAGGCGGTGGGGTTATGGTATGGGCAGGCATGAGCTACAGACAACAAACAGAATTGCATTTTATCAATGGAAATTTGAATGAAGAGATACCGTGAAGAGATCCTGAGGCCCATTGTCGTGCCATTCATCTGCCGGCATCATGTTTCAGCAAGATAATGTCGCAAGAATCTGTACACAATTCCTGGAAGCTGAAAATGTCCCAGTTCTTCCATGGACTGCATACTCACCAGACATGTCACCCATTGAGCATGTTTGGGATGCTCTGGATCGACGTGTACGACAGCGTGTTCCAGCTCCCGCCAATATCCAGCAACTTTGCACAGCCATTGAAAAGGAGTGGGACAACTTTCCACAGGCCACAATCAGCCTGATCAACTCTATGCAAAATAAATGTATCGCGCTGCATGAGGCAAATGGTGGTCACACCTGATACTGACTGTTTTTCTAAGGTATCTGTATTCCCAGTCATGTGAAATCCATAGATTAGTGCCTAATGAATTTATTTCAATTGACTGATTTCCTTATATGAACTGTAACTCTGTAAAATCTTTGAAATTGTTGCATTTATATATATATTTTCAGTGTAGTTAGTTATTGTGCAAACATGCTGCGCTGACCTTGTTGACTGACAGAGGGGGGCGGGAGGGTGAGTGGCAGACAGTTCCGCCATAGGCTGAGCGTATGGTGCTGTTAGAGTTGGCACTAGAGAGGCTGGAGGTGGTGCCATTGAGCTGGAGAGAACACACAGACAGTGAGTTAGTTAGTGATGCCAACAGCCCATGTTATTAATGCCCAACGAATTAAACACAAGCCAGTGATTGTGTTAGCCTGGGTTCCAGTCTTGTTTCTGCTTTAGCCACCTTTGTCATAAAAACATATGCAGTCCAGAAACAGACTCGATACCCAGGCTAAGATTGGGCCATGCAATTGTTGCATGAGTATGAAGGCTAGAAAGAGCAGCAGCAAAGTTATTGAAGTGGTACCTTTCGTGCTTTGGTGGGGGTAGCGGTGCCGAGGAATCGCCGTTTGGTCGGTGTCCGGACAGCTGTCCCATACAGCATATCCACCTCAATCTGCTTGCTCTTTTTCAGTTGCTGATACAATGAAAAATATGAACGATATAAATCAAAGTATTGTAATCTCAGAGTTTAATAAAGTAAACTTTTAGCTACACAGCACTAAGCCTAACTTGAGACAAGAGTGTAACAAATTATGATTGTGCATCTCTCTCGTGGACATCAATACATGATTTACATTAAAGTACAAGTTGCGCTCAATGGCCCGGTTTCCCAGATCCAAATGAAACCTAATCCTGGACTGAAAAACACTTCTCCTTTGGTCATGCTTCTTAGTCTATGACTAGGTTTAATCTGGGTCCAGGAAAGAGGACCAAGACTGTATCTCTCAAGTTAGGATTCTGCCCTCAAATGAGTAGCTAGGTCTTTACCCTCTCCAGTTTCTCATTCTCTTTCTCGATGCGGTGCAACTCCCACTGCTCCTCCACAAACTGCATGAACTTCTGTCCATTCACCAGGAATTCCCTGGCCTGCTCCTGCTCCCACACATCAATCTGAGCCTTCAGTTTCTTCTCAAGCTGGACAAACAAAACACAAATATAGGGATATAGCCAAGCCTTTTACAGTATAGTATGTGTTTATATAGTATAGCATTATGTACGGCTGCTCAAGAAAAACTCAGAGCCTTGTCATGTTTGTATGTACAGTAGCTACCCACCTAACAAGGGAAAAATACAGACTCCTGTCGTCTTTTTCAGAATGAGTTACCTTGGGCAGGCTTTTGTGGAGCTCGGCTTTCTGTTTCTCCTCTTTGAGCAGATTCCCTCCTCTGTTGGTGAACCTGGAGGGGTCTGTGGCTTTTTTCTGTGGGGATAAAAGGAAATGCCAAGGGTTAAAACCCCCTAAGGTCGATGTCCGCGCCCCTGTGGAAATCGAATTAGCATAATACAAAAATCCCCATAAAAATCTGTCAGTTTAAGCTAGCGACATCTGTTTTATTTGCATGGGATGCATCTCAATCCACCACATCCGCCTATGTAACACTTCCGCATTTGGGGTGAAAGGTGACAGAGCTAGAGTTGTGTTTGTCAGACCATGAGACATCCCGAAAATCGGTCTTCGCACAAAATCGTCTGTAGCGTCCAAACAGACTATCATGATATTTCAGGTTAAATAAATGTTACAAATATTTTTACAAATGTTTCCTGATCATTCTTATATCTCTCTGACACTTCAGAACAAACTTCCTTTAGATTTATTTGGGGGACTAGCTGTTGTTCCATGTAGTGAATCTGTCATTTAATGCGTTTGTATGGGCTAATAGCAGTAAGGCCAAACAATTTTTATTTTATTTTTGATAAGTCAAGGGAGCTTAAAATTGTATGTTATTTAACTTAAATTGATTGGATGAAACAACATCCTAGGTAATTCGAAAATAAGCAAAAACCTTTTTTTAAATTGAACTATCCATTTAAAGCCCACTTAAAAAATATATAATTGCACTTGTCTTTTCTTACTAGCACTGACTTTGCTGGTAAGGTCTTTATTGAGAAAAATGTACTAACTACGACTGTGATATGTGGTTGTCTCACCTAGCTATCTTAAGATGAATGCACTAACTGCAAGTCTCTCTGGATAAGAGCGTCTGCTATATGACTAAACTGCTTATTGGTGCTTCGCCACAGCTAACCTCTAGTTCCAGGAAGAGTCTCCAGCTCTCCTCCCAGCGGTGAACCCCTTCAAACAGCTCCTTGTGTTCCTCATAGTGCTGCTTCAGCCTCAGGATCTCAGCGTCGTGCAGCCCCAACAGCTCCTCTGTAAAATCATCTGAAGGAGGGAAAAACAAATCATTCATTTATTATTAAAATCAGGAAGTCACATTGAGAAAAATATTGCCTTTTTAAAAGGGAAAACTAAATGCATGGGTATGTGATGCACCAGGTATGTGATTAATAAGTTAACAATTCTAAAACACACTGTTCACTAGAAAGACTTCTCGGAGTCTTCATTCATTGATGGGTCTACCAAAGCTTGTGTTGTACCTGTAATCCAAACCCAACTTACCGCTATAATAGGGCACAAAGGCCTGTCGCTGGTCGCTGCTGAAGAAGCATTTCTCCCAGAGCACTGCGATCTCTGAGCGGATGGCCTCAGTTACGTTACGCATGTTCAGTAGTTTGAGCTCCACCAGTCGCCTGCCCTCTGCTTCTAACTGAGGTGTGAAAAAGAAGAGAGAACTATTTGGTTCTTTGGTTCTAACATTCTCTTGATTAATAGACAGACTTTGTTTAGAAACAGCTTTAGAATGCCAGATACAGACTACTGGAGACAATGATGACTAGCCAGAGGGGTATACATACTACAAAGCAGGATCAATGAGATAGCCAGCAAACTTTAAATAAACAACAAACAACTACTGACTTTCTGGATCATTAACAAAGCTAAACTTAGATGTGTGTTTTAAGTTGTTGAGTCAATTAGACCATGTCCATTTCAAGCTTATCTTTCAGAAATAAAAATAAACCGTTATTTCAGAATATTTAGGCAAGTAAGGGGCATGGTCAAAATGGGCCCATTAGGCTCTGGTCAAAATAAGTGCACTAGAAAGGGATTAGGGTGCCATTTGGGACATAAACTAAAAGTTTTCACTAACAGCATCCAGGTTCTTCTTCTTGGAGACGACCATGTGCTCTGAGAAGAGCTCTCTCTCCTCCTGGGGCACCTGCAGTCTGTCCCACAGCTCCTGGATCTTCTCCCTGTGAGCCTCACACACCGCCTGGTTCTCTGCCTTCCTCTCCTCCAGCTAGACAGAACAACAGACACAGGGGACGGTTAGTAAAGGAGCACTACGGAAATGGGCATGTTCCAGGATGTCTGTATTGTCTTTACGTGGGACGCGACTGCAATAAAGAAGACCTGGAACACGGCCAATGAGAGATATTAGCAACAAAATGCAAATTAAGATATTTAGATAATCTATAGTGAAGTGATAATGAACTGATATAGTATTGTTGAAACGTAATGTGTGTAGGTCGACTGTTGTTGTACTGTGGTGGTGAGCAGATCGACTGTTCACTTTGCACAGACATTGCAAAGTATCGCTCAAACTAAAGCATTCACTATCATCTCATAAACAAATTGGATTAGTTCCATTCTCACTTGGCCGAGGAGGAGTTTGAGCGAGGCGATGTTGTCTTTGGACAGGCAGAAGGCCTCCTGGTCCTCGCAGACTATGTCCTTCTCGAAGCTGGTCTCTGGCAGCTGATCAAGGTCGTCCATGCACAAGATGATCTGCCTCTTGATGCCCACAAACTCAGCGTGCCGCCGCTCCTGCCCACAGACCGAGAGACATGCCGTTAGGGATCTCCTCAAATGTGTATATTAGTTTACATCAGTGTTTTTCCTCAATATTATTTTCCCTAAGGTGAGGCGCAGAATCAATGGCCAACCTTTTTTTGGCATTACTACAACCAATTCAACTAATCGTGCCTCTAGATTAAAGACAGAGATTAGTTGAATCAGCAAATAAGTGCTGGGTTCTCCAGGAGCAGGGTTGGTGAAGTATGCACCATCATTCAGATCTAGGTTCAAATAATATGTTTTCTTTCAAATCCTTTGAGCATTTGATTAAGCCTGCGTGATGTATCACATTGGATTTGCTCCTTTGGGACTATTCCATTAGTTCCATTGCGCCAGGTAAGCTCAATCAAGTGCAGCTACATTTATTTTTTACAAATACTACTGGTATGCGAACCCAGCTCTGCTTTTATTACAAATCCCTATCCACCTTCTCTGCGGTCTGGCTGGCGATGTGCTGGCGGAAGCCGTCCAGCTGCTCCAGGGAGGGCACAGCGTTGGGGTCGAGGGCGTAGGGCTCTGAACACAGAGTGTCACACAGGTCTTGGTCGCGCTCTGTCAAGGCCTTGAGCTGCTGCATCCTCTGGGTCCGCTCCTTCACCAACCCCTCCACCTGGGTCCGGATCTCCTTCTCCTGCTGCAGCATGGTGACGCCCCGCTCCTCCTGGTGAGAGAAAAGGTGTTGGGTGAAGTTGCCCCTAGGCACTGCATTTCCCCCACTAATGGTTAAGTTGAGGATTGGGGAGGGGGAAACTGATCCCAGATCTGTACCCAGGGAAGGCACCAGGGTTGGGGTTAATGCCATTTCAATTTTGAGTATTCAGGGTAAAAAAAAAAATCAGTTTACTTCCTGAATTGACCCCAACCCTGGAAGGCACAGGCAGAATGTTTCTCCAAAGAAATCTTCAAAATCGAAAATGGACTTCCCCAGAGGCATCATCTAAACAGTCTGGAATGGCCTCATTCCCTTATTTTCCGTAATAGCCCTTTTTTTCCTCCATCCACTGATCTCCAAGAAATGGACAGCAATAAGTCCATAAATCCTCATAGCGCTTTATCCTAGAAATAGAATTACTAGAAAGGACAAAGCCAATCAGACCATGGTAATTTGAGTGGGACATTGAGTTGAATGGGAATGTCCGTTCTAGTCATATTTCTATGATTTATGTCATTAGCATACTAGTATAACTTTGCAGACCTTGTTAGAAACTGTTAGGATGCTTACCTCAAACGGGGGTAGCTGCAGTTCCAAGCACAGCTTATCCAATTGTTTGCGACAGGCTTCGATGCTGCTCAACAGTCTGGTCCTAAGAGACTCCTCCTCTGTTATCATCATGTCTAACAAACCCTGTGAGAGATGTGCAGAAATGACTAGTCAGTCCACATATAGGAACGAATCCATAGTTAAAGAGAGTAGCTGGTTCTTGAATTAGCTACTTCTAGAAATCTCACATTTCGCAGACTAAATAGATCACACATATTCCCTAGCAACACTTACATACCCCTCAAAAGTAGGTTAGCTAGCCACTGTACTAGCTCTTCACCAGGGCGTCGAGCCGCACTAACGCCCTGGACCAGAGCTAGCTAGTTAACTAGCTACAGCAGGTGCACAGACAGGTGTCACGGCTTTGAGAATGTTGTTCCTTGGAGAATAATTACACTCTATGCTTGAGTGTCAATTTGTTTTGACTCACCTTGATGTGATTCTTGACCACATTGGTTCTCTGTAGTCTCTGGTCTTCTGGAATTCCTATCTCTTCCCAGATGTCCTTTAGGTGGCAGAGAGCTTTATTCAGGCAAGCCACTGACTCGGCTGCGAGCACCTCACTGGAATGGGCCGGGGACATATATATAAAAGGTTACATTTTTGGACTGGCATGACTAGCTAACGTTACTTGACTTTGCTGGACTGCTGCAAGTTGCAACGACAAGGGGCAGCACTGCAGCAATAATGTTAACGTTAGTGTCAATGTCGTCCTGCTATTGTAATTGATCAGTCTTTGAATTGGTAGCACACTAGCAGTCAATCCATTCAACTTTGCAGGCACACCCAATCGTTAACTGTTACAGTAACGTAAGCTAACGAGCTCGCAGCCGAGTCTGTCTTGCCTAACGTTAGTCACTCCTGGCAAATTGACATTAACGTTAGCTAACATTTTTATAAAACTGATCAGTAATCTGCAGTCTTATTTCTAGATAGGTAACTAGTTTTAGCTAGCTAGCTATAACGTTAGTCACAAAACACTGCTGTTCTGTCAGTTAAGTTAGCTAGCTTGACGTTTCAATTCTGCATGCCAAATGCAATACTTTTTACAAATACAATTCACTTGCCTCTTCCTCATCGCGAAGTCCCAGTAATTTTTAAGTCAGTTGTGTTGTAGCTAGCAGCAAAACTGCTCATAAATCCTGAGCGCGCTGTCCTTCAACCTTGCCTGTGTTAAGTCTCTCTCAAGCCGTTTCTGACCGATTCAAAAATATGCATCAAAATGTGGTCTTGTCCCTCATTGGTTGAGGACGGCCAATATGTCATCGTCTAGACATGTTGGTACCATGAGCGCATGCGCAAGGGCGTGGACTCAAGAAAACGAACAGTAATTACCAGCAAAGTGACAGACATGCTTTCAAATGTCGCTGTACAAAAACGTCATTATTTATCTACATGTATTTGATATCCGTAAGATTCATAAATATAATGTATTATAAATCACAGACACAACAAATAAAACATCATATTTATTTTGTACTGTGGACAGAAAACAACATTATTTTTACACCTTTTGCAGTTGGTATAGCACTATGATGGAATATTTTCCAATGTCAATCCATTGTTTTCTCAACCAGATCAAGTTGAGACTGCTTCCAATACAATACTCTGAATAACAGGTGCAAACATGTAGTTGTTGTCATATTGTAGATCCAAAATGTCCAAAAAGTCATCTGTATGTGTCCCCATGATGTCTTGGACCACAAGCTGGATGCTCCCATTGGCAATGATAGAAAGACCCCAGGACTCATGCATGGTTGTCCAACATAGACTCCAGAAGTCTGGCACTGTTTGTGATAGCTGTGGTCACCACAATGAATTTAAGACCTAGAAACACCAGAGACAGAATCCCAATTGAGACCAGGGTCTCTTTTTCAATGGTACAAAGTTAATATGAAGAACCAGCTTGACCTATATAAAACACTTATTGTAAACTTTGTAGTCACCACAATAAATGTCTAACCTAGGAGAAATAGAGGTAGAAATGGAGGCATGAATAGATCTTTCCCTAACTCACACCCTCCCCATTTTTCCCTGTCAGCACTGGGATTCGAACCGGCAACCCTCCGGTTACTGGCCCACCTCTCAAAGCTTCTGCTGTCCCCTACATTGACACACTGTTACATTTCTAGTACCACCACCCTTCAGAATCCCAATAGAAAGCCTTCCTTACCTTTCTCTCTGCCCAGAAAGCGCAGTGCTGAGATCTCTGAGAAGGTGCAGCCACCCAGGAACATGACTAGGATGATACGCTGGGAATCGGTCTTCACCCTTGCGTCTGATCCGTTACTACCTGCTGAGAGAGAGGGGGGAGGTAGAGAGAGAGAGAGGGAGAAAATAAAGAACTGGAATGCTCTGAGTGTTCCCCTTTACTCTATGGACTGTCCATTGAAACGTGCTTTTTACATAAATTTCAGTGTCAATGTCAAGCCCACTTGTCTTACCTGTGACTGCAAATTCATGGCCGTTGAGCATGCGTGTGACTTCCTCGAGCCCTGTCCAACCATCACGCTCCAATACCTGCAGACGTAGAACAAGCGCAATACTTCTTATTATATCACTAATTGTAACACACTTCTGTCTTAGTACCCATGAGTTTATTCATGTTGGAGTCCACCTACCTGTTCGATGAGTTTGCAGCTCAAAGGAATGTAGGCTCCACTGAAGATATAGGCCATGTCTCGAGGGACACGGAGGTCATATTCTTCATCCGACTTGGGCACCTTGATGTAGATACAGTAAGGATATCCGGTTTCATTGCAATACTGTTTGGTTACAGAGTTATTTTAAGGCAGCGTTTCCCAAACTAGGGGTCGTGATTTGAAAATGGGGTCGCGAGAGAAACTCTGAAAAAAAGAAAATAAAGAAAATCGCGCTTGGTTATTAGAACCAGGGTTACATCAGTAACCTCCGGTAGCCGCTAGATGCGGTTGTAATAAACAGAGCGGTTTCTGTTTTCTTCATACAAATGTGTCTCTATCTTTTGAACGGTTTAAGCTACAAAGTATTATGACCCCATCACTGTAAGATTAGACTATTGTTTCCCTCTACAATGCCCACAAGCCGCGCAGGACTCATTAGAACAGACTGGACAAGACCAGGCACTAAATCAGACTGAAGATCAGACTGAAGATTCAGACTGAAAATCATACAACACTATTGCCTGATGATCTTCTGAATTTATACCTTTCCTGATGCATTTCAGTCATTTCAAACCATACTTCCTTCAGATTGAAATACTGTCAAAAGTACTGTCAGACTGATTTGTGATAGACTGTCATAGCCCCAATTAAAAAAAGTAAACATTTGTCATTGATTAGATCACTTTTTTGACATCGTGCGGTCGCACATTTTTTTATATACAGTGGGGAGAACAAGTATTTGATACAGTGCTGATTTTGCAGGTTTTCCTACTTACAAAGCATGTAGAGGACTGTAATTTTTATCATGGGTACACTTCAACTGTGAGAGACCGAATCTAAAACAAAAATCCAGAAAATCACATTGTATGATTTTTAAGTAATTAATTTTAATTTTATTGCATGACATAAGTATTTGATACATCAGAAAAGCAGAACTTAATATTTGGTACAGAAACCTTTGTTTGCAATTACAGAGATCATATGTTTCCTGTAGGTCTTGACCAGGTTTGCACACACTGCAGCAGGGATTTTGGCCCACTCCTCCATACAGACCTTCTCCAGATCCTTCAGGTTTCGGGGCTGTCGCTGGGCAATACGGACTTTCAGCTCCCTCCAAAGATTTTCTATTGGGTTCAGGTCTGGAGACTGGCTAGGCCACTCCAGGACCTTGAGATGCTTCTTACGGAGCCACTCCTTAGTTGCCCTGGCTGTGTGTTTCGGGTCGTTGTCATGCTGGAAGACCCAGCCACGACCCATCTTTAATGCTCTTACTGAGGGAAGGAGGTTGTTGGCCAAGATCTCGCGATACATGGCCCCATCCATCCTCCCCTCAATACGGTGCAGTCGTCCTGTCCCCTTTGCAGAAAAGCATCCCCAAAGAATGATGTTTCCACCTCCATGCTTCACGGTTGGGATGGTGTTCTTGGGGTTGTACTCATCCTTCTTCTTCCTCCAAACATGGCGAGTGGAGTTTAGACCAAAAAGCTCTATTTTTGTCTCATCAGACCACATGACCTTCTCCCATTCCTCCTCTGGATCATCCAGATGGTCATTGGCAAACTTCAGACGGGCCTGGACATGCGCTGGCTTGAGCAGGGGGACCTTGCGTGCGCTGCAGGATTTTAATCCATGACGGCGTAGTGTGTTACTAATGGTTTTCTTTGAGACTGTGGTCCCAGCTCTCTTCAGGTCATTGACCAGGTCCTGCCGTGTAGTTCTGGGCTGATCCCTCACCTTCCTCATGATCATTGATGCCCTACGAGGTGAGATCTTGCATGGAGCCCCAGACCGAGGGTGATTGACCGTCATCTTGAACTTCTTCCATTTTCTAATAATTGTGCCAACAGTTGTTGCCTTCTCACCAAGCTGCTTGCCTATTGTCCTGTAGCCCATCCCAGCCTTGTGCAGGTCTACAATGTTATCCCTGATGTCCTTACACAGCTCTCTGGTCTTGGCCATTGTGGAGAGGTTGGAGTTTGTTTGATTGAGTGTGTGGACAGGTGTCTTTTATACAGGTAACGAGTTCAAACAGGTGCAATTAATACAGGTAATGAGTGGAGAACAGGAGGGCTTCTTAAAGAAAAACTAACAGGTCTGTGAGAGCCGGAATTCTTACTGGTTGGTAGGTGATCAAATACTTATGTCATGCAATAAAATGCAAATTAATTACTTAAAAATCATACAATGTGATTTTCTGGATTTTTGTTTTTGATTCCGTCTCTCACAGTTGAAGTGTACCTATGATAAAAATTACAGACCTCTACATGCTTTGTAAGTAGGAAAACCTGCAAAATCGGCAGTGTATCAAATTCTTGTTCTCCCCACTGTATCAAAATGGGATTGCGGGCCCAAAAAGTTTGGGAACCCCTGTTTTAGGGGCAGTTTCCTGACCCTGTCCTGCCCTAGTCCTGGATTGAAAACAAAGCTTAATGGAGAATCTCCATTAATAAAAAGGCTTTTAGTCCAGGATCTGTGTACGTGAAACTGCCCTATAATGTTTGTGAAATTTCATAAAGTTAAAGTAACTCAATACATGTAATGATGTTTTTGAAGGTTGTCAATTAAATTAAAAGACTGCGTACCAGATTGAGTCTCCTGCTCAAGGCACGGAAATTGCTCTTCTTGGCCAGGGAGGAGAAGGCGTCAGTCAGCTTTCCTAAAATAGAACATGTTGAAAGGTTAAAGTGCTGATATTTTGCAGAGCATCTTGTCATTGTCAGGACTCTAAGGTACAGTATATCTATGATGTACACTACCGGTCAAAAGTTTTAGAACACCTACTCGTTCAAGGGTTTTTCTTTATTTGTACAATTTTTCTACATTGAAGAATAATAGTGAAGACATCAAAACTATGAAATAACACATATGGAATCCTTTTCAAACAGTCTTGAAGGAGTTCCCACATATGCTGAGCACTTGTTGGCTGCTTTTCCTTCACTCTGAGGTCCGACTCATCCCAAACCATCTCAATTTGGTTGAGGTCAGGGGATTGTGGAGGCCAGGTCATCTGATGCAGCACTCCATCACTCTCCTTCTTGGTAAAATAGCCCTTACACAGCCTTGAGGTGTGTTGGGTCATTGTCCTGTTGAAAAACAAATGATAGTCCCACTAAGCCCAGACCAGATGGGATGGCGTATCGCTGTAGAATGCTGTGGTAGTCATGCTGGTTAAGTGTGCCTTGAATTCTTAATAAATCACAGACAGTGTCACCAGCAAAGCATCCCCACACCATAACACCTCCTCCTCCATGCTTTATGGTGGGAAATACACATGCGGCGATCATCTGTTCACCCACACCACGTCTCACAAAGACACGGCGGTTGGAACCAAAAATCTCCAATTTGGACTCCAGACCAGAGGACACATTTGTACCTGTCCAATGTCCATTGCTCGTGTTTCTTGGTCCAAGCAAGTCTCTTCTTCTTATCGGTGTCCTTTAGTAGTGGTTTCTTTCTAGCAATTCAACCATGAAGGCCTGATTCACACAATCTCCTCTGAACAGTTGATGTTGAGATGTGTCTGTGACTTGAACTCTGTGAAGCATTTATTTGGGCTGCAATTTCTGAGGTTGGTAACTCTATTGAACTTATCCTCAGCAGCAGAGGTAACTCTGGGTCTTCCATTCCTGTGGCGGTCCTCATGAGAGCCAGTTTCATCACAGCTCTTGATGGTTTTTGCGACTGCACTTGAAGAAACGTTCAAAGTTCTTGACATTTTCCGTATTGACTGACCTTCATGTCTTAAAGTAATGATGGACTGTCGTTTCTCTTTGCTTATTTGAGCTGTTCTTGCCATAATATGGACTTGGTCTTTTACCAAATAGAGCTATCTTCTGTACACCCCCTCTACCTTGTCACAACATAACTGATTGGCTCAAACGCATTAAGAAGGAAAGAAATTCCACAAATTAACTTTTAAAAAGGCACACCTGTTAATTGAAATGCATTCCTGGTGACTACCTCATGAAGCTGGTTGAGAGAATGCAAAGCTGTCATCAAGGCAAAGGGTGGCTAATTGAAGAATCTCAAATATAAAATATATTTTGATTTGTTTAACCCTTTTTTGGTTACTACATGATTCCATATGTGTTATTTCATAGTTTTGATGTCTTCACTATTATTCTACAATGTAGAAAATAGTAAAAATAAAGAAAAACCCTTGAATGAGTAGGTGTTATATATAGTAACGGTATTGAGACCCAGCCTGTATTAAACACAGTAATGGTATTGGGACCTAGCCTGTATTAAACACAGTAATGGTATTGGGACCCAGCCTGTATTAAACACAGTAATGGTATTGGGACCTAGCCTGTATTAAACACAGTAATGGTATTGGGACCTAGCCTGTCTTAAACACAGTATTGGGACCCAGCCTGTCTTAAACACAGTAACGATATTGGGACTCAGCCTTGATCTGACCTGCAGTTTTGTCGTTGACCAGTTTGCCCACTCTGCTCTCCATGACAGTGAGGGTCTCTCCAGGCTGCTGCTCCACCAGCAGGCCTAGCTGCTTCAGGTTGGAGAACGTCAGGAGGTGGTCAGCGCCATAACTCTGAGAGAGGAAATAGGACAGAACTATATAACAATGAAAAGGCTCCAACAAAACAACAATGGAAATACAAAGATACAGAACTAATCCAGTCTAAATGCACATACACTGACAGTGTGACACAGTAACACACTAGTGGGCTACATTTGGCCTGGGATGTCATAATGACATCATTTTATGGTTGTAAAGACATATATTTTTCCTGACAATGTCAAGATGTCTGGGACTGGGAGAGGTCATATTTTTCTGGTCACTAAAACGATTTGTAAAAATATATTTTTTTTTCCAACCAGTACACAACATGACCATGACATTACAAAAGACGTCAGCCTGACACCATTGCAACCAGTTTTTCCCAACCAGTGCTAGATATAATTTAAAACAATACCTGTGATAGCAGGACCCACCTGTAGAAACTGGGCTTTTAATGACCGATAATCTTTGGGAAGGAGGCCTGAAGGAAAATATAAACAGCTGATTTAAAAGGACTAAGAATCTTATCATGAGATCAATTATATTTTCATGTGTTTGGTTAAAAAACATCTCTGTGAAGACTCACCATTTTCTGTGAGAGACAGCAGACAAAGGAGTCTCATACTTTCCAACATAGAGACCTAAGGTGGATGATACCACAATAAGGCGGATGATAACACAATTGATTAATACAACCTGCAATAAAAAATCTTATTGGGCCGATTTAGCACTATGATTACCGGTATTCATGTACCATTCATAGAAATAGAGTGAATAGAACGGGCTTGGAAGCTCTAACCCTGGCAACTTGTCTGGTAAACTCATGGGTACACCCATTATGATGTAATTGACATGAATGGAGACGTCCTTTCTATTAACTATATTGCTATGGTACCATTATCTTGGAGACAATCTCACCTGTCTATTGATATGTTCCTCTATGTAGGAAATACATTCACGGATTTCAAACCCCTCCAGTAAGGCTGTCGGGTGGGGAAATAAGTATCAGTTATTATGCAACGCAGGAAATGGGATTCATATGGGGAAAAAACACATGCCTCAAAGTACAGTATAGCCTATGTAATGTAATCTTACAGTGCTCTGTCTTCAACAGCTCTTGGAAGTCCTGCTTTGTTTTCTTTTTCATCATTGACTCACTGGCACCAATATCTGAAGAGAGACATGTCTTTTTAAAGGGATACTTCGGGACTTTTGCAATGAAGCCCTTTATCTACTTCCTCAGAGTCAGATGAACTCATGGACACCGTTTTTATGTCTCTGCATCCAGTATGAAGGAAGTTAGAGGTAGTTTCGCAAGCCAATGTTAACTAGTGTTAGCGCAATGACTGAAAGTCTTTAGTATCTACTAGCATGCTAGCAGTTACCATAGACTTCCATTCATTGTGCTAATGTTAGTTAACAACTTTGTTCAAACTGCACGCAGACATAAAAATGGTATCCACCAATTCATCTGACTCTGGGGAAGTAGATAAAGGGCTTCATTGCCAAAATCCTGAAGTATCCCTTCTAACCTTTAAGGCAAGGATTCTAAAATATATCCAAGACTATAATTCTAATTCAACAGGTGAAGACAAATAACCATTTCCCTCAATGTCATCTGATTCGGATATATGAGACTCAATACTCACGCAGACTGAGGAGCCGATGTTCCTGTTTTAACCCTTTCAGCTCCTCCGACACAAACGTCTTCATCTGTTTAATGTCCATCCCACTACGCTTCTGCAAAGACAGAGAGCCGGAGGGAGATGAATAATCATCAAACATGAACTTCTACTCTTTGATGTAAAGAAAGAGGACATTTAAGACAAATATTATGCATCCACGCAGGGCAATGCTTCACCAGGAGGCATTGTTGTAAATGATCATGTGCTCTCAATCAGCTTACCATACCTAGCAAATAAAGGTGTAAATATGGTCAGAATAAACACTCACATCATATGCAGTCTGGAGGTTTCGGGCCTTTTGACTTAGGAAGCCAAACACCTGGGAGAAATGCTCGTTCCTGATCTCGTTGAAAACCTGAGAGAGAAACACATACAAATTCCAGTGAGACTTATCCTTAAACCAGTGAAGGGGAAATGATATAAATTAAACCGTGTTAAAAGGCCAACCTTATCTTGAGAGTTTAGCATCACTTTTATACTCTTCTCAGAGGAGGTGACTTCTGGACCAAACTCTACACATCCTATATGACAAAGAGAAACATTATAATTCCATACAGACAATGGACATACATTGCAAACAATGGCATTAAGATCTTATTGCAACTGTAATGGCATACAGCAATAAGAGGCTTCAGTGTATGTGTGGTCCTTGACAAGGACACAATATATAAAGACCACATGCCGTATAGCTATTTCAAAGTAGAGACTGTAATCAGAGCAAATATCATTGCTTACCACATTTAATTCTGAAAATATCATCTACAAGTCCTTCATAGACAACCTGGGAGCACAGAGGAGTCACAAGGTCCACATCTGCAAAGAGAATGAGAAAAACCATTAGTATGATATCAACTATTATTATGACGCGTCACCCTATTGCTATACTTAAAGGAGAATTCCATTCGAAATCCAAATTTTCATACGTTAGTCCATGAGAATTCATAATAACACCATTATCCTATAGCATATTTAAAATGTCAAAAAATGAGAGCAACAAATAAGATAAACGTCACAACTGCAGTTATCCACAGTTCAAGGAAGATCTACCTCTGTCAATGAGAAACACATTTCCGATCTCCGCTTGACGCGCCCTCTGTTCCCCCTCCTCCACCTGCTCCCTCCACGATTCATACGCCATCTGAACCAGACAAGAGAACAGACATACTGTTAACACTTCCTATATGAATCTCATCTAAATCATGGTGTTTGAAAAATCTAAATAATCTGTACTGATGCTGCTTTCTGACTGTGTCTGCGTTCAACAACAATACAGCTCTACCTTGATGAACAAGACAAAGACTGGTTGGCTGAAGCATAAACAGACTGGCACCCATAGTAAATCATTCATTCAGTACCATCTAGAATCATAATCCCAGATGTATTTTAGTGTCGTTTTAATTCAGTATACAAGGCAGCTATACGCTGAATTGTGGTATACAACAGCACATTAAAGAGTGTTGATGTATTGAGCTGATTTTACCTTGGAGCATCGTCCAATCCCATACACCTTAGAGAAAGGGCCGTAGACGGAGTGCAGGAGATGCAGGGCACTGCCTGCTGTTCTCACCCAGCGCTGGTCCCCCTCCTGTGGACACACAGGTCATGCGTGTTAGCAAAATATTTAGCACTATTAATACAACCACACTAGTCCCAGTACTAGGTTGTTAGTTATATGTCAAAATGTGTTACTAATTTGTTATTACACTGTACCTGCTAATGTAACTATCTGTAAATACATAATGTTTGCATCATAAAGTGGGACTTCTATTTCTAAATACAGGTCCCGTCAGCACTACTGTCTACCATTACCAGGAAGTTGTCTCTGAAGAATTCCGGAAGCTCCAAGCTGATGATGTCATCGTCCAGGGGCAGGAGGTAGAATGACCACTCATCAGTAGTCACATCTTCACAAGGGAGTGAAAAAGTGTCTGTTAACATTAAAACATCTGGAATACCAAAATATGAATACGAAATATCAAAAGACACCTACCACCAAAGATTCCCTGCTCCTCCAAAAGGTTCCCGCATGCATAAAACTGTAGGAGGAGACACGGAAAGCAGGAGAAGAATGAGCAAAGAAAATAAATAAATACAAATATTACAGAAAACATACAGTAAATACTAAATACATATAATTACCTTCTGAGGGCTAAATATGATCTTGTATCTTCTGAATCTCCCAAATGCTTTGTCTGCATTGACCACATCTGGAAAAGGAAACCAATTTGTCAGTGGGTATAAGAAACAGCCACAAACTGTCCTGTATAACTGCCCGTACGAACCGCCTGTGAAACGCCACTCTACCCACTGCTGTCAGACTGTATAATAACTCTAGCTCTTAAATGGTTTCCCAAAAAATTCTATTTTTTACAATCACATTTTAATATTTCAATTTCCTTCATGAAAAATTTCCTGTAATGTTTCAAGTGTTCTGTATTCTATTTATGTCACGTATTATGTGCTTTGTATTTTAAATTAGTCTTATGCAATTTTAGTAATGTAAATTCTGCATTTCTTCAGTTTTATCTGTGAGCAAGAATAAATCAACTCAAACTCAAAACAGAGTGATTTCCCTCATTGTCTTCCTGACCCAGGACATGAAATCAGAAGCATTTGTCTGCATAGTTAACCCAATGTACTCCAGAAGCACTGTCAATAAAACCACTGACCCAGAAAAGGCATTTCAAAGTCTGGGACGACAGTACTTCATTTCTCAGGAAGGGAATAGCGTTGCTAACTTAATATTTCACTGCATTTGCATCCCAACAATTACACTTTAATGGAATACAATATGAATCAGTTGAATTTCAATATCAGCGTGCCACCATTCTACTTACCACATATCCACTTGACAGTTTGTATTCTTGGACGGATCAGGAAGCATAGTCTGTCAAGGAAGGCACATTGTTATGGCTTTATTACAACATTGTTATGGCGGTGTTACTTGTTCCTCCAAGACAAGAAAAGAGAAGTAGATCTATGGAACTACTATAGGATTAGCTACTTACTGATCTGAGGTGCTGACAATGGGTTTGTATTCCACTTTGTAAAGCTTGTCCACATCATGTTGCTACAAGGAGATGGGTGACAGAGATTGTATATGATTGAACCTCATCGTAACCTGGTAAACTGATATATAAAAGGACAGACATAATCAACACGGTATACAGAAATATTTAGAAACATAACAATGACATGTACCTTTAGTGTTGTTACATTAGCAATGCGGTCTAGGGGGCTCATCAAATCTGCCTCAATGAATAGGTCCTTTCTCCCAGGTAGCTTTGAATCAGGAGAGTAAAAATGCAGTATGATGAGGATGATGCGGATGATGATGATGAATATACCTATTCAATCCCCAGAAGAGGAATTTAGGATTGCTACCAGCAGTAGAGACTAAAATGCATTTAGAAACACAGAGGGTCGGTTTCCCAGACACAGATTAAGCCTATAGAATCTCAATTGAAACAGATTTTTAGTCCAGGACCAGGACTGTCTGGGAAACTGACCCAGGCTTTACAACTTTAATAGGATCCATGACTTGTGTTGGTACTTGTGGATACTGAGAGCCAAGGCAATTGATAACCCGAGTGGGGGGGAATATGAGTGGAGTAGTCCTACCTGTTCCAGTAGGTAGATGAGCTGGTCCCTGGCCAGCCTCTTGAGCAGAGAGAAGTCCGGGAGCTCAGGGGCATCTCCCCTGACACTGTGAGCCATGGGGCCAGAGGTGGAACAGAGTAGCACACCTGCCCAACCATTCACCTCCCTGGAAAATACAATCCAGCTGTGATGGCGAGTGTTGCGGGGCTACCCACTGGGCACACACTGGTTGAATCAACGCTGTTTCCGCATCATTTCAATGAAATTAAGTTGATCCAACGTGGAATAGAAGTTGAATTGATTTCTGTGCCCAGTGGGTAGCTTCACAATGATGACCAAAGGTCTGCAGATACTGCACTTGAAAATGCACTTGAACACCTTATCTGGACACCCTCAACCTTTATATCCTCTGTAAGGGAATAAAGTGTAGTGGTAGTAGTAACGTTAGTAGTAGTAGCAGGCAGGTATTTCTTGGTAGGTAGCAATACAGTAGCCTAATTCAGCAACCAATGTGATACCTGTCATTCGCAAAATCCAAAATTAGATCTTAATGTATACTCTCTCATCACTATAATAACTAAGTATTAACATTATTATTAACATTTGCGAACGTCTAGCAACCTAAAGGTTGCGTGTTTGAATCTCATCATGGGCAACTTGAGCATTTTAGCAACTTTTCAACTACTTAATACTTTTTTGCTACTTTGCAACTACTTAGCATATTAGCTAACCCTTTTAGCTAACCCTTCGCCTAACCCTAACCCTTTTAGCTAACCCTTCGCCTAACCCCTAAACTTAACAATAACCCCTAGCTAACATTAGCGAGCTAGCTAACGTTAGCCACCTAGCTAGAATTCGTAACATATAATAAGTTTAGCAAATTCGTAATATATTGTACGTTTTGTAAATTCGTAACATGGAATACGAATTATAATTTGTCACATATCATACGAAATGGGTGATGGATATCCACAAATTAATACATACAATACGAAATGTAACATATCCTACTAAACTGGCTATAGGGTGAATGTACCAATTTGTAAGTCGCTCTGGATAAGAGCGTCTGCTAAATGACGTAAATGTAAATGTAAATGAATGTCTCAGATTTAAGTACAGAATATTAAGAAATGCTCTGAGACCAGGCGCCCCTACCCTACACACACACACACAGCAGTGGGCTCTGTCCATTGTGCTGACACAGCACAGCAGAGACAGATTTTGTGCCAACCTGTCAATCAATCGAACTTTTAAAAAATATTTTTATATAGGGACATAAAACAAAAACTGAAGGGGCACAAGTTTCAACTGAGGGGGCTAATCCCCCTTTTGCCCCTTGGAACCGGGCAGCTACAGTATAGTGTATATTTTTAATTTAAAAGATTATTTCTCACTGATATGAAAGATAAGGGGCATATCAGTATACGTTTCGAAAACCGGTTTGAAAGCGATTATTATTTACTTTCCTAAACGTTAAAACACAGCGTCGGAATTTTAGTTCACATGGAGCCAAATGCAGGCGAATGTGCTGAAAACCCTACATACAGAGAAGGGTTTTCGAGGGCTAACGTTAGCATACTGTAGCTATCAGCTGATTTAGTAGTCACACCATGATTAACTGTCTGTGGCAACTAGGGACCACGACAGTCATTAAAACCAAATGTATATACCGTTACTGTATAGTTTATTGGACGATTTAGACTGATTAAAAATGGAAAAGAAACAAAAATCCTCTATCAACTCTAGCTAACTAGGGACATTACCTTGGATTGTTTCCGGATGTGCGGATGGAATGTTGCGAATCTTTGTTTCACTACGGACAAGTAAATAGAGGGCACCGTATGTCAAGACATGATTGGAGATTTTTTAAAAACTGTTTGGAAAACCTAGTCAATGCACTTTTCTGTTTAATGTATGCAACTTGCTACTATGAGTTCAGATTCGGTTATATTGTTGGAGACGATTACATTTTCTGCTGAAAAGCACCAAGATCAACGGCCTAAAGACCCCGAAGAAACCAACTATCCAATAGGGACCGCAGCCTCTCCTTATTAACTAATCAGATGTAGCTATATACAAATCATTGGGACTAATGTGGTGGAAAACTGGATTGTTGAAAGCAAATACCAAGTTGGCAGCATCCAGCACCCACCATGTTGCTTTCCATTATCCTGAAGATCCTCTTTAGACCATTTAGATCAGGGGTGTCAAACATACGGCCCGCGGGCCGGATCAGGCCCGCAAACGGGTTTAATCCGGCCCGCGAGATGATTTTTTTTTTTAAGTATAAAAATGCGCTGTAATTTTTCAATAAAATAAACTGCTGTTCCAATTGCGTCCACTGGATGGCGCAATAGCAATTGTGTTAAGCAAGCAAACTGTTTATACCGGGGCAGAGCAAGTAGGTCAAGCACGTGCAGCCAATGAGCTACTTTGTTTTGCCCGCGATATTTATTACGGCTTCTACTTTTAACATTATGTGCTTTGGCACCCTCATTGCCCCAATATGTCTCTGTCAAAAAAGAGAAAAGTGGACGCAGAGTGCAGAGTGTTCCAAGAAAAATGGTCATCCTATTTAATCACGGAATTGAATGGGAAAGCTGTATGTTTGGTGTGTTCAGAGCATGTTGCTGTGCTGAAAGAATATAACCTTCGTCGCCACTATGTGAGTCTTCATGCCGACAAATATGACAACTTTCAAGGACAGCGGAGATGAGAGAAGGTGAATGAACTGTTGGCGGGTCTGAAGAAATAGCAGTCTGTGTTTACTCACAGCCGAGACATCAGTGACGCTGCAGTGAAAGCTAGCTACCTCATTGCTAATGAAATCGCAGTGGCTTCAAAACCATTTAGTGAGGGTGAATTTGTAAAAACATGCATGATGAAGGCAGCGGAGATTGTGTGCCCTGAAAAGCGGCAGGCTTTTGCAAATATCAGCCTGACAAGAAACACAGTTGCAGACAGGATTTCCGATCTTTCAGTGGATTTGGACAGCCAGTTGAAGCAAAAAGTAAAGTCATTTATTGCGTTTTCGGTTGCAATTGATGAAAGCACGGACATTACAGATGTTGCACAACTGGCCATTTTTTCATCCGCGGAGTTGATGACACATTGACCGTCACCGAGGAGTTCGTGGAGTTGGTGCCGATGACAGATACAACGACAGCAGCTGATATTTTTACCGCACTCGTCGGCACGCTGGACAGGGTCGGAGTGGACTGGTCCCGCGCTGTCAGCCTGGCTACAGATGGTGCGCCCTCAATGATCGGGAAAAAAGCAGGCGTTGTGACAAAGTTCAGAGAGAAAGTGCAATCTGCAAATGGAGGACGTGATTTTTTGACTTTTCACTGTATTTTGCACCAGGATGCTTTGTGTTGCAAGTCATTAAAGATGGATAACGTCATGAAGGTGGTCATCCAAACTGTTAATTTCATCCGATCCAGAAGCCTGAATCACCGTCAGTTTGACAGCCTTCTCAGAGAGAAAGACCACATCTATGGCCTGCCATACCACACTGAGGTAAGATGGTTATGCCGAGGTGCTGTGCTGAGGCGTTTCTTTGATTTACGAGAAGAAATTGAACAGTTCATGGAAGAAAAGGGCAAACCAGTGTTAGAATTTCATTCCGCAGAATGGATGCCGGACCTTGCATTTATGGTGGATGTTACAGAGCACCTGAATAACTTGAACAAACAGCTGCAAGGGCGCAACAAAGTTGTCACGCAGTATTATGACAGCATACGTTCTTTCAAGTTGAAGCTGTCATTGTGGGAGACGCAACTTGCCGGTGGTGATGCAGCTCACTTCCCCTGTCTGAAAAATGTGTGCGCGACCCAACATGTGGCAGACATGAAGCGGTTCAAAGATAAAATAACTGGACTGTTACGGGAGTTTGAGCAACGCTTTCAGATTTATGTTTATATGTTTTTATGTTGATGTGCTATTGTTTTTAATTTATTTTATTTGTATATTTAACCTATTCTTGACTCTGTGGTTCTTGCACTTGTTTGGGGAACAGGATTTCATTATTGTTATCTACATTTCTGCCTGAGAAATGACACCCTGATATAGTTCTGTGATCTGTGAAACAGTTCTGTTAATCACTGAGGCATTGTGTGTTTGTGTGTTCTTTTTCTTTAGAATTTTCAAATAAACTTGACGTGTTTTATGATTAATAGTGATGTTGTGCTTGTACTATTTTGGACACACTGTCCTCAGGCTCCAGCTTTATGTTGTATGTTGATCGTATTAAAACAAAGAAAACAATCTGAAGTTGTTGTTTTTAAGTTATATATACCATGATTTTTCCGGTCCGGCCCACTTGGGAATAGATTTTCCTCCATGTGGCCCCTGAGCTAAAATGAGTTTGACACCCCTGATTTAGATGCACCAGGTCCCTAGCAGAGCAAACCTTCCTCACCTTAGTTCCAACATCATCACCCATGTCTCTATCATAACCATGTTCTCTTCTTTGTTGTCAATAATATGTTTACAGTTGTGGACCAAAGTCTCAAAAGAAGGAAAACAAACACAAAACACAGAGGAGAGGAGTGAAGAGGTGTCCAGTGGATGGCTGCCAGGTCACTGTCATTCACCTCCCTCGTCACCTGCGGCAGGTCCATGAGTGGGGCAGAGAGGAGGCCCAGTCTGCAGTCAACACATTCAGCCTCCAATGTACAGCACCAAGCAGACATGGTGGCAGTAGCAGCAAGGCTAAAAACTATCATCACTCCAGGCCTTGCCCCATGACAGGCTGTCATGAAGTGGTCAAAAGACTGCCAGCCCACCTGAGAAAGCAACACAGGCTTGACAAGAACTCTGCTCTATACAGAGAGCTTCTTACAGCATCCGGGACGAGAAAGAAGGTCAAATGTCAATGAAGTCATTTTATGAAGTTTACTGTGAATAATTATTCTACCTGATGTATTGAAGTTGAATGAGAAATATATAATTGAATTGAGACGTGATTGAACAAGAGAATATTTGGGAAAGGATTAAAGATAGCGCCAGAACTGCCACACAGCTCGGCTAACTGTGTCCGTTTTCCTTTATCTACAGTGGGCTGACACAGACACCCTATCTGAGACCTGGAACAGATACAGCATAGAAAGGCCAGCATCAATTCATATCCGAAGTGGTCACACTCATTAACACACGGACATGTCCATTCTACTGTTTGTTACTGTAATTAGCCCACCCAACTACCTCATCCCCATATTGTTATTTACATTGTTATTTATTTTGCTCATTTGCACCCCAGTATCTCTATTTGCACATCATCTTCTGCACATCTATCACTCCAGTGTTAATACTACATTTTAATTATTTTGCACTATGGCCTATTTATTGCCTTACCTCCATAACTTACTACATTTGCACACACTGTATATATATTTTCTGTTGTGTTATTGCCTGTACGTTTTGTTTATTCCATATGTAACTGTGTTGTTTTTATCGCACTGCTTTGCTTTATCTTGGCCAGGTCGCAGTTGTAAATGAGAACTGTCTATCATTACCAGGAAGTTGTCTCTGAAGAATTCCGGAAGCTCCAACCTGGTTAAATAAAGGTTAAATAAAAAATAAAATACTGGAAAACCATAGAAAGCGAATGGCAATGTTGTCAAAATTGATGAGCAAGAAATTAGCTATTTCTATTTTTAAGCTGAAATGAAGGTTGGAATGAAGCAGAAGGGTCATCGGCAGCTGCCAAAATATTTACATGCAAGCTTTGGTTACTGTTTGTCCTTTTCCGTCTGACATTTTCCATCTTTTTGGGTAGAGTTGACTTAGAAGATACACAAGTGATTTGACTGCAGTCTTCCTGTTTAGGTAAGAGGAGTGTGTAGTTGGTAGAATGTGTGCACACATGTTGAGGTGAGTTAAGAAAGTGCTCTGACAGGTGGTCCTGGTCCACTTGTGTATAGGTGAAAGCATACTAGGCATTTAATTGGTAGGGCTGGGAAATGCCAGGGACCTCATGATACTTAGGTACAAATACGATATGTAGTGCGATTCTATACGTATCACGATTCTATATGTATTCCAATTCGATACTGCAATTTTATTGCGATTACGTGTTCCAACCACACTGCTGGACAAGAGAAAGCCGTGAGAAAATGAGTTTTAGATGTAAAAGCGCTTTAAAAAGAAGATGGGCAACTATCTGTAGGATGATAAATAGCTATCTTTTGGCACAGGTACACCTTCCTAGTGATAGCTAGCTTTAACAAACAAGAATTTAAAATGTAATAATAATTATTCAATAAAAATCGATACTTGGAGTCACAGTATCGATATAAAATCTGCAAAAATAATCATGATACTCAACTGTATCGATTTTGTTTCCTCCATCCCTACTAGTTGGTAGCCTGTGTGTTCAGGTAAATATAGGAATCACTCTGATGGCTGTGGTACACATGTGATTAAAGAAGGTCCTGGTGGTCATAAGAGCAGCAGCAGGGACCGTAGCTGTATACCATGTAGTCACAACCCAGGGTTGGCTCCACTCCACACTGACTGAGCACTGGGGCATCATGCAGAGGAAGAGCAGTTTCACTGGGCCCCTCATCACTGATCTGTGTGCAGTGGCCTCTGGTCTGCAAAGAGATTACTACTGTCAGTCATCCACGAATCTGGTCAGAGGTTCAGCTATACTGCCGCGAGCATTACACTGAGCTGGCCTTCATCAGCAACCAGAGGAATCTAGAGATACTAATGACCCAACAGGATGCAGAGGGTCAGGAGGAGAGAACTCAGAATTTAGGTTTTGGGGGTAGATGATCATGGTAGTAATGAAGACTGTGCCATGGTAACGACATGGCATGATGCACCGTGCTTTTGGCAATTCTTCTTCTGCTACAAGGAGAAGCTGATCCTGGTTCAGGAGATGAAGATGTGGGAGGAGGCTCTGGAGTACTGCAGGGATCACTACACCGACCTCCCCAGCCTGCTCTCTGAGACTGAGCATCTCCAGGCCCAGAGCAGGATGGATGGTGCCCAGACGGACCACGTGTGGACGGATCTGATCTTCCTGGCCAGAGAGTGGCTGTGGGTGAACGGGGACCCCCTGAAGTACCAGGCCTGGACCGGTGGGAAGCTGTCCCACTGCCCTTCCCAACACCTCCAATGTGTGACCCTGACTAGAGAGGGAGGCGGTATTCGGGAACCTGGGACTGTCAGGAGAGGAGGAACTTCCTCTGCTATACAGAGTGAGTCCTAGAGGAGAGAGACATGTAGAGGCTATATAATACACTAACTAAAACTCTGTACTATACTTATTATTACCACCGTGTGCTCTGTGTTTGCCGGAATGAACCATAAAACTACTGGTCATGTCAGTGTAAAGGCTAGTAAGCCTTATTAGTAAGCTTCGTACTATCATTGTCCCGCTCTTTGTATATTTTTGTAATATAGCAGTAAAACTGTTAAAGTGCTAGAGGACATATGTAAATCAGATTCAATTTGCAGAATCAATCTAAATTCAGATATTTATCTTGTATCATATACATTGCATCAGTTGCCTTTTGAATCATCAATACTGAAAATCAGAGGGTTCTTTGGCTGTCCCCATAGGATAACTATTTTTGGTTCCAGGTAGAACCATTTTGGCTTCTATGTAAAAGGCTTCTACCTCTGCGGAAGGCTTCTACCTCTACCTATGCTTCCTCTGCGGAAGCATAGTTCCCGCTCAGCCCAGGCAAAACTGTTCGCTGCTCTGGCACCCCAATGGTGGAACAAGCTCCCTCACGACGCCAGGACAGCGGAGTCACTCACCACCTTCCGGAGACATTTGAAACCCCACCTCTTTAAGGAATACCTGGGATAGGATAAAGTAATCCTTCTAACCCCCCCCCCCCCCCCCCCCCCCCCCCCAAATTGTAAAGTGGTTATCCCACTGGCTATAGGGTAAACGCACCAATTTGTGAGTCGCTCTGGCTAAGAGCGTCTGCTAAATGACGTTAATGTGCCCTTGAGCAAGGCACTTAACCCTAATTGCTCCTGTAAGTCGCTCTGGATAAGAGCGTCTGCTAAATGACTAAAATGTAAATGTAAATGTACCTGGAACCAAAAGGGTTCTACCTGGAACCAAAAAGGGTTCTTCAAAGGGTTCTCCTATTGTTACAGCCGAATAACCGTTTTAGGTTCTAGATAGCAGCTTTTTTTCTAAGAGTGTAGTGAAAAGAAATGTATTATTTCTCCCCCTCAATATATTTTTTTAAAATTACACTGCATATAAGTTCAAAACAATATTTCTGGTGTAGTTATGTTGATAGAAATATCCCTGCAGACTTCCTAGGCCCATGTTGTACATCTGGGTTAAAGTGCCATTATAACAGAATACTGTTTAAAGTATCCCTGTTCTTATGGCTTCACCTACAAAGTTCATCAAAACTCACTGTATACAAGTAACTTATATTAACATAGTCAGGGCATTCTATTTCAGTTTTGTTGTTGTAGCAAAACGTTTAATATGTATATCAATCTGAAGTTTTGTCCTATTTTGGCAAGTTAATCGTACATGCAGGTAGAACTTGCAAAGCGTTTATGATGACATCATATGTTATATTACACGTATGTTACTATTCCACACCAACATTGAGGTAAAAAATGTGTAAGGGCATATTGTCAAGAAAATGGACTTCTCTGAACTCTGTCTCTGCTGATTCTCTGTTGGAGGGATTTACATGTCAGCTTTGGTTAAAATGTATTTGTGTTCTTTGGACCGTGAGATTTTCCGAAGCTCCTGGGTAGTTTGCTTAGAAGATGCAGGAGTTATTTGACTGCGGTGTTCCTTTTTAGGTAGTGTGTGTACAGGGCCCTTGCTATATTGTCTTTCCCTGAATCCTCACATCCTTTTTCTTCACCTTCTGCTCATAAACGCATTGGAGGAGAAGATCCAAGGTTGTCATCAGGGGGGGTTTGAGAAGGATACGAGGAAAGAGGATGTGAGAAATCAAGGACAGACAATTAACAAATAGCCCAGTAGAAAAAATAAAAGCAGTCTAATTGGTAACCTGAGTATACAGGTGATGTAACAAGGCACTCTGATGGTGGGCTGGCGCCTTTTCTAATTTAGGCAAAAGTCCGTCCTCCACCCTCTCTCCTCCGTCCTATCTCCTCCATGACCCGGAAACTGATAAGTGGTTGAGTGGTCTAGGAGATGTCAATTTGTTAGTAGGTGAACGGAAAAGTGTCCTCCCCTCCTTGATAGCCACCTTTCGCCAAAGATAGTTATGCATATCCTACCTGAGTCCTTCGCAGAAGAGTTTTGAAATCTCCCACATCCCCTTTGAATCAGATTTTGTTTTGTTTGAAGAGAAAAGCACACGTTTAAAAACCAAAAGTAGCATATTATCTATATAATGTCTCGCCCAACTATCATAATTCGTTTTTAAATCACTCTACACATTTATTTTAAATGTCATTTGCCATTGGGCCCTCTCCTTTTCTCCCTATACACCAAGTCACTTGGCTCTGTCATATCCTCACATGGCCTTTCCTATCATTGCTACGCTGATGATACACAACTAATCTTCTCCTTTCCCCCTTCTGATAACCAGGTGGCGAATCGCATCTCTGCATGTCTGGCAGACATATCAGTATGGATGACGGATCACCACCTCAAGCTGAACCCTGGCAAGACGGAGCTGCTCTTCCTCCCGGGGAAGGACTGCCCGTTCCATGATCTCGCCATCACGGTTGACAACTCCGCTGTGTCCTCCTCCCAGAGTGCGAAGAGCCTAGGCGTGACCCTGGACAACACCCTGTCGTTCTCCGCCAACATCAAGGCGGTGACCCGCTCCTGCAGGTTCATGCTCTACAACATTCGGAGAGTGCGACCCTGCCTTACACAGGAAGCGGCGCAGGTCCTGGTCCAGGCACTTGTCATCTCCCGTCTGGACTACTGCAACTCGCTGTTGGCTGGGCTCCCTGCCTGTGCCATTAAACCCCTACAACTCATCCAGAATGCCGCAGCCCGTCTGGTGTTCAACCTTCCCAAGTTCTCTCACGTCACCCCCCTCCTCCGCACACTCCACTGGCTTCCAGTTGAAGCTCGCATCCGCTACAAGACCATGGTGCTTGCCTATGGAGCAGTGAGGGGAACGGCACCTCTGTACCTTCAGGCTCTGATCAGTCCCTACACCCAAACGAGGACATTGCGTTCATCCACCTCTGGCCTGCTGGCTCCCCTTCCTCTGCGGAAGCATAGCTCCCGCTCAGCCCAGTCAAAACTGTTCGCTGCTCTGGCACCCCAATGGTGGAACAAGCTCCCTCACGACGCCAGGACAGCGGAGTCACTCACCACCTTCCGGAGACATTTGAAACCCCACCTCTTTAAGGAATACCTGGGATAGGATAAAGTATTCCTTCTAACCTCCCCCCCCCCCCCCCAAATTGTAAAGTGGTTATCCCACTGGCTATAGGGTGAACGCACCAATTTGTGAGTCGCTCTGGCTAAGAGCGTCTGCTAAATGACGTTAATGTGCCCTTGAGCAAGGCACTTAACCCTAATTGCTCCTGTAAGTCGCTCTGGTTAAGAGCGTCTGCTAAATGACTAAAATGTAAAATGTAAATGTAATGACACACGAGTGGAGAAGACGAGTCTCCTTTCATACAAGCGCATTTAAGTCCACATTCCCTCTCCTCGCCACCTCTCCTTGATTACCGTTGACCTTTTTCAAAAGGAGGCAAGAGAGCAGGGAGGAGATAGGACGCAGGAGTTGAGCAAATCCAATTGAGAAAAGGCTTGGGTGTGCTCAGGCAGATATCTGTATATAATGATGAGATGCTCATGTCTCCGCCCTAACAATGGGAGTCGTTGTCCCAAAGGCGGGAAGGCACATGACAAGCTTAGGTCCAAAATGTTAAGGAGACACTCTGATTGGTTAGGTAGATGGTGGTGGTGAGTTAAGAAGGCACTCTGATTGGTTAGCTGGATGGTGGTGGTGAGTTAAGGAGGCACTCTGATTGGTTATCTGGATGGTGGTGGTGAGTTAAGGAGGCATTCTGATTGGTTAGCTGGATGGTGGTGGTGGTGAGTTAAGGAGGCACTCTGATTGGTGGGCTGAGTGTTCACATGTCACAGGGGGCAGGTAGAAGGTGGTGGTCATCATAAGAGCAGCAGCAGTACCAGCAGCATGGTCATAATAGCAGCAGCAACAGGGTCAGCTCCACTCCACACTGACTGAGCACTGGCGGCATCATGCAGAGGAAGAGCAGCTTCACTGGGCTCCTCATCACTGCTCTGTGTGCAGTGGCCTCTGATAAACTCAGAGAATATCACTATGTGTCTGAACAGAAGACCTGGTCAGAGGCTCAGCAGTACTGCCGTGAGCACTACACTGACCTGGCCTTCATCAGCAATCAGGAAGAAATAGATCAGCTCTCTCCCATTTCAAGAGGACCTGGATTGGTTTGCACAGAGATGCTAATGACCCAACAGGATGGACATGGTCAGGAGGAGAGCAATTCAAATTTAGGTTTTGGAATTCAGGAGAACCAAACAATGCTGGTGGCATTGAGGACTGTGTCATGGTACAGTGGGATATGAGATGGTTGGATTTGCAGTGCTCCTAGAAACTCACCTTCTTCTGCTACAAGGAGAAGCTGATCCTGGTTCAGGAGATGAAGACGTGGAAGGAGGCTCTGGAGTACTGCAGGGATCACTACACAGACCTCCACAGCCTGCTCTCTGAGACTGAGAATCTCCAGGCCCAGAGCAAGATGGAGGGCGCCCAGACCGACCACGTGTGGACGGGTCTGATCTTCCTGGCCAGAGAGTGGCTGTGGGTGAACGGGGACCCCCTGGAGTACCAGGCCTGGTCCGGCAGGGTGCTGCCCCACTGCCCCGCCCAATACCTCCACTGTGGGACCCTGACCAGAGATGAAGAGCACTGGGGAACCAGGAACTGTGAGGAGAGGAGGAACTTCCTCTGCTACAGAGCGTGAGCCCCAGAGGAGAGAGATATTACTGTAGTAGATATGATCATCTATGTACGCTCTCTACTTATTACTAGTTAACTTTGTGATTGATTATTCACTCTATTTACTTGTGTGCTGCATATAACCTATTGGGTTTGTGTTTTATACAATAGTCTACTATTATTGTACCTATAGATGTTGTGGTTATAATAGTGTGTGATTTGTGAGTACAAAGACCAGACTAATGGGCACAGATGTCAGTTCAATGTTTAGTTTTGATTTACATTTAATTCGGTTGGGAATAAAAAATAAAAAATGTAACCATGTCATTCGATTTAGGTAGGGTAAAAAAAATCAGAATTTAGGAAATTCCTTCAGGTTGATTACTTTTTAGAAGATCCAATCAGTTTTCCCCTTTGATTCATCGTCAACAGAATGAAAAACATTATTTTGTTTCGGTTAAAAAAACAATATTGATTCAACCAGTTTGTGCCCAGTGGGAAGTCACCTAGCTCACATTATGTTTCATAATTATATAACATAATAAAACAGTAAAAATGCAAAGATGCTGCTGTATGCTAGTTACTAGCATCTTGTTGGTACATGTAAACTCCATGTTAACTCCTTCAGCCTGTAGGCTGTGTATTATTATTAGCAAGTATTTACATGATTTATGGTTACAAAAGGATGTAATCCAAAATGGCTTGAAGGAAATATGGAATTGACAAAAACTGCAAATCAAATCACAATTTATTAAAAGTGGGGGACAGAGGGGGGAGAAAGGTATAGAAGGAGGAAGAGAGAGAGAGAGAGGGGGGGAGGAAGGTACGGACGGAGGAGGACGGATAGACAGATCCGGGAAACTTGTTGTCTGGGAAGTGTCCTTGTGTATCGCTTTGCTGTTGTTGTTGTTGTTGTGTTACTGATATTGTACACCAGAGATTATAGATGAATATTAATTTAGCTAACTATATCTGGTACAATGTATCTGATTTCAGCATCTGGGCCATCAAATAAACATTAAAAATTATAATAAATGAATCAGTTTCATCTGACAGTTGTGTCCAGTACAATATTTTCAGAATCATAACCCTATTACAACATTTTGGTAAAGATTTTTCCTGATTTGGATCAATGCTTGGGTCTCACATGATTAAGTTCCTTCTCTCCTGACAGTCCCTGGTTCCCCAGTGCTCTCCCTCTCTGATCAGGGTCGCACAGTGGAGGTGTTGGGCGGGGCAGTAGGTTCCCCGGAGCGTTCCCCCGGTCCAGGCCTGGTACGTACTCCTGGGGGTAGCCTACCCGTTCATCCACAAGTCTCTGCTTCCTAAACAAATCCAGCCCCTGATCATGGGGACTTAAGGCAAAAACTTTGTCTCTAATGAACACATGGATATCAGGACTCTATTATGCATACTGCTAAAAAAACACAAAATATATAAAAGGGAAGGCTCATTCGTATTTATATTGTTTCGCAAGGATGCACACATTTTACCCCAATGCAACTTGTTACCCTTGCTTCTGTAGAAGCGGATAGGAATGTTGCGAGGCTTTGTCTGACTACGAACATTTAAAGAGAAGGCACCGACGCTCACTTGACTGGTGAGATCTGCAATCAAACGTTAGTAATAATGTGCGGTCTGTAGTGTGTTAGTAACTACTTTTACAGCATGAGTTCAGAATCGGTCATTCTGTTGGAGACAGTCAACTTTGCTGCTGAAAAGCACCGCAATCAACGACGTAAAGACGCTGACCAAACCCCATATATCAACCACCCAATAGGTACAGTTTTTACAAGAACAATCTCAACAGAAGCTAGCTAGATAGCGTCTATGAATGGGTTAAGGACCTAACTAGCTACCTTTAGCGCCTATTGATGATAGCTTGTATCTTCTGGCTGGGGAAGTTTTGATAAGAGCCCCGACGCTTGTTCTGAACGTTAAAACACATCTTGCGGTACGGTTTTGGAAACATAAGGAACATATCTTTCATATTAGCTAGACTTTTTTTTACTTTTTTTTTTTACACAAAATGTTAAATTACTACACACCTTTTTAGGGTAAGTGTTCCCACGTCTTATCTCCATGGTATAGCGTTCATGTGCTAATTAGCTGTCTGCATCTGTCATTGAAAGATACTGTCAGCTGCAATTGTGTTAAAACAGTAAGTGTATATTTTGCATTTGGGAAATAATTTTTGTGATATGGAAGTTTGTTTCTAGAACTGTACTGCAATTGAGAATCGATTCACGTTTAGATGGAGTATTTTGTGGTTTTGGCTGCCAGAGCCAATTCGCCTCTACACATGTAAGGTCCTTAGACTATAAGGAGTAACGTTAGTCTCCTTTAGTCCATTATTGGGCTAGATAGGTCCTTAGACTTCGGTACATGGATATCTGCATTTACATTTGCCGTGTTTATAATTTTGCAGGAGTTGCAAGGATCCTAAGCCATGAAGGTGGGATCACAGACATTGAAGTTCTGCAAGTAAGTGTTTTACGTTTCAGAAAGACTCAATACTTTCTTGCATACATACTTGCTCCTGGAGGGCAACATTTTAAATCGTAATTAAATTATCTGATTAAGTATAGACCACAGTCAATGGGCAATGTTAAGCTCATGAAAACTTTCAACATTTGTGTTAACAGAGTTTGCGTTAACCAGAGTTCGTTAACAAGAAGGTCATGACGGATATTTGTGTATTTTCCAACTGTCTGCAGGCAGCTTTGCTCCATGACACAGTGGAGGACACTGACACCAGCATAGGAGAGCTACAGGTCGTCTTTGGGCAAACAGTGGCGCGGATCGTTCAGGAAGTGACAGACGACAAGGCGCTACCCAAGCAGGAGAGGAAGCGTCAGCAGGTGGAGCACGCACCTCATGCCAGTCACCAGGCAAAACTGGTCAAACTGGCTGACAAACTGTACAACCTGAGGGACCTCAACCGCTGCACGCCCACAGGTGATTGTAGGGTGTCCAATCAAAAACGCATATTTGGACCAATGGGTAAAATAATGTTATAGATATACAGTGCATTCGGAAAGTATTCAGACCCCTTGACTTTTTCCACATTGTTACGTTACAGCCTTATTTTAAAATTGATTAAATAGTTTTTCCCCCCCCTCAATCTACACACAATACCCCATTATGACAAAGCAAAAACCGGATTTTAGAAATGTTTGCAAATTTATAAAGAATAAACTGATATCACATTTACATAAGTATTCAGAACCTTTACTCAATACTTTGTTGAAGCACCTTTGGCAGCGATAACAGCCTCGAGTCTTCTTGGGTATGACACTACAAACTTGACCCACCTGTATTTGGTGAGTTTCTCCCATTCTTCTCTGCAGATCCTCTCAAGCTCTGTCAGGTTGGATGGAGAGCATCGCTGCACAGCTATTTTCAGGTCTCTCCAGAGATGTTAGATCGGATTCAAGTCCGGGCTCTGGCTGGGACACTCAAGGACATTCAGAGACTTGCCCCAAAGCCACTCCTGCGTGGTCTTGGCTGTGTGCTTAGGTCGTTGTCCTGCTGGAAGGTGAAGCTTCACCCCCAGTCTGAGGTCCTGAGCACTCTGGAGCAGGTTTTCAACAAGGATCTCTCTGTACTTTGCTCCGTTTCATCTTTCCCTCGATCCTGACTAGTCTCCCAGTTCCTGCCGCTGAAAAACATCCCCACAGCATGATGCTGCCACCACCATGCTTCACCGTAGGGATGGTGCCAAGTTTCCTCCAGACGTGATGCTTGGCATTCAGGCCAAATACTTAAATCTTGGTTTCATCAGACCAGAGAATCTTGTTTCTCATGGTCTGAGATTCTTTAGGTGCCTTTTGGCAAACTCCAAGTGGACTGTCATGTACCTTTTACTGAAGAGTGGCTTCCATCTGGCCACCCTACCATAAAGGCCTGATTGGTGGAGTGCTGCAGAGATGGTTGTCCTTCTGGTAGGTTCTCCCACCTTCACAGAGGAGCTCTGTCAGAGTGACCATCGAGTTCTTGGTCACCTCCCTGACAAAGGCCCTTCTCCGATTGCTCAGTTTGGCCGGGCGGCCAGCTCTAGGAAGAGTCTTGGTGGTTCCAAACTTTTTTTTGGTACCCTTCCACAGATCTGTTCCTCGACACAATCCTGTCTCGGAGCTCTACGGACAATTCCTTCGACCTCATGGCTTGGTTTTTGCTCTGACATGCACTGTCAACTGTGGACCTTATATAGACAGTTGTGTGCCTTTCCAAATCATGTCCAATCAATTGAATTTACCACAGGTGGACTCCAATCAAGTTGTAGAAAACATCAAGGATGATCAATGGAAACAGGATGCAACAGAGCTCAATTTCGAGTCTCATAGCAAAGGGTCTGAATAATTATGTAAATAAGGTATTTATTTTTGATAGATTTGCAAAAATGTCTAAACCCGTTTTGGTTTCGTCATTATGGGGTATTGTGTGTAGATTGCGGGGAAAAAATTATTGAATCCATTTTAGAATAAGGCTGTAACGTAACAAAATGTGGAAAAAGTCAAGGGGTCTGAATACTTTCCGAATGCACTGTAGGTACCATTGACTTGCATTGGATGTGCCACAAATGCCAGGTGACCGATTTTATAAAATAATAAATAGCAAGAGCAGCACCATTTAGTGGTTAGAAGCTGGTAATATCAGGATGCATGATGGGACATAAACCTAACAACTTCAATGACTAATTTCTCTGAACTGGGGAAACAACTCTTATTTTCTTCCTATCTCTTTCTCTCTGGCTCTTTGCTCCTCTTCACTTGCTTCCCTCGCTGGTTGTCTGACTGTCCCTCTCTTTACCCCCATCCCATATCTTATATTTCTTCTGTGTTGTGGTTGCCAGGTTGGACAGCAGAGCGTGTTCAGGAGTACTTTGTGTGGGCAGCCCAGGTAGTGAGAGGGCTAAGGGGGACCAACCCAGCACTGGAGGGACACCTAGAGGAGCTCTTCAAACAGAGAGGGGTCGAGCTTTGACACCTCTCTGTTTCTGACACAGGGTGGCACAATGTACTTTGCATTCATTGTTTGTAGAACTGGCAAACCATCAATGTCACCTTTTGAGTTTTATCGCTGTATTAAATAAAGCAATGCTATGCATAATTTTGTACATGTGAAAGGTTACTTGTTTTTAAAAAATCCCATTAATGGTGATGTAGAACCTGTAACTAACTATTCTATTAAGACACATTGAACGAAAAATACATGATTGTGTGTATGTGTAAAAACGGCTAGCTGGAGCTCGTCTGATCGGTCGGCCGTTAATGGCCTACCCCGCTATATACTTAATACTGATTGGTTTGGTTCTGCCCACTATAGTGCTGTCCGGTTAGAACATGATGTTGAGCCCATCACTGTACTCTTAATAGTCACCACCACACAGACCCAGCTGTTTCCATTTGAAGATGTTTATATGATTATGTGGTCTAAAATGGGAGAAACAATACAATCATGAGGACCCATTATAAGATACTAAGACATACATGTACAGCATGCAATAATTGTAAAGCGATGACACAACCAACCCGAGAGGAAGCTACCAGAATAATTACATCTAAGGCTATGCATCTTGCAGCAGTAGCATGCAAATACCTTAAACGGGGCTAATACAGGAATGGTGAATAAGCTAGTTGTACTCAATAAACACACTTGTAGCAATGATAACAATTATCGAACGAGGTAGCATGCACGGGGTAACGTTACACACAAACAATGCTAGCATTAGCTGGAAGCTAGCAAACTTATCTTACAAACTTACACAGTAACGTAACTATTCCTCACTAATATTGCCCCCCATCTTAGCCCAGTAGCATTTCCAAGACGTACTTATTGCAATAGACCCACACAGCACTTTGTTTAGGCAACAGCACGTGCACAGTCCGTCAGCACTGTTGGGTTCTATTTTTCTCATAATTGGATCTGTATGTGATGGATAGCTTGGAAGGAATGCATTAATGAACTGTACTGATATAGATTGTATCACATAACAGGCTGTTATTCATGTGGGGAACGTTGGGGGTAGGACAGATAAGACTTGTGTTTCTTGCAGATGCGAACACTCTCTCTTTGTAGTCTGTGAAACTGTCCTTGAACATGGAGTACAGTGGAATGGTGTCTTTTCGGTGCTGACTCCGCAGGTTATTATCATAGCAACTATGCCTGGCAACAAATGGAGTGCCGAGGAGTTGGGACCAACCCCTGCGCCAACGGATTGGCTGAATGGAGTCTGGACCACACTCAGTCCTTTGCTCTGGTTGGCCAACAGAAGAGGTGGAGGCTTTCTGTCAGAGTATTTGAGAAAGAATCTGTAAACAATAATTCTAGTTATCTGAGTGCCCTGCGTGGTATTTCAGTGGACCCGTATATACGAACCTTCATACTTATCATACATACATTTTGCATATAATAAATTAAGCTTGGATTGAAGATCTCTTGATTCTTATTCCAATACCAGATTTGAATTACGCAATTTCTAACAGCACAATACTTTCTTCTTCTTGCGACTGCATGTAAACATGCAATAACTGAGGTGTCGGGGCGGAGCCCTGGAGTGTGTCAAAGCGTTCTGATTGGTTGGGATGAGAGATGTGATTGACATGTTTGAAGGCCAATCAGATTGAGAGGGGTGGTCTTTTTTACAGTATGTGTCATAGATATGTTTGAATACAAATGAAGAGGTTTTGTGTTACAATCAGCATTACAGGGTCTCTGGAACTGGTAGGCCTATTCTTGCCTGGCTACCCATACACATTGCGCCGAACTGACGTTTCTTCTCCACGATGAATGTATGTAGCGATCAATAGAGCAGCAGAATTAAATTCAGGGTCGTCAGGCGAGGCCAATGACTGTATATGGGCGAGGCCTCCATCATAATGTTTCAGCCTATATTACCTTTTATTAGCAGGAACTGATCAAAGTAATGAAAAATATTTCACATTTGTACCTCATACAACTAATACTTGTCCTCAAATTAATTTACATGAGATGTCAACGAGTCAAAGATGTAAAGAAGCAGAGATTATTTTACAGTGGAATCAAAATGACCACAGCCACAAAGTCAATGGTAAACGGTTCCCACTAGTTAACATGGCCACGAAGTCAAAACCGCAAAGTGCTAGAGGACATTTGTAAATCATAGTTTGCAGGATTCATCTAAATTCTGATATGTATGTTGTTTTATCACATACATTGCATCAGTTGCCTTTTGAATCATCAGTACTGACAATCAAAGATGGGGTCGTGAAAATAAATGTATATTTATAACACTATATATTTCTTTTAGCGTATTAGTGATTTAGCAGACCCTCGTATCCAGAGCGATTTACAGTTAGTGCATTCATTTTAAGATACAGTAGCTAGTTGGGACAACCACATATCACAGTCATAGTAAGTACATTTCTCCTCAATAAAGTAGCTATCAGCTAGGTCAGAGCTAGTAAGGGGGAAAGTCTAGTGCGAGGAGGTGGCGCGGTGTGAGGAGGTGGTGCGAGGAGGTGGCGCGGTGTGAGGAGGTGGTGCGAGGAGGTGGCGCGGTGTGAGGAGGTGGTGGTGGCGAGGAGGTGGCGCGGTGTGAGGAGGTGGTGCGAGGAGGTGGCGCGGTGTGAGGAGGTGGTGCGAGGAGGTGGCGCGGTGTGAGGAGGTGGTGCGAGGAGGTGGCGCGGTGTGAGGAGGTGGTGCGAGGAGGGGTGCTGTGGGATTATTTAAAATGCTCTTTGAAGAGGTAGGGTTTCAGATGGTTTCTGAAGGTGGGCATGGACTCTGCTGTCCTAGCTTCAGGGGGAAGCTGGTTCCACCATTGATTGGGGTGCCAGGACAGAGAAGAGCTTGGACTGGGGTAAGCGAGAGCTGCCCTTCTGTAGGAGTGGGAGGGCCAAGAGACCAGAGGAGGCAGAACAGAGTGCGTGGGTTGGGGTGTAGGGTTTGAGCATAGCCTGAAGGAGGGAGGGGCAGCTCCTCTTGCTGCTCCATAAGCAAGTACCATGGTCTTGTAGTAAATTCAAAACAATATCTTTGGTGGAGTTCTGTTGATACAAATATCCCTGCAGACTTCCTAGGCCCATGTTGTACATCTGGGTTAAAGTGTCATTATCACAGAATACTGTTGAAAGTGTCCCTGTTCTTATGGCTTCACCTACAAAGTTAATCAAAAACTCACTGTATACAATTATTATACCCACTTATTTTTAAGTGGTCATTGCATATACTCACTTCTTAATCCCCACTGATACTTATCAAAGTAGTGTAGTGGAGGTATATGCATACTCAATTAATAAGGCTGATGGAACAGATCAGAATGTTTAGCTTAAAATGTTGATAAACTATTCTTTCTTTCTTCACATTTTAGGTGCAGCAATGTACACACGGCGCTAGGCCTACATGTGAATGTTCCAAAATGCAAGTTGCGGGAAAACACCGTTCTAAAATGCGCACCCCACATGCGAGCTTTCATGGTCAGAGATGGAAGTATCCGTTAGAAAAAGAGGGATTTAAAGACGCAACAACTATCATGGGTTGCTAATATGATTAGGATAATATCTTTGCCTGCTAGAAAATGAAAGAAAGTTGAAAGAAAACCAATAGAACAGGAGAATGCATATAAGTAAATCTTTATAAAAAATAATTGCCTCCATGTTTATATGGTGGGATCTTGGCTATAGGCTACTTTGAAGCAAGGTAAGACATGCCTCATAATATGAAGTAAAACGTCCATGTTCCAAACTATTAAGGAACAGGAGAAATATAGCAATGCTAATGATAGGCCTAACCTTCTTCTGGTAGATGGAAAGGCTTTCCCATAAACCTTCTCTATTAAATGTTAATTAGCTACAAAGTACATGACCAAAGGTATGTGGACACCTGCTCATCGAACATCTCATTCAAAAATTATGGACATTAATATGTAGTTGGTCCCCCCTTTGCTGCTATAACAGCCTCAACCCTTCTGGGAAGGCTTTCCACTAGATGCTGAAACATTGCTGCAGGGACTGGTTTCCATTCAGCCACAAGAGCATTAGTGTGGTCGGTCACTGATGTTGGGTGATTAGGCCTGGCTCGCAGTCGGTGTTCCAATTCATGCCAAAGGTGTTCAATGGGGTTGAGGTCAGGGCTGAGGTGTTCAATGGGGTTGAGGTCATTCCTTGATGGACCTTGCTTTGTGCACAGGGGCATTGTCATGCTGAAACAGGAAAGGGCCTTCAACCAAAATGTTGCGACAAAGTTGGAAGCACAGAATCGTCTAGAATGTCATTGTATGCTGTAGCATTTAAGATTTCCCTTCACTGGAACTAAGGGGCCTAGCCCGAACCATGAAAAACATCCCCAGACCATTATTCCTCCACAACCAAACTTGACAGTTAGCACTATGCATTCGGGCAGGTAGCGTTCTCTTGGCATCTGCCAAACCCAGATACGTCCGTCGGACTGCCCGATGGTGAAGTGTGATTCATCACTCCAGAGAAAGCATTTTCACTGTTCCAGAGTCCAATGCGGCGAGCTTTACACCTCTCCAGCCGACGCTTGGCATTGCGCATGGTGATCTTAGGCTTGTGTGCGGCTGCTCGGCCATGGAAACACATTTCATGAAAGTGAAAGGGAGATTCCTAGTCAGTTGTACAACTGAATGCATTCAACTGAAAGGTGTCTTCTGCATTTAACCCAACCCCTCTGAATCAGAGAGGTGCAGAGGGCTGCCTTAATCGACATCCACGTCTTAGGCGCCCAGGGAACAGTGGGTTTACTACCTTGCTCAGGGGCAGAACAACAGATTTTTACCTATTCAGCTCGGGGATTCGATCCAGCAACCTTTCGGTGAAGCTCCCAACAAACAGTTATTGTGCTGACATTACTTCCAGAGGCAGTTTTTAACTCAGTAGTGAGTGTTGCAACCGAGGACAGACGATTTTTACGGGCTACGCGCTTCAGCACGCGGCGGTCCCATTCTGTGAGCTTGTGTAGCCTACCACTTCGCAGCTCAACCGTTGTTGCTCCTAGACGTTTCCACTTCACAATAACAGCACTTACAGTTGACCGGGGCAGCTCTAGCAGGGCAGAAATTGGACTTGTTGGAAAGGTGGCGTCATATGATGGTGCCACGTTGAAAGTCATTGAGCTCTTCAGTAAGGCCATTCTACTGCCAATGTTTGTCTATGGAGATTGCATGGCTGTGTGCTCGATTTTATACACCTGTCAGCAACGGGTGTGGCTGAAATAGCCGAATTCACTAATTTGAAGGGATGTCCACATACTTTTGTATATATAGTGTATCATAATTATTTGCATCAATCCAGTGGCCATTTATTTTGCAAACTCCATCTCATGTGCTACAGAAACACCTCTAAGCAAACAACAGTGCTAGGTGCCTGCACACTTGAATTAAAGGTTAACTACACAAAAACAAATCTTAGATTTTTCCCAAACCTCAAAAGTGGTCTACTGATGTGGTTTAAGCATTTTTATGGACTTAGATAATACAATTACATTGTTTTCTGTAAGAAGTGTGACAGAACGTAAACCTTACAGAAATGGGAAAAAATCTGAAACCTGTGAATTTGTGACTCAGTTGACAGCCTCATTTATCGGTTTCAATAGTAGGCCTACTAATAGCCTACTTGTACAGTACATCTTGGGTTGGTCTGACTGTGAAAGACCAAAATGGGATTTATCATTTTAGGTCATTCAGAGTGTATGTCACTGTTTCTCATAGAATTTTTCACACAGGGCACCTTTCCTTCGCCTGGCGGGACGTTTGGAAAAATGTTGGCAAAATGAGAGAATACCCACTTTCCCAGGCACCACTACACCCCTGATTGACGTTAAATACAGTGGGGAAAAAAAGTATTTAGTCAGCCACCAATTGTGCAAGTTCTCCCACTTAAAAAGATGAGAGAGGCCTGTAATTTTCATCATAGGTACACGTCAACTATGACAGACAAATTGAGAAAAAAAAATCCAGAAAATCACATTGTAGGATTTGTAATGAATTTATTTGCAAATTATGGTGGAAAATAAGTATTAGGTCACCTACAAACAAGCTAGATTTCTGGCTCTCACAGACCTGTAACTTCTTCTTTAAGAGGCTCCTCTGTCCTCCACTCGTTACCTGTATTAATGGCACCTGTTTGAACTTGTTATCAGTATAAAAGACACCTGTCCACAACCTCAAACAGTCACACTCCAAACTCCACTATGGCCAAGACCAAAGAGCTGTCAAAGGACACCAGAAACAAAATTGTAGACCTGCACCAGGCTGGGAAGACTGAATCTGCATTAGGTAAGCAGCTTGGTTTGAAGAAATCAACTGTGGGAGCAATTATTAGGAAATGGAAGACATACAAGACCACTGATAATCTCCCTCGATCTGGGGCTCCACGCAAGATCTCACCCCGTGGGGTCAAAATGATCACAAGAACGGTGAGCAAAAATCCCAGAACCACACGGGGGGACCTAGTGAATGACCTGCAGAGAGCTGGGACCAAAGTAACAAAGCCAACCATCAGTAACACACTATGCCACCAGGGACTCAAATCCTGCAGTGCCAGACGTGTCCCCCTGCTTAAGCCAGTACATGTCCAGGCCCGTCTGAAGTTTGCTAGAGTGCATTTGGATGATCCAGAAGAGGATTGGGAGAATGTCATATGGTCAGATGAAACCAAAATAGAACTTTTTGGTAAAAACTCTACTCGTCGTGTTTGGAGGACAAAGAATGCTGAGTTGCATCCAAAGAACACCATACCTAATGTGAAGCATGGGGGTGGAAACATCATGCTTTGGGGCTGTTTTTCTGCAAAGGGACCAGGACGACTGATCCGTGTAAAGGAAAGAATGAATGGGGCCATGTATCGTGAGATTTTGAGTGAAAACCTCCTTCCATCAGCAAGGGCATTGAATATTAAACGTGGCTGGGTCTTTCAGCATGACAATGATCCCAAACACACCGCCCGGGCAACGAAGGAGTGGCTTCGTAAGAAGCATTTCAAGGTCCTGGAGTGGCCTAGCCAGTCTCCAGATCTCAACCCCATAGAAAATCTTTGGAGGGAGTTGAATGTCCGTGTTGCCCAGCGACAGCCCCAAAACATCACTGCTCTAGAGGAGATCTGCATGGAGGAATGGGCCAAAATACCAGCAACAGTGTGTGAAAACCTTGTGAAGACTTACAGAAAACGTTTGACCTGTGTCATTGCCAACAAAGGGTATATAACAAAGTATTGAGAAACTTTTGTTATTGACCAAATACTTATTTTCCACCATAATTTGCAAATAAATTCATAAAAAATCTTACAATGTGATTTTATGGATTTTTTCTCTCTAATTTTGTCTGTCATAGTTGACGTGTACCTATGATGAAAATTACAGGCCTCTCTCATCTTTTTAAGTGGGAGAACTTGCACAATTGGTGGCTGACTAAATACTTTTTTTCTCCACTGTATATGTGAGAGAATATGGTCAAGAAGATTGAGTTCTCTGAACTCGCTACTGATTCTCTTTTGGTGGGATTTACATGTCAGCTTTGGTTAAAGTTCATTCATGTTCTTTGGACCGTGCGATTTTCCGAAGCTCCTGGGTAGTTTGCTTAAAAGATGCAGGAGTTATTTGACTGCGGTGTTCCTTTTTAGGTAGTGTGTGTACAGGGCCCTTGCTATATTGTCTTTACCTGAATCCTCACATCCACTTTCTTTGCCTCCTTCTCATTGGAGGAAAAGATCCGCTGTCCTCCAATTCGTTTAGAGAAGGCGAGGAAAGAGGATGTGAGGAATCAGGAAACCTATGAGGAAGAGCCATGGATTGGTTAGCTAGATGGTGGTGGTGAGTTAAGGAGGCACTCTGATTGGTGGGCTGTGTGGACACGTGAGAGGGGACCAGTAGAGTAGCAGCAGGGTCATAATAGCAGTAGTAGCAGCAGGGTCAGCTCCACTCCACACTGACTGAGCACTGGGGCATCATGCAGAGGAAGAGCAGCTTCACTGGGCTCCTCATCACTGCTCTGTGTGCAGTGGCCTCTGATAAACTCAGAGAATATCACTATGTGTCTGAACAGAAGACCTGGTCAGAGGCTCAGCAGTACTGCCGTGAGCACTACACTGCCCTGGCCTTCATCAGCAACCAGGAAGAAGTAGATCAGCTCTCTCCCATTTCAAGGGGTGATTGGACCTGGATTGGTTTGCACAGAGATGCTAATGACCCAACAGGATGGACATGGTCAGGAGGAGAGAAATTAAAATTTATGTTTTGGAAATCAGAAGAGCCAAACAATGCTGATGGCATTGAGGACTGTGTCATGGTACAGTGGGATATGAGATGGTTGGATTCTCTGTGCTCCCGGAAACACCCCTTCTTCTGCTACAAGGAGAAGCTGATCCTGGTTCAGGAGATGAAGACGTGGGAGGAGGCTCTGGAGTACTGCAGGGATCACTACACAGACCTCCCCAGCCTGCTCTCTGAGACTGAGCATCTCCAGGCCCAGAGCAGGATGGATGGTGCCCAGACGGACCATGTGTGGACGGGTCTGAAATTCCTGGCCAGAGAGTGGCTGTGGGTGAACGGGGATCCCCTGGAGTACCAGGCCTGGACCGGGGGGAAGCTGCCCCACTGCCCCGCCCAATACCTCCACTGTGGGACCCTGACCAGAGATGAAGAGCACTGGGGAACCAGGAACTGTGAGGAGAGGAGGAACTTCCTCTGCTACAGAGCGTGAGCCCCAGAGGAGAGAGATATTACTGTAGTAGATATGATCATCTATGTATGCTCTTTACTTATTACTAGTTAACTTTGTGATTGATTATTCACTCTATTTACTTGTGTGCTGCATATAAACCGATTGGGTTAACCCACGGGGCGGCAGGTGTCCTAGCGGACCAGTAACCAAAAGGTCGCTGGTTCGAATACCTGATCCAACAAGGTGAAAAATCTGTTGATATGCACTTGAGTAAAGCACTTAACCCTAATTTGCTCCAGGGGCACCGTACTACTATGGCTGACCCTATAAAACACGTGTCAAACTCATTCCACTGAGGGTTTTTGCTCCACCCTTGTACTTGATTGATGGATTAAGGGCACTAATTCCCCTCACCTGGTTGTCTAGGTCTTAATTGAAAGGTAAAACCAGCAGACACATGACCCTCCGTGTAAAACAACACATTTTACTGTATCTATCTGGTGTATGTGACAATAAAACATAGATTTTTTGTGCGTGTTTCCTACAATAGTCTATTTTTGTACCAATAGATACTGTGGTTATGATAGTGTGTGCTTTGTGTGTACAAAGACCAGACCACTGGGCTCAGATGTCAGTTCGACATCTAGTTTTGATTTAAATTTAATTGAGTTGGGAATTAAAACATGTTTTTAACCATGTCATTCGATTTAGGGAGGTTAAAAAAATATAAGAAATCATGAAATTCCTTCAGGTTGATGACTCTTTGCAAATCCAATCAGTTTTCGACTTTGATTCATTACTGTTATTTTATTTGACTTCTGCTCTTTTTTTCTCAACACTTTTTTTGTTGTTGTTTTATTTTTAAATAAATGCACTGTTGGTTAAGGGCTGTAAGTAAGCATTTCACTGTAATGTCTGCACCTGTTGTATTCGGCGCATGTGGCCAATAAAATTTGATTTGATCATCTGAATGAAAAACATAGATTTTTTGTTTTGTTAAAAAATGACGTGGAAGCAACATTGATTCAACCAGTTTGTGCCCAGTGGGAAGTCACCTAGCTCATATTCTGTTTCATAATTATATAACATGATAAAACAGTACAAATGCAAAGCTGCTGCTGTATTCTAGTTACTAGCATCTAGTACATGTAAACTCCATGTTAACTCCTCATTCAGCCTGTAGGCCTAAGTCTGTGTATTATTAGCTTGGACAGTAACAGTAGATATGAACAAACATATCATGTAGTGTATATTATGTAATGAAACCGACTGTTTGAATGAAATAAATAATTAACTTAGACAAAGATTATACATTCCTTCTCATTTTTATTGGTGCACCTAGCAATAATAATAAATAGCAGAACATCTCATTGAAAGAGCAAAACTTCTCATTGATAACCTGTCATGTACCATATATTTATCTGAAATAGTGAAAATAGTTACTAAGTATTTACATGTTTTATGGTTACAAAAGGACATAATCCAAAATGCACTTGAAGGAATTGACAATAACTGCAAATCAAATCACAATTTATTTAAAGTGGGGGACAGAGGGGGAGGTATGGAAGTAGGGAGAGAGAGACAGAAGGGGGAGGAAGGAGGGAGAGTGATACAGAGGGGGGAGGTAGGTACAGAAGGAGGGAGAGAGACAGAGGGGGGAGGTAGGTGCAGGAAGGAGGGAGAGAGAGACAGAGGGGGGAGGTAGGTACAGGAAGGAGGGAGAGAGAGACAGATGGTGATCTCGGAAACCTGTTGTCTGGGAGGTGTCCTTGTGTATCGCTTTGTTGTTGTTGTTGTTGTTTGGTTACTGATATACTGTATATTAATTTAGCTAACTATATCTGGTACAATGTATCTGATTTCAGCCTCTGGTCCATCAAATAAACGTAATAATAATAATAATAATAAATTAATCTGTTTCATCTGACAGTTTTGTCCAGTAATAGTCATTGTAACAACCACAAGCACTGTGAAGTGTGGTCTGTGTAAAATAACGGGCTGGACCAAAGATTATATTCTGAACACTAAACCAACTTTGTACATTGTCCCCTAAACCGGGCATTCATCTACTAAATTCCATAGGTTGTAATTATAATTATACATTTACAAACAGTATATTTTACCTCGTATCACAAACACCCATGCCATTCAAACAGTGCTCTTGAATTTCATCATGAAGACAGAATAAAACAAATGTAGTTAACGAAGCAGGAAATAAGTTCATTGGAGTGTTTTGCTGGTGCTGTGCTGGACTTCTGATAGAACCTGTGAGAGGATATGCAGTGCATTTGGAAAGTATTCAGACCCCTTGACTTTTTACACATTTTGTTACGTTACAGCCTTATTCTAAAATGCTTACCCAAGAAGACTCAAGGCTGTAATCGCTGCCAAAGGTGCTTCAACAAAGTACTGAGTAAAGGGTCTGAATACTTATGTAAATGTAATATTTAAGTTTTACATTTTTTATACATTTCCAAAAACCTGTTTTTGCTTTGTCATTATGGGGTGTTGTGTGTAGATTGATGAGGGGAAAAAACAATTTAATCAATTTTAGAACAAGGCTGTAACGTACATTTTTTGGGAAAAAAGTAAAGGGGTCTGAATACTTTCTGAATAAACTGTATTTGAGCATAATGTAGGCCTACCAACAAAACCAATGGAGCACATCCCATAACATTTTCACATGGAAATAGCTTTTGATTTCTATGATATAGCCTACAGTAGCCTATATGTGGTGTTCAATGCAGGCCTACATTGCATGAGACTTTTAAAAAGTTTTTACATTATGAAGGGCTTGACATTAATTAATTATTTTTTACTTGGTCTGTAACACCATGGGCCAAGTCGGTGACTGTAAATTGCATTGTATTGTATATGATGCAAGAAACCATTTTACAAAATACAATTAATTATTATTACCAAACAGAGAATTAGACAATGTAGGCTACCCCTCTGCCTATTGGCTTATTTGCATATTCAAGCCTGTCTCAAAATGCAACACTGCCTGTTGCGCTCTGGTTCTGCCTACAACCAAATCACAGAGTCAATCTTGCAAAGTTAGATTTGTTTTGGTTTGTTGCATTGAAAAGGGGCTGATATAATGTTGATTCGATCACAGAAAAAACTTGATCTGTAAAGTGCAAAGTAATGGGGCAAACTTTCAATCTCTTGCGTCTCTGCACAGCCTGGCATTTCTTCTGCACGGCAGTTTACATTTACATTTTAGTCATTTAGCAGACGCTCTTATCCAGAGCGACTTACAGTTAGTGAATACATCTTTTTTTTTATACTGGCCCCCCGTGGGAATCAAACCCACAACCCTGGCGTTGCAAACGCCATGCTCTATCAACTGAGCTACATCCCTGCCGGCCATTCCCTCCCCTACCCTGGACGACGCTGGGCCAATTGTGCGCCGCCCATGAGTCTCCCGGTCGCGGCTGGCTGCGACAGAGCCTGGATTCAAACCAGGATCTCTAGTGGCACAGTTAACACTGCGATGCAGTGCCTTAGACCACTGCGCCACTCAGGAGACTTCTGGAAGAGATGTGCGGCTGCGCACTTGTAGAGGGAACATTGTCCACCACCCAAAGGACATCCAGCCAATTTGACATAACTGTGGTAATTACTGGAGTTAACATCGGCCAGCATCCCTGTGGAACGCTTTCGACACCTTGTAAGAGTCCATGCCCCGACGAATTGAGGCTGTTCTGAGGGCTAAGTACATTTTCAAATATAATCCCCAGTGGTGTAAAGTACTACTTAAGTAGTTTTTGGGGGCATCTGTACTTTACTTTACTGTTTATATTTTTCACAACTTTTACTTTTACTTCACTACATTCCTAAAGAAAATAATGTACTTTTTACTCCATACATTTCACCTGACACCAAAAAGTACTGGTCACATTTTGAATGCTTAGCAGGACAGAAATTGACCAATTCACGCACTTGTCAAGAGAACATCCCTGGTCATCTCTACTGCCTTTGATCTGGCGACTCACTAAACACAAATGCTTTGTTTCTGAATGATGTCTGAGTGTTGGAGTGTGCCCCTGGCTATCCGTAAATAAATAAAAAAAACACGAACAATTGTGCCATCTGGTTAGCTTAATATAAGGAATTTGAAATGATTTATACTTTTACTTTTGATACTTAAGTCAAGTTTTGCAATTACATTTACTTTTGATACTTAAGTATATTTAAAACAAAAAATAGTTTTAGACTTTTACTCAAGTAGTAATTTATGTTACTGGGTGACTTTCACTTTTACTTGAGTCATATCCTATTAAGGTATCTTAACTTTGATTCAAGCATGACAATTGGGTACTTTTTCCACCACTGCTAATTCCTGGATAGGTGTACAATAAAAACATTTATATTTGTGCCAGAGTCTGTTCTTGTGGTAGTGCTGCCGATGCCGGACCAAACATTGCCCAACTTGGGGTGGTTTCAAAACTCACCCTTCACGTTTAGACTGTCGTTCTTCATTCCTCTCTATATCAGTACATCCAATAAAGGAAACGTATGAATGTTGAATGGATGTCCACTCTTCATTACAAAAAAAACATTGATATATGAGGATTCTAGGTTTGAAATTAGTTATTTTCAATTGCAGCCATCAGAATTATGTAAAATATCTGTGTATATGTTAATGTCCTATCAATTCAACAGTGGTATAATAATATTAGTAATATATTTTCAGTTATTGTCAATTCTATGTTTCCTTCAGGTGGATTTTGGATTACGTATTTTTGTAACCATAAACCGTGTAAATACTTAGTAACTATTTTCATTATTTCAGACATATCATATTTCATGGTACATGACAGGTTATCAGAGAGAATGTGTTCCCTCTCAACAAGATGTTCTTCTATTTATTTCCTTGTTATATCTGTTGTTATAGTGCCTTCAGAAAGTATTCATACCCCTTTACTTATTCCACATCTTGTTGTGCTACAGCCTGAACTCAAAATGGATTCAATAGATTGTCTCACCCATCTACACACATTACCCATAATTACAAAGTGCCAGTTTAGTATTCA